TATACCCATATACCTAGGTATATATAGACTAATAGGGAAAATAACAGCGACGTACCTTTTTCAGTTGATCAACTTGTAACTCCCACTTGGCGCGGTCCTTGTCTTCCTTTATAGTACTAAGAAGAAGGTAAACCTGGGCGACGACAATTTTGGTGAGAGAGCTAGTCCCCGCGGTCGGGCTGCTGGTACTGGGACTTGCGCCAGCACTCAGAGGACCGGCCTGTGACGGATGGGGAGAGTGTGAAAGTCCTGTCTGCAAGTTCTGAGCAGGAGCAGGTGAGAAGGTTCCGGATCGCGAGTGAGACGGCGGTGGGGGGACCATGAGGGTGGTGGTGGTCTCGCGGTGGGAAGGGGGAGGAGAAGGAGGGAAGAAGAGAAAGGTGATATGCGATTCCCCTAGAGCCCCTCACAGAACCAGACAAAACGATGAAAATTCACGAATCACGCAATGGCGTCCGTCGAGAGCGACAGATGTAGTCTTCGCGGATAGTCTCCGACGGGCGAGGGTAAGCGTAAGGTTACCGACGCTCGGGGCATGGATGTCATGAGCTTGAGACGGGGTTGGACGGGGTTGGACTGTGCCAGGCAGACCGGGGCCGTTGTCGATTGGTTTTGGGTGGGCTGAAAGACGAGGTTAACAGATTTAGTTAACAAGCTTGGGTGAAAAAGGCTGGAAGCTCCAGTAACTCAATTATCAGCGTGTCAAATAAGTGAGATGATGTATAGCAAGGTATCATAAATCTTTTATCTGGGGAAAAGGAAAAATATAAAAAAAACCCCTTTGACGCGCTCCGAATAATTTTTAAGAGTGGTAAAGGTACGTATCGTTGCGGGCAAAGTGTATGGTTGTTGGTTTTTCGGTGGATAGATGATTGAAAGGTAAGAATTACTAAAGTTGGTAAAAGCAACGATTCAGCCCTCTCTCTTTGCCGCAACCACCAGCTTGGGCCCTCCTCTAGTCTTTCCCTTCATGGGGCTGCAATTGTACCTTCTATTTCGTACCTAGTGGGGCTAAATGACCCATTATATTTCTTATATAACCAATCAACGGAAAGCGGGACACAGTTAGAGCCTCGCCTGCTCGCAAGAGCTAAAGAACCTTAACCTAGGCACCTATTATTTCTTGCGGGAAGCCACCCGAGCCACAATCTACTATGGTACAGTGTCAGGTATTGAGCATATATAGTGTATAGTCAATATTAGATAAGAGGAATATGTATATATACTATATTAGGTACTGTCCTGATTGTAATAGCAAGCGGGCACGTGCATGAGAAAATCGGATAGCGATGTTTGAATTTTAAGTAGATCTACTTCGTACATATGAGATTCAACGCCATGTGCCACCTTCAAAAAATTAAATACACTCTTATGTATAAGCATCTTCCCGCGTACAGTAGCGTACCTATCAATTATTTACCTTCCATCCGCTCAAAAATGTGGCCATCATTCTAGGCAGGCACTTTACAAGAATTCAAGTCCAGAATGTTCCAAGGTAACATCTAGATACAAAGAAATAGCAAATATAATATGATTTTGACAGGCACGAGATCATCCTAAACAACAAACAAAGCCTCACCTCTCCTGAATCTTCCCCAAGACTCCCTTCACCTACTTACTTCGCCTTTCCAAACCCCCTCCTTACCTCCACCGAATCCGCTCTACACAACGGCCCATTCTGCGTAGGCATCTCATCCTCCGTAAGCACCACCCAGTCCTCGCTACCGACCGTCGTCGGGGCGTAGAACACTCCCCAGGGGTCATATCGGCGCTTGATCCGCAGTAGTCTCCCGTAATTGCTTCCGAAGAAAGCCTGTTGCCAGTTCGGCTCCTGGACGTCGCACTCGTTGAAATACGCGCCTGCTCCCGGCGACGCCGCCCGCCACTTATCCATGGCGCTGGCCAGCTGCGCGTGCGTCGCCTTGAAGGCGGCTGGCGACAAGCCCCGTAGCATCGAGAAGTCGTATAAGTCGGCGTGCATGATGGCCTTGCGGAACGCCGGGTTGACTGCGTTGTTGTTACCTGGGTATCCTGCTACCTCTTCGGTCGGCTTCATGTGGATCCCGTGGAACGTGTAGCCCGCTTCGATCGACTCTCGAATCGCGAGCTGTGTCGCCTTGAACAGGTCTGGGTCCTCAAAGTTGGCACGTGGCCACAGACGGCTGCCAAAGCGCGAACTGCCTGGGACATCGCCTGTGCCGCCTGTGAGGGACTCCCAGTTTGTAGCTGGATGCGGCCTCTGGTTAGTTACATTTAGTCCGACCGCATTTAACCCGTCCACCAGTGGTTGTACAAATTTGATTAGGTATTCTTCTGATACGTTGGGGAGTTCGATGTCTGTTGTGAAGCTGAAGCTGAAGCTGCTGTTACCAGAACGTCGAGACACATAACTGTCTAATGCCCTACGCGTTAGCATCCTGAATAAAGGCATAAATCCTTGCGTCATCCAGTATTTTCTTAACCATGGATATGCGCAAAGGGTAAAGGATGGATATTATGACATACTATGGGTTTGTTAGTATTAATACAAAGGTAAATATAGACTTGTCAGTCAAACAACAGTTCCTCGTACGTACCATGCTGTACCGCCATTGTCAACTATCGTTTTACCAAATTCATGGTATAGATCGAACCCCTTCCAGAAATTTTCAGTATCACTCGGTCCAGAGATATTAGAGCCGTCTGCAAAGAAGGCTATGGAGGATGCTAAGACTTTTGTTGGCGGGTGAACCTTGATTATGACTGATGTTACGACGCCATAAGTGCCTATGCGTCTATGGTTAGCAAACGGTATACTTCGACTCGGACTACTGTATAAAGGCAAGGGGGGGTATAGGGTGTTGCTTACTTCCCCCACCACCTCGCAATGCGTAGAACAAGTCTGTATTCTGATGCGGATCGGCGGTGACGAACCTGCCGTCGGCCGTCACAACTTGGATGGACAGAGCTTGATCAGCACCAAGGCCGTACTTGGAAGTTAAGGCAGAGTGTCCACCACCTGCCATCCAACCCCCGTATGCTCCAACGGTGTAGCCTCCCGCAACGAGCGCCGTCATATTATAGCGGCTCATGTATGCGAACATTTCCCAACTCTCGATGCCGGCGCCGACTCTAGCTGCCCTACCCTCGTATGCTCCGATACGATAATAGGGTAGGAATTCGAAGTCTTTCAACCAGTGAGTCCAGATACTAAGACTCCCGAACCCGGACGACCGACCGACAAAATCGTGCCCAGTGTTCCTGTCCGAGAGGGGCATGATATTAGCCTGCTCGTATTCCCATATCACAGCAGTGTTTTTACTAGCACGTTGGCTTCGGGAAAAACTCACTTGATGACTAGCCGGAGGTTCCTGTTCCTGGCAAAATTAACAGCGATCTGGATCTGCCTCACCGTCGTGGCGTTGACGACGTAGACAGGGAAAGCACCCTGTGTACAGTTCCCACCAGTTTGCTGCCCGAACATTGTGTGGCACGTATCTCCCTCGGGCCATTCCGACAGTACCGTGACCGGATCGTTTAAGTAAAATCGAGTAGAGCTCGCATTCCGCATGAGATAAGTACACGCAGCCTCGTCCTTGTAAGGCCCATCATAACATACCGCTGCAGGTGGGACCCCCTTGATCAAGGCCCCTTCTAGCGAGCGGTTCAGCCGCGACCATTCTTCATCAACAGGCCAGTTAGATGTTCCCGGGTATTCTCTACAGTCCGGTCTATCATTGTTGTCCGAAGGTACCGCAGCAGATACGTTGCCAAAGGCTATGGCCGAGAAGTCACTGATATCACCCTCCGTAAGCTGTTTGGCCTCGAAGGCAAAGTGGGCATAGGCTAAGCTCGTGAAGAGCGAGAAGAACGTCTGGACAACTAGGATTCGCATCTTCGCTAATGGGTGGTAGAAATAAGGCTCCAGAATAATCTACCTACTTGGGAAGTTTTAAAAAGGGGGGCGTGAGCGCCCCGCGTACTTATCTATTAAGATTTATGACTAGTTGGAGCAACCCTTCGTCCCATCATCACTTAGAAAGGGGCTTAGTAACAAGTTTTCTTACCCGAGATCGTTGCTAATACTTACTCATCAGAATATTGTGCTCGTTCTTGCAGAAATAATACATTCCCGCTGTACTGCATGCCGGTGTGTAAAAGTGTTCTCAACAGCCGATAACGAAGCAAGGCGCCCGTGGTGTTCGTCGGACAACTCGGCAAGTACAAGAGCACCCCATGACGGCGTGCGGCGTTTCGGCCTATAGGCCCAATAATTGAAAGGGACCATTCTAGACACTTTGACTTGTGTGTCCAGACATGCCCCCTACGATATCGGCAAGATGAATAGCGTTTTTCCGCCGTTAGGTGTAAACCATAAATACCGGCGGCTACAATAAAGGCCTTCGTGATTATTAAGATACGACCCGGGATATCGTATGTTCGTGGCGTAATTTATGGTACCTAGTTTGCTTAAGGTCTCCTATCAGGGCCGATATCACAAGTAGCTGTGGTGTGTTTGTATGCATGCAATTACCTGGTAATTTTCTTAGTGAGGATGCTGGAGATGGTGGAGGTTTGTCGAAGACGGCAGGTCGTAAGGTAAGCCGTCCCGACTCCAACCAATACGGGACATTCAACATCATGGATTCTTTCCATCTTCCATATATATAATCGTTGGTCATCCCTAGGGTCACCTTCGGGCTTTGCAATAACGCGGCGTGAAGATGCGCCGGAGCCCCTAAGAATCGATAGTTAAGGCTGGGCTTACAAAACCTGGCACTGGGTGCGTTCTATATGCAGTGATATATCTTGGCTAATAACGCACGTGAGCCTCCTCCCCAGAGTTTCAGGAACTTTAATAGACCTCGTGGGGGCCCCGTAGCCGAGGGTTGCATCCGGATGAAATGGTCGTACTATAGGTACGACCGTTACACGCCTGCACGCCTGTCCCGTTAGGATATAGGTAAACGAAATACTAGCGCTTATCTTGCTAATATTATACTAATTACCTACCTATAACCTTACGTTGGGGTCGCTATGGCTGTGAACGCGGCTGATAAAGCAGAGGCGCTTGAGCAGACGCAACCTTGGCCTGAGATACTGGTAACCGGAGGCGAGCTACAAGTAGCCTCGGCTATCCATGACTTAATGGTGGTAGTACTGGGCTCGACCTTACGGATATTAACAGCCTTGACGAGCGCCGGAATTGCTTGGCCGGTGGACAAGCTGAATTCGATATGGCCCAATACTTGAAGGTTTGCACGGATCTGGCCGGAGTGGCTTGTGATACTGATCCAAGTGCTGTCGTCATTGCTAAAGATATCATCTAAGACGGCCTTCGTCCTCTTTAGCTGCGCCTCGGAAGTTTCCCCTTCATAACCCTTCCATAGCTCGTCGTCCTCGGTGAAGCCATCTTCGAATCTGAACACTGGTAGGCGAGCTTGGATGTATGTTTTGTTCGACCTTTCATCACATGTGCGCATGGATATGCCCTCGCGAAGAAATTCTTTAACCGTGGGTGCGAAAGGCCTATCTACGGGAACTTCCAGGCCATTAAAGGTAAGATATGCCGTAGTTGCAGAACGAATTAAGGGACTGCTGTAGTAGGACTGAGGCGCTGGAATCTTCTCAACAGCTAATGCGCGTTTCCAGAAGTTATTCGCCTTGGTACATTGAGCTATGCCCGCCTCGGTCAATTGAGCATCCTTCCATATAGTAGTTCCATTCCCTTCAAGTAGACCCCAATAACACTACTTCCCTATTAGAGTATACACCATAGATATTTTAAGGTCAACTTACGTTCCAAGCCGGTGTTCCATAATGGCTCTCTGCGGCGTTGTGATAGCCCTCGCCATGGCGAGCCATAAACAAGACTTTGTATTGCGTGTTTCCATCGCAATCCCGATTCAAAGTATCGACGTAATAAGAAAATCGTTCCCACTGCGTTTTAATTCCTTTGGGGTCGAATACACCGTCAGTCGGATACGACCGATTGATAAGACCGTAGTCAGTCTCGGTCTACTTGTTGTTAGTAGTGGCCATTACTTATGGCTTGATCCAGTCGAACCATACGTAGTCGAAACTCTTAGAGTCAGTAGTTGGGTCATCTTGTTGAAAGAAGCCAGAAATCGTTGTGTATTTAATAGTCGAGTCTGCACCGCGACATGCGCTTCTTTGCTTTTGATCCAATTTTCCGCTGCTCTCCCATTCCCAACCGAGACAAGCTGAGCTTAGAGCAAGAAAAATGAAAAAGGTAGTACCCAACATTTTCAAGTATGAATAATAAAGAAGGGATAGGTTCATATTTGCCACTTCTTGGTTAAGGGAAAGCGAGTTGAAGAAGGGGAATAAAGTACTGAGATGTCACTAGATATTGACGATAAGGGTCTGGGGCAATATCGCGGGGTGCCTCTCGAGAGTCTAGGCACCAAGTTCCGAACAACCCAGCAGGGGTGATGACCAGTTCCTGGTGCAAGGATTGAAGGAGATAACATTGCGCTTCGAAATTGAGATGTCGATCATAAGGCTATTTCATACTCCCACCGACCTCATTAATAACAAGGTCGATACTGACGTAACTATGTTGGTATTACGAGGGCTTAGGACTCAAGCACTGGACTAGAGATTTTTGGAAAACCGCGTGCGAAGGCCGAGAGTGCGATACGATTAGCGGATATGACAAGAAGGAAATTTCCTACACTAAAGATCATCCTCAATCTCGTATTGGAATATATGTTAAGGCGTTATTGGGCGGCTCATTAGGAAATGGTATGAAAATATTTCATAGGCTGAGTCCTGGCCAGCTTGGGTTCCTCGCGCCATATGTGGCAGCCCGACAATTCCATATGACGATCGCGCCTCTTCACTCAAGGAAGCGATAAATCACTAACATACCAAGTAGTTTCATTACTATCGCTTAGATACTGTCACCTTACCACCCACCATAGCATCATATCTCATACAAACGTTCAGTTCGCATAATACTAGCCATCGACATTATCCACCCAACTCCAGACATTATATATACCTAAATTATCCATAAGAGACTTGTAAGTTGACATTAAAAAGTTTCGTAATCGCCGTAACTAGCGCTAGGAAAGGTACAAATTGTGTGATCGTAGGTAAGGGGAGAATATTCACTCCAGCCCATCTTCATCCGTATATGGGGAATCGAACCTAAAGTACTCTTGTTAGTATTTAGCAGCTAAAGAAAACAGAACCAACTCACCCCTGTTCGCCAACGACGAGCTTAGTATACTGCTCAAGTCTCTCTAGCTGTTCTACACAGCCCGTCAAGCTCTCATTATACGAATAGCTGTATATCTGAGCCCATTTTCTCCCTTCTAATTTTTTATCGACGCTAAGTCTTCCGCTCGCCGCAAGCTCGGCCTCTAGAGCTCCCATTCGGTCTAGCAGCTGCTTCCGTGTAGCTGCGGCGCTCGGCAGGTATTTCTATTACCATCAGCCTATAGAATTCGCCAAACTAATCCATCGTACTTTTCTCTAGACTTACGGGTACTTTTCTCTTTGCCCGGAGGGCACCTGAAAGAACATAAAGATTGGTCATGATGGTTGCGATTGCGTCTCTCCTGTGACCCAGCAAGTCTGCAGCGAACTCGGTATTATCTCTGATGAAATGCGGGTGGTAAAATAAGGATGCCTGACGAGCCGTGACTATATAGTCGAAAAAGTGCTCACAGGCATCAATGAGCGCAGAGTACGGCAAGGGATCGAAAGGAGCTCGTAGGCATATCTCATGACGCGTGAGGCCCTAGTTGCCGTTAGTTGGTTGGCTTTGCAAGACTATACGGAAGATGGTGAGCTTACTAGTAGTTGCCTTAATCTCACAAACCCTTCACGAAAGCGTCCCTCGAGTATCTCAGAAGCTTGTATATCTTCTTTAGTAGGTTCATTTCCCTCTTCATAATATACGTATTTCGATACGATACCTATAGAATTATTAGAGCTTAAATTGGATCTTTAGCACATGTATAACTTACTTCTATACACGATGCTACAATAGAACATCATAATAGCTGTGGACTTTCGAAGATTGTGACGAGCAACAAACGGCCATAGGACCCAATTAACAATAATGGAGGCTACGACACCAACTATCATAGCGACCCCGTGTGTTGCAGCAACTATAGCTGGAGAAGGCTGGCCTTGGGCGGTGACTTCCGCTAGGGATGTGACCGTAAACGATATGCATCCTACAAGGCCAGATCTCTACAGCGTATTAGACAAGTCTCAAATTTCACAGAACTTGTGATAAGACTTACCGGATGCGCGCTTTGTGTATACCTGTAAATCATGGGAAGCATGAAGATAACAGCAAACACTGCCATAACGTACGGATTACCATCGCCAGCCGCGTACGATAGGCCGGCCCAAAGAGAACCAAGGACAGCACAGAACACTCGCGTTACCAGACCCTGAACGTTACCGCTCGTACTATAGGGGTTAGAATTCGTTTCTAGGCTTAAGTTGACGAAGGCAGGTATCGCTACTTACTGAGGTCCCATAATAAGCCAAGCCATTACAACTCCCCACCAGAGTTCGTAAGCATCCCACCACCCATGAGCCCGAGAGACCCAAGCAGGTATGGAAAGTAACGAAGTTACCGCTGCAGTTTTAAGCCCAAAACGCGTCTCAAACCCCTGTAGTCGATGAAGAAAGGCCCAGATTTGCCGTCGGATACGACTGCCTGTCGAACTCGGTTCATCCTCGGGCTCACTGGCTGTCATTGTGGCATATAAATTATCGTGATCTTTAGTGGAGTTATCATCGGCCTCTCTCGGTAAAGGCTGAAAGTCTCTGGATTCAATCTTTCGGATGATGGCTGCTATGTCTCTGAAGCTTCTCAAGTACGAACCTGCTGTTAAGCCACCTCGATCATGTCGGACTTGGGCATTTGTGCGGTGCATTGCCTTCCAGAAAGGATAGGACGGGCCATGAAACTTTGGATATTTCGATTTCTTCTGCTGCATCTGGTTGACTTTTACTAGCAACTCCTCAATTGCTGTTGCCGCTTGGTGAATAGGCCGACAGTATGCGAAGAGCCTAACGACCTCTGGAGACTTCGCATATGTAGGGGGCAGCCTACCGCTATCCAATACACTGTCCTGACATTCGCTGAAAGCTATGATACGCTTACGCAGCTTTACTAAGGAGCCCGGAATATCGTTCGACACGGTCTTTGGAGGGCCGAGGTATTTTCGATGACCGCACATCTCCATCAAAACAGCATCGCAGCTTTGCAAAGCGGTCTTCATAGACAAAAGGAGTTTTTCTGTCGGCTCGGCTAAGTTGCTAGCAACAAATTTAGCGAGCTTATTCTGCTCCTCACTTTCCGGGTCGTGATATTTTTCTCCCATATTTAAGATAAATTCATCCAGTATAGGCCGTTCCCGACCTAGCTTCTCCGAAGAGTACTCATCTAACTCGTCAAGGATCCTTGTTTCGCCATTCAAGCTGAGTAGCGCACGAATGACGCCTTGGATGAGATTACGAAGCTCCAACACGTCTTTGGGATCAAAATGCGTGATAGAAAAGTCGATCACAAGATCCCTGTACGCTTGTGAAATACTTACAAATGTTGTTGTTAGTCTTCGCCGCGTCCTAATGCTTTCTAGCCGGGTTAACCCAAGACCATCCTTTAAAATGATTAGCAATTGAAATCTTGGATGGGAAGGGAAGAATTACCAGCATGACACCAAACGCTTGATGAAGAGCTACGGCTAGCGGACGGGCACCAGCGTCCGGGACCACTATGCAACATATAACAAGAGAGATAGCCTGCCCTAGAACCCAAGGAATGCCGTAAGCGAGGAGCTTAGACCAAGAGACTTGAGTGCCCGATACGTCTGCTAGACATGTGTAGCAGATCGATATCCCAGCACATATGGTGGCTTGATATAAGCGAATATAGTATGAACGAAGACAAGCAATTGCAAAGATATATAAAAAAAGGAAGACAGCGAGGACGCCGCCATATCCAACACGCGCTATTGCTGTAGCAGTAGACACCCATAAACCAAACGCTCCCCATCCTAATCCAGTCGCCGTACCTATTATAGTTAGAATAGTCCCGTCGACCTGAGCTCCTAAAGTCCTCGCGGGATGGTTTAGTATTGTCGATATGGCTATGACATAACTGTAACGGCCTAATCTAGTTTGAACACGGGGGACGAGGCATAGTATATATGCTATGAAGAAAGCAAGAAATGACTTGAGTAGTCTAATACCAGCCCTCGTAGTTGTGACACGACGAACGACCCCTTTTACTTCGTGCCACTGCCTGGGTAAAAAATTGCGCACAGATAGGGGGTCCTTTTTCCGGAAGGCATATGGGAGGGTCAGCTCAGCCTGCTTCATGAGCTCTTGACGGTCAACTTTTTCGGGAGGGAGAAAAATGGCATCGAAGAAACCATCACGCAGTTCAGTAACTCCGTAAGAATTATCTGCATAATGCATATCCTCCCAGGTCATAGACCTCTGGAGGACTGGATGGTGAGAGGCATGAGGGGTTTCGGTTTCGGTACGAGTGTCAAATATCCTATCTAGAGAATTCGTCGAAGGATCGCGAACATGGCGTCCAATAGTAGGGCTATGATGACGAAAAAGACGAGAGAAAGCAGCATCAGCATGTGGGTGTTTTGGGGGGTTCTCTTCAGGGGAGGTGGCGTTCCTGGGTTTCTCCCTATCCGGTGCCATCATTAATTTATATGCGATATGTTAGATGCGATGTGTTATATTCGATGTGTTATATTCGATGTGTTATATTCGATGTGTTATATTTGATGTGTTATAAGTTATCATAGACGATGGGGAACTGCTATATAGCATGGAGGTATTGGGCCATAGAATAAATAGATGATTATTGAAATTCATGCTTTCATAGAGGTGGCCCCGAAGGTGACCGGCGTTGGTGTAATACAGATGAGCAGATGAGCAGCTGGTGTGCTATCCATTTCTATGTACAAGTGCGAGTCTAAGGATATCATGACTCGAAAAGTTTATATTCGTCGGTAATCCACCAAACAGACTCGAGCCCATTTCTATCCTGTAACTGTTGTTTGATACTTCCAATTTGGCGGCAACAACGTAGCATTTCGACGTCACAGTCAGAGGAGACCCACATACCTACACACGCCTATGTGCATTAGGTTAGGTACTAAGTTGCACAGTGTGTATTTATTCCAGGTACCTAGCGGCTGCCTAGCTAGGTCGGTACAAGCCAATGGAGAAAATTTGATTGGGTTGCATATGTAATCAACCGACAACGATAAGTGATAACGATAATTGCCTAACGCTCCACGCAACGAGATCGTACCTACTTGGGTACCTACCTACCTAAAAAAAAAAATAATAAAATTTACCCCGCCAGCGTAAGCCACCGTGAATATCCAAACAACCTTAGCTCGCATAAAGTAAGTGGAGACGTCCTAAAAATGCCCCTCCAGACCTGAATGGCCTCACTTCTTTTCTCTATCCCGTAACCATCGTCTTAACAATAACAATAAATTTCTTTCCCTTTCTCCCCAAGAACATCGTCATCTTGGTTTGAAATATTCCCACGCTAATCGCCATATTTCGTAAGGAATACTTGATAAACCTCTCGTCACTTTTTTTTTATTCGGTCAACCAGCTATTACCTTCAAGATGGCTCAAAGTAAGTGGCGCCCTCCGTGAAACGCCTCACGTTACTGCCCAACAAGGCCAGTCGATTTGGTCGAGCATGAGGGCTTCCAAGTTCATACACTAACATGTTGAATAGATCCGGAAGAAGTCGCGTGTATGTGCCTCGTCGAACGCGTCTTGCGTCTTGCGACTTGCAAGCATTTCCACCAACTAAACTAACACCTACTTTCTCTTTAGCTATGTTCGTGCAGTACTACTACAACCAGTTCGACCAAGACCGAGCCGGTTTAGCAAGCCTCTACGTATGCACATCACCGAGTATCTTTCCGTATTGATAAGACGCAAACTAATAATTCTACAGCGTGAGGCTTCCATGCTGACTTTCGAGTCCGCCTCCTTCCAGGGCACTCAGTCCATCATCGAGAAGCTACAGGTAACTCAAACAGTAGTATAATATTTTTCGAGAAGAAAGCTAACCATATATCCTAGGGCCTGCCTTTCCAGCAGATCAAACACCAGGTTTCCACCATCGACCTCCAGCCTGGTGTCGCTCCCGGCCACATTCTGGTCCTCGTGACCGGTCAGCTTCTGGTTCGTCTATATACAATTCTATCTAACGTTTTGTCCAGAACCTAACCTGTATCCCTAGGTGGACGAGGAACAACGACCCATGAGCTACACTCAATCTTTCTACCTAGTCCCCGACAACGCTCAGTACTACGTCCACAACGACATCTTCAAGCTCGTCTACGGTTAGACATGGGATCGGACTATGCAGGTTCAACGGGCTCCAGGGCCGGAATGTGCTGGGTGTGTGATTATCAAGTTGCACACACTCGTGGGGGATAGTTGTTTGCCATAGACTACCTACCTATCTACTTGCAGAGTTGCGTTAGGGACGTCATTTCCTATCAACAGTGACTTGTTCATTTTCAGATAGGTCATACAGAGGTTAATTTATTTCACGATGACTTCGCATCCATTCAGATTCAGTTATTACTAGTAACACCACCAACCCGTATTTCCTATATTGTCGGCTAGGATCTTTCACCTTTCAGCCTGACCAATTCATTCCCCAAGGCTACATCTTCAGGTGCTACCTAGTGTGCTACACAGTTGATTTAGTACGGTGATATACCCGAGGATACATACGGCCCTGACTTCGCAATCTTGTATTTTGCAGCTGCCTGGAGCACAGCAGGTATTCGCAGCCCCTCTTCGTAATATGCGTTGTCCTAAATCCACATCTATCTGGAATCGTGACCTACATAATTAACCCTTTTAAAATAAAATCGAGAAAATTAGAAGGAAAGAAGCGGTTAAAAATACTGCGATATAGCTGGCCCGGGGTTAAACGATTCGCAAACCTTGCAACTCCTCATAAATACCCCTTTTAATTCCCCTCCCTTCCGTTCTCTAGGGCAAAGACGACGTCAGCACCCTGGATCGTCGATATACGCCAATCAGACTATCTAGATGGCTGAATGATTTGCTTAACTTATGTACCAAATCCAAGATTTTCAAAAGGCAGACCTTTGAAAAGTCTTGCTTGCTTCGGTCCACAACGTAATGAAAGAAGGGCGACCTTGGTATAAGCGTTTGTAAAAGCTAGTGAAGAGATTCGAGGCTTGTCTTCGTTAGACATACGACTGGCAGCTGAGAGACCCTAGTTGCGTCGGTTTAGCTCCCGGATCGCTAAGTTGACAATCGATCTTTGAGAGATAATCTTCTAATCGATGAGCATCGCCCTCGAAGACGTAAACAGGTTGTCTTAACATTGTAAGGTAATGAGGCCTAATATAGTGGGTGAGCTTACCTTACGCAGTTCACAGGCTTCGCATTATAAGATCCGCTAGCCAATTTCCTGCCTTATTGTTTGGGACTCGGTATCATGGGACTATACTTCTCGGGGTATTAAAGCGAGTCTACGACACCTCAACTTGATCCCACGGACTCGAAGGTTGAGTGGAACTCATGGAACCATGTATACGTGATCAAGCTGGAGCTCCTAGTACAGATCGTCACTATACTAGTATTCGCGGAGAGATTGAAGTCAACTTCAGGGTAATACGAGCAATTTAGAGTCCTTCTACACCTAGTAAGTAGTGAATGGGAGTTCAGCTCTCTGAGGCACAGTAACCACAGGGACAACAGGTCCTCAGCACCGAACTATCGACTTATATGTGGCCCTCGAAAAACACGTATAAATCAGATACAAGACGCCTAGGTAGATACTTATGCCATCTGTAGCAATTGGATTGCATACCAGCTTGACGTTTATTCAACCCAAATCATTATAATTACGAAGGCTTCACCAAACATCGAGTAATTGACCTCGCTAGGCTTGCCAACACGTAAGACATATATTAAAGTACTACCTGCTTTTTGGATGACAAGATCGAGTGCTTTAGCAGTTATTCATCTGTGTGTCTCCCATAACGATAACTCCAGCAGCGCCACTGAGCCTTGAGGTCCGATGGCACCCGGATAAAGATTATTGGTACCCAACCCCCTAACCTAGTAAAATGTTGGACCATCCGTCAATAATATCAACCTAGTATAAAGACTTACAAACATACGATAACCCCGGTCGTAAAGGACAAGCCACCCTCCTCAATAGCGTCAACGTTAGCATCTACATATATAGCAACACATGTTACCGTCCTGCCTAGCCGCGGAATTACAACTTACTTGGGTGTCGTGGAATACTAGCTCGCTCGCGGTATACCCAGAACAGACACTCGCCGGAAGATCGTGACCAAGGTATGTATTGCCCAGCACCCCCTTACCCCAGCTTTTACCCCACAGTCCCTCCACATTCCTCCAAGTTCCCGACTAGGTTAACAAGGACCCGAAGGGCAACAATAAAAGACAAGGTATAGCCAGGGCTCTCCTTTTTGGAGATATCCTTCTCGGAGACCATTATTATATATAATTCTTTCATCTTTCAGAATGGAGGAAAAGAAAGCCTCGGTCTCGCTGCACGAGAAGTGCGATAATGAGCGCTCTTTCTCGCCGTCTTCCCCGGACGGTGTTGCCCACGACTCGAAATTCGAGAAGAGGGTCCTTCGCAAGATCGATATCCGGCTGTTACCTATCCTCGGCGCGCTGTATACCATCGCCATGGTAGACAGAAGCAACATCTCCGTAGCCCGCATCTCGGGTCTTGACGAAGACGTCGGTCTTAACGTCGGGAACCGCGCCTCCGTCGCGCTCCTCGTCTTCTTCATCGGGTACATGCTCTTCGAGCTGCCGAGCAACATGATCATCCACCGCGTGGGCGCCGCCAACTGGCTTTCGCTAATCGTCTTCGCCTGGGGCCTAGTGTCGACGGGCATCGGGTTTCTCGACAACTGGATCGCGTTGGCCGTGCTGAGATCCTTCCTCGGCGTATTCGAAGCTGGGTTCTATCCCGGATGCGTCTACCTGATTTCCTCCTGGTACAGGCGATACGAGGTCCAGAAGCGGCTGGCGACCTTTTTCATGACGGGGTCCGCACTATCCGCGTTTGCGAATGTTTTTGCCCTCGGCCTCATACAAATCTCGAAAACAAATACCACTTACAAGGGCTGGAGGTGGATCTACATTATTGAGGGTGTCATTACTTGTGTCGCAGCTATTATTGCTTGGTTCATCATCGTCGATTTCCCGGATTCGCACCGTAACAAGTTTCTCACCGTAGAAGAGGCCGCTTTCGTAAAGGCCCGTCTTGCGGAAGATCGCGGGTCTGAGGAGCGTCAGCAGGTCACCTGGGCTATTTTCGTCGAGACGATAACTGATTGGAAAGTCTGGTCGTTCTCGTTGATGTACTCGGCCGGTGCCGTGGGTGTCTACGCCTTTCTATTTTTCCTACCTCTTATCCTACGTAACGGGATGGGATATTCGCAAGAGCTCGCATTCATCTTGTCGGCTCCGCCAGCTCTATTTTCCGTCGTGGAAGGCATGTTTGTATCATGGCTTGCTGATAAGATGCGTCTACGAGGACCATTTGTTATCGCCCAGGGTCTCGTCGCAATCGTCGGTTTGTGCATGACTGGTTTCCTCCAGCAGCCCGTCCCAAGGTATATCGGGACCTTTCTAGGCGAAGCTGGAGTAAATGGGCTCGTAGTCACTACCCTTGCCTGGCAGGCAAACAATTTGCGTGGCGATGGTAAACGCGCCTGTGCCACGGCTGTCTTGATCACTCTTAGTGGTCTTGGTGGTATCTATTCATCCCTAGTTTTTCGACAACAGGTTCGTGGAAACCCCTAAATGTATAGTCATAGACTGACTTAAAGATAGGATGCCCCCGATTACATACCTGGTATAATTGCTGTGATGGCAATTTGCGTCGCCGCTGTTGTCGCCGCCTGTATCTCCATAGTTCTCTTGAAATTGGAAAATCGGCGTGCAGTTGAAGGTAAAAGGATTATAGATGGTCATGCTGATTTCCGATACACCATTTAAGATGGTTAGAATAATAAATTGATATAGGTCATAAGAATTATTAATACAATATCCACTTTGCTTCGGTATATTTATTATATTCTAGTGGGCCGTCATAGTCTAGGAATCTGAAGCTAGCATAAACCAACTCCACTCAGACCACGATGCCCTCAGTATATATGAGATGTGACACAAAAAATTTTCATCCAAGCGGGTCAAAGAGAAAAAAATGAACTTGGTTCATGTTTAAGCTCCTAACTGGAATTGAACCAATGTTTTCGGAATCAGAATCCGACGTCCTAACCACTAGACTATAGGAGCTGCTTTGCTTGATGGATGACGGATTATGTTATTTTCTTTAATATTTCAGTCAAAAGCATAGGTAGTCACTAACTACTACTAAAGTCTCGAACCTGGAAAGAGGCATAGCACATCCTTATCATTACTGCAAGCTGTAGCTGGACATGTTGAAACTTTTATTGTTTTTCGTATGTACTTGGACATCTTCGTCGTCCCGGGCTCGGTGCCAGTTATATTGTCATGTTCTCACGTGCGCTTGGCAGCGTTACTCGTAATAACCAGGTACATCTCGTAAATCACCACGAGGGGTATACGGAGTTACGATTGGAATGACTGAGAGGCTTAGAATTAGCAAATAGTTTATTTGGTTAGGTATCCACGAAAATAAAACTCCAATTGATGCTACCTTTCATCCACTAGAGCCTTAAGAAGGCTGGAAACAGAGGCTAATATCAAAATCATACTTACAATCTCGATCCCAGGCCCACCGTCGGGCATGCTCCTCGGACAGCTCTCCGTTCAGCATTTGAACTACGTACTTTCCAATGACGGGGAGGAATTTGTAGCCATGAAAAGAACCGCCGGCTGCGATATACAAGTTCTCTGACGCCGGATGTGGTGAAATGATCCAATCTTCGTCTGGCGTAGCGATGTCCCTATATCGACACGGAAATATTAGCCCAACTAAATCCTTTCCACCCAAACTTCCAAGGAGATTCGGTTGGGGGGGGGGGGGGGGGGGTTATCAGAAGGGAAAGCTAGGGCCTACCAGCAAAGTCGATACGACTCAGGAGTCATACCCTGCACCGAGTTCCCGAAGAACATATCTCGGACATTTGCCGAATTCGCCTTCAGCGCGTCTGGGAGGTCTCGTGTCCACGTCATACGGCCGCTTTTTGAGAGCGGTGGAACTGAGATCTCCTGCTTCGACGCTTTGTTGTAGGCATTGCGGGTGTATGGGAATTCGTGCGTACACTTCGCCAAATCGGGGCCACCGACACTTCCAGGCGGTATACACTCGGCTGGGTACCTCACTATAGTTAGCATACTAACACGTAGCATTATAGATCTAGATATGGACGCTTTGGGATCCCTGTTATTGAGAGCGACACACCGGGAAAGTCTCCGTAGGGGTGAACGAGAACTGGTGCGTCTTTAAACATGTCCAGTCCGGTGTCGCCGCGCGGGACCTTGAACAAGCACATCAATACGGCTGCTGCTTTCATTCGGTCTCCGGCGTGGAGGTCTGGATTTTCAGGGGCACTCTCTGCGAGGAGCCATGGCGTGTAAGCGCCTGAGGACAAAACGATACGTCGGGCGGGGAATGATCTGCCATCTGTCGTTGAGACGCCAGTGCATGTACCATCCGAGTCGAACTCCAGCTTCGCTGCGGTGCCGACTTCGTACCGGACACCCCTATTAACAGCGGCTTTAATAACGGCTTGTAATGCCCCAGCTGCGTCGGCCCATCCGGCTTCCGGACTTAGTATACACTGCTCGGCCCCGCCCTCAAAGCGGCAGCTCTCGAGGAGCGGGAAGCGGACACGCGTCTCATCCAAGCTTAAGATTTTCAGCGGTGCCATTCCGGGGCCTAGTAGGGCCTCATAGTTATCCACGAGCGTCTTAGTCCTGGCGGCTGTGATAGACCAGAGCGCCCCTGTCCGATGGAAGAAGGGCGTGACGACGGGATCTGCCTGAGACCACGCCTCCTTGGCTTCGAGTGCCAGCTTCATGTACATCGGGTCATCATATTCCGCCCTTATGATCTTGTTAAAATCGTGCGCAGCCGCAGCCGGGTCCGGGAACGGCGCCTGGTCCAGTAAGATCACGTCGGTGTTAGGGTCCGTCTCCTTTAGGAATTTTGCCGTCGATGCCCCGAAACATCCGGCGCCGATGATTAGGGTTGCCATAATAAATCGCGACTAACCTTAGTTGAATTTATTTGAAAAGAAGTTGTACTTATTTTGCTTAATGTCTGTCACTGTACATAGAACTGAGGTTGTAAAGAAATCAAGATCGGCAAGGGTTAAGAATAAGAAGATAAATTTTGGTATGGCTAGTATTAGATGAGAGACCTGCATGTATTTAATAAACCGCGAGGCTAAAGATATTCCCCCTGAATTGTATCTCGTCAAATTTGGAAGTATAAGAGGTAGTGACTGGAAACAAGCTTCTTCCGTGTCAACTAAGGGGGTATCAAGAAGCGGGGTTTACACCATATTCAATGCTCCTCTATTTGCATGCATTTGGAGATAACTCTTATTCGACAACTCATACCCTTGCTATACGGTCAACCTGCCGTCTTGTGTGCCGCAGTGACACATCATCGTTTTAGGTGTATTGTTGATGTGGTATATGACGATAAACTTATCATACTAACATTATGAGGACACAAGTTTGACGGGTTTATACCTATGGAAAGGATCGGATAACAAATCCTGGGAAGCTTCAGATCCTACACGAGATGATTTACTATCCCCATGGAGGCATGAGGCATTATTACTCAAAAGCCAGCTTACACATGTATATTTATTTATTCATTTTATATCTAGCAATTCCGTTGATTAAGCTAACATTTCTGCAGAGAGTACGATGCCAAACATTCCATCTTTCTCAAACGCCGTGCGTGAGACCGTTGACCTCACCAGTCCTAATATTTGATTAGCTCAAATCAAAACCAGCTCCGGATTGGATAGCGTAGAGCAGTTTGCTTCTTAGAGTTTCCTTTGAACTATACCGCGGTAACTTTAGGAGATTGACGCAGGTACTTGTACTTGGCAATCTCTCCTCGTCAGTGCCGCCATCTCTGATGCTAAAATGGGGACTCAGTTGAGAGAAGCCTAGTAATGGTGCTCGTGGCGTCGATGTGACGTACTTGAGCACCTCGCGTCGCTGGGGATCCTTAAACTCGCGCATCACCTGCCAGAACATCTGCACGGTTGGGTGTTCCATCCCATCGTCACCTACTGCGTAGAGACCAGAGTACTGGGTATTACGTCGAAGATCTTCGACATCAATCTCCGAGCTGTCTCCACCAACAAGTCGTTGAAGTTCTGACTGGTTGAACATAGACAACCACGAGGGGTTGATGATGGATCCTAGGCCCTTGAGGAAAGCTCTAGTTTGTCGATAGGGTTGTGCTACGAGCCGATGGTTTACAACGTAAGATATGTAGAGGGGGCGGTTCGTGTTTGTAACAGAAATGTTCTCGCCATTTTTGCAGAGCGGACGCGTAATGGTGAGTGTGTTACCATCGATTGTCGTGACTTGATCCGTAATAGTAAAGTCTAGCGCAAGGTCAATCACCTTGCCGGAAAAGTTTTTGAGACTGATGAGTCCTTGATACAGCTCTGGGTCTAGATCTCGTAGATCGTTTAGGTTGGCACGGTAATCATTGAGTGAACCCTGCCCTGATGCTGACCACTTGAGAAGAAAGAAGCCAGCAAAAGCTTTGTCGATAAGGATGCCTTCGTACATGCATTTCCCAACCACACGGCCGAGGAATTCATAACGTTTAGCGAGATTGACCATGGCCTCCTTCCACTTCATATCACTTTCTGTAAACCCATGACTACGAAGGAGCTGTGCATGATTGTCAAATGTGCTCGGATTTGGATACAACAGATTTTGACTGTTAGTAGCGAAGAGGCCACGGCCGGAATTGGGGTTAAAGGCCTCGTCGGTGATGCTAATCAAGAACTCCTTTGTAACACCGCCGCCGTCAATCCCAGCTTCGGCCTGATCAAATTGGTCAACAAATGTAATTTGGATAGGTTCCTTTAATCCATCACCGAGAGCGTAGAACTGCTCGTATGCGTCATCAAACACCTGCCCACGTTTAACCCTAGCCGAGTGGCGGCCAAGAATGTCTCTGCCTCTAACAGAAGGGCCATTAAACCCGCCTTCTCCTGAGAGTACTGACAAACGCCACCGATCGGGGTCGACGTGACCACCCCTGCGTTTCGCCTTATCAAGATATACGAATTGACGAAATATTTGAACCCTAACCTCAAACGGGATAACGAATGGCATGTTGCGGAGAATTTCGAGCTTGGGTCCGACCTGGGCTAGCAGTTGCTCTCGTTGGACTCTTCGTAATCGGCGGCGCCTCTCAAGCTGTGCTGCTCGCGAAAGGCGCTGCCCTGTAAACGTGTGGAAAGTGTTAAGCGCATCGTCGTCAGAGTTGTCCGAATCATCTTCATTTTCAGCCATCTGAGATTTTTGCTGTTCTTCTAAGACGACCGCCGATATAAACCCGTCCATATCGAATTTCGAGGTCATCAACCAGAAGTCTGAAGGAAGAAAACGTCGGCGAGAATCTCGTTCGTATAATGAACGCATGGTCGTTGTAGACGCAGCCCTAAGACTCAAAACGTCCATCCCAATAATACCAGCAAATGAGGATTGGGTATCCTTGGGCTCTTCCTCTTCCGTGGTTGATTTGCTAGAACTAATACCCATGAGACTATTCAGTCGAGTCGGCCTTGCGGTAGACGGCATAATGTCCGCTAGGTTATAATAGAGTGGAAATGAGAGGCTCTTGAGGAAATTGATAAGTTGTTTCAGCTCATTCAGACTGAGACTGCTTGAACGTATTCTCGACGTTGCAGGACTCTGGTGCAATAATATCTGATTTTCCGGAGGTAGGAAATCTTCGTCATCGGTAACCCGGAGAAGGAAATTATATAATTCTAGAAACAGCAATATAGTTCTCCACTCTCTGTCACGTACATGGTCTGGCTGGAGAAGTGTAACGATTGCTGCTGACTGCTGCTGAGTCCTAGGCTGCGTGATAATCTTAAATATGCTTGTATTCGAGGCTGCCTGCCAGAAATACTTGACTGAAGGTGTTGATATGGGAGTAGCGGGGCCGACTGTGGAAATGTCGCCTTGGAAGAGTCGCATTTTGATGTCGTCACTATGGCTTGGAAAACATCTAAGCAGGACTAATGTATAGCCAGCAAGAAGACTCGCATCTTCGGAAAGGCGGTCAGGAGAGACTGCGGTCCTAAGTTGTGTTAGCATATGACTCATGCGTACTTCAAATCTTGGCCACGAACGATATAAATCTACTTAGCAGATCCGAGATACCGTCTTCATCTACGAGGAAGTCTAGTTGGCTTAGCACCCAAGTAGATAATGGAGCTGAGTCTTCGGCATCATCGTCATGTTCGGAGGTATCGCCACTACCATCTTCGGCCTCATTTCGGGTATCGTGCCGATCATATCGTACCCGGATATCATCAACAAGGATGGATAGCTGGAGATAGAGCGCCTCAAGGTAGTTGGTCCCGTATGAGGAGGAAGCTGCCCTATTTAAAGCGATGAAGTGGGCTAGGAGACAGAGAGCACCATTCTTTGACAGGGTACTAACACGCTCATGTCTCGAGATACTATCTATGATACTCTGTGACAAAAGTTGAAGATCTACATAGCTTGCTATCCGTGCAGGGTCCTGTTGAAAAGATAGAAGATTCGATGAAGTGAGGAAGGAGAACGCAAATGCCTGGTAAGCTGGTAATAGGGATACTCCTAAAAACGGTCAGATTACACCACGAATGGGATATATCGAAACGATTAAAATCAAGATATAGCTTTGCTAGACTGTAAACTTACGTACCTTGTGTAGATGGTATGAGAGGGGCCGTAACCGCTCTGGCAACGATATCCAGTTCTGCTGTCGAGTTGGGACCCCCTTGTCCGTCCCGCTGAGAGTACGTGGAGATGAGTTTATAATATCGGTGAATGACGGAAGTAATGGAATGTGGTCTTTTGCTGACAATAAGAACCAGAATGTTGAGAAGATCTAATGATGAACTAGCTGGTCGGCTATATCACGAAATGTAAGCAAGGAATATATAACCATGATTTGAGCATGCACATACCTTTCTAGAGCTCTTATGATGAGAACTGCTAATCTATCCCAAGAATTAGGATTGAAGAGAGCCAGATTTGAAGCAGAGTTTAGGCTAGTCAAATCCTGAACTAGTAGATCTAAACGTTTCTGATCGTCTGGTCGTACTGGATCGAATAGGATATGGATAAGGGGTAGGGCACTGATCACTCTGGTTGGAACGGCGTGATTCAGAGGTTGGTCGTATAGAGCATCAAACTCTTCTCGACATTTTTGTTTAAAGCTTTGTCGATCTTTATAACCTCTCCATACCCTTTGCAGTCTCTTAGCAGCATTTAACTCATCACGTTCTCTCTGTCTCCTTTCACGTTCGATCTGCGCTTGTGCTACTGTTTTGGAGGCGCCAGAGCCAGAAGGTGACCAGCTTGGTGCAGCCCAAGGGTTTGTATTTCGCTGACCGCTCAAGTTGACGTTTCGCGGTCGCCTGGAAGTGCCGGTAAAGTTTGGGAACATGATGAATGTGTTGAATGTGGGGGAGCTGCAGGAGCTGCCTAGACGTCTGAATGAAGCTCGGGTTTCGTCTTTTCTTCTTAAGACAGGTCAAGAGAGATGTAGAGAAATATAGTAGATGGTGCTCTATCTACCAAGTTGCGTGAATCGACATGGCTTGGCTTATTGTGACTACGGTGGCTGTCGTGGGAATTTGGGAGTTGGCTTGTCGTATTTGACGTAATAGCTGAATAGCTGAATTAGGACAACCGTAGTTAACTGCTTAGATTCTGGAATGGCAAAAAGGAAAGATTAATGGAAATAATGTAAGCGAGATAGCCTAGGTAAGTTGTGCCGGCGTCCGAAAATGCGCAAAATCAGTACGCGCATTTGCGTAGATCGTGGGATGGGAAAAGATGCGAGAGAGATGCAAGATGGATATGCGCTTCAACGGCTTAGTAAGGTAAGGTAACCTACCTCTATGGTATCTATTGTACATACATATATGTTAGGTAGGAGGCAGGTGGTACCTATCGGTATACTGTACCGGTATTTTGGTATGTTGTACCAGATGTTGATCGGTCAGCCGTTTGGTTGTTGGTTGTTTTGTTATGCGTGGAATCGAGTTTCTATTCTGTCGTCTTCTAAACGCTGATGAGCTTTAGGTGCTTCCCAGCGCCAGCAACGGCACGTCACAGGGCGGTTATCGTTACCCTCTAGCACCCACTTGTAGTACCGAGTACCGTTACGTAGACCTATGGGTCGATTTAAGCAGGCGGGGTGATCCCTGGTAAGGAATGTACATACCCAAGGTACCTATCCCCTCCGCAAACCGATAAGATAAGCTACCTAGGTATCTAAGTAACATATCCACTTATATAAGGGGGTACCTATAAACCCTTCTTTCCATTTCATGGACTTCTGTTACCACCGACTTCTGTAGAAAACCTATTATATATATACAACCTGGATTTTGGAAATTCTGAAATACCTAACATTAATATTCGATGTTCAATGCTCAATATGGCTTTTACTAACAGGAGTAGTTATACAAAGTGTATAAACTAGGTATATCCCATGTTATGATGAAAGCAGGTGATAGTACCTAACTATATCATCTTGAGAAGATATTACCACCAGTACTTAGCGCATGTAAGTCCAACACACTGAGCCTACACATATGTAAATATTCTGTCTGGTCTATTCTATATCCTGCTTAGCAAGCCTACCGTTTAACTACCTAGGTGGATAGCTTACTTATGTGGCGTACATACATATATGTAAGAAGACCTACATCTGGGTACCTACTTTTGAGTAGCAAGATTCAGCTACGGCATAACGCCTCGAATATAGGTAGACGCTGTCATAAACAGGTAATGTTGAGGTAGTACATGTATAGGTACCTAACGCATTTGTGACTTTTTAGTCTTGGGTTCAGTCTATCTGCAGTTCCACAGCATTAATTCCCCCTCCTCGAGCTTTTGTGACACTACGAGACTATACCATTCCTAGGATGACTGCAGCCAGTGGTTTGCCAGTTCCAATTTTAGGCGTAGATTGTTGCATACAAAATGGGTATATGGTTAAGTACCTAACTTGTGATAAAGACTATGGAATCACCAAAGTTAACTGCTTACATACACATAGATACACATGTGTTATATAGTTCCTAGATAATTAACACTGGGGGTTTACAGGTTAGTCTTTTTATATTAACAAGCCGCCAATAACTGCAAAAGAGATAGGTAAAAGTCGTTTTATATAAGCCACTAACCGACCTAAAGGTGTAAAATCTCGATTAAATCTAATTGGCTTAACATATTTCGTCCATACTTAAGGTACCTAAGTACCTATCTGAGTTACGTTTGTCATAAAGTCAGAAAGTCAAAATTTGCCGAGGGGCTAAAGTACTACGCCTAGGAAGGTACGGAAGGTACGGTACGGAAGGTACGGTCGAAAAATACGGCTGGTAGGTGCGATATTGAAACCTTAAAGTGCTGAAAATAGCTTGGTGGAAGACCCACTATTTATGGTCGAAATTTTTTGTGTGGTTGATCGCAACCAGAGAGGCACAAAAAATCTTCAAGATCTCAAAAGACGAACGGACCCTCTCCTTCTTTCTTTCTTCCTTTTCCCCCAACGACTTGACAACTTTATCGCCAGCTCGTCACCCAAAAACTTTGAAAAAATTTAAAAAAGAGATTCAGTTATAAAGTACGTGCTTCCTAGTTCGTACTTCGTTTCTGTTCTCGCCAAATTCATTCAGAACAAAAACACCAAAAAAATTCGGAAAACTAGAAAATCCACCATCTGCTAAGCACCTCAACTTACATTCGACCCCATCCATCGAAGCGCATTCATCCTCCCTTCGACCCTTTGAATAGGCACCGTTGTCAATACTCGCGACCTATTCATTCATTCACCACTCCCCACCACAGGGTAAAAACAGTGACTGCTAAAAGCTCGAGTACGTTTAGGCTTTTAGATTATCATCACTTTCCTTTGAAGTCTTGACGACAACCTTTGTCCGACTTGGTCTTCATTCTCTCGAAATCATTATTCCTTGATCACGAGAACGTAATATTCTTGCAGCTCTCTTTAATTGCTTGGTACGCTTTTCCCCCCCTTCCCCTCGTCTTTGCTCAACGCATCATAATCAAATCAAACCCGACTTTTGACGCGACTTTGCATATGCGCTTTAAGAAGCATTCGCACTACATTTTTATTGCTTTTATCGTTATTACGCTAACATTTCTTGTGCGACTTTCTAGTCAATTAATTTTCGTCACGATGTCTGCTGCTGCTCCTATCTCCGGCGCTGTTGACCAGCTTGCCGCCGACCTTGGCAACACCTCTCTTAACGGTGGTGATGCTAAGCCTGCCTCTATCAACACTAATGTTGCTTCCGACGCTCACGGCGATGAGGGTGATGCCGCTGCCGCCACCCCCAGCTCCGCTCAGACCCCTCACCCCGCCGCATCTGCCTCCCTCTACGTTGGCGAGCTTGACCCCTCGGTCACTGAAGCAATGCTCTTCGAGCTCTTCTCTCAGATAGGTTCTGTTGCCTCTATTCGCGTTTGCCGTGACGCTGTCACGCGTCGTTCCCTCGGATATGCCTACGTCAACTACAACACGACTGCCGATGGCGAGCGAGCTCTTGAAGAGCTTAACTATACCCAGATCAAGGGCCGCCCGTGCCGCATTATGTGGTCTCAACGTGACCCCAACCTGCGCAAGAGTGGACAGGGTAACATCTTTATCAAGAACCTCGATGCTGCTATCGATAACAAGGCCCTTCATGATACCTTCGCTGCTTTTGGTAACATTCTAAGCTGCAAAGTTGCCCAGGACGAGAATGGCAACTCGAAGGGATACGGGTTTGTGCATTACGAGACAGACGAGGCTGCAGCTCAAGCTATCAAGCACGTTAATGGAATGCTGCTTAACGAGAAGAAGGTCTACGTCGGCCATCACATCCCCAAGAAGGATCGTCAGAGCAAGTTCGAAGAGATGAAGGCGAACTTCACCAACGTTTACGTCAAGAATATTTCACCTGACGTTACCGATGATGAATTCCGAGAGCTTTTTGAGAAGTTTGGGGACGTCACTTCGTCCTCGTTGGCCCGCGACAATGAAGGAAAGTCTCGTGGCTTTGGCTTCGTTAATTTCACTACTCACGAAAGCGCAGCTAAGGCAGTCGATGACCTGAACGGCAACGACTTCCACGGTCAGGATTTGTATGTCGGTCGTGCTCAGAAGAAGCATGAGCGCGAGGAGGAGCTGCGTAAATCCTACGAGGCCGCCCGTCAGGAGAAGGCCAGCAAGTACCAAGGCGTGAATCTTTACATCAAGAACCTTGATGATGATGTCGACGACGACAAGTTGCGCCAGATGTTCTCGGAGTTTGGCCCTATTACCTCCGCAAAGGTCATGCGTGATTCTGCTACCGAATCTGATGACGACAAGGATGGCAAGGATAAAGAGAACCAGAAGGAGGAAGTCGACGAGACCAAGGAGGAAGGTGAAAAGAAGGAGAAGAAGTCGGACAAGAAGCTTGGCAAGAGCAAGGGCTTTGGATTTGTGTGCTTTGCTAACCCTGACGACGCCACGAAGGCTGTGGGTGATATGAACCAGCGCATGATCAACAACAAGCCTCTATACGTAGCACTAGCTCAGCGAAAGGACGTTCGGAAGAGCCAGCTTGAGGCTAGTATCCAAGCTCGCAACCAGCTCCGGATGCAGCAGGCTGCGGCGGCGGCTGGCATGCCCCAACAGTACATGCAACCCCCCGTCTACTATCCCCCCGGTCAGCAGCCAGGTTTCCCTCCCCAGGGCGGTCGTGGTATGCCCTTCCCCGGAATGGGTATGCCCGGTGCTCAGGGAGGCCGTCCTGGACAGTTCAACCCTAACGCTTACGGAGGTCCCCAAGGTGGACGTGGCGGGCCTATCCCACAGCTGCCTCCAAACATGTATATCCCCGGTCAATTCCCGCCTGGCGCTCCGTACGCCCAACCCGGAACTCCTCAATTCATAGCCGCAATGGCACAAGTGCAGCAGGCCACGATTGGAGGTGGTCGAGGCGTACCGGCCGGTCGTGGACCGATGCAAGGCATGCCGGGCAACATGGGCATTCCGGGCGGACCAGGTGGTATTCCTGGCTACCCCCCCAACGCTCGACAGGGTGGCCCCGCTGGTCGTGGTGGACAGAACCAGCGGAATGGTCAGGGTGGTCAGTTCCCGCCTCAGGGTGGACGTGGTGCCCCTAACCAACAAGTGGGCGGTGCTCCGAACGTGCAGCCGCAACAGCAGCAGCAGGATCTAACCCCGGCCTCGCTTCTTCATTCGCAGCTGCAGGCTCAGTCTAACAACCCCCAGCAGCAGAAGCAGATGCTAGGTGAACTCATCTTCCCTAAGATCCAAGCTATCCAACCCGATCTGGCAGGCAAGATTACCGGTATGCTTTTAGAGATGGACAATGCTGAGCTGGTTAATCTGTAAGTTGAAACCCCCTTTCCCCTTTGTTACGCAACTTTTCTAATATCTTTCAGGATCGAGGATAACGGCGCTCTCCAATCCAAAGTTGAGGAAGCCATGGCTGTTTACGACGAATATGTCAAGACTCAAGGCTCTAACGACGTCGAGGCTGGAAAGAACGAGGAAAAGGCCGAGGAAAAGGCATAAGCAAATACGCAGATGTCCACACCCCGAAGATTTCTTCGACGTACTATTCCGCCGGTATGGATTCCTCGTAATGTCCGGATGATTTAGAGCGTCGATTCTTTTTTCACGACGGGATTCGGAAAAGTTATGATTTTGATGGTTCAACGTCCTGGCGCGGACGATACGGTATTGATTTTCTTCATTCCTTTTCGCATCTTATCCTTCATGCCCTCTACGACCATCATGTCTTTTTACGTCGGAATGGATCTCTTCCTCCTCTAGGTGCTGCCGCATCTAGCGTCCGGCTCAAGAGATATTCTTCTCGTACTATTTGCATGTATTGATAGACTATTTGCTCCTCGCTCAGAGCACGGGCCGGAAGCTAGGGTTTCGGTCATCAGGCGTTTGTGGTCACAGTCGGTCAGCTTCATGGTAATTGATGACCTGGCACCGAACGGAAATCAGGCGGCACCAATGATTCTGATACAATACCCCCTCCCCTACGGTTGCCGAAAGGGACATCTCAGAATGAAGCAGAGGTTATTCTAAATAGGAACTTCTGGTAATGAACAAAAATGATTTCTTGCACGGTGATAATTCCTAACTTGCTTGACGATACGTAATTATATAAATTGCGCTGCGACGCGGCGGGCTTACGGGAGGAGCCATACGAGGAGGTATGTATTAATCACACCACATATGCAGTTGGGGTTATCCAAGGGACCGTGGCTATGCTACAGAAATTTCGATGCCGGAACACATGCCGCAAGCAGATGCGGAGGCTGATATTACGAACCATGCAACAGTAGGTAGTAGAGGACCGCATAGCATATTTAAAGAGGTTGCTATATACATATTGTAAGTGATGACATTCCATAGAGGGCTGTGGTTATTACATGTATTCCGCAGCACCACTTATCCAACCGTTCATAACAGGTCACAAGGAGAGAAGGGAGAAGGAGAAAGAGAGCGAGAACGTACTTGTATATACTACTACCTGAGGTAAGGAGTCTCCAGCTGGTATTAGAATGAACCGGTCATTCTATTACGTATAATAAGTTAAGACTATTCATCTATAGAAGGCCTTGATCCATCCAGATTATCTATTATCTTGAAAGCTCATGGTCATTTACCCCTTCCCCCCTTTTCCGTTAGGTATTCAAGGCCCTTCGGTATTCTTTCCGTACCTATGGACAAGGAAATGCCGAGACTTTACGTCTTACCTATAGGCATTATATATTGTCCTGCCTATACGGACGTAGTACGATAGAGAGAGAGCAGCCAATCGAATTCAAGGCTGACGATAGCCGCTGCAGCATGTATTGTACCTTAATAGTTAAGGAAGCCCTCTGACGCGCAGAGAGGCAGTCAGGACCAGGGTTCAACAGGGTGGATCTAGAAGTGGTCTGATAGGATGATCTGCGTACGTACTAAGATCGAATGCCACATGAATTATGAAGTCGGTATCTGGTACGTCGGTTAGGTATATCCCACATTGATTTAGCTGTTTAGCCACTTGCAAACGAATATATCCGCGTACTAGTACCGGACAAAGATGTAGATTCCCTAAACCACCCGAATATATCTTAATGCATTCTGCTAAGGCACAGAAAGTTGAGTATGTACCTACCTAAGGTATATTATCAATTTTTTATTTTCGCATGTGTTACTACTTATATGCATGTGTTGTCTACTTGCCGTATTTAATAGTGTACGCGTGGATGTTACTACTATTACATAATTGAAGTAACGAAATAATAACACCAAACGGAAACCAACCCAAGCAGCCCAAGAAAAAAATAGTGGGCACGCTGGGCACGACAAGGCAAGCTTAGGTAACTTAGTAACCCCTAGGTCCCCAGGTCCTTCCCCCCCAAAATCCTCATAAACATCCTTCTAGACCCCTCTTCTCCTCTCGTCACGGTCATCATATCTCCCTTTTTAACATCAATCTTTTTACCCTAAAGGTCTTGGCAAGTAAAGAAGTGAGGCCTCCTTTCTATTCTATCTGTTCCGTGTCCCGAGTTCCGATTTCTTCTTTCAAACTGCTATGTACTGTGTTGTGGAATATCCCACAAATATATCCTACGCAGCTAACCACAGTTAAATTCAGCTAAAAAAAGACCCCACATCATCTGAACTGAAGCTCGAACTTTTTTGCCCCATCGTTCCTTTCCGTCAACCTACCCGCCTACCCACTTGTAACCACTCACAAGTTGGTTCCAATCCACCAATTCCAGCCTCCTACCTGAACCTAGAAACCCAATTTTTTGGCTAGTAGCCATGCGCAGAGGGTGAAGGCTCGGGTCTAGGTCGAGACAAACAACGCAATAACCAGAAAGATCTTCAGCGCACAATGATCTTCTTCCGTCTCCATCGAAGACGCCCATTTATTATCCCACGATAACATCAATCCGGCGTTTCTCGATTACTACCTTTTTTATACTCTTTACTAGCCTAGGAATTCGTCATAATACGCGTTTGGGCTTATTTATCGACGTGACTCGAAGCTCGTTTCTCGAACAACCCACTTCTAGCCGACGTCTTCGATTAAACACCCCTCGATTCGATATCTGTATTTTGTAAACAAGGACTAACTTCCTCGAATTGCCACCAGCGCGACTACGTCAAAACATCTATTACAATGTCAAACGGTAGGAAGTTGATGTCCCTCGAGGCAGCGCTTGAGGAGGAACGGAAGGAGGTCGAGAGTCTAATGTCGTCGCTGCAACAACCTAGAAGAGCTCCGTCGGTTGGTCACCGATCTCCTTCTCCATTTGCGAGTCCTCGATCGCCTGTTCGAAGCATGCTAGACATTGGCGAAGTGTCTAGAAATGCAACTCGTAGCCCTCCAATTCGTAGCATGCTAGACGTCGATGGTCCTCCAATCCAGACGAGAAGCATGCTAGATGTTGGCAGACCGTCTTCCAATGTCCCGAAAAGCACGCCTGTTTCACCGACACTCTCTTACAAGGCCCCAGCTTTGGACAATCCGAGTCGTGGTAGAAGTATGTCGGATGCTGCCTCGACTCCCGTTGTAGACCTTGGGCCGCGGTCGTCGCCTCTGCCGAGTCCAAGGAGCACTGACCCAACATCTGCCTATAAGTTTCATGATATACTGCCAACCAATGTCGGCCAATCTATGCCGATCAGACGTGGTCAAAATGCCATGCGATCAAGCTCTATAGGTGAAGCGCTTCGCGGACCTGACTTATCCAACCTAGTGCTTCCTGGAGAACACGGGCGCTTTTCAAGGAAAACCAACAAGTCAAAGTCACCTAACAACCGTTTTAATCTGCGTTCAAACTCGCCATTCGGGAACCCTTCTGGGCGCAATCAGACACAGGACATTATGATGACCAATGGTCAGGTATTGGACATGAACAATGCTTATAGGAAATTGTCGGATGCCAACTTACTCTATGGTGGCTCTAACTTAGCATCCTTGGCACGTAAGAGGCAAGACAGCGAGGGGCACGGTCGAATAGAAAAGGACAATCTAAGTCCTTACGGAGAACTGCTCCCAGATGAAAGTGATGACGACGTTGGGAACTCGTCCGACGAAGAAATGCAAAGGGGGAGAAAACTCACTCCGCGCGCTAAGTCGCAAGATTCTGAAGATGGGAACACAGCTAAGAGTCTACTCGCTGCTATTGAAGATGAGCGTGAGTCCACTAACACACGATATATTTCCAAAGGCTTCAAAACCACTAACAGCATCATTAGGAAAACATGTCAATGCTACTCAACCTCAGTACAGATCACTCTTCGATGAGCCCGAGATTACAATTACAAGTCCCGGAGGAGATAAAGGGAGGCTGAGCAAGGGTGGAAAGCCAGTCGTTCAACCGTCCACTAGTTTTGATCAGGAACCTCTGTCTGGCACCCAAACGCCCTTCGACCCAGATCTAGATGCCGACGTCGATGCTATCAAAGCTGCACAGGGGCTACAATTATCCTCTACCCCAATTCTCTCGACCCCTGAGGTTCACCGCTCCCTCCGTATTCTCTACCGTGGTGAATTTACCAGAATACAGCGAGAGGCAGAGGACGAACACCGGCGCTTACGCAAGTACCTAGTGGCGACGGATCTTAGTGATGAGTCTACCCACGCGTTGGAATGGGCCGTCGGAACCGTGCTTCGCGATGGCGATACACTAATAGCTATGTATTGCATGGATGAGGAGGCCAGTGGATCGGTTGATGCCAGCAATATGGTACCAGACGAACCCAAGGCGATGAAGGAGCAAGCGATGGCCATTAGCGCAATTTCCAAGGGCATGTCCAGACCCTCGTACCGTACTTCTAGTCCCGGCCCGTTTAAGATGCAAGGATCTTCGATGTCACCGCATATCCGAGCTATCGACGGTGGCGGCAGCAATAATCCCTCTCCGGCGCCTAGTTCTCGCGGGAAAAGCAGATTACAAGAAGAGAGGGATCGAGCTGTTCAGGACATTACCGAGCGGGTCTCAAAATTGCTCCGGAAGACGCAGTTACAGGTACGGGTGATCGTAGAAGTGATTCATTGCAAGAATCCCAAGCATCTGATCACAGAGGTGATCGATATTTTGAATCCGACTTTGGTAATTCTAGGAAGCCGTGGTAGGAGCGCTTTGAAAGGGTAAGTTGAAGCATGCGTGTCTACAGATATACAGGATAAAGACTAATATGGTATCACAGGACGCTCCTTGGATCTTTCTCAAATTACCTAGTAACCAAGAGCTCAGTCCCTGTCATGGTTGCGCGTAAGCGATTACGCAAAAAGAGCAAATATCAACCACCGCCGGTGAAGCAAGTAAATAACTTGGCTAATCCGTCGGCAAGGAGTCTCGAGATGGCAAGAGTTGATTAGTCGTTTTAACAACGAACCATCAGCTAGACACAACCTTTACAAGGAACCAAGAACAGGGCCCCTTGCCATTTAGGAGGGGTAGGCAACGCCAACCCCAGAATGTGCCCCCAGACCGACGGCAACTATCTGAAGGATAGATACTAAGCAGGACGCAAGGTCCGAACAATCCTCTACTCGGTATATCTGCATCATACAAATCGAGTCGGTTCCTGGGTACCTATATGACTTGTCCGTCGGAGCGTTTATTCAGGGTTATGAAGCTATGAGCGTGTTTTTATCAGGTCGAGTTTCATCGGATAGGTAGTGATAGGAAAAAAAATCCATTACGTTCATTTCCCTCCGCCTCTAAGTAGCTATGATCGTGAACGTAGCATTATTCCAGGCGCTAACCTCATCTTCAAATTTCCAGCTGTAATGAATTTATGCGAATGGTATAGAAGGTACCTAAGGTAAGGATCGTCAAGCCGCCTGCGAACATCTCAGACGCGCCTAGTCCGGCGACGGCACGTCCTACCATCAGAGCGTTTGAAGTGGGAGCTAGCGCGCATACGAGGCTGCCAATCTCAAACACGAGAAGGCACGTAAGAAATGTATATTTCTTAAAGAAGAGGGTATAGGTTTTACCTTCGAGCGGCTCAGCCAGCTTGCGCATTTGTGCTCATGGAAGATATGGTGTTGGGTAGCGTTCCACGGAAGATATACCCAGGGATACAAGGGGAGAACTCACAGTGCTACCGTGAACATCGCGCCGTACTATCTTACGTCGCGAATCGAGTCGAATTGGGCTGTAATGACCGGGACTGCGGTAGTGATTAGGTTGAAATCCTATATTTTTGTCTTGTTAAAACTGCAGCTTTAGAAATATGGATTAGTAGGGGCTTAACGCCGATAGCTTCGTTCTTAGGGGCGATGTCCTGGCCGACGTCGTTTTCATTGCTAGCGTCATCTTGAGCGACCAGAATTTCTCCTTTCTTCTCGTGGTTGGCGTCTTCGGCGGACGTGCCGTCACTCATACTAGCAGTTACGTACTTTATTCGTCGGATTTTAAATCTTGAAGGATGAGTTGATAGACCAAGCGTCTGGCATGGTAACAAATGTGGAAAGGAAGATTAAAAACAGGACTTATAGGGTTGGATTTTACAATTTTTGGTTGAAAAATAAAATGAAGATATCTACATTAAGTGTGTCTTTGTTCTGTCTACAGGAGGGCTAGTTATTACTTGAGAAATTGACGATGAATTCATGGCTGTCGGATTTGTAACCCAACTTCTTGAGCTCATTTTATCTAATTTCAACGTTCCACGACTCTATACTGCCCATCCTAGGCCAGTCTTCTTCGATAATTAGAGGTCCAGTTGGTAACCTAAACGTACCGTTCCGTACCCCCCTGCTTGCCCTTACGAGGGAACCCCCAACCCCCCTCCCCTATGGCCCCTCCCTATGGGAAGTAAGGGGATACGTGCTCAACTCTTGATTGGCTGTGGTGCATAGATCTAGCTAGTATAATTGGCAGATCGGGATATAGAGGCTTAATAAAGACCTAATGGCTACATATTAAAGAATAAAGCATTTAACTGTTAGGTAGCTGGGGAGATATCTAGCTATTATACTAATAAGTTTGATTATTATCCAGCTATCTATATTGAACTCGCTTCCTACGAATTGAGCAACTAGTCAGCCCCTTTCTAACGAGTCTTGTAGTTCAATTTTATGGATATCATTGGGACTCCCATTACTAACAGCAGATATCTTATAATAGAATCTGGTGGATATATACAGTGGGGAGAGCCAAAACGGCAAATTTACGATTTGAGCCCACGAAACTAGAGAACAGAATCGAGAAACTGAAAAATTGTGGAGTTTGATGTCGGTCTAAGATCCACGTTTTTAGCTGATATGGACCGCGGAATTATCGCAGATTTTTGCAGCCTGTGGTTCCGTCGATATAGAGAAAGACACTGCGGATTTGCCACCTCATCTGGCTTTTATGTTACATAAATTGACGGCCATATATGGTGGAGGGTTCGACCTAATGAGATACATGTTTCAGGTAGCACAGGTTCTCGGAAGCAGGGTTAGCGAGGAATGTAAGTAAGATGAGCTGGATGGTAGGGGGTTTGGCTTGTTCATTCCTCGCTAAGCTATAGCGGGTTGATCAAGACTTGTATAGGATCCTGAGGAGTTCTTCTTTATTAAAATAAGGACCCGTCCAGAAACCTTTCGAACTCACCCCCCGGGGTTAGAGAGGCCACAATGGTGTCTCTTTACACCCGTATCCAAGTACTGAAATCCCAACGAGTTTATTGGAACATGGGACAACATTTGCGGTGACATCGTTACGCCAATCTATGTAGCTCTACCGTCATCTCTGGCCCACCAGCCCACTTACCCTATCCGGCATTACGGTGTGAAATGAAACATAACACTAGGCGATAAGAGTGAGGATACCACTGTGTCCAGGTGATATCAAGAGTAGAACTATACCTAGAATAGCCCTAGGAGCTACCTAGGTACATAGAGAATATACATGTTGTCATTTGATAAGGTCCAGGTACCTAATAATACAAACGGTGAACGGAATGATCTCATGACCGGGGTTTAGAATTCCCCAGGAATATATATCCCAAGTCAGGATACCTGTATTTTTGTGTCGTAGAAATAGGAAGAGTTGAAGATTTGAAGTTATAAAAGTCATGCTTTTTTAATCGATAGCATGCCTCTTGCAGGCTAGTAGGTAGGTTAGGAGATACCTAAGGTAACAATGCATTGTTCCGTCGGTGGTAGCGGGAGGATAGTTGAAACACTGCCGCATGAATTGAATTCACTTGAATGGAGGGGGGAGGGGGAGGGGAAGATCGAAGAGAAGGGAGAAGGAAAACTAGATACGTACCTAGATACCTTACAGCGGGTCTCGGTCGTAGGAAATGGCCGGGGTCAACCGGCACCTGGTCAACTGCGGGGTGATAAGTGATTCGATGGTGCGATAGCGCGATAAGATTCCACGTTATGGCAGCATGATGTGCGGGGTAAAAGAGAATGGTTAGAATAGCATGTACATACCTATGTTTGTACATAAGTTACGTTAGGATAACCAAACATCAGTAGTATGTACAGTATGTAAACAACTTAAATAGGTAATCTACAATAGGTCACCAGATCCAAGTTTGCTATTTATCCAATCATAATGCCATATTTACACAATGTTTATTGATTGAACTATATAAGACCTACTTGTGGTTTGTTGTTCGGGACGCGTCAAAGTGCTTGCAGCTGTAATCACGCTAAGATATGATTGGTTAGGTGGTGACCGTGAGCGATGATTGGTTTATGCAAGCACTTAACTCAACGACAACTCATAGGTTAAATATCTTGTTATGATTGGTCAAGAACTTATGATCGCACTCCTTCCGACGCTACCATGACAAGGGGGGGAGGGGTACAAAGTGACAGAGGAAGTTACCATATGTAGTTACTTAGGTACGGAAATATGTTACTGACTCACTTATCTTTTGGTTGTCTAAGTCACAGACTTATGTTGGTATCCAGGGAGCAAGAATCCCTTTCCTACATAGTGCCTGGGAGGGAGGTATATATACCTGGTAGGTAATCGACATACTATCATACTGTCGTACTTTCCCGTCCAAGTGCATTCCTAAAACAGGCTATTATAAAGTTTAAAGGTACTGACCCTTGCATTTGGTCCGTCGTACAGAGACCAGAAACGAAGTGAGTCCATTGGCTTAAAGGGCCTCTCCTGCGACATCCCGAAGGTGGGGGGTCTCAAAAGTGAGATCTAAGTGGCTAAGTGGAAGGAGTAACCAGAGAAGGTTGAGATGGTGCAGAGAGCTTCCCAGAGTTTCCCAGCCTCTTAATTTCGCACAGCTGTTCCTCTACATCCTCTACTTCCCGTCTTACCACCGGCCAAAGTTGTCGTTCATTCGTCCATTTTCCTTACCCACCTTACTGCGCTTTGGAACTTACCGGCGCAAACGAATCCGCCTCCCCTTTGGCTCGTAAGAGTCTAGCTACTCTCTTGCGCAATCTTTGGGACTTCATCTTCCGCGACGACATCGTTTGATAGGATCCTGACTACTGGTAGTTGAGTGAACGGCCTTTGCTACCATACTCAAAATACTCAAATACGTTCAAACAAGTCGATATTATAAGCGCGGAACCTTGTAGCTCAACCAAACCCACCAGGTACTTGCGAAATCGCACTGTTATCGTGTTAACCCCAGCGTTCAACTAAGCTGCCAGCCCAACCTACATACCGACATACCAACGTAACATACCTACCTACCTCCATACTTCTAGTCGCTTTAGTTAGCATCGCCGACGATAGCATTCCGGACGACTAGATTGAATACTCTAGACGACCCCAGAGCTTGCCTGGCCGGTCGCTTCCGATCTCAATGCGCCCCTTGGTATCTATAGAGACTCATAATCACGTATCACTTTTGAGCATTACCATTGCGCCTAGCACATTCCTCATCGCACTAGCCTTCACTTTCGCCTTTTTCTTCGTTTACCTTGTTTCAATCGGCCATATACCGCTACGGAACATTTTACCCGCCCGCTTTCCTCGGTTTTCTTTCAGGGTGCCGTCATCTATTATATCGCGACCGGGACCTCAAATTGAGGCGCTACCACGACGAAAGGCGCTGCCACCTATCCAAAGATCGCATCGACAGAAAGCTTTGCCAGCATTACCTGCGCCCGGACCAGTGACAAACCCAGAAAAGTCTCTTGTCCACCTGACTCCCAACCGGGCTCAGACTTCAACTCAAAGTTTGCGCTCGTTCTTTTCTTCGCGTACAAAATTAGCACTCCCAAGCCCGGCGCCAAATTCAATTACAAGTATAAGTAGTATTTCGAAGCCAACCAGCCAAAGTGCTCTTAAAGAAAATGACGTCTATATACTCCGAGAACAGTCGAGACGACACAAGCTTTGCGACTCCGATGTCACCGTCGCGACAGAAACTGTTCGGGTTCCCACCAACCCACTTAGGCTTTGGCTTCTCGGACGAGGACCTCGATCTCCAAGAAGAGAGCGACATGGACGACATGTCTCTGTCAGATCGTAACTATAGCCCGCCGGCATGGAAAAGGTTGGAGAATGGAGATCGATGGTACGGCAATTGGCGCGAGAGTAGGGACATCTTGGGTGGTTTCGACCATCCAAGGCGCATAAACCATACCAATAACAGCATCTTCCAGAATGATATATTCGAAGCAGCTCGTAGGACTCGCCTGCCAACTGGAAGTTTAAGTCCAGAAAAGGGGGTCACGCCAGAACCAGAAAGTCCTACTACAGAGGATGATACTCTCGTCAAATTGAAGAGTGAATCGCCAGCTAATGACCATTTAAATGGAGGAACGACACAAAACGGCGCAATAACGTCCATGTCGCCCGGTGCTTCCAGGGATAATTGTAAGGTTCAGCGAATTGATACGTCTGGGCGGGTATGCTGACTTCAACCTAGACATCCGATTAGCGCTGCGCGCTGATATCCAACAGCGAACGGAACCTATCGAGGCTGTTGTCAATTTCCTAAGATCAAAATCATGGGGAAACATCATTGTCGCAACCTTCATCGCATTCCTGTCAATGACTGCCATCCGGACGCTCTTTCAGCCCGCGCCACCGCGACCGTCGCCTGATCTGGTCAAGGTAGCAGGTATCGCGCGCTCCTTCGAACCATTGATCTATTACTCAGAAAATGGCGTCTCTCAGGTTGGCGACCTTCAAGCAACTGGTGTTGCTGTGTGGGATCTCGGCGAGAGTGTTCGGTCAAGTAACATGACATCGGCGCCTATCATTGTGAAGTCTCTCGATGAGCTCTCAGAAAGCTTGAAGACTCTGGCTATCGAGCTTACAAAGTTTTTCTCCAACGTTGACGGCGACATTGACAGTATACTAATCGTGATGGATTGGGCACGGCGAGAGCTATCGCAGGTGCAAGCTGTTCCAAGCCAGCCCCTCTCTACAGCATTTGCCAACATTCACACACTGCTCTCTGTGGCTGGCGTTTTTGAGAATCCAAACACAGGTATGCCGACGCGATTGGGTGATATAGCGACAACCATGTTCGGTATGTCGCATCCGCAGCGAACTCGCTACGCGCTTCAACGGACATTCACGGAATTCCTATCAGTCCTAGAAGAGGCTATCGAGAACGAGCTACACCACTCATTATCACTGTTCGCCCTTTTCGAAGCTATCGACCGTCAGTTCCTAAACTTGGCGCGTGTTGTCGTACGAGAGTCATCGCAACAAGACGAGCAGCACGCCGACTTCCTCTCTTCGTTGTGGACGCGTATTTTAGGACCCAAAGTAAGCGAGGTTAAGAAGTATGAGCGTAACCGCGAACTACTTCAGAATGTGCGTGAGAAGACAGTGCGCAACAAAGGGATACTGGTAGAACACAATGGCAAACTGCTTAGCCTAAAGGCCAACCTTGAGACTCTGAGACGGAAGCTGGTTTCACCGCTAGTACGAAGCGTAAACAGCAGCACTCTTTCTCTCGAGGAACAGATCAAAAGTCTCGAGGACGTAGGCGTATACCTCGAAAACTTACGCGCACGGCAGAGGGGCAAGCTAATAGAGATGGTACACGGTAGCGCCAGTGCTAGGGCTAGTATCTCGGGAAGCGCAAGGTTAATCGATAACCAAGGAAGTTGGGATTGATGGAGTTAAAGCGGGAATATAAATAAGGGTTCGGGCTGTCCTGTTGCTTATTGAAGCTCCGGAGTTAAAGCGATTCGTACAGGTTGTGCGGGTAAGTTCCATTTCATTCATATACCCACTATCTATCAAGGGACAATCTTTGTTGACTTGAACACGCAGGATACGTACATAGAGTGGACCTGGAAGTTCTGGTATGGTGTGTACAGGTGTACGGTATAGGGTGTACGGTATAGCATATTTACTAGGCCGGTTGGACATTGACTTGGAGTTTTTATTTTTATTTTTGCCTCGCTCGGCACAATGGAAGCGAAATATAATAGATATCACAAAGCATCGTTTTTGTGAAGCTCAAAAGTGGTCACTGCCGATAACATAACCCCTGAAAGGGATAATTCGGAGTATACGGAGAAGTTGTCGATGAACCACGTCTCAATTCTCCGTTCTAATCCGACGGCCATAAAACCAATAGAAGCTATCATATATCTATAGTATCTTACCCTTAAGTCTCCATTACATATGGGGTCATATTTTAGCCCGACACTGCACCAATACGCTATTTCTTCATGTAATCATGTTGAAAATCATTCCCATATTCCCATATTTCAATAAAAATAGTTCAAATAGTCTCCAGCGAAATGTTTACATAGGTCGTCTGTACGATGAGCTAAACTCCGGCCAAGATATTTCCTTACTTAACGTAGTTAAAGCAAACCCCAGAACGAGCGCTTTTATTTTGAAGGGCCGATTAAGTACTTAAAACACCAAAAAAAACGGGGACGGGGAATCACGGAATCCCGGAATCAACTGACGATAGGTACATTATTATGCGGCCGATACAGGCGGTAAGATAGTGTGGATGTCTTTAGTCACTTGGAAACATGCTGTTGGTTTGTATGTTCGATGGAATTTTCTCACTAAACTAATTACTAACCCAATCAGTAAAGATGCCATCCCCCCTATTCTCGTGAGATGAGTTTATACATGAGTATCTACCTAAATCACCAACCTACCTTATGTATACCTATATAATGCCTTGTGCTTTCGTCGTCAATGCATGCGAAACGTATCTTAAACCCGGGTATGAAACTATAATCATTAGTATGCTATAGCCTGTTGTCTATAGAATCCGTCGATAAAAACCCCATTGCTCGCCGCTACTCAAGTCGACTACGTTCATCGGGACTACTCTACTCACACATACTTCCTTGATTATCTACCAAACCTTGCAAACACCCCTATATTAACTCAAACATGGCCGCTCCTCAGAACAAAGGCACTATTCTCGTCACCGGCGCTGGTGGCTACGTCGGTGGACAGATCGTTAGGGAGGCCTTGGAGTCCGGGTATAGCGTACGTATTACGGCCCGTACAGAGTCTGCTGCGGCCCGTACTATTTCGCGCTACCCCTCCTATGCCGCTTCGCTTTCTTCTACTATCGTCCCAGACATAACGGTCCTTGAGTCCTACGCCGCGGCTTTCGCAGACGGGTCCATTGTGGGAATCATTCACGCGGCGTCACCCTTTACCCTTAACGTTGAGGACAATGTTCGCGACCTCCTTGACCCCGCTGTCAAGGGTGCGACGACTATCCTCGAGGCCGCGCTGAAGTACGGCGGCGGTAAAGTCCGGCGTGTGGTGTCGACCAGCTCGTTCGCTGCCATCGTAGACCCGGAGAAAGGCTTGAACCCGGGCTACTCTTACGACGAGAAGGACTGGAACCCCGTGACGTGGGACGCAGCGGTAAAGGCCCCGAGTCTCATCGCGTACGCGGCCAGCAAGGCGCTCGCCGAGCGCGCCATGTGGGCGTGGGTGGACGCCCACCCGGACGCCGGATTCACGCTGGCGACTATCTGCCCGCCGTGGGTATTCGGGCCATACGCGTACGAGATCCAGGACACGAAGACGCTAAGCGAGTCCGTGGTGCTGCTCAACAATATCATCGACAGCCCCTCCGTCCCGCCCTTCGACTTCGGCGCCTACGCCGACTCTCGCGAGGTGGCGGCCGCGCACATCCTAGCCCTCGAAGTCCCCGAGGCGGCCGGCCAGCGCTTCCTCGTCGGCCAGAACTTCCGGTACCAGGCGATAGTCGACGCGGCGCGGGAGGCGCTCCCGGAGGCCCGGGAACGCCTGCCGGTTGGGAAGGTGGGGGATTGGTCGCCGGAGGACGCGCACCGTGTTGATGGGTCTAAGGCGACTAAGGTGTTAGGGCTGAAGTATTTGACTTTGAAGGATACGGCTGTCGACACTTATAAGCAGTTGTTCAAGGCTAGGGCGTTGGAGGCTAAGGCATGATTGATTGGGGTGGTTGTTGAATAGGGGTAGGAGAGGGGGGTTATATGTTGAAATCTTGTAGGGTGAAGAGAGTACCTACGTACATATACGGCGATCGTGTTGTATAGTAAGGTCGTCGTCGATCAGCCTAATATACGGTATGGAGCAAGTATTTAACTATTGGGTATCTTAGGCTAAGAATAAATAAACACCATTTTGGATATCTCACATTCATCTATTAGCATGTCTTTCTCTATTACCTCACATCAAGCAAAATAGGGGTAAATAATAGGGGTCAATTAAATATATTAATCCAGCCCGGTAAGAGCCTTAGGCTATCTAAGGTCTCTTATAATGATTCGGGGCACGGCATAAACGATAAATATATCTCCTAAGCCCCCCCTTGCTATCGCCCAAAGTCAAACGATCGCGCTCATTCAAAGAATCAAATGAGGCAACGCATCCATGCCATTATGCCGGGAACATCAATCTTACTTGCGTTCCTGCTTGTGCATACACCGCGGACACAACTTCGTGGCGTCGATAATAAGATTGGTCTCCATGAGTATGCACCGTTCAGTACCGAAGTCGGCGCATTGCCGTTTGGTGGTCATCTCGGAGTAGATAAAAACTCCGCAGTCATCATTTTTGCACATATATTCCCTGGTAGTGTAGGTACACATATTGGCTGTACTGGCAAATGTTGTCTGGGTACGTATGGGTTTCGTGGTCAAGAGGCTCTTGATAATAGTGCGGTAGGTAACTTGATAGTTGTCGTGGATTAGGTTGCTGTATGTGGTGAAGTTGTTGATGGGTAAGTAGAGGTAGTCGAATTGTCTGGGTAGGGAAGCATTCTGAGATCTGGGGAAGCTGGTTTATATATTCTTAGAAAAAGAAGGTAATACAATTCGAATCTCATGATCTGTGATCCGCACAAGTGAATTGTGGTAATCGTGATGGATAATACAACGCAGGCACATGAGCAAGACACAAATCATCATGGGATATAGTAATATATATAAATCAAAGCTAGCCTATATGGTCGTTCATACTTCGGAGGACAACGCCTCGTGCAGGAATATCGGATCGCATAAGTTCCATATGTTTGCCGTGCTCAGGATGAAAACTTATCATGCTAACCCACACGTATGAAGATAGAAGTCATCTTAGGGTCGCGCCGGCGGCCTACCGTCACAGCTATCGCAAAGACCCGTCTCCAAAGTCCGGGTTCTTGCGCTCGGGCGGCAGCGATTGGTGTTTGCGTACGCGCATGTTTCCATGCCAGTCTTGGTCCGAAGGTAGCATTCACCGCATTTTGAACACTTCCATTCGGTTAAATCGTAGGAACACATGGTGTATTCGCTGCGAAGAGGTAATTCGAAATGTGCGTGGTGTAGTAGACGGTAGTTGAGTTTGTGATGGTGACGAAATGGTCAAAGTTAATTGTGGATCGGTCGGTTTGTGATGGTGACGAAACGGTCAAAGTTGATGGATCGGTCGGTTTGTGATGGTGACGAAACGGTCAAAGTTAACTGTGGATCGGTCGGTTTGCTTGATATGATGAGAAGGTGTTGGTAGATGTAGGATATCTGCCCAAATTCAAGACCCGTTTGTTGCTGGGAGGGGAGTTGTTTATATATCAGTAGGTACCCAGGTACATGAACTTCCATTGTGTTTACTCATGGAAGAATCACCTAGATAGAGGTCTTATTGTGACGTGTAGTATTTAAACCCATAGATTCAGCCATAGTAAGTGAATAGAAGAAACGTGTAGTTGAATCATACTTTATTACACCGCAAGTATATACGTGGAAGTTACATATATGACTTGGATAAGTTAACGTAAAGGTGTCAATTCTAGGAATCACTTGAATGAGGTGTATTAGATGCCTGGCTTAGATCAGATCAGTGAGTGTTATTCACTTTATGAGGCACCTATACTTTGTCATGATGAATCCAATTGGGTATGTAGGTACGTACAAACCATCCTTCATAAGTTCCCAATAGGTGGTTTTGTTTCTAAGGAGTGAATAAGGAGCAATAAAATGACTACTTCATTACACAAAGAAGCACAATCATGAATACCCATAGTACTAGCCATCTTAACTACCTAGGTACGTAGGATGGTTTCTTACCAATACTTAGACTTCATGTCGCTACTAACTTTCGTAACCATACCTTCGGCTTCTATGGCCTCTCCTATGCCGAGCTTACCCGCATGGCCATCCTCTGTCAAGGTATTTCCAAACCCGACCATCCGGTCACGCAAGTATCTCGACCTCTCACTATCTTCCAAGGTAGACCCTCTATATGGAAGACTGGAACAGTTATATCCATTTCCTCGCAATAATGTTGATACATCCAGGAGATCAGGTATCCAGATATTCAAGTCCAGCAACAGTTTTGCAATACCGGCTGCGAGCGTAACGTTTATAGAAATGATAAGCATTGCCATCCAGCCTCGATTATAAACAAAACGGCTATCGACTCGTGTATGCTCCCCGTTTACATATGTAAATGGGTCGTGCGCGTAAGAACCATAGCCTGTAATGTCAGGGAATTTCTGGGGATGGCCTTCGAATGTAATGCTGTATCCATAAACGGCAGACCAATAACTGTTTAGCAGTTGAGCGAGAGGTAGAGAAAGCGTAGTATTTATAATGTTTGTGAGGTCCATTTGGTAGTTGTCTGTGGTGAAAGGGGCAGCTGGAGAATGGATATAATTCTGTAACACCCCAGGTATTCCACTCCTGTACCGTTGGTAATCAACCTCCTCTATTAGGTGTGGTAGGAATTAGCTAGGTAGACATCTATTCAAAACCATCTTTAGGGCATGGATCAAGTGTAGTGTATGCGTTAGCTCGACGGTTCACGCCGTTTTGAGACTTCCTTATCCGATCCAGTTTACATTCCCATCCTGTACATTGAACAGACATCTCGACATAGTTGGTTACTAGGCTGCAGTTACTTCCATTTGGAAGATGCTAAGCTATTAATGGTAGGCATAATAGGTCCGTATAATACTGCTGAGCTGGTTCAACAGTGCTATTGAAGTTTGAATTAGTTATATATGAGGAATGAGTTCTAGCTGCCTATACTTATCACCCGTAAGGCAAAATTTCTTTTTTTCCATCAATTAACGAAATGAGTAGAGATGAGGAATACTTTGTATGGTCGAAATAATGATGTAGCTTTAAGAACAACCACGATAGGGAGAGTAGCCCAACAGGAAAAGGTTCTACGATTAGTTTCCGAAATTATGGATAGTAAATTACCTGTCGATTTAATACCTACTGTAAAAGCTATTCCTCTTTTCTGGCCAACCCCTATATACATATTGATACTAAAAATAGGGGCGTGTAATTTTATGTTGTAGCACCGGTAGATTGCGCGGCAAGCTTTAAGTTAACTTCAATGTTACATTTAGCGTCCTTTTTTGGGGAGACTGGGAGAGGGGGTTGTTACATGCTGGTAGTTGAGAAATTGTTAAGAGGTATGTCATTCTTTTGAAAACTACCGACAATCGGTCTTCAGATTATATAGCGTGTAGTTACCTATACTTCAATACATCCATCTAGTGTAAGTTAAAGATCTTGCTAAAGAGCTAACCTAGGTAGACTCCTTGTCTAGTGTAGGGCTTGCGCATTCGTTGACACACTTTTTGCAAGTTTGCAACTTGGCGATAGTGTATATCGATTCCTTGTTTTCAAAATTGTAAAGGTCCACTTTTGACTCCTGAGATATTCGATATTCTGGGGCGGGCGGGTCTGATCTGCATGACAATGATCTATGCGAGTCTCGACCAATGCTTGTTGTATTTGTATACATAGGTAGTATACGTACTCGGAATAACTGACATATGCAATAAATAATCTTGACTCGTTGACAGATCCAATCGGAATCAGATTCTTCATATAGGTGCCAAGTCGGAGCTTATTGGTCAATATGTATGTAGGTACCTAATAAAAAGCGTACGCTATTTTTAATAAAATGCATGTCAACTGGAATCAATAAATAAATGTGCATCAAGTTATCAACAACTGGCTCGACCGATATTACATACATACGAAAACCAGGGCTGCCAGGGTTTTCTTCAACACGGACGACCCAAATACGCGTCCGCGCAAGCGATCCGACCCTAACATCCGACCCTAGCTGCGTATTGTACAGTATGCGTTGTCATTTGTCGGGCTCGGTTGAGATTTGAGGCTGAGCGGCATGTGGGTCGACAATACGAGCTCAGGGGGTTATGGCGTCGGCAGATCCACTGGTCCTCCCACTGCTCTCTCACTGGCAGACTGGTAGAAACTGGTTACTGGCTGTGGACCTTCTGGAAATTCCGGGACAGAGGTCATCCCTGTAGGTACAGGGGATCGGTATAAGGGATGTTGATGCGATCCGATTTTCGATCCCTTAGCCGAATAAGTCGTTTTACGTACAGCTTCTAGAACCCGCTGATCCCTTTATTTATGTCTCTTTTCCTCTTGATTATTTATTTATTTATTTCCTTGCTTCTTGAGTTCTAGTCAGTAGAGTAGACTTAATAAGAGTTTCTTTAATACTCATTCACTCCTTACTCTTACGCCTCTTCGCTGCAATACTGTAGCTGTCATTCGTTGTTAATACAGTAATAATTATATAATTATATACAAGATGCGCTTTGCTTCGTCCGTCCTCGGCCTCGCGGCCACCGCTAGCACCGCCGTTGCTGCTGCTACTACTGCTGCCAACACTGGTATCAAGGGCTTCAACTATGGAGCTTTCTTCCTTAACCAGGCTGCTAAGCAGCAAGCCGATTTCGAGTACGAGTTCAACCGCGCCAAGAACCTCCCAGGCACAAGTGGATGGACGAGTGCCCGCCTCTACTCTATGAGTAAGTTAGTTTTTATATATAGTTAAGACATATTTGGTTTATACTTACTCTCTTTTCAACAGTCCAATGGCAAACCACAAACTCCGTTATTAGCGCAATCCCGGCTGCCATCAACACCAAAACGACTCTTCTCCTAGGTCTCTGGGTTTCGGGCGGTGACCAAGCTATCACGAACGAGATCGCTGCTCTTAAGGCTGCGATTAGCCAATATGGATCTGCATTCACCGACTTAGTTGTTGGTATCTCAGTTGGTAGTGAGGATCTCTACCGCGACGCTAGCGGTGAAGTCGGCGTCGGCCCCCAGAAGCTCATCGACTGCATCAACAAGGTCCGAAGCGCCATTGTTGGTACTCCTCTTGCCGGTGTGCCCATCGGCCACGTCGATACCTACGACTCCTTCCTGAATGGTACCAACCGGGCTGTCATCGACAACATCGACTGGCTCGGCTTCGACGGCTACCCGTACTGGGAGCAGACCTTGCCCAACAGCATCGGCAACGCGCACGAACGATTCTATAGCGGACTCAACAAGACTATTGCTCTAGCTGGAAACAAGCCTGTCTATGTTACCGAGACCGGATGGCCCGTGTCTGGAAAGACTGTTAATGAAGCCGTAGCCAGTCCCGAAAACGCCCGCATCTACTGGCAAGATATTGCCTGCAGCCTGGTCGCGAGTGGTGTTAACCTGTGGTGGTACGACCTTCAAGAGTCTCAGTGGGGACAAGCCTCGCCAGATTTCGGTATCTACCCCGCCGGTGACCTTGGCACGGTCCAGGCGAGCTATGACCTCTCTTGCGTAAGTTTAATCTCTTTGGTGTACTTGGGCTTTTATAATGACTAACGGTGCTATAGTAAACGCCAGTATTATGAAAATATACAGTTATATAGACTTCCTTCGCATAGATATCGTAATCGCCATGCTCTCCCTAGAGCGTTATGGCGTTAATACCCGTTGCTATTTGACTGTTTGGGTATAGATGTTGGACTAGTTCGTTGCCGGTAGGGCGATGGGAGCTCTTCGCTTGGATATATAGGTACTTATATACAGTTAACTCACTGCGCTACGCATATAAATATATGTACTCTGGGCTGGTTAGCTCAACTCTACAATCCTTCGTGCTCAGCGAATTTCTAATACACGACGTATTCGTGTAAAGTTGTATCCAATTGTTGGTTGTCGCACACTTGAAGCTTTGCAGTTCCGTAATTTTTATAATCCAATTAGTAAAGTATTAGTGCAACCTCGATTCTAGATGATCAGAGTATTTAGAAGCCCCAAGACCCCGGCAAGAACAGCTTGGATTTACACTTAGAGTAGTTAAATGAGCATAGTGTTGGATTTGTGTACTCGACAACTCTCATATTAATAAACGCAGATGGTAAATGAGCTACACTTCCTTTTGATATTACTTTATTAAGTTTGCTATCGTTTTAGTTTATTTCTTCAAGTACCTTATCCCAACCATGAACCCCTGACCATAAGGCTTTCCTACTAAATGACTCCTTTAATATCATGATAGGTACCTACCTTAGGTGTAGGTACCTAACCTTTCTAGCCAGGTACACACCCAAAAAGAAAAGACATTATGAAAACTCGCGAACTTAATTGTATCACGTTTGAACGCCACCAACAGTTACCGTGAATAGGACTGGGTCGCCATCATTGACCTTCCCTGACTGATCATCACCGCCATCTGGCTGCACGTCGTCGTAAGCAAAGGCATAGCCTTTTCCGTCGACATTGTGCTCGTGTACAATACGAGCATAATGATTTGTCGGATCTCTCCGGTAGAATGTATGCGGTTGTGAGGGGTGTTCATATGCTTCTAGCAGCGCTGTGCGCACAAATGCAGCGGCTAGGCGCGGTATGATGGCGTTACGCGTAGGCGACGGCCCTGTTGTGAACGGACCACTATTGCAACCAAAGATGTCTGCCGTATTTGGCTTGCCAAATTTCTCGTTACCAACCTGTACCTCGCCATTATCCATGAACTGGGCACTTAAAATGCCTGGCGCAGCTTGCGTATTGATTTTTAGAAACCGGCCTTCTTTCTGATTCGCGAGGAAATGTTCCCATACCTCATTCACATATGGTTCGTAGTAACCACTGAAATTCGCACGTACGGCATTCCCGTGCGTCGCACTTAGTATCCGGAGAATCCTACCTTTACGGTTGACTACCAGCTTGTCCCAAGGCCGGCCATCCTTTTGAGCTTGCTCGCGCAGCCCCTCCGCGATGCGATCCACACCGTCGGGAGCCATGCCGGCAACACTTTGCACCGCGCCGTTTCTCTGCTCCAGTGAGATGCCCATCGGTAAACGCGAGACGAAATCTACATAGCTGATATTTGCATAAAGCTGCGCGTCGTTGAGTGTAAACTCGCAAAAGCCAAAATCAACATCCGTATTAGGATCGGTCGGGTTTAAGACGCTGGGCTCGACTAAGCCAGGACCGGGATTAAGCAAGAAGGTAAGCTTTGCGTCTCGAGAAAACCATATCCTGCCGCCGGCCATTTGTGGGATCGTGACCGTGACCGTGTTCCCCGGCGTTCCGAGGGGAATAGCGCAGTCTTCGGTCAGCGGTGAACCAATGCGGGGCGGATTTTGCGGGAAGTAAAGACCTTCTCCATCGGCTTTGAGAAAGCAACGTTGGCCTCTATGTTGAAGAGCTATACCGGTGATATACGCATAGACTTGATCCGAATTGCTATTATTCTTTAGAGCAACTTTTAATGATTTAGGCATGATTGCGTGTTCGTTTTGCGGATTTATTATCAACTATCGTTTGAGTGTGAGTGTGAAAAAGACCACGTATCGATTGATTATAAGTCAATCTGTCCAGAAAGGGATCTCTGTGAGGGAAGTTAAATGTTGGATGTAAAAGTCAATGTATTTTGGTTTTTAGTTTCTACAAGCAGTACTTAAGTTGGAAATATACCTGGTCTGTTAATGACGTAGGCCTTATTCGATTTTAAAGTCTCACTTGGCAGAGACTTAAACTGGGCAACTTTCCACAATATAAATGTTGACTTGTATAATAGTAGCTATGTGTAACCATACCTTATTAACCGTTGATTGACAATTTTAAATATGCTACATGTGAGACTAGCATACTTTATAATGTTTATGAGTTGCTTCTAAGCTTATACCAATTCTACTATTTTAAACGACATATAATTAAAACAATTCGAGTTCCAACGTAATCTTAACACCTCAAGTATCTCAATTAGTACCGTCAGATTGTCTATTTATATTACCTAATATGCTAAACAAGAACTAAAATTGCTTGAGGCTGCTAGGACACCCCTGAAAATCAAGAAGCCTATCGGGGTTTACTCCCTCAATATTGAGACCCTAGTGTGGCGCTATCACTTATGGGGGAGAGCTTACATCATGCGAAACCTTCTTCGATCAAGCATCGAAAGTTACAGCTACCTCTAAATTTTATATTCTCTTCTTCATCTCGCGCTTGATTATTCTCAAAGAGACCATGGCCAGCTCTAGTGCAACAATCGATATGCCCCCCGCCCCATCCGAAGATAGGATTCTCATGAATGAGTATGAACAGAACCACAAGAAAATCAGAGCCTGTGTTGCATGTCGTAATATGAAGATAAAATGCGTTTCGGTCCCCGGTTCTAAAGATTGTGAGACCTGCATAAGATTTTCCCGTCCTTGTCAAGACCCGGGGCCACCAAAAGCGCGGGTGAAAACTTCCCAGAAGTTCACTGAACTCGAAAAGAAGATCGACGCCTTAACTAGTGCGCTGGAGGCTGAACGAAGACGAAACCAGCGGTCTCTCAAGCAAGTGAGAGAAGACGCAGGATGGTCTAGAACTCCCGATTCGAGCTCTAGGGATGACGATGCCCCAGCATTTAGCGAGCGACAAGATCGCCATGCGGAACTCACTGTCGGCGATGGCAGAGAAGCAAGCATGGCCAGACGTGATGTTGTCAGCCAGGGCTTGGTAGACATCCGTACTGCCTCTCTGTTGTTTGATCACTGGAACCTTCATATGCGGCCATTGATGCCTTCTATCTGCTTCTCGGCTAAGGATAATGCAGATACTATCCGAGCGACGAAACCTACATTATTCCTAAGTATCATAACGATAGCTAGCACGTCGCTCAGACCGTCTCTCGTGAATCCTCTTCTAGGACAACTCAACAGAATCCTAGCTCAGGATGTCTTTATCCAAGGCGCAAAATCTCTTGACTTATTACAGTCTCTAGTCCTCTTCTCACAGTACTACATACAGCCCCCACACATTAAGGCATTTGCACTCCCTCAGCATGTTTACAGCGCTGTGGTCATGTCTCACGATCTTAATTTAGGCGCTGCACTTAAGCTGGATAAGAATAGGGCCAGTGACCAAGAAAGAGACACATATAGAACTTTACTAACCGTGTATTTCGGTGCATCGTGGTCGGTACTTATCTCGCATCAATTGCCCAGAAGTTAACTAATACCGCTTTTTTAATAGTTCGGCAACGCTCCTACGTCGACATCAGCCCTTTATACTTTCGTCCTCGCACCGAGCTTGTATAGAAGCTCTAACACAAGGGAGTGCTACACGGAGTGACGATCGGTGGTTATGCAGCCTCGTAGCCCTCCAGGAGATTTTCGATGATGTCTCAAAGACGTTAAATGCGTCGTATTCATGCGCGGACGAATCATTCGATGACTTTAGAACGCAGCATTTACTAGGAATTTTCCGACAGAGATTAGCCGACTGGAAACTATCACCCTCAGGAGACCTAGACCCTCGTAAGTGTGACTTCATCGGTACTACTCCTTAGATTTTAACTAATATTTGGCATTTCAAAGGCCTTAAAAACCACGCAGGTTCAGTTGCTGATGTCTACATTCACCAAGTTGCGATTAGAGATTATATCCGTCAAATGCGTACTTGGCTTAAGATCAAGGATAATGAAGATCCAAACCGGCCACCACCAACATTCACCGCAGCACATACTGACGCACTCTGTCATAGCCTAATAGTAGGCGCTAACGCCTTGGATATCTATCTATCATTGGATGATGACCTTACACGTTCTCTTCCGAACGTATTTCTTGTATGGAATCTGTGTGTGATAGTTAGCTTACTGAAGCTGGGACACTTTGCTGAAGATTTATCACGTTCACAAACAAAAGGCCCTGGCAATCATAATCCGCCATCTCCTTTAGATCTTCTTGAAGCGATGATCCAAAGGCTCACTACCTTAACCCTACACGGGTATTTCCCTCAGTCGCGACCATTTATAGACGCATTTAAGAAGCTCAAGGGATGGTTCCAACAAAAGAAAACGGTCTGTATTAACAACAATGGTAGCTGTGATGAAGGAAGCACCGAAATCGTTCACGATGTGCTTGGAACCCAAACCCCACCGGCCTCCCCGTCACCTCCGCAGTCGCACATTCATACGCCTGTCCGACCGCAACCGAATTATCAAGGCCACCTGCAAAATACTCTGGAGATGCAAGCAGAATCCAACAACTCGACTTTGATAACTGAAATCCAGTCTGCGGGGCAACAAGACATTAACTGGAACTTAGGTTCTTATGCTTTCGACAATGCCAAAGCGTCAACCTATAACGCTGGTGCTCCAAATACTCATTCCGATATGACTTATGACCCTGGGTACTTTAATACTGGCATACATGACACTGCGTTCGGCCTCAGTGATATGAAAGACATTGATGATTTTATGATGCAGGACGTTGACGGGGGATTCTGGTCTATACTGTAGGAAACTCCGAAGAGACTGGACTGTGCGACTTAGCGGGTTAGTGGGGACAAACCGGCAATCTTCGAACAGTACTGGACTAAGTGGCGATCCCACTGTACTATAATTCTTAGGCTGGCGAGAACTCGTCAACAATGTAATTTCTCATATGAATGAGTGGAACTATAGGATTATGCGAAAACTTCGATGTCTTTTTGTCAGCGTTTGGATTATAAATAGGGGCAATTGGCAATGATGACAGAAGACAATCGGCCTCAGCCAACCCCGAGATATTTATGGCCTATGTGTTTGGCTTGGGGGATTGGTGGAGCACGGGGACGCTATATAAAGTCGAGTTAGCTCGGAACACCCGGGTGTGTCTTTAATCGGTCGCTGTGGGCTCCGGTTGTGGGGTCTCGGCCGGTGCCGTAGAACTCCGAGATCAACTCATTGCTTCATTCTTCCATGAATTACTCAGGCTTAGTATCATATTGACGTCGAGTTTAGAGCCGCTATTGTTTAAAGATAAAACACTGCCCACAATGTCTTTTAGATACTTCATTCTAACTCTTCATCATTCGTATTCTGCAATACCTATTTAGTTTCTTACTTTAAGTACCTATTATTACCATCATGTCACGAGCAGTTCTCGTTACTGGAGCCACAGGCAAGCAAGGCGGCGCCGTTGTGAACGCGTTACTAAAAGCCGACGCCGACTTTGAGATTCTCGCCCTTACTCGAAATGCTGAGTCACCAACTGCACAACGGCTGGCGCAGAAGTCCCATAAGATCAAATTGTTGACGGGTGACATGGACGCACCAGAAAATATCTTCAGCAACGCCAAGGAGATAACCGAGAAACCGATATGGGGAGTCTTTAGTGTACAGGTAAGTTGCTGAGAAGTTGTAATCTGGAAATGCGTTAATATACTAATACTTCTACAGGCAGCTATAGGCCGCGGCGCAAGCCCCCGAAAGGAAGAAGTCCAAGGCAAGGCTTTAATCGATGCCTCGATCAAGAACGGCGTCAAGCATTTTGTATACTCGTCAGTCGACCGTGGTGGCGCCAGGTCGGATGATGATCCAACCGACATTCCGCACTTCATCAGCAAGTACAGAATTGAAAAGTATCTTTTGGAGAAGACTAAGGGCGGCGAGATGGCTTGGACAATCCTCCGACCAGTTGCCTTCTTCGAGAATCTAGTCCCGGGATTCGCGGGTAAACTCTTCGCTACGAGCTGGAAGATCACCCTTAAGAAGGACCAGAAACTGCAGTTAATCGCGACAAGCGACATCGGCTTCTTCGCCGCCGAAGCGCTGAGAAACCCGGAGCAGTGGAAAGGCAAGAAGTTGAGTCTGGCCGGGGACGAACTGACGTACGATCAGTTTGCCACGATTTTCAAGGAGAAGACTGGCGATGATCTGCCCACCACATACCATTTTGTTGCTACCATCATTCTCTGGATGTCGAAGGAACTTGGGTATATGTTCAGATGGTTCCGCAACGTCGGTTACGGAGCTGATATTGCGGCGCTGAGGACGATGAACCCTGATCTTAAGGACTTTGGGACGTGGCTGGAAACGGACAGTCAATTTATGACTCGCTTGTAGGCCGGGGATCTCACGTAATAAATGAGTGTCAGTCCGTACTGGCATGATCTGTGTTTGTTAAAAGGAATGGTCTTGGAACTGTTGTTTAATGTAAATAGTACTATGTATTAATTCATACTCTCTTCCTTGGTTATGGAAAGCATGGTTAGTCAATTATATCATATATGTAGCTCGTGTTACCACGCGTTTACATACTCTCTTAGATTTCTTAGAACTTATGTCGAACTCCGCTTAGAACTGACTAGTACTGTCGCTTAGCATCATTGTAAGCCAAATTACCCGTCGCATTAGAAGGAGAAAAATAATTAGGATGGTGCGGCTCTTTGGTGGGAAAACAACTGTTAGGGTATAAGTGGGTTAGGGGTAGTTACAGGGATGAGAACCCTTGGATAAGGGGCGGTGCACGCCCTCGTAAAAAGGTAGAAGACAGGAGTTAATAGTTCAGTCTATCTATTCTAACACCAACCCTATATATAACGTCAATCTTGTGTACAATATCTGACAGCAACTATGTGGCTACGAACGGTATAGCAAATATTTATGTAAATCTCTAGTTTTACGTACCTAGGCGAACTTTATACATAACAAGACGAATCACTTATTCAAACAAAATACCAGTACGTTACAAAATAGATTGACAGCGGCCATTATGCTTAGTATATAAAAATGACTATTTATTCCCAAGCCAACCCTGAACTAGTCCTACCTATCACTTAAATGTCGTTTCCGACATTAAAAAAGGCGTTCGCCAGTTGATCCTTAGGGACTGATTTCATGAAATCCTCCCAATTCACAGGCTTCACCTGAGGATATTGACCGTTGTCAATCTCAGTACCAAGATACGTCCGCCCGTTAATCATGTAATATTGATAAAACCTGTATCGAGTTAGTTTTAGAAGATTAAATATGCGCGAAAAGTTTTATATACTCACAAGAACATATACGAGAAGACATTTTGAGGGTCATTCTTGCGTAGCTCATGCATTTTTTTGAACAGGCCATCCACTGAACCATGGCTCTCGAGCTTAGGCTTTACTCCATAGACTTTCTCGAACGATTCTGCGATCTCGCGGATTGTTGCTCGCCCGCCGATGACTGTTAGGGGAGACGTATTAGCTACCTAATTGCCTAGACCAGTCCCTCACTGATGACTTACATTTTTTTATCCCGTAGGCACTCTTATCCGCACAAACCGCCGCGGTGTACTCAGCCGCATTCCGATAAGTAGTAGCCTCCCAAATTTCGTTACCCGTGCCCCAATACTTGAAGGTCGTAGAGCTAGCATCGTAGGTACCGAACATTGGACCAAAAAAGACATCCATGAACATGCCGACCAGGACGTGCACACCCTTGACCTTGTCTTGCGCATCTAGATACGCCTTGACATGGATCATCGGATCCTTGGGGAAGAGCTCTCCCAGCTTAAGCTTAGTGTAATCCAATGACCAATCCGAAGCTACGTAACGCGGGACACCCTCGGCAGCGCAGGCGTCGATGAGTGCTTTCTGCCCGTCCACCATCAACTTGTCGTCGCCGAGATAGCAGCACACAACCACATCGCACCCGGCGACGAAGGAACGGATAGCGGATGTATCGAAGGCGTCCCCCTTTGAAAGGGAGACCTTGGAAGATAATGACTCGGGAACTTTGGAAGGGTCACGACAGTACCCCTTAATATTGATATCAGGGTATTTGAGAAGTGCCGATGCGAGTTCGCGGGCGAACTTGCCGGTTATACCGGCGATTCCGACTGTAATAGACATGTTGAAGATGTTTTTACTCGATGTAATACAAGTTATTCAAATTTCGTAGTTCCGAATAGAGTGCAGCTTTGTATATTTTATATCCCGTTAATGGAGCGTGATGTACTCGGAGCTCCGTGACGCCGATATACAGTAACCGGAGCGTATTCACTCCGGGCACTAAGAGTTTGATGATTTGGGAGCGACGTCAGTATCTTTCGCTTCTGCGCAAGATATGAGTATCGACGACGATTAATAATATAATATTTCAATCGTGTCGCTTTTTTTCTGGCTCGGGACTCCGAAGCCTTAGCTACTATTCACACAAATATTCTACGAAGGTCTAGAAGCAGTGGCTTGCTTATTATGTATAGCAACTAGCCTAAGGAAAAATCTATGAATAACACACTCGACATCAACAGATAGGCGTAACCGTATCTTTCTTGTTGTTCCTCGTCCAAACCTTTACTCTCACACAGTTAAGGGGGCTTCTTTAGCGCCTAGACTGGGGGAAATTATATTTCCCCTATCTCAAAGAATCAAGAAATGTGCTGTGCTCCACCAATTGAAATGCTTCCAGAGCCTATATTCTGGTTACCCCGACCGCTGAATGTAATTGTTCCTCTATCGGATACATCTTCGGTTATATTATCCGGGTTGCCGTGCTCTCTTCTGGATTCATTATTATTGAATGCTGGTGACTTGGCCGTATAGCCTCTACCTCGTCCATTATTCGCAGGGGAATCATATAGATCTATTATGGTTAGTAACGAAGTAATCGGGTACCTGTTATAATGGTGTAGCATAGCACTCACCACGTCCTGGTGGCACCGGGCGATTCGGCGGCTGGCTTGGTGGGATTTGAGACAAGAGTGCTTTGGCATATGCTGCCGCAATAGCTGCAGCATATGGTTGCCAGTCCTTGTTCTTGTGATCATCTGCGTAGTCACATGTGCCCCTGATAACGCCGACATTAAGTCGATTCATAATACCCGCTGCTTCCATCTCTAGGCCGATAATGCCATGCTCATCTCTCAACTTATCTCGCTTCGAAGCACTCCTCATAAGTTTCTCGCCTGACCCTATTGGACCATACCACACTCTAGTGCGTTCTGAAGCAGGCCGTTTTGGTCTTTCCACAATATGCTCGATACCGTCGTCTCCTAGTTGATAGAAGTTGTCGCGATCTTGCCCGGGATCAATAAACGTCCCTTTCGCATGTTTCTTGTTCTTCATATTTTCGTAAAATGGAAGAAATAGTCTGGACTCCTCTGGTGAATCAAGTTTGATACTGCCAATAGCTGACCTCACAACTTGCTCAGTCTGAGCAAGAACATAACCATGCCGTAGAAGCTGAAGCGTATCCCCCCCTATCTCTCTGCCTAAGTCGTATGCCACAGTTCCTGGACGGTCCATATCTGGGATACTGACAAGAACATCACCTAATCTGATATCTCGTGGTGGGTCTTGTTTGAGATCAGGAATACCAGCAGCCTACCGACGATTCGGTTAGTTAATCTACTCAGGTGTAGAAAGTTCTAACTTAGGGAATAGCGAAAGTTAACATTTTGAATGACTTTCAGACTTACCACGCCTACTAGGAGTCCAAACCAGAAGTTAGGAAAAAACTTCTTTGCCTGGCTGGCAAGGGCAGCGGCTGATCCCGACCCGTACTCTTGACCAGCCGGAAGAGTTGCAATTACAACATTATGGCCGCACATATCGCCGGCTTGGAAGACGTAATCGTCGCCGCGAGCCATTGGAAATCTACCGGTATGCCTATGATCTAGCATATGTAAAGCGGCTTGTGCCTCGATTTCTAATGGCGCGATCCATATGATACGATAGTTTTCAGGTTGTAAATCCTCCATTGATCAGTCGTCAATGCGGTAAAAGGTCGAAACGGTTGAAAAAAACTAAGTAAAGAGCGAGTATCTTTACGAGGACCTACCTAGTATGTCGTTATATTTGAGGGGTTTACTTTTCTTATACAATTCATCAAGCCTACAGGGCATTGCTGGTTATCGCCAGCCTGCCTTTTCCTTGCTGCAGGCTGGCTGTCGTGGAACCCCAAAACGAGAATTGTGACAGAGAACATCTTCATTCGTACGTAACTTCATTCGCTGCGGCAGATGTAACCATATATGCATCCAATATGTAGTGCTTAAGCACTGCTCGGTGATCATTCGCCGCAATTTCGATCATAAAATGCCTTATACCTAGCCTGCTGGGGCGAAGTCGCTACCTCTCAGTCAGGCTGGAAATAAAATTGGCATTAAGTAGCAGCACAGCCTCGCTTTTATCAATGTCAGCACTGTTCTAGTTTTTAGAGCAGCCCAATCCGGAGAATATTTAATTCGCACAGATGCCTACCTACCTAGGTAGGTACCTAGGTAATACTACGCAAGCAGGTAGGGGAATATGTATATGGCTCCCACACATTACGAGATATTGAATTGTGACTAGGCAATTCAAAGGTTAACAAATTGGAAGCATTACAGAATGCCTAATAGTTCCCGCGAAGGCTATTATGCTAATGCTGGCTCTTTTGAACCTAGGGAACAATTCGAAGGAGGAAGCCGGGGATTCGCTCAACATTCCGGAGAAGGTGTCCAGAACGTGAACGGAAGCTTTCATAATGGTCGGGACTTCAATAGTATTACTCAATCACCGGACGAGATATAATCATCAACTAATCTCAATATTAGTACTACGACCTCACGGTAATATTATCCAAGTACATCCACCTCCTCCTGTCCAGGACCGGGTGAAAGAAAAGACCATTGAACACCGGGCTAATGTAATTAAATCGCTCAAGTTCATTCAAATCGATGAGCGCCAGAGAACCATTAAAGGGGCACATATAAAAACCTGTAAATGGTTCTTGGAAACTTCACAATACATAGACTGGCTTGATACGAGCAAGTTTGGCGATCATGGTGGCTTCCTCTGGATCAAAGGCAAGCCTGGTGCGGGAAAGTCAACCTTGATGAAGTTCACGATATCGCACGTATACCAGCCGCTAAGTGATCAGGGGAAGATAGTCATTTCTTTCTTCTTTAATGCAAGAGGAGAAGAGCTAGAGAAGTCTACGGATGGCCTTTACCGATCACTTCTAATACAGATACTCGAATTACGACCAGATCTTCATCGAGTATTAGACTCTATTGACCCAGCACGCCCCTGGAACGTTGAGTTACTAAGGTCTCTATTTGAAGATTTAATGCTCGCTATGGGTGAAACCTCCATAATTTGCTTCATCGATGCACTGGATGAATGTGAGGAACGACAGATCCGGGATATGCTATACTTTCTACACAATATTAGCCAGAAAACAGCTTCATCCGGGACTAACTTGCATGTCTGCTTTGCAAGTAGGCATTACCCTCATATAACAGTTCCAAAGGGACTTACTCTAGTAATCGAAGGTCGGCAAGAACATAATCAAGATATAGCCCGATACTTAAACTACGAATTACGTATCGGAGAAGATCTTCTTGCAAGTCAGGTCCGTGCCGAGGTCCAAGAAAAGGCATCCGGAGTTTTCATGTGGGTAGTTCTCGCTGTGAATATCTTAAACAAAGAATACGACCGTGGGCGCAAACATACTCTTAGAAGGCGACTCCAAAAGATCCCCAACGATCTTCACAACTTATTCGAAGACATACTCACACGCGACAATGATAACGAGGACGGGCTTCGCATCTGCATCCAATGGATACTTTTCGCAACACGTCCACTACGAGTCGAGGAGCTATATTTTGCCATCATGTCCGGCAGTGAACCTGAGGACTTGGCCATGTTTCACTCGGAAAATATCGTTTCTGTCGAAGATATGGAAAAATATATCATCGATAATTCGAAAGGGTTGGCTGAAGTCTCCGGGTCATCGACAACCGTTCGGTTTATTCATGAATCCGTTCGCGATTTCCTCCTCAAGGAGAATGGATTTCAAAGGGTTTGGCCTGGACTTGGGTCGAACCTTTATGGTTATGGCCACGAGGAGTTAAAGCAGTGCTGCTTCGCTTACATACGCGACATATTTTTGCTTGACGCAGATGATCCTATTCTGATGTGGGACTTAACCTCTAACCCTTTGAAATATTTCAGCGGCTGGTTTAGGGCGACACGTATTCCATACGAGTGGAATACAATGAATCATAACCTTAGATTAAAAGTTCACCAATTGTACCGGTTTGATACAAATCCCGACACAATAACCATCCTAGAATCCGAGTATTACCACCACTGCTACCATACCACTATAAAGTTTCCATTTCTCGGTTATGCTATAGAGAACATCTTGTACCATGCCAACGAAGCTGAAAAATATGGACTCCCACAATCGGAATTTGTATCAGGATTTCAATTTAGGACATGGATTAAATATAACAACATTGTCGAGGGCTCTAAAACCATACGCAAATGGCCCAGCGTTCGTTGGTACGCATCAGACGCAAGCATTTCATACATATTGGCGAGCCGTAATTTGACACATCTCATTCGAACTCGAGATATTCGGCACTCCTGTTTCGCTGTCGAACAGAGCGAATACGGTACCCCAATATTTGCTGCGCTTGCAACCCAAAGCGATGAGGCATTCTGGGAATTGCTTGAGCAAGAGGTAAAAACTATACCATCGAGTTTACCAGTTAAGGAGGGGTATACACAAAAAGATGACGAAGAAAGTTTATCTCCAGAAACGCTCGATTCCGACTTTGAATTAATCCAACTCGCACTGGAGTCGAAAGTTGAATTTGCTGCAAGGTTCTTGGCGAATTACGGCCCTGGGAAAAATAAATTTATACCAGGAGCCAAAGGAGGATATAAATACTTCATTCAATCATTACTATGGAGGGGGCTTGAAGTTGAAGGTACTAACCGAGATAGAAGCCTACTACAAGAAGCCGTCGCCTTGGAAGATATGAGACTTATCCGTTTATTCATTAAGAGCGCTGATATCGATGGCAACAAAGAGTACCGAAGCCCATTGCAAGACGCGGTTCTAAAAGGGCATAAAGCGATCATCCAGTTACTACTCCAAAGCGGTGCTAATTTAGAAGGGAACGACTGCTATCCGAGCCCACTACAGGACGCAGTGATCAGGAATAACACAAGACTTGTACGGCTGCTACTTGAGAAAGGAGCTAGCGTTGAAGGCCATAAATCATTCATAAACCCACTCCTTCATGCAGCGAGCCAAGGGTATGAAGATATTGTACGGCTACTGCTGCGTAAGGGAGCCGATACCAACGTTCGGGGGTACCCCAACAGTCCGTTAGCTTTAGCAATCGAAGGGGGTCATGAGACTATCGCTCAGCTACTTTTAAGCCGTGGCGCTACTAGAGATGAGCCTTGGGCTTCCGTTGGCTGTAGGCTATTGATAAAGGCAGCAAGAAAGCGGCAGGTACGCGTAGTCGGCGCATTGCTAGCTTCGGGCGTTGACATTAGGGGTCGTAATATGCCCTTCCAAAGATTGGCGCTTATGTGGGAGAACGAGCGGGACAGAGCCATTATCCAGCTGTTAATTGACCATGGGGTGGGATATAAGCGGAACGGCCCTCGATGAATACCTACCTAGGTACCTAACCTAACCGATTTACTACAGAGTGAAGAGTTTTGCTTAATGTGAAGGTCGGAATTTATTATCCTATTATTATCCCAGCTATTGCGGTGTTTCTACACCCACCAACCAAACCCATTCATATTGAGACTCTTCATATTTTATCCCTGATGGGTTTTTGGGGATCCATCTCGGAACCATTGACCGTGTACTTCGGGATTATCCGTCTTGGCAATGCCTTACGAACTGATTGACCGGGGAAAACGACGCCGTCTACGGCCCGGAATGCGGGTTTTGGGGGGTTTTCCTTTTTCTTTCCTACGTAAGCGACGCTAATTCTTTTTAATTCTTTTTAATATTATGAACTAGCAAATCAATCGTTGTTGTCTTATCTCTCGTGGAAGATACATACCTAGGTACCTAGGTACCTAACCTACTACATCGTGGTCTTTACGATCAATCGGGTTAAGAGACCCCTGGTACACAGGTCTATCTAGAAGGCACAATCCGATCACGACATCACTCGGGATATTGGTGTCATCGTGTAGCAAACTCCCAGATAAAGAGGTATAAATATTAAAAGTACCTAACTACCCCAACCCGCCCGTGTGTTTCTGGCCCACTTGCGTAAGCCTCCTATCCGAGGAATCTTCCACAACAGGCAGGTGTTGTGTTAATCCCGGCAAGGATACTATCGGCTGTCATTCCGATTCAGCATCACACCATCGTGTACCTATGTAAATATTATTTGCCGCCGGCAAACGTGCGCGAGGCGAAGAGTCTTAAAATATAACAAGCCAAGCTTTTCCTCTCCTCCCTCAATTATACTACGTTCTGTCTTGATGCACGTGTATCAAGAGGTGGCATTAGGCGAAGCTTTTCAGCTGGTCATTTAATTTGATCTAGGCTCCGGGCTCCCTAGAAAATGTCGGGCCCCATTGAAACAACATCGGTCCTGGAGGATGCCCCTAGCACGGCTAAAGTACACAAGAAAGCGACGGTGACGGAAGCACCTGTCGCACCTGATGGCGACAAATCAACCGTAAACTTGCAACACGAAGCAAGTAAAGACAGCGCCGAAGATTCTCCTCACGACAATGAAAATGATGCCGAGTATGTAAAGGGACATCCCGTTATTCGAAATGGTAGTGCATATGATCCCCTTTTTCTGGCTCCCGTGGTTAACATACTTGATCAGGGTTCGATGTATCCAAGTTCCTAATATCAGTTCGCGATGATGGCGACCCTGCCTTGACATTCCGCTCCATAGTCTTAGGATCCGTATTCACGGCCCTTTCAAGGTAAATAATTGATTTTCCCTTCCAATTATTTTTCATATAAGACGAACTAACTAGCCTGAAAAAAGCGTCATTACCATGCTTTACATATTTAAACCCTTCCAGGTACAAGTTTCGGCAGTATTCATACAGCGTACGTCCCTTCTTCCAATATAATCCTCCTAGCTTCTTTGCACTCATACTCAATAGTCTTGGTATTTATATTTGGAGAAGCATGGGCCCTCTCAACTCCACGGCCAGAACGGTTCAAGGCAAAGTGGGTGCAGAAAATACTCAGATTCGTCAATTCTGGACAGCCATTCGGGATCAAAGAGCATGTGGTAGCATCGCTAGTCGCTTCTTCTGGCAACAATGGACTGTCTGGTGTGGAAGTCTACGCCGTAGAACGATTGTTCTATGATCGATCCGTCTCTGCTTCTACCGCGGTCCTCGCTACCTTCTCCATCTCACTTTGTGGATTCGTAGTAGCCGGTCTTCTACGACCACTCATCGTCTACCCTGCAGAGATGGTATATTGGTTGACGCTGCCACAGGTCGTTCTCTTCCAGAATCTCCATTTTGACCGGGTGGCCAACCGAGGCCGTCTTATCAAGTTTGGCTGGGCACTTGCGTTTGCTGCGGTCTGGGAGATATTTCCGGCATATATTATACCATGGTTCAGTGGCATCTCTATCTTCTGCCTAGCATCATTGGGCGCTCCAGCAAGGACCCGTACCATCTTCTCCACCATATTTGGAGGAGCCTCTTCCAATGAGGGGCTTGGGCTTCTGAATTTCTCTCTGGACTGGCAGTACATCCAAAGTCAATACCTGTCACTACCGATAAAGCAGCAGCTAAATTCTTGGATCGGCTATGTCATCTTGTATTCCGCCTTGCTTGGGCTGTACTACAGTAATACATGGAACGCCAAGAGTTTCCCTTTCATGTCGACAGCTCTCTTTTCAGGAAACGGTTCTGTGTTTCAACCAACCTCAATTTTGAACGAGCGAGGTGTGATTGATGAAGATAAATTGAACGAGGTTGGTCTGCCATACCTGACATCAAGCACTGTTTGGGGGTATTTTACCCAAAACATCGCAATAGGAGCACTGATAACTCACGTCATTATATTCTTCGGCAAAGACATGGTTCTCGCGTGGAAACAGGCACGCAGCAGAACTCAACCCGATCCGCATTACCAAGCGATGCTAAAATACAAGGAAGTACCGCAATGGTGGTACCTGGTGCTTTTTGTCCTATGCTTTTTCGCCGGGTTGGCCGTGAACATTATAGGCGAGACCACACTTCCCGTATGGGGATACATTATATCTCTTCTTCTTGGATCCTTCATCGCCCCCTTTTCCTGTATCCTCTACGGGTTATACGGAAGTGGAGTGGCGACCAACCAGATCTCTAAGATGGTCGCCGGCGCCGTGCACCCGAACCTGCCGTTGGCTAACCTATTCTTCGCATCGTGGTCGCATCAAGTCATTCTTCTGGCCGTAAACCTAGCAAATTGGCTCAAGGTTGGACAATACACGAAGGTACCTCATCGTGTCATGTTCGCCACCCAGATCTACGGCACTCTCCTCGGGGCAGGTTTGAACTACGCCGTCATGACTATCATCGTTAATAGTCAACGGGAAATCCTTCTTGATCCTCAAGGTAACAACATCTGGAGCGGATCGATTGTTCAAAGTCTCAACTCACAAGCGGTAACGTGGGCCCTGGCGAAACAGATGTACGGAGTGGCAGGACGCTATCTTATTGTTCCCCTTGGCATCGTTATTGGCCTCGTCATACCAGTCTTCCATTGGGGCTTGATCAAGGTGATTCCCCGTTTAAAGGAATGGCCTATTAATACGGCCCTGATTGTCGCCTATAGTGGTGTTAACTACTACGGAAATACGTCGTGGATTTGGTCTTCCATAGCGGTTGGTGTCTTTTCGCAACTCTGGCTAAGACGTCGATTGCCGAGAATCTACAACAAGTATAATTATCTTATCGGGGCGGCATTGGATGGAGGATCCCAGCTGGTGATTTTCATTCTATCTTTCGCAGTCTTCGGCGCCAGTGGAACGGCTCATCCATTCCCAACATGGTGGGGAAACCCATCTGGTAACCCCGATCACTGCCTATAAAATCTTTAAAGAATCTTGAATTTCGGAAATCATCGAAGTTGCCCTTTAATTATGACCCTGGTCTGAAGTCTGCGGCCAAGCTGCGACCCCCGATAGCTGTCAGCAACTTCAAACATCATCATCTAATCCACGTCAACTACAAAATACGACTTAAGTTATACAAACATAGAAAGCGTCATAAATCGAGCCTATATTTTAGCTAGCTTCTAATTGTTACTAGATGAATTTATAATTTCAGATTCCATTAAAACGCTCAGGCTATTTGTTGATGTCGAAAAAACTGTAACCGCAAGTATTCACACGAGTCCTTTACCCTATGCCTAGGTACCTAATAGGTGCCCAAAAGTACTCTTACAATGCGATAGGAAGAGTTTCGGGTAGATTTTGGGTTCGATACTCGGGGGAGTTGGAGATGCGCCTATTTATAACAAATACCGTAATTAATACTCTGTTCGATTTCGATGTCTTACCCTTGGTGGATGCTTTCCAATCTAGCCAAGGGCTCAGTACTTAAGAAACCCTGAAGAAATAAGGTGCTGTGGAGTTTTCTTATTATGAAGATAATTGCGCTCCAAGGGCTGCCTTCGCGTGATCGTGCTAAAGAAAATGATTGTACGGCCCCACTATATAATGGAGGACGGAAGGTTATAATATGGAGCGCGGCCGGTGCGGCAAACCCCGGGCGATTATGTGGACCCATACGCCGATCGGCAGGTCCGATTGCGTCGCGCGTTCAAGTTTGACTTTAACGCCGGACTCTTTAATATCATGTTTTCCGTCTAAGGGGCTATGAGGTGCATACATATCATTTCATCGTTTATATTAAAACTTTCATTCCATTACAATGTTAGTAGGTACCTAGGTGCTTATGATGGCGAGATGTTTCTCAGAGCTTGAGAATTACGCTGGGATTGGCAAAATAGCGAAGGGCGGTAAGGATGTGGTATCTTACTATTAACCAAACAGACTCAATTCTTAATTCTTAAGACCGGTTTCGCGGTAGGGAAGGCTAGAGGCACTACGTTGACATCCCTAAGACCAATGCATGTATTAATCATATTAAGCTTTCGCAGCATTCATTCAGGGGGTTCTCCCCGCGCCTCCTATATCGCCGATTAACTAACTAGCTGGAAGTTCACCCGTCTTTCTCTTCGTCCCCAACTCTTGTAAGCGCGAAGAGCCATCCAACTCAGTTATGCCCATCGACAACGGGTCCATACGATAGCCACGAGAGTCTAATCCTCCTAGGAGTTGCTGGGGAGCAACTTGCTCGCGAGCCGTGGCGAGTCGTTTGCGTCTATACCGTCCCAACACGAGCCACGAAACGCCGAAGCACAAAAGGAATACACCAATGCCGACCCCGACCCCTACTCCGGCAGCAGCGCCTGTTGACAAGTTTGCGGAATCCACTGGCGTCGACGTGGAAGTCGCGACAATATCAGATGAATGAAACGCAACTTTAATCGAGTGCGCATTTATCCCTCCGTCTGTTGACCACGTCGTTGTGAAAGTATTTCCGAGGCGATCGGTGTCGGTCACGGTGTATACCCTTGTGTCCCCGGGCTTTAAACCCGAAAGGCAGGAGTAGTAACCGCCATCACAGCTAAACTGGCTTAAGATATAATTAGCTATCTCTTAATCGGTAAAGACGACGTTAGTACGTCAAGAATGAAACGAACTTACGTTGGACAGCACGCCCACACGGTCTCGTCGGTACTGTGGCTTGACGTGATATCGCATGCACTCACATATCCTGACGGGCAGATTGCAGGTGAGAAGGTGGTAGCCAGGTCTCTGCCGCCAGGCCAGCAGCCCGTATCGTGCGGGTTGCCGAGGACGATACCCGAGTCGGCTCCCCCTTTTGAAGATACCCAGATCTGGGTTAAACACGACGGTTGGAGAGCTAAGGCTGTCAGCATAGCTAAATTATTTTCTATCTATGAAAGGTTCTATGCATAGAAGTAACATAGAGAATATTACGTCGAGGAGAAAATAAAACTAACACGTTCTGCTACTCAATCTTACCGCTCTTGGCTGTCAGCTGCATCCACCTTGTGCCACCTCGCAATGTGAGACAACTTAGGTACTAAACAAGACACGGGGAGGATTATGAAGTAAACAAGACCTTGGCCCGCATCAACCCGCATCAGATCGTGTTGTACGAATGCTTTTTAGGGAGGGGTTGTCTTCTGTTGAATCCCAGGGGTAACACAGCAAAGATCAAAGTCTACCTACCTCTCAGCATTTATTTACTAGGAATATCTACGATGCATCTAACTCCGGTATTAATGTTGCTGTTGGCATCTCTAGCGAGTGCCGGACGGGATGGATGCCGGTCGTCCTGGGTATGGCCTGATCGGCTACGGCATTGAGATGTATATCCCCGTCTGCGCATACGCCTGTCAGTATTCTTTTGGGTCCAATCCGCTATAGTTTCAGGTATCGAATCACAAATCAAAGTAGTGGTTTGATTTAAGCGTCATTTATTACGTAGGTACCTAACTACCTAGGTCCTAGGTATCTGACTTGCCATATTGAGCAAGATTTAAGAACACAACGCAATGGGCTGGATGTGTGGCCTTGACGATAGGGCAAACTTTCTGCAAGAAAGGCTAATTAACGTCAATATGGTACCAGAAATCAGGCGAATTGGCTTTCAAGGTTTGGAGCCATTGTCCCTGCGACAGAACGGTGCGATAAAAACAGCTCATTGTAAAACCAAATGAGGATTGGGTATTCCTTGGTGTGAACCTTGCTAGTACAAAGATGAAAATGCTGTAGGAAAATCAGTAGTGTGTTAATCCTCACCTAGGATCGACAGCCTACTGCGAATCGAGTAATATTCTCAGCAGTGCAAGAATGACTTTAATATGACCAACCAGATCATAACGCAACGCAAGGGGATGCAACTCAAAGATGACGGTGGCTTGGCTGGGGCGAAGAAATAGTTCCGAAGCTTCTTCAGATCTCAACACTTAGATGTGAGCTGCGGGAGTAAGAATACGACAGAAAGCTGGTGTTCGCGTATCGATCGGCTTCATGCAAATAAGGGTCAATCTATAACCCTGGGTCCTGGAGAGTCACTTCGCCTTTCGGCCTACTCCAAGTTGAGCGGAGCAACAAGGTGTAATTTATGAGGGTTACCCATATCAGATGAAGCCCTAAGTTTGCTATCCGCCCAAAGAGTCGCCCAAAACGGACCTAGGATGATGAACGTGTTGAGTACAGCTCTGCGGAACGCGCCTCTACTAAAAGGGGTTACCATCTCGACCATCCAGAACGTACTCAACACTATCACTGCTCCCAATAATTCCTGTGTCACTATTCAAATCAGATACCTTGTCCTTCTTGACGAGCCATTTACCCCCTAGAAACTTACGAATGCATGGGTCCGAAGGCTTTCGCTGCTTTGACTCATAAGGCACGAGTTTTGCATTATTGCTGTCGATCGCATTGACGGTGCAGCCGCACGCGAGACCAGGTATTCCCTTTTGACGTTGGACATCTTGTGCCATTGTAGTCCATCGCTGATGCTTACTGCCGAAGCTTTCGAATGGTCCCTCCATCATTGCTTGGGTATTATATTTGGTTGGTTCGGGTACTTCTTGTTCTATTTCTCGTGGCAGCAGCGTCTTTCGTTGCAATTCGGGCGCTAACTGGCGTTCATGAGGAGGGCATTGCTCACAGAGACCATGCGCATAGCCGATATCACGAAAGTACCAGATTCGACTCTTGGGCAAGAACATGCTAACACTGAGTGTATGAACAGGAGCATCCCCAAACCGTTCATAATAAAACCCGCCAGCTTTGTCCAGATGGTCGAAATATGCCCTGTGTTCTTTGCTGCGGAAGAACTTCAGAGAACCAATTTCAAAATTGGAGTAAAACTGGCAATTGTTGTACTCCCCATCACCCAGGCCCTCCTTGGCACCCGTGTGCGGACGAATCACATCATCATGATCTTCAGCCGTGTACAGTAACCAATCGAAATCTGCCTCTTCATTTACCAACTCCTCGTTATGGTCGATGAATTCTTTGGTTCGCTCCCATAGAGAAGGGAAAGATCGGGCATCGTCGAGAATGGCCATATTAAATCCGTACGCCATATTGTTATCTTGCATAAATCGGAACACGTCGTAATTGATATCACAGGAGAACTTGACCTACAATACCTTTGTTAGCTGTGGGTATCGAAAGGGGCATCGCTGACAGGGGCGGACAATTGTGACTTTCGTAAACAAATTGCAAAGGAGGCTAACTTACACCAGGCTCAACTCTCCAAAACCAGTCATAATCGGCAAGACGTTTCTCCAAGGCGAATATACCAGCGTTCCAACGACACATATGATGGTAGCTTTGTAACCACGCCTTGCCGACACCAATACCACCCATGAATTGACGACCAATATCAAACCGGTCAATGTCGATCCAAGATGGAATTCTCCAGTGCTCTTGAGGGATGCGTTCGAAGTAGCATTGGGAATCGGTAGCTTTAGACACGGCTGCTTTAAACCCTTCAGTGAACTCCTCATTATTGAAGAAGACCCAATCGTATCCGTGAGTTTCCCGGCTGTTGAATCGAGCTTCCACCTGAAGGATGCTAGCGACCATTTCTTCCACCTCCTCATTTCTCACAAGGGAGATAAAGGCAGCTTTTGGACGTGTCTCAATCAATGCCTGTACCTGCTGGGCCGGTAGATCTTGCAGATCTAGGATGGTATTCTTGCGGAGCCACTGGATTGGATGGCTGGTATCTGCTTGTATAGTATATCCAGCAGGTGGATGCGGCATAGGGGGTACGTAAGCGTCAATGACTGGAGTTTCTAGATCGATTGACTTCTCTGGCTCCCAGGTAGACAACCAAGCACTGCCTACGAGAGCGGATGCTAGGCAGAAGAGGACAATCTTGCGAAAGGAGAAAGGCCTTTAGAAAATACAGTAGTATTAATCGATTGGTCACATTGGTTGGTATAACTGGGAACGTAACTGGGAACGTACCTGACCCGGCGAGGAAGAAAGTTCCAAGTAGGGAACCCTTGGATCTTGCTATGGGTTGGTTCAACTGCATTCTCAGGGGCGATAGCCAGAGTATCATCACCTGTTTCATTTTCTTGAGGATTGAGACTTAGAGGTAGAGGAGTAAGGTCGTCGATCGAAGAGCACGATAAGGACGCTACATGACCTCTGCTGCTGGATGATCGGGACATATGAGCACCTCCCCCGCCGGCGGCGTGACGAGAGTATGCTTTAGGAGTATGGAATTCCATCTGTCTTTGACGAATCCCATAATGGTTAACATGGGTACCAGGCATTAAGGATATTAGGGTGTACTTCATAGAAAAGGATTAGACTAACCTAGACGCGGCATGCGTTAATCGGCGGTGCGAGTAAGGGGGGTGGGAGACGGAGACGTGATTGAAATTGAGGCAGAAATGTTTTAATAGGTGGTAGTCAATTGCCCTAGAAGACGGTTGTTTATTGTTTAAGGAGAGTTAGTAGGACGAGACGCGAAATAGTGAAAGTGTGAACGAAAAGAATGGCAAACGTCTATAGACAAAAACAAAAGGCGTTTGGGGATGTTGTGGTGGTTAGTGTTGTTTTGGAAAAACGCAGCATATCTACTTGGGCACTTAAAGATTGGAGATTGGATATGATTGATTGCTGGTTTGGCGGGAACAAACAACCCTAGAGCCCGTTGTACCTGTCATAAGATTGTCAGGGAAACACCGCTATTTCATAGGGGACGTAACTTCCCTCTGCAGTTCACGGGGACCATAGGAACGAATCTAGTCTACCGGTCAGATGCCGGCCAGAAGTCGATTCACCGGGCTAGTCACCTGCCCATTATCCAATCCTAAGTCACGCATACCGCTCAAGTAGACGCTACCAAAGCACCTAAGATTAAGTACTGTAGAAGCTAAATGATCATCTAGACTGTACTCTGTAGTCTTATTTAGTTATGGGTTGAGGTTATAATACAAAGCGATGTCAGATTAGATAAAAGACAACGAGGGTTGGTACCTAGGCCTTAGAAGCCAATAATGAATACCCCTTATTTTTAACCTAACTCCCCCTTTACTAGAAACGCTACATCACGTTTCAACCATCATAGCGTCGCCAGTTATGTCATCCTCATGGGTGAGCTCGAGGATTCGTGCATATTGTACAGTAATCCGTTGGAGTTCCCTGAATTTTCCTGGGTGACAGTTAGCATTGAACGAAAAGACCGAGTTTGACCATAACACGACTTACCTAGAATCATCACAACGCCTTTCAATAGATCCTTACGATCCCACCCGCAAATATCATCATCTTGACTATACCATCCCTTGCCTCCTACATTACCCCCCTTTTTATCTTGCAGCACACCTCCTACTAAGCTGTTGAGAAGCTCTTCTACTTTCCCTCGGTGCCCTTCTGCTCCGATCCGTTTTGCGTACATGAATAGATATAGTCGGAACTCGTCCTTCGAACCCAACTGTAAGGCACCAGCAATTCGGTTCTCTAAATGAGCAATACTAACACTAGACTCGAACGTTTCGAAGCCGTCCCTCGATAGCAAAGTCTTAATTAGGCGTTGTAAGGTGTATGCTCTCCCCTTCAGCAGAAACTCGTTCGTTGTATGTCGTTCCAAGTAGGGAATAATGCCGGCTGAAACAGTCGCTCCATCACTCTGCCCGTCCTTGGAAGATGTAGAGCCAACCGCAGTAGACTGCAATGCCCCAACTGAAGAGTCGTTGCTATTCCAGTACTGGCTACCTACAGCCCACCACGATTCAGAAAGACGTTGCCAGGAATACATTGTTGGGGAGTAGAAGTATCCATCGCCATTGGTAAGGGTGACAACAATATGGCCGCTAGAGTTTAAATGTGCAGATGTGACACCAGGACCCGGCATGGCACTATGTGTCTGGAGCGAGCTGATGGCGATCTCCAATACGGGCGCAAGAGATACCGGTGGATGGGGCGAGGATAGTGTGTTAATATTCCAAACATGACATATACCAACCGCTGTGATACAAAGCAACCACCAATCGCGACACTCCAGAATCACCGGCTGGGATTCCAACACCATCGCATTTATTAATCGACGGCCTGCGGGAGTCCAAGTATATAAGCTGCCATCTTCACATGCCGCAGCCCAGAATCTCTTGCTGCCAGTTACAAGGATGATAGCCCGTGGAAGATAGTCTTGCCACAGTAGACTACCACGTTTCGCGGCCGTGATGTGCGAGGGATCTCGAATCGATACTGGATTTTTTGCTTCTAAGATGACGTTTTCGGGTACTTTCGATGCCTCCTCTACGCTGCTTTCATCCTGCAAAACACCCCGTTCTAATGGACGGATAATATGTGACCTAACTTTAGGTACTGCTAGACGGACTTGAGAAACTGCGATAGAGGGATTGAGGATGGCTGGTCGGAGATATTCGGGAGTTGGTATAAGACCATGTTTGGGCGGTTCGAGAGTCGCGGGCTCAAGACCTTCTACTCCATTTCTCACTATAGTTCTTGGTCCAGAAGCTGATCGCTTATTTGGAGGTTCATCATCATCTTCACCCTCCGACGTAATCGCTTTCCTTTTATTCCCAAGAAGCATAGCCGCTAGACCACCTTCTGGCAGTCCATCGTACGGCTTCGAAAGATCCAGTATCGTTTGTGGCGCATCGTTTTGCGCAGCTTTGGAGGAGCTAGATCCCACCAGCTGGCTCTGGGGAAGTGATGACTGACCAGTCCCGGATGACGAGATGAGCATAGGTGCAACTCTTTTCTTCCCGTCCTTAGTAATGGTCACACGGGATTTCAGTTCATTCACCCGCTCGGCAGCTTTATCGGCCGACTCTTCTACAACGGGGGCCTTTTCTTTCTCTGGCTGGACATCTGTTTGTCCATTTGTTGTTGGCAAATTCGGTGTTGCAGCGCTACTCTTAACCCCATTCGTCGTAGGTGGAGCGTCTTTAGGAAGCGGATGAAAATCGCCCATCAGCGCCCCCATTCGCGATTCGGCACCTTTTCTCTCCCCCTCCTTGCTATGGTTTTCGAGTTGAAGTCCATCAACATCTTCCGCTATTCCCATGGCTTTTCGAGAGGCGCCATATTTGGATAGGGCCTTGTCCGTCTCTTCTAGGTTGGCCACCCAGCCCAACTCTCCGGTGTCAAATTTGACTGCGACAATACCGCCGTCGAGACTCGACGCGAACAGAATTTGACCATCAGGAGTCCAGGCAAGGTCGGATATAGATTTTGATGCCATATCTTGCAAAATAACCACGGGTCTTGACGTGTTAGTGTTCCATACGCTCAGTGTCTTATCTTGGCCGGCCGATGCTATCACCGTCACCAAAGTCCCCCCAGAATGACCATTGGTCGCTCCATTCTCCACAGGTTTTTTGGTATGAAATAACCTAGGAGAGAACATACACACTTCCGTAGGACCTTCGTGGCCGATCAGGTTAATTTCACTGTCCCATCTGGTTCGCTCAATAATAGCGACCGAACTTACGGGACCGTTGACGGCATTAGCTGCAGCAATATGATTTCCATCAGGTGACCATGAGCACCTTCTGAAATACGTAGTCAGTGGGGATGATTTGAAGGGAGCGCTAATAGTAGTCTCGAGTTGAAAGTTGTTGACCATGTCATGTTGGGTCGCATTAGGGGCGGGGGGAGTAAAACGGAAAATCTTGATAGTTCGGTCATCGCTAGCGGTAGCAAAAAACTTATTGGCAGGGTCGAAAGTAATACCCTTCACATGGCTTTGATGATTTCCAAGTACTTTGAGCTTCTCGAAAGTGTGTCCCGACCAGATGACGACCTTGGAATCAAGACCCACAGAGACAAGAATCGACCCATCGTAAGACCACGCAAGATCTTGGACATCATTGTCGTGCCCTATCAGTCGCCTCGAAGTCTTCCAATTCTCGACAGGTGGCGGCTCGTTCGTTCCGAAAGGCGCGATAGTAGGTGGACCACTCTCAAGCTGATATATACATATGATTTTGTCGTCTGCTCCCGATGCAAGGTAGCGGCCATTGGGTGAGAATCGCACGGAATGAATAGTTCCTAGATGATGGCTCATATGGCAAAGCTGCCTAGGTTTCGTGTAGGAAGGATCGTCGGCATTGTAGATGGATTCGGTTGACCAAACTCGAACATGGCCATCTAAAGCAAAGCAAGTAAGATATCAGCGCAAATAAAGCTTGTGGTGATCAAGCATTGCTAAAAACGCACCTCCACCAGCTGTTGCAAGTCGCTTTCCATCAGGCGATATGTGGCAGCTGTAGACCTCGAAGTCTTTCTGTTCGCCTTCAGAAATAGTCAGCCTTATTTTCTCTATCCCCAGAAAGCTCATCAACAAACACAGGTCCCATACCTCTATGGCTCAGCCATGACGGCTTAATGATGCGCATGGTGACTCGATAATTGGGATTGTAATTCGCATGTCGGCATAAAGTAAACGTCAATTAAACTAGGATGGGAACAATCAGAATAAATGCGCGTGCCTCAGAAGTTTCAATAAAAGGTTGGTTGTCGAAGAATCGAAGAATCCGTGGCGCGCGACGCGGCCCAAGTTTCGATCAATTTAAAAGTTTACGTAATCTTTCTTTTCAGCTAAGGGATACATCTTTAAATACCTACCTACATGTACCTAACCTTAGCTTCACATCACCTTACAGTACAGTGTGCCCTGACGCCGACCCAAGTATCCGGCAGTCGGTACTAAACAGGTACTTACCTAGGTTAGGAGGTACCTACTAATACCTAAAGTCTCGAACCCCACATACGTGCGCCTAGTGTAAGCCAACTTTGATGCATGTATAAAGAATATTTGCCTACCGAACATTTCTACAGGTTATGGGTTAGGTTAGGTACCTAAGCCCTTATAAGGGATGCATAAAGAAACGGAATCATCAAGTCCATCAATCGGAGAATGTAACAAATCTTAATTGCTTCACCCTACCTGGGTATGCCATGGCAAATACATCATCTCTGAAGCCGAGCAACTAATTCAGAGTTCAGACAAAAGAAAACAAAAAAGGGGGCATTTCCGGTCCGGCGAGAAGATCCGAGGACCTATGATTATCATGCTGCCGTGTCCATGACCCCCGAGGGAAAAAGAGGCCATTCTTATGCACAGTTCCCTTTCCTTCCTGACTCCTCTCAAATGCCGAGTATCCCCTCCCAACGCCCTGTAAAGTCATCGTCCATGGACTGCATAGGTTGCGAAAACATGGGAAACCTGACGAGGATACTTCCTCCACAGATCCGCTCAAGGCATAAGAGACGCAGAGGATTCCTGATAAAGGACATATCTGATGATAGTGTTACATAGTATTGTTGTCATTGTCGTTGATTAATGCCCGAGTCGCCGTATCCTGAAGGGCAATACTAATGCTCCGTATAAGTAAGCATATTGTGCTTTGGGCTGAGCCGTAAGATGCCTAGTTCATTCGATAAGACGAAATAGAACTCAAGCGTATCCATTACTTCCATATCGGGTCGGCTGGCGAGGTAGATCATTGAAGTAAGGGTGATGGCAGGCTTGCTTAGCAGAAATTCGGCCGGCGGGATCGTATACGAGCAGAGCTTCTAGAAGATCGAGGCCGTTGTCATCAAGGTTCGAGCATAGGACCGTCGAATGGTCACGTACCCACTTGGGGAATGAAGCTTTGAAGTCGGGGTAAGAAGTAACTCCAGGCCATACCTCCTCAGTAGGAGTACCCAATAAGCTAAAAATGTAATGAGCAATGAGTAATCACAGACAGCATCGAAAAGGTATACTTACCGGAAAGTCTTGAAAATCTGGTCGATCTCCGAGTCTCCGGGGAACAACGGTTTCCTAGTGCACATCTCTGCAAAGATACAGCCTACGGACCACATGTCGACACCCGTGGAGTACTGTCGTCCGCCAAGTAGAATCTCCGGGGCCCGGTACCAGAGCGTAACGACCTCGTGGGTATATGTTCTAAGGGGCACTCCAAAAGCACGCGCCAAGCCAAAGTCGGCAAGCTTCAAGTTTCCGTCGCGGTCAATCAGCAAGTTCTGCGGTTTGAGATCTCGGTGCAGAATTCGGTGGCTATGGCAGTATCGTATTCCTTCGCAAAGCTGGCTCATGAATCGGCGAACCATGCTACTACCCAGTCCAAGGCGTCCCAGCTCGGGCCCCGAACCTTCAGGTAGAGCTTTACCGCGACCACCATCGCTAACGGGAAGTGCCTCCATGTACTTCTTCAGATCGAGGTCGAGAAATTCGAAGACTAAGTAGAGCTTGTGGCCCTCGGCATGGACGATGTTAAACAGTCTGACGATGTTGGGGTCACGCATCTCCTTGAGCAGAGAGATCTCTCGAATGGCAGTACTAGGAACACCCTCATCCTCAGATTCGAGACGAATCTTCTTCAATGCGACGATACGGCCGCCATGGGCCAAGTCTCGGGCTTTATAAACGACACCATAAGTGCCTAAAAGCAAACGTGATTTAGCAAATAACAAGTTTGAAGTTTGAGACGTACAAGTTCGGCTTACCTTCGCCAATCTTCTCAAGCTTCTGGTAGTTATCCATTTTCAAGGATGGCTATTACTGCACTAGAATTGAATTGGATCGAAGGAATGTAAGAAACAAAAATTAGATTGGAGGAGAGGCGTTGAATGACTATGGGAACCTCGAATTCTGGAGGGTAACCTGCACCAAAGAAATTGAACTCGGTTGCTATTTACTCGAGCGTTTGAATGGTGGTGTGGGTTGGGGGGTAACAACAGAAAACGAGGGGCAATAGTGGGAGAGAGAGAATCTCGAATCTCGACGAGGATAACCAGAACAAACGTTGCCTATGAGTGTGTATCGAAAGGAGCGAACAGAGTTGATCCTGTACGATCTCGCAGTCTGTCAAAACTCCATTGGTACCAGGGATGTGTTAAGTACTGCAAGAAGTTCGGTCTGCTGCGAGAATCCGTGAAAGGATTGTTGGCGGTATGTGGGTTGAAATTGGGATTTTACAGCTCATGGGGTGTGGACTGGTGGATTAAGGTAGGTTGCAGTTGTTTTCCCAATAATACAAGGTAAACAGTGGGTTCATAACTTTTGACACGCGCTGACTTTGTGGCTAACAAAGCCAAATCGCGTTTGTGGCTCGGGGTTCAGGCCGCTAATGCGCGTTTAAATAAGCAGCTACGTATGATACATGTATGTATGTATTGTACACGTCTGGTATGCAGTTGTGTACCTAACCTTATGTATATGTATCTTTTCAGCTATAAACCCGCATGCAGGTACATATTGCTCTCTCATATCTTATCGATACATACTTCGTACCTACATAACAATATAATTTCTACCTATGCATCACATTTTCACATGCATACAAAGTGACAGGGGCATCTGAGCATGAAAAATGTCATGATCGAACTCTCAAACTCTCAAACTCTAGAAACGAAACAAGGAAAAGGGTGTTTCTGGTATCTTATCTAATCTATTAACACGTAACACCGATATTCCTACGTCTTCAACCGCTATGACACTCGACCTCACTACCCTGGATGCTCATGAGCAACCAGATGAAGAGCTCAAGGCTACATGGAAAAAATATTCGAGGACTGACCATGAGGAATTCACGAGTCACCCGGACATAGATGAGCTAGACCCCCCGAATACTGTGGGCGCATTTAAGCTAGCAGGGCATATCCCAAGTGAAAATCTCACCACCTCTTTTAAGCAACTCGAGGGTAGTGACTGGGACGAAAGCCAAACTATCGAAGATGCTCCTTTCTATTTCCATCCTCTACTCCCAGGTAAGCCCACTCCTCACCATCCCGACGATTATTCTCATACTAGATCACAGGCTTGCTTATATTTCCCTCTTTAATACCACCAAGAACGCAGAAAGCACTATTACATCGCATGGTTCATAGGGATCTAAGCAATCCCACTCACCAGACTAATTTACACTTACACTATGATCTTCCCTATCTAGAAAAGCAAGATGATGCGGACGTTGATTCCCGGTCTTTCTTCTCCTACTCTCCAGAAGCATCAGCAAAGTTCCTGCCAAAAGACCCGACCGTTCACAAGTCCTTGTCTATCAAGCAAGTCCTTGAACGGCGATTATCTTGGGTTACGCTCGGAGGGCAATATGATTGGACAAATCGAGAATATCCTAACCAAGCTCCTCCTGATTTTCCTCATGATATTGCCAATTTCCTTCAGACCCTCTTCCCGGACACTGCTGCTCAGGCTGCTATTGTCAACTTTTATAGTCCGGGGGACACGATGATGATGCATCGAGATGTTAGTGAGGAATCAGACAAGGGTCTTGTAAGTCTCAGCATAGGCTGTGATGCATTATTCATGATTGCGCCGAATGGCTATAAACACACGTCGACCGGTAGAGAAGCTTCCGAGAAGCCATATCTTCTTCTGCGACTACGATCCGGAGATGCCATTTACATGACCCAAGAATCCCGATATGCTTGGCATGGCGTACCAAAGGTTCTCAAAGGCACCTGTCCAGATTTCCTAGCCGATTGGCCGGCAGAAGGTGACAAGTTTCAAGAATGGAAAGGGTGGATGCGGAATAAGCGCATTAACTTGAACGTCAGACAGATGAAAGACTGAATTTCATATCCGTTTCAATGTTTTAACAAACTACAATATCCCTGCCACGGCATATAAAGTTTTGCTCAGTTCGCCCCCCCTCAAGCTAAAGCTTAAACACATCCTCACGCCCTTGCAATCATGATCAGGAGTCTGCAGCGATGTCGTAGACAATTTCTTCAGAATGTCCAGACCTAGCATACAAGAGATGGTCCCATAACAACACCATCGAAATTACAATATGCCAAAGGTATCCCCTTCGATTAAGTTGGTATAAGCCCCCATTATAAATATTTTAAGTGTTAGGTCCTCCAAGGACAGCAACAGCCCAAAACAAAACTTAAGCATTATGGTCGCCAGCTCATAAAGTCAATTTTTACCGATTGCTATATACTGCATTAATAGTGGTTGCGGTGACTCACAAACCACTACATGGAGGTGTTCGTCGTGTCAACTTTGTTATCTTCATTCTCCTACGGAGATACCTAGACAACTTGTACCTTACCGTCGGCCCTCATACGGTCATATCTCAGTACACTCTGCAAAAGAACATCTGCACCTATTGTGCAGTCTTCGGGGCTAGTGTACTCCTCGGGGTTGTGGCTAACGCCGTTCTTCGATGGAACGAAGATCATGCTCGTCGGACATCGTCGACTGGCGTATACACTGTCATGTCCAGCCCCGCTAGTCATATCCCGCACCAGACTACTACTGCCGGTGACCGCCTCGGCAGAAGCCCTTACCACGTCAATACAGTCTGGGTGAAATATCGTGGCGGGAGAGACAAAGTCCGTTCGCCATTCAACACTTAGCGGCTTCCCTGGCGTTGAGTTGGCGAGAAGTCCCCCAATATCGTTGCCCGCAGCCAGCGCTGCGAAGTCCCGCTTTAGATCAGTCTCCATGGCATCAATGGTAGCATCAGCAGGCGCACGGATATCGAGCGTGAAGCTCACGTGTCCAGGAATCGTGTTTGTGCTGCCGGGGCTTAGTGTTAGGATACCTGTCGAAGCAACTGCGGAATGCGCAGTTGCTAGGCGATGCGAATGCGTGATCAAGCGTGCTGCAAGCAGCATCGCATCGGCGCGGCTTTTTAGAGGCGTAGTGCCTGTGTGTGCATCTGATAGCCCCATACAGTCAGCTCAGAATCACTTGATTATCTCGTTTCATAGAAATGGGCACGGGTTAAGTACCTCGTCCATGAACGTCGACGGTGAACCACTTATAAGCCTGAACCCCCTTTACAACTCCGACTTTCTGTTTTTCCGTTTCTAAGATCGGACCTTGCTCGATATGAAGTTCGAAATGAGCGGCCATGGGAGTGCTCCGGTGGCTCGCTGGTGTTGAACCGAGATATCCAATTCGCTCCAATTCGGATTTTACTGTCGCAGTGCCCCCGCCTACCTCCCGAGTATTATGAGCACGGTCCAGGGGGATCTCTTCAGCCCATACCCCCGAAGACATCATGCTAATCGGAAATCGAGCGCCTTCTTCACTATTATAACCTATCAGTTCGATTTCTCTTCAAGATATAGCCAACTGGAGGTGGCAAACACCCTGAGATATGGTCAGACATACTTAGTCCAGTTTACAACACCAACTGGGAACTCGGTCTCTACCTTGTGTTCCTGTAGTACATTGAGCATCTCGATACCAGCTAAGATGCCGAGGATCCCATCATAACGACCACCGCTCGGCTGTGTATCGAGATGAGATCCAGCAAACGTCGCCGGTCCTTCACATCGACCAGGACGGATAGCGAATATGTTGCCCATAGCATCAACATTAACATTACATCCCAAAGCCATGGTTATCTTGATGAACCAATTCCGAGCCTGCTTATCTGAGTTGCTCAATGCAAGCCGTGACATACCTGTCTCGGTTGGAGCGCTGTAATTAGTTAGATATAAGTATGTGACCATGCAGGAATATCGACTTTAGAAGTAGACTTACCTTCCCCATCGCTTACCCGTCCCAAAAGAGCATGTATTGTGCAATGCATCCATTAATCTGCTCTTCTGCGCCTTTAGGGTCGTAAGATGGTCATTCTGTCGGTCGGTAGCTTGAGTGCTAAAATATCGCGGCGTTCTGAACGTTAAGAGGGGTTGCAGAGCCCGTGAAGACAACGCAGATAATCGCCCACTCATAGGAACCTGGACTTGGTCAGTAAGGCCTACGCGGCAACGTATAGCCGATGGATTGCGTAGTATACAAGCCATGCCGGATACATGAATCGTCTACGGAGATGAAATCTAGTTTGAAATTGATAGAATTTTATTATGGTAATAAGATAACTAATTCAGATAACTACTACCTCTTGGAGCGAAGTCGGCAATAGGTATTATTTGTATTTAGTCACGTGCCAATGGATACAACCTATAGGATTGACACCATACTTCATGATTCCCTCTTGGGATAAGATGCAAGTTGAATCGGCAGAATATTCACTTTTATAAGCGGCCTTATTTATATCTTTAGTTCACACTTTCACTCGCTAGTTAATATGGTAGGTACGGTACTTAGAAGCTCGTTACTCATAGAGATAAAAACATTTGCTGAGGCTTAACATCTAATTCAAAGTTCTGGATTCTATGAAGACCGTAAATACCTATATAACTACAACTATAACTGGAGAGGCCCCTAGGTATCTAAATCGTTTGATTTCGGCATTATTTTACGCTGATGGAACTTTTCCAAACCGGTATTGTGCCCAACTCAAGCTTTTTTCAGGTAGAGTCCATAGCTGTTCGCCAACATCGGAACCTGCAGCACCCGCGGCAATATGCATCGGAAGGATATGGTCTAAGGTCGGATGCGCTTTCCTAGCATCATCGCGCTTCATCAGAGCGAGCATCTTCTCCCGACGTTCTTCTGGCTTCGCAGCAGCAGCAGCCTCCTTTAGTGCCGAATCAAAGGTGAAGGCGTAACTAAACTACATTAGCAGAAGCACAATCGACTTGGTATCATTAGCAGGGCTGTCTCACGGCATGGTTTGGTCGCTAGTTCTATTGGCTCGGTAGTCACGAAGATTGTGAACAGCCATCCCGGCGCCAATGATTAAAATGCCTTCGTCCCGTAGACTTTCCAATGTCTGTCCCACGCGGTAATGTTGATCCGTATCTTCGTTATCAAATAGTGAAACTTGCACAATGGGTACATTTAAGGGGTTCCGCTTCGGATCAAAAGCTGACACGGCATTGAATCAGCAACAAGATGTGCCTAGATGGTGTACGGGAGACAATTCATTACTTACCAGCCAGAAACCCCACCCATATACCATGATCAAGACCTCGTCTAACTCTCTCAACTTCAATACCAGCACCCGCTAACTTCTCAATAACTTTCTCGGCAACCTCAGGACTTCCCTTGTTAGGATAATCGTATTCGTAGTAGTGTGGTGGGAAGCCGTAAAAGTCGTAAATTAGATCTGTTTTCTCGGCTACATTGATTTGAAGCTTGTTCGGGCTAGCTTGCCAATGAGCAGAGAAAACGACCACGGCCTTGGGTTTGACCTTTGTTGTAATCTCCTGCCCTACCTCGGCCAGCTTGGCGTAGGCAGGATGGGCCGTGTTTTCTATGAAGTTAGGACCACCGATACCAAGGAAGTATACGGGCGGCCGTGAAGGGCCGTCTATATGCGAGGAATCTGACATATTATCTGGTTATATATTGATTGCTTGCCAAATACTGCTCGTGTACGACTGAGCGGTCTTGTATATGAGTGGAATGGACCAACCCATGAGGAGAACGGCAAAATATATGTACCTCTATCGAATAATAGAATTATTGGATGGCAACTCCAAGGGCATGACGGGCAATGTCTAGCCTAGCCTTTTCTCGACATCCATAGCTCTTATGAACAGAAGTAGCCGGATATAGCATATTCGAATTATTCGGACCGCGAGCTGACAAATGCATTGTTCAAATATACGGAGCATAGAAGTTTGGAAACTTGCTAAGATGGTATATGATGCGAAAGGATGGTCATGCATGTTGAATTTCCAACATGCTGTAGCGTAGACACTCCCGCGCGCGACGAAGGCAAGCCTCCTAACCTCTTTCTCAGCCCATGGATGTCAATGAATGGGCAAGGTCCATGGCGTCCAATCACGGCTCTTTTGGATTACGAATAGGTTACATATCTGGCAAAGAGGTTCAATGCTGGATTCACCCCGCGCGGTCTGGAATAAGCTTGCGGGGTCCATCGCGCGCGGGTTGACCAGGATCTCCTTTAGTTTATTCGGTTTGATGGATCTGGATCCTCGCGCGCGGCTTGTGGGTCTCGGTGAACTACAGATGATGGTGTAGCAATACAACCCAGACGATTGGGTTGGTCTTATACTTTGCATGATGGGTTGATGGACTGACATGATGACATTCGTCCTGTTCGACCTTTGGCCTCGCACTTCGGAATAGTAGGATTACAAATCCGTAATTTGTAAAATATAGCGGAGTGTTCGGATATATCGTGATTGAACGCAGACTCCAGTAGACTCTGGTAGATATAAATAGGGGGTATGTCAACTTCGAGATAAACCCATATTTCATCCCATATCTCAGCTTCTCTATAAACTTAGAGCCTCAAGATTCATCCTTATTATCAACTATCAAAGCACAATGTCAGGAAACGTTGCACTTATTCTCGGAGCTGGGCCCAGAGTCGGCGCCGCTGTCGCTCAGAAATTCGCCAGCAACGGCTATAAAGTTGCTATCGCTTCCAGGAACGGCACTGGCTCCAAAACTACTGAAGGGCTTCTCTCACTCAAAGCGGACTTCACCAAGCCCGACTCGGTCCCAGCGCTATTCGATGCAGTCAAGGCCGAGTTTAAGACAGCTCCCAGCGTTGTTGTCTACAACGCAGCAGCACTTACGAACCCTCCCGACGAGGACTCCATTTTTTCGATTCCATCGGACAGCGTCGTATCGGATCTCAATGTCAACACTGTTAGCCCCTACGTCGCAGCCCAGCAGGCTGTCCTTGGGTGGGCAACGTTGCCCAAGGAGGCTAAAAAGACATTCATATACACCGGCAACATCCTGAACGTCTCTGTCGTTCCAGTGCCCCTTTTTTTAGATCTAGGCATGGGCAAGTCGGCGTCGGCATTTTGGGTCGGTGTTGCGGACACAGTATATTCCTCGCAGGGATACCGGTAAGTCCTCTAAGAAAAAGAAAAGGCTCCGTCCAGAATATTTCTAACACTATCTGCCTGTTAGATTCTTCTATGCTGATGAGCGCCATGTAGATGGTAAGAGCATAGGGCTTGCGCTCGATGGTGCTGCGCACGGCGACTTCTTTGCGCAGTTGGCCAATCACGAGGGAAATGTGCCATGGCACGCCACGTTTGTGAAGGACAAGGGTTATGTACAGTTTAAATAACAAGGTCGAGCCGGAATGAGGATTTAAGGAATCTTCATACTTAGATGTCAAAGCCTACGTCAATGTAAATGACCAAATTTCGTACCCTAGAGAGGTTTTGACACTTACGTTTTCCTTGACTGTCTTTAAACAAGTAGTACTAGTTCACCTTGACTTCTAAAGCACATGGCAAGGTCGCGGCTTGCAGAATCACTTGTGTCTCTGTTACGCCATACGTTCTCCATAATCTCAAGCGCTTTGCGTACCGTGCCGAAGACGCTTGGCGGTTGCAACGCGAGCACCATTTCGCGTAAATCAGCTTCCTGTGCCGGTTCTGCGAGACAGCCTGCTACGCAGAATGGCCATACCATCGTACGTAGCAACGCTTTCGGCGATGCTGCATGTGTTAAAATGTCGATGACTCGACCAACATGATAACGCACTTCGACGCTGGCGGGCTGCCACCCGGAAACAACAATGATAAGATAAATTAAGGCTGCATGAGCCCAGACCCGGGTAGTCAGACGGCTCTGGCAAACGGATGTCTTTGAATGCTGGTAATAATGCACATTGAAGGCATCTAATAGGCTGTTGCCATTTTGTGCAATAGCTGACGACTCGGCTTCAAGTCGAGTAAGATGAGTTTCTAGAAATTCCTTTATAGCTGTAGCGCGACGGACTAGGTCTATAACATCAAGGTTTCCTGCTGTCTTGCACTGCTTCTTCCATGCATCGAGCGCGGAAATTTCACTAATCTGTAATAATACCCAATTTTGACATCCTACAACTGTCTCAAGATTGAGTAGGGGACCGGTGCCATTGGAGTCACTTAGGAGGCAGTGTTGATACTCATAAAGCCTAGGTTTCTCCTGAAGAACCGTGCTGGCAACGATGTCATCAAAGATCAAAAGGGCAGACGAGAAACGAAAAGCAGCCTGCTCGGCACTCTGAACTTTGACATCCTGGGCGGGTGAAATCCATGTCGGCGGTCCGAGACGGTTTACGACAGAGTTGAAGTTTGAACTAGGCCCCGCCGATTCGACTGGGCCAGGGCTCTCGAGAAGCTGTTTGAAAAGAGCCAAGCCGGCATTTAGATGCGCTTGGCAGTTATCGAAGCATAAGACAGTAATCTCGAAACGCTGCATTTGCATGACGCTTGCCATAATCCTCACGGCGCCGTGTAGGTGCTCTGTGATGCTTGAGCCATCGATAACCTGCAGTGACTTTCTTAGCACCCCAAATGCATCTCTGGTCTGCGAGAGCACCGTCTCCCAGACTGCATGGTGATTAGCTGTTCCCTGGGCGAGGGAGAAGAAGTATGAAGATTGACATAGAGTGGCCTGCCGTACTACTGGACTGCTTATCATCATCTCCAAGATCCAGGACCGACCGCCTTCGAGGGGGGAAGGACAGTAGAATGGGAATAAGAAGGGAAGTAAATTTTCGAGGTAGAACGTAATAAGAACAGTACAAGAACGACCAAAGGATGCATTGTCATGAATTTCCTTGCTGACGATTTTACAATCAGCCCCACGTTGGAGGCGGATGGCGATGGCGGATGCCTCGGGACACGGTTCTATCTCACTGTTGAGACTTTCTGATGTCGTTGCCCCAAGAAGCTCGCCCGGGACGTGGATCGCGCGGACCTCGCGGACCTCGCGACGGAGATGGGCATTTTCTTTAACTTCATGCTTGAGACGCTCAGCCATCTCTTCCTGTCTTGCGCCGCCATCCATCCATTCTGGCTTGTCCTGACCGTAGTGACAAGTGATGTGGAGTGCGGCGCAGACGTCACATACAGGACGATTTTCATCACATTTTTTGCGCCGCAGTCGGCACGTCCAACAGCCATTGGAACTTCTTATTGTGCTGTTGTGACGGGAACCATGAGGTAATGTCATATCCATAAGTAATCATTCACGACAGGCTTCCCACGAATTTAAAACGGGGATGTTTAACTAACCGTAGACTTAAGTATACAGATGATAGGAAATATGAAAGAGTCATTGAAGTTATCATATTTCGCGCCGTAGTTTACAAATTTCGTGGGGTTTTTATTACGATTATATAAGCAAAGCACGTCGTATTTTATCCCAATATTTTTTTAAGGATCGGAATTTGATGTCATACAACTTTGACTGATATATTAAGGGTGTTAAATGGCTCGAGAAGAATCCGATGGGCATAACCCCTCATCAGCTGCCAATTGGCTTATTTTCTCAGGGCATTCATATTTTTACAGCTAGTTACAGTAAAGAAACAAGAGACGTGTAAGTGGATTGATTATACCTAATCTTGGCGTTTCTGAAATGAAGTTGGTACTACCTAGCGCATGCCCAACGGCAGCTCATTTATCTCAAAACCGTCGCTAATAATCCATCGGTGACTAGTGGCTGCATCAATCTTCTCTAGCCCTTCAGCTTTTCCCGAGCTGGGTAGAATGGCGTTCTTTTACGTGCTTGGCGGGCGTTGTCAGTCTTCAGCTGTCAGGGGTATGGCGCTTCGTGAACAAGGGCACGCGGTGTGGCATAGGGCATAGATAGGGAGTGGTCCCTCGAGAAACCGATGGAAAAGCCTACCTACGTTCGACTACCTACCTGTGATGATTAGGACGCCAGGTTCTTGGTATATTTCGTCCGTCTTCTTGCTTTTAAGCTGTATCGTCTGCCTTTGCACATCTTAGGTACTATATTCACCTACCTTGGGAGGTGTCATTAAGGTTTTCTATCCTTAGGCCTGAGTATGAAAAGGTAGGAATAATGCCTCATCTACTGTCGTCGCTCGTTTGGGCTTGCTTAAGCGCATCATTTGCGAGAGCGCAAGAGGTTGTTTATGTTACTGATCTTTCTATTTTCACCGTATTGGTAAGTTCGGTTTCTTACTAATAGTGTTGTGTTATCTTGTTTTCAATCATGATTTCTTATGTTCACTTGCAAGAGAGATCTCATGTGCCAGAATACATAATAAGTCTAGAGATACGGATTAGACAGGTAGCCGATCGTTCGAATATGATGCTAATTGTACTTAGGCCCCATGTGCAGCGGCCGCAGTATCTGAGAATGTCCAGGCGCAAACAAATCAAAACTGCCCCGAAGCAGTAACAGATCTTCAATCATGTGTTTGCACGAAGAATAACAACTTCGCCTCGATATCGACGGGGATTTCGAGTTCAGTTAGTCGTAGTTGCGGTTCGACTGCGTCCGAAGACCAAGCGAGTGCGGCGAGCGTGTTTGACGCATACTGTAACCAGGCCTCAATTACACCTTTCCCAACTCCCTCTAATCCAGTAACGCAATATATTACCGACTTTGCAGCGTGGCAGGATCTCGCGCCTTGCGCCGCGAGTGGATTGGCTTACATCGTTCAGTAAGTTTTAGTATTTTTGTTTGGTCATTGTCTTCGTCGAGGATCTTTTTCCTAACCGTAATATAGGAGTATGGTGAGTTTGACCTAGATATTGGTGTAATCTTCGTGTCGTCTAATATTGGGGGGCAGACTTATGATCTATGCCCTGCAGAGCCGAGCCTCCTCGCAACGTGTGTATGCAATAAGAACCAGAATTCTTTGCTCGCTAGTCAGGGAATCAACAAGTCCGTGAAATCCTCATGCTCATCACATGTTGAGGATATAGACTCGGCACAAGCTGTTTTTTCAGGCTACTGCGGGCTGATCAAAGGAACCTCGTCATTCCCAACAACTTCGGACCCCCCTGGCGACAGTAAGCAGCAGATCTTCTCGTCTTATCCGAATATTTGCTGATGTATAGGGTAGTGACATATCATATTACCGCGCTACCTGAATATAGCTCGCTAGCCCCTTGCGCACAATCTGCAGTGTCGTATGGAGTACTAAGTGTAAGATCATAAATCCTACGTAGAATTGCTACTTGATGTCTAACCTTTATCTCCGAAGCAAACCTATGATCTCTGTCCCGATGGTCCAAAGGCCCTCGCATCGTGCGCTTGTTTGAAAAGTGGCATGTCTGGCTTTATGCGTAATGCCATCACCTCTGATGTGAAGTACTCATGTGATTCGACAGCGACCGAAGATGTCAGTTCGGCATTGCTGGTGTTCGACCTATATTGTAGTGCTGCCAAGGGGCTAACAACTCCAGCTGGAGTTACCGAATCCTGTAAGTCTGATACGTGGTTCTTCATCTTATATAAATAATAACCGCGATAGTGGAGCAAACATCGAACGGTGGAGCTTCCGGACCGAAAGAGACCGGGGTTTCGGGGGGATCCGGAAGTTCAAGCTCTCAAGGCAGCGGAGGGCCTTCAGAGTCCGGAGTGTTGAATAGCGATTCCGCCAACAAATCTAATACGGGTACAATTGTTGGAGCTGTGGTTGGGGTCTTAGCCGCTCTTGCGCTTATAGGCCTCGCAGTATTTTTCTTCTGGAGACGACGGAGGTATGGTAAGAACGGTGGTCAAACGGTGTCGCCACCTGTTGGTCCGGAATACAGCGGGAAACCTGAGCTTGATGGTAGCCAAAATCTAGGTGTGCTGAAAAGCCAAGAAGTTACCCGGGTTGACAACGTTTCGCCAGTGTCCGCATATAGCTCACCTAATACGTCGGAGCTTCAGGGACATGCTGGATATCCTCAGCCACCCATTCCACAGATACCCGAGCTACGCGGTCAGAATCATGCATCACAAATGCCGAGTCCCATCTCCCCATACACTCCACAAGAGGCATACGGTCAACCAGTACACGAAGCTCCAACTCAAAGTGAACCTCGAGTATATGAAGCGCATGGTCAACCTAGGTCGGAACTCGAGAGTATGGGATGGCAATCCGGACCCGTGACGGAGTTTCACGAGATGGACGGGGGCTATAAACGACAATAGTTGATGGCACCTAGAGACTGCCGTGGAAGTAATAAAGGGACAATATACATATTATATTTAATAATCAGATATATATAATATAATGGAGCTAGTCCCTTTAAGAAAATGTAATTTGGTAGAGGTTAATATGATGAATGGAGTTGGATAAGTATTATGTTGGTGATATAAGAGAAGATATGTTTCCTACGGGAGGTATTCCCTATTGCTTTTTAAGGCAATGTGACGAAGTATTATGGCTGTTCGACCGTGGGCGCAAAACAATATCGAGGAGGTTCTCACGGCCTGGAGCCGACTCCTTTCTATTAGTGAGCTACACATATTCTCTGGAACTGGGAATACCCCTCACCGACTTGCGCCTTTGGGTTTCGAGTCGCTGGCTCCATATAACATCAGCTCTTTCGCTGCCGAATTCCTTACTAGAGCGCAACGGCCTGGATTACTATTCATTGCGCTAGGGATTAGCACCTTTACGCTATAATTATTCGCCGTCACATATGCAGTAGAGACATCCGGGTTAACGCGCTAGGCACGTTGGTTGGGGGACTCCGGAGACGAGAATTGGCCTATTCTTCTATTCCCTGGCATCGACGCAGTTCCTTACAACGTCGGTAATGATCCGAACATGTATATTAACTGTTTCGATAGAGACCGGGGCTTCGGGAAGTTCACGGTTAATTACCAGAGCGGATTGTACGTGATAGCCGACACGAATAACTCTGATGTCGTACGTCTCATCACAAGTTCAGGACTGCCTAATGCTTGCGAATTCCGACATAGGTTGGCCTGGGGTCCGCCTCGAGATCCTAAACTTGCTGAGGCCCTTCGTCATTGGGCATCGCTGGTTGAAGATGGGACTTGGTCTGTAGACTCGAATGGTGTTTGCGCTGATCACGAGTGGTTCACCACGAACACACATGTAGCGAAAGTTCCGCCTTGCTTAGATTGATATCTTAGAATGCTATATTAGTAATTATGAGACTGCATTGTGATGAGCGAATTGTTGCCGGGCGTCTTTCAGGAGACACAAGAAGTCCATATAAACATTCCAAAACAGGCCAGGTGGACTATCAAATGCAATAGAGGACCGCCTAAAACTGGCTTTCCCTTGCCTGTTCCCTCTATATTTTGACTAATACGAACATAAGCTCGATAGCATGGCCAGATGTGATATGTTCCTAACGCGGCTGCGAGTAGGCGAGTTGTATCAGTGAAGTTAGGTTCGGAGAGAATAACAAGGCAGATGAGATTGGTTGATAGCAGTAAGCCGCCGTACTGGCGCAGGATGAGCTTTGCGGCCGTGTTACATCCAGGAAGTTGCTTTTCTGGATTGAATATGAACGATAGAGCCGCCGCTGTCTCGACAAGGGCATGTATGGCGAAGGGCAACTTGGCTAGAATCATTGCTACAGGTAGATCTTGGGCTATATAAAATAAGATGTGAGACAGTAGCGAGGTGTATGTAGCGAAGATATTATTTTATTACAAACGCCGCCTAGATACAAATCTAAAAGCCGATCGTTCCTGAACCCATGCTTCGGGAAGGGCAGTGTCATGCATCACATGACATGTGGGGTACCCACATGTATATAAACCTAGATCTTCCCTCTAGAATACTTACCCAATACAACTTCATTACAATCATTGTAACAGGCAGGAAGGGGTATTGACGCACGTGCATTAAAAGGGACCTCATAGGCTCATGCATGTGAAAATGTTGTACAAACAAGGTATCCCCTGCATAAGCCCTGTCTTACATGCCATGTGCGAGGCGTCTCAAGTCGTGCAAATGGCGCCGTATATTTTTGGCAATATTCAACTAACATGGCAATTTAAATATTGGAACACCATGAGTGGCAATGATGATTCATGATTTCTTATTTGGTTGGGAATTCGTACCTAATCTGCTAATGTACTGCGTATGTGTATTCAATTAGGTCTGGGATACGAAGTAAAGTGCTTAAGGCCAATAGTGCTTATTATAATGTTACCCCAGAATTTAACGAGTTTTTTTCTCACGAATTACCTAACACTCTTCGTACGTATATGCTTAACCTAGTATAGTATATATCAACGAGGCAAGAGGGGCTATGTGATTGCCCTATTCTAGACCGGAGGTTACATCGATACATCATGTAATGACGGAAGCTAGGTAAATCTCTACTTACAGATGTACAAGCATACATGTACATATGTACGGACGGAGGAGCGCAATTCGCACGATGCGGGTCGAAATAAACATCTTAGATCATCTTCTATCCCGTTCGAGATCTTCAAATCCGCAGTTATCAATTATAAAATGTAAAAAAATACTTTTCTCATCCCATCCGGGTTTACAAGCTGGACCACACTAATAGCCACTAGCTCTCAACATATGCAGGTTAGGAGGTAGGTACCTACTTGGCAACTGCTTGCCTCGTTACCTCGCTGCTACCACCCGCTATCGCCTGTGTCATAATCGTTTCAAACTCGAACGTCATACCCTAATAGCCCTGATAGTGACCCTGATCAACCACTATACCCTTTAATTGTGCCTCGGTTTACGCTAGACATATTACCTGGGTACCTACCTCCTAGTGTATCAGTAGCACCTGTCGGACGAAACACCAGACGCTTTAAAGTTCTATTATCAGTCCTTGTACCCAATGATCGGCCCTTTCAACTTTCTTCCTCATTTATTATAACCTACCTCTACAGACCTAACTAATGTATAGATCGTTTATGATATAACCACCTAACATACCTAATACCTATGAAATTTGTAGTTAAATCTCTTGGCGTCTCATACTCTCTTTTTCTTCTATTAGCTTCTTAACTTCCTAGCTTAGTCTAGCCAGGGGATAACTTACACAAGAGCTTCGTGCTATATCCTACTAAACCGTCGTCGCTTAGCGTTACCGCGTTGAACAAACGTTACCGGGGGGAGAATCTTAACCTACGCTCTTCTACTACCACTCAAAAGGTTGTTTTTACATCGCGATAAGTTTCAATACGTGATCGAACAATAGAAACCAGCACACGACTAAGGGCAATGACATCGTCAAATACGTTCGGGGAGCTGGGCCTCTCCATCATCGGCTTAGGAGCCCGATACCCTCCATACTCTCTCAAGTCAGACGAGGTAGACAAAATCGCAACTAAATACTATCCTGACTCTCCTGCGTAGGTTGCCCCCGGAAATGAATGATTTTACGTACTGATGGACGGTCGCTTAAGTATGCAGAAGGTGCTCTCAATAAACAAATACACGGGTATCGACACGCGCTCATCTATTGGTACCTCAGATCATTCCTCAGTCAACCTACCTGAAGCACCATCAATAGCAGAACTCCACAGGATTTTCATGTCAGATGGTGTTCCGCTCGCCATTGAGGCTTCTAGGAAAGCAATTCTAGAAGCCGGCATCCATCTATCCGAGGTTACTCATATAGTTTCGACGACGTGTACTGACAGTGCTAACCCTGGATTTGATCATTTCGTTGCGAAGGGGTTGGGTATTACTCACCAAGTAGAGAAAGTTCTGTTGCACGGAGTCGGTTGTGCGGGTGGATTAGCAGTACTACGTACTGCTGCCAATTTAGCTTTGGGTCACGCAATGAGACGGAAAGCTGCTAGGATTCTATGTGTTGCTCTCGAAGTTAGCACAACATTGGTTCGCAGTGAGCTGAACAGCATTGATGAGCTCCAAGAAACGCGCATTGGAGCTTGCTTATTTTCCGACTGTGCATCCGCCTTGGTTCTCAGTAACGGAATCGGGCAGCCAACCGCTGAACCAATCTACGAATTACTTGGGTGGGAACACAAGATCATCCCCGAGACCGAGGCCGATCTTGGCTTTGACGTAGACCCGGTTGGTTGGAAGGTTGTACTCTCACCTCGAGTTCCGAAACTAGCAACCGAAATACTGCGCCCGAGTTTTATCGACCTGCTGGAAAATGTTTCTGGTCTCCCTGCTGAATGCAAAGAAGCATCCGACTTTGATTGGGCGATGCATCCGGGTGGCCTGACTATCTTAACGGGTGCTGAAAAGGTGATGGGTATCTCATCAGAGCACATGCGCGCAAGTTATGACCGATACATGAATCACGGGAACTCCAGCTCGGCAACTATTTTCAGCGTGTTGGACCGCCTACGGAGTAAAGATATGGATGCAATGGCCCCTGGTGGTCGGGTCCGGGATTATGTGGTGGGGTGTGCCTTTGGCCCGGGAATCGCCATCGAGATGTGCATGCTTAAACGCAACATGAGACACCGCGGGCCTGGTGCCGTCCTCGAGACAGATAGCGATGCTAGTAGGAGTGAGGCTGACGAGGAAACCGACTGGGCAAGCATTGAGTCTCGGGAGTCGATCCCAGGCACGCCTGGTTCCGCGAGTGCCCAAGCTGAACGAAAACCTACACTAGGTGACGATATATTCGTCAAAGAAGCAATTGCGAGCGTCGAATTGGATTAAAAAGGATGAGGTCTAAAACAGCAAATGAATTATACCCACAGTGTATTTTGTTTACGTCCAATACACCGTTTTCTTTACTACTCAAAACACCTACACATAGGCTATGTCGTGCTTTGCAGCGAAGCATAGAAGTATCCAATCGATCAAAAGCTTGGTATACTATTTGAAACAGGTCTCACATATTAAAGCTGAAAAGGAACATAGCTCACATAGAATATATAAGTACGGTGAAAGCATAGATTAATCTAGAAGATAAATCCTTCAAACATGTAATTAGTCTGAGACGATGAATGAGTGAAAACATAAATGTAATATCACGACTTAGATTGATTGATATCGCTTGCAAGTCGATTGCGGGGGCATTCCGAGTATCTCTTTTCAGTTGCTTTGGCGGGTTAGCTTGATGATACGACTGCCCCATCATCAAATGATAAGGAATTGGAGAAAGCTTGGCTGCTGGAACATCGTTATCAACTTAAACACTACATGTCTAGGTACCAACGTTGGTTGAATACCTATGTATTGATGTTGATTATTTCTTTGTCCAACGCGGCGGTGTCGCTCGCTAAATTTCGGTATCTCATCCCACTGACCCTATGCTTAATCGTCATGATGGCTCACCTCCGTGGAGTTGGGCTGACATCTCTGATTGCCTGGTTATCAACGTCAATTGTTGCCACGTGTGGACAAGATACTGATAATTCGCCTGGCCTGCCGATGGTCATTAACACTTGGGGCGGCCCTTTTACTGCAGCTACGGATGCGGCATACCTGTCTCTCTTGAAGCCGGAGACATCGGCTCTTGATGCTGTTGAACTTGGGTGTTCCACCTGCGAAGCCAACCAGTGTGATGGAAGTGTGGGCTACGGCGGCTCTCCTGATGAGAATTGTGAGGTAAGATAGGGAATAGTTACCGTTCGTTTATCAAATACATCCTGTACCAGCCAAACTGATATGAGCAGACAACACTTGACGCAATGATAATGGATGGCACAAGTATGAAGTCAGGGGCTGTCGCGGCTCTTCGGCGCGTCAAGGAAGCAATATCAGTTGCGAGGGCGGTATTGGAACATACAACGCATACGCTACTTGCTGGTGACTTCGTGACTGACTTTGCCATTTCAAATGGGTTTACTGTGCAAAACCTGACGACGGAGAACTCTGCTGCATCTTGCGAACAGTGGAAGGCCGAGGACTGCCAACCAAACTACCGCATCAATGTATCGCCCGACCCGTCTAGTTCTTGCGGCCCTTACACGCCACTTTCTCTCGACTCAAACTCACCCGCATATACATCATCATTAGGGCCGCGAAATAAACCAGAGGGGCACGACACGATCTCCATGATCGCATTACACTCTTCGGGTACCATGGCAGCAGGAACCTCTACCAACGGTGCCGGCCGCAAAGTCCCCGGCCGCGTCGGCGACGGCCCCATCACGGGCAGCGGCTCCTACGTCGACGGAGACGTTGGCGGGTGCGGCGCCACGGGTGACGGGGACATCATGATGCGCTTTCTGCCCTGCTACCAGGCGGTCGAGAATCTGCGGCAGGGTATGAGTCCCCAAGAAGCTGCCGAGGACGCCGTTCGGCGGATGCTGCGGAAGTACCCGGATGTGCAGAGCGGTATTGTGGTCGTGAATAGTAAAGGCGAGCATGGTGGTGCTGGGTCTGGCTGGACTTTTACGTATGCGTATCGTGGGGGCGCGATGAATGAGACGGTTGTGGTGAGTGTGTTGCCTATTATTGCTGAGGTGGGTGATTTGAGACGGTGATGAGGATATGGGTTTGGGATGTTTGGTAAATTACGATTGTTATGAATTGATTTATTATATGATGAACGAGGACGTTGTATTATGAGATTTCTATAAGCTGTTTGTCTTCATGGTGACAGAAGAGAGGTATGAAGTAGTAGCGATGGACTTGAGTTCGAGGTACCTTAGGTACCTGAAGATACCTATAATTAGGGCACTAAGTTAGGTAGGTATAGGACCCCGCAGTCTTCGAACCTACAACGCTTCATTGAAATTTCCTAATCTTTATCTAGGTACATAGGTACCTCCAACATATAACTTAAAAGGTTAGGTACCTAACTTAGCCCTTCTTCTCTCATACCTCATCATCATCCTCATCATTTAATTGATCCAATACTATCAAACGGTTCTCTCACCCTTCATGCCCCCACAAACGCCTCTTTTATCAGAACATTTTACATACAGCTTTATCTACACCACAACTTTAGGCGTTTGCACATTACTTTCGACAGTATCGCCATTCAAATACAGCTTCTTCAACTCATCTTTCCACTCGTCAAGAGACATCCACCTCTTCTCCTCGGGTTTGGCATCGGGCAGAGGTACTGAACCCTTTGGAATGTCTTTATACAAACTTGCATCGAAAGCAGCTATTTCGATGAAGGTATGCTCCTTCGTGCACTTCAATCCTTTCTTCTTCAACTCGCCCTTCTTATGCAGCTCATAGCATTCGCCGTCAAGCTGAACCTCTCCTAAGCAGTCTGCACAAGTATACAGAGGCGCATCTGCCACTGCCCACCGCTTCTCACAGCCGTCACACCACACATACCAAGACGGCTCCCTAGGAGCTGCGGCAGCATTGTCGCTGGTAGCTTTTGATGGCGTAGGCGGCTCGAGCATTACGTTACCAGAGTCCTCGCTTCCTTTAATGACAGTGTCGATAGCTGCAGGGGTAGAGTTACCATTTGTAACTGTACCATTCGGTGTACTAACATGATTGGCCGTCCAATCCTGCCATTTGACTAGAGCCTCATGGTTCACCAAGTTACGCAAATGCCACAGAATTCGACTATGCTTCGTATCCTCGACAATAGTTAGTAGGCGATCTAGCAGCCAATATGCCGTTGCATCGTTATCCTCGTCTTCATCCGAAAGAAGTTCGATGCTTGTTTGTACTATCCTCTGCGTCCACTCCTTGGCGAGTCTCGAGCCGCTCTTACGCTTATGGTGGTATCGTATTAGACAGCATATAGTAATGTTGCGTCCCCAAATGTCTAGCCTCTCGTTCGTGACATCTAGCAGCAGCAAGTCGGCAATACGAGACCCGTAAAATTCAACCTTGTCAACGACTAAGCCAGGCTGGAACGCTTTACGCAAGTAGCTCTCGGAGAGAGAGTTAGTCATATCGTCTATATCATACCGAGATAAAGCATCAGTGGGATGAAGTTTAACATCTTCGAGGGCCTTTTCTTGGATGGCGATAACTTTGTCTTCCTGCAGCCCGTCGGCGGCGCTCGCAAGCGTCTTTGCAAAGCCGTGCCGGATAAGGAATAGGAGTTCGTGGTTTTCTCGTTTTACACCCATATCTAACGCCAGGGTGAAGAAAGCCTCAATGACGTCCCAGCGGTTGGTTTCATCCGCAGCTTGGGCTAGCTTGTTAGGTTCCGAATCGTTCGTCAGCTCATAGACGAATCCGTAAACCAACTCGTCGAAATACTCAGCCCAAGTCTCGCTGGTCTTGTTCAGCGTCTCGATAAAAGCAATAAACTCGGAAAATGCCCCGTGTTTTTGGTATCGAGTGAGAACTTTGGTATAGTCCGCAAAGCGGACGTAGTCGTACTCGAGACTCTCCCTATGGGTACGTGCAGCAAGTTGGTAGTCCTGAGACAAGTCCCACAGTCGGTCTCCTAAATCCAACGTAATACGTGCTAACAACGCCGAATTAGAATCGTCCATGATCCATTCCGAATCCCGAGCACGGATGTTGTCAATTTCTTGTTTAGCCCGCGATAGTAGCTGCACTGCCTCTTCGTCGCCAGTGTTTCGCTGCTTTGCGATGAAATGAACCGCGTGCCAATTCCGAGGGTTGAGATCGACCGCCTTTCGTGCACGGGATTGATAAATCTCAACGGCGCTGGGTTCAGAAGCGCATAGTTGAAATACAATTAATGCACCATGAGTCTCCCAACTCGACTTCTCTTCTGGTGTATCTTTTTTTTGAAGCACTTCTGTTGCAAATGCCTCAATCTCATTCACTTGTTCAATAGTGAATTGTGCGCTTTCGAGCCCATCGAGCACGTGCGTATTGAGCTCCTCGGTATATACTAACGGATCATTGGGCATCTGGGATGCCCTTTTTGAGTCAAGCTAAATAAGAGTTATTAGCTAAGACTTTTCGCTTGCCACTAAAACGAAGCTCGAGGACTCACTCGTGATAGATACCCGCGAATAAAACAACATGCACAACGGAAATGACGGTTAAGGAACTCCACACGACGGAATAGATGGTCTGCCAAATGTTTAGCAGCGTATGAGAGCACTGCCTTGTGTAGATTGGCGGAACTCTTTACTTCTGTGACGAACGAAGCGGCTGGGTGGTCGCTAGTAATGAGCTTTGTCACCGAAGAGTCTCTCAGCCAACGGGAGACTTCCTGAACGCCAGCCGTAGAATAGACCCATTCAATCCTGGCGTAACGAAGATCGATATTCTCGTCGCCTTCCCAAGTTTGATTGCTCACATCCAACTCAAAGGGCCAGAACAAGGAGTCGATCCCACACTCCTCCGTAAATAACTTCACGAGGAGCGGGCCAACTTGTGCCTTCAAACCTCGATCAGCCGCCGAGAGATCAACCTCTTTCAAATGGTCAAATAGCCAGTTAATTGCATATTGGCGGAGACCTCGTTTGTTCCTCAGTTCTTCCTCCGTAAGTATGATCAAGCAGGCTATGGCAGCCTTGATATCCGCGTTATCAGGATCAAGGCAGATGTAGTCCTTGTGTTTCGCTCCGAGCTTCTTACGGAAAAAATTCTCGAATTCGAATCTCTTGTAGAGATCGGGAGGGCATACGTTGCTAAGAAAATGATTGACGATAGCAATTTCAGACTCTTGGATTATTTGCGGACCCGATGCGGCAACATCCATTACGGCATCTGGGTCGGAACCTTTTGGCGGGATTCTATCTTTAATTTCTGGAGAGCGCCAATCGATGTATCCTGAATCCTTTACAGCGAATATTGGGTATTTCTCCGCTAGTTTCTGGGCGAAAGGAAGAAGTGATATGGTCAGAGTTTTTGGCGTAGCCTCCTGGCCGATGCTCTCAATATTTGGCGAGTCTGTCTTTCGCCGCGTAAGCGGGATAATGGGGTTAGGGAGTTGCGCAACCGAGCTATTCCGGTATTTCACAGACAAGAGGTCTTCCATCATGTCGATTGTCAACCAACGTCGGCCAGTCTCGATCCATAGGATAATCTCGTTTATTTCTTGAATCTCTTTGATAGTGCGAGAGTTGTTGAGCCGTCGAAGTTCAGCATCTATCTGATCGACACGAGTCTTATCGGCGTCCGCAAGCACCTTGTTGATATCATCGATTAAATCGACCTTTGCAAGGGCATCAAGACTCGAGTTTAGCTTGAAGTAATCGCCGGCACACTTGAATCGTAACGTCCTTAGGATCTTTTCTCGCCACTCGGAAATACCTGGGCGACTAGGATCTTTGAGGATAGACATGCTATCCATTCGAGAAATAATATACTTATCAATATCGTCGCTATTGTGCTCTGAAATTGCGATCATGTTAAACTCGATTCCTCTTTCCTTCTCGAGCCATTCCGAAACCAGCTGCGGACGGGCGGTTAAGAAGACCCGAGTCTTCCTGCCTATGGCCCCGGAGGTCAGTTTCTCGAGTAGTGGAACGAGTGTCTCGTCAAAGTTATCGATGAATAAGAAGAATGCCGTATCCGGGTTTGTGCGCTCTTTGTTGTTAATGAATAGTTGGTGCCAGAGGTCGAGCGACCCATCGAATTCAGGAGTTTTCTCGAGGATTTGGTACACGGATTTAGTCATCGCCTCGTAGGCTATCGAAATCTGCCAGAGCAACGCCCGCGAAACTAACTCTAGAACAGTGCTGGTATCTTCATCATCAGATTTCTTCTTGTCGACATCTACGAAGAAGTAAGGCGTGACGATTCGGGAGGTTGGCCCAACCCGACTTATCTTCCTCAGATATTTCATAGTGTTGGCCATCGCCGACGTTTTTCCAGAGCCATTCCTGCCCCCCAAAACCATTACGGGCTTCTTAAAAGATTTCGAGTCCGTCCATTCTAGGAATGCCTCATCTTCTAAGATCCACTTGCCAGTGTCATCGACCAGCATGTTCTTACGAGCATCAAAAGTCTTTTGCCAAGACGGAATCGGCTCTCCGTCCTTGTCTAACGACGTGGTAGGGAAGCCTAGTGCCTTCGCGATGGCTGCCCTCCACTTCTTTGACTCTTGTTCCTTCTTCTGCTCCTTCTGGCCGTCAAGCATCAACTTGATGTCTCCAGCGCTATCACTCACGAGCTTGTAAGTCTGCGCGTTAACCAGAAGTGCTTCTTTCGCATTGAGCCGATCCATGTAGCTAAGCAGGTTCTGAATGCCATTGTCATTCAAGAATAGCTGCTTCGTGAACGCGAATAGCTTATTGTGCTTCTTGCGCAGCTTGATTGTGTGATCACATATTTCGACGAATAGTCGAAGGTTCTGGACCGCAACACGTGTAAGCCTCTTATCCATCTTTCCTTGGTAGGACTCGAGGCGCTCGAGAAATTCTGTGCATTTCTCAAGCAACTCGGCGAGGTTATCAAAGATACCTTCATAGCCCTGCCAAGCTTGTATAACGAAGGTGAGTGCGTTGTAGCACATCCCCGCTGGGGCAAAGACCTGCGAACTTTTGTTAACGAGTCTTGTTATGGGCATCGAAATCAATGGGCACAGACCACTGGCTTGCCAGTGTGGGTATACTCACGGTTGAAGCACCGTCGGCAACTATTCCTCCAACAGTATTTATACATTGTAGCGTTCTACTGACTATACTCTTGAACGTGCCGAATTTCTCGGACTTCTTTTTGCTCGAGGCTTGCACGTCGTCAACGTACTTAAGAACAGCATTGATGTCGAGGGTCCCTTGAACCCGTCTCGGATCCCCACCGGCGAGCTCGACGACTTTGTTGTAAACATCTTTCCAGATCGCGTCGATTTCTTTCTGTTCGGATATATCTGCTGCTTTCTCAATAGGGGAGCTTATGCTCAACCCACTAACTGAGGTTTGCAATGTCGGCGGTGCCATTTCGGCACGTGCTATGTTTATTGACGATATACACTTTTCTTGAGAACTAATATTTCTCGATAATAATAGGTTTCAAGTCATTATATATTATTCTATTCCGTTCTTCTTGAGCAACTTCAACTCGAGTAGCAGCGGGACACTCAATACCCTAAAATATTTGGACCCCAAGCGGCTCTTCACAGGGATCCGCATAGCCCTGGCTGCCGCGATATGCACAGTAAGTTCAGCTGAACCAGCCTACTTTCAAATCAGCTCATTCGCTGGGAAATCCCAGTTGGATAGAGCAAGGAAGAGAAGGATGATGATTGGTAGGGCAACATCGCTTATGCACAATCCCTTGTCTCAACGGGGTATTCTGCCCCACGGCGCCACTTCTATGGGTCGATCGAGGTGCCTAACCACCCAGTCAGCCTGAGCAACCTGACATACACTACATAGAAGACCATAATAACTGCATAAGGAAGATTCAATACGGTTGGCGGAGAAGACTGAGAGGATAGGATGATCGTCTCATCACTTTGCTTACACTAAATGTTCCCTTACCTCCCCGCACGGAAGGATTTGCTCATCTCAGACGAATCCTTCAAATATAGAAACATCTAGGGTAAGAGAGCGGCTGATGAAACGATTCCCATCCCTCGAGTCGGAAGACGGCAGAGACTTGCGTAACGGTGGATCACAACGGTCCATTTCCCGCATCCACAGCCATACTTTGTTCAACTTCAACTCATGCCACCAATGACTCAATTAATACCACCAATTTCTTCGGTAAGTACCAAACCAAACCAACTTACATCAACGGGTATTTGTACGATGAATCAAATTAGGCGAAATCACTGTACGGATTCGACCGCACTCATGTCAGGTCAAACATACTGATTTTTGAGGCCCATCTGGTTATATCGTCGAATTGACTCATCGCACCTGCTGACTTACACTCGAAGCACGTATACGCAGTGTGACTCTGAATGCCAATATTCCTAGGGCCAATAAGTTCTTATCTCGATAACATGATTCAAAAGCCAGGTCAACCACACTTTTCAGCAAGCATCTCTTAGTGGCCATACAGATAGGACTCGGTCACATGGGATATTTAAAGTGAACTCTCAACATTATGGTATGTCAACTTCGTTCAGAATTTCTTACTGCCTAGGCTTATACACGTTAACCTGCTTATTGGCGGTCAGAATGGGTTTCTTGATGCAGTCATATACAAATATAGATTTGCAGGACTATATGCTCTCTGATTATAGACAAGGATATGCCAGGTGGCCCATCAACCCCATCCCTTCATAAGCAACTACCGCGCTATTTCGCGTAGCCCAATTAACAATTAACATTGGATAACGGGGACGTTGCCGGGTGCGCTGTACGGCTTGCCATCGTTGTCAGGCTGGCCAAGGGCACCGTAGATGTTAACAACGATGCTCGGGTCGTTCTTCTGGTAGGCGCCGGGGAAGCTGACGGTCTGGCTGGGCGAAAAGCTGCCGCTGCCGCTGACCTTGATCTGAGCGCACGACATGTAGAACTGGGCGCCGTTCGGCGACTTCGCAGAGTGCAGGGCTAGGATCTCGACACGCATGAGGTAGTCGCCGGGAGCAATGCACTGCGGCAGCTGGAAGTTGACCCAGCCCTGGTTGGAAATCATGTGGTCGACACCCCACTGCCTGCTCGAGGTGTCGAAAGTGTCCTCCCAGATCTTGAACCACTTGAGCCCGGTCTTACTCGCGGTAGCCGCGTTGTCCACCTTGGCGAGCCATGCCGTGACGGGTCCCTTGTGCGACTTGGCAATCTACCATATAATGGTTAGAGCTATCCTCGTGTCGCCTTCGCTTCTTGGAGGGTAGGTAGGTAGGGCAAGTAGGTTTTACTTACTGGGTTGTCGGGGTCGTTGGCGAATTGTGCACCGCCGATGACGTGGCCGAAGTAGGCTCCCAGCTCGTCTCCCGGGGCGACGCTGATGACCTTATCGGAGGTGGTGCCTTGCTTCTGGCAGATGATATCTATGAGTGAAGGGTCAGTAATCTTTTCGGATTATCATTCCTTTTTTGATTAGAACTCCATAGCTGTTCTGTAGAGTTCTTGACCCTTTATTAAAGCTTTCGGGCATTCTTACCTTGCGAAGTAACATCGTAGACGGGGTTGTTGTCGTTCGGGGCTCGAAGACCAACTAGAGAGCCCTGCTTCTGGCCGTTGACTGATACTTCCTAAGCACATCACAATTCGTAAGTTATTGACCTTCCCAGGCTGTATTTCACGTTAGGCTTACTTGGAAGATGCAGTGAGCCTCAGCCGACAAGGCAAATGCCGCAGCCGCAAACAAAGAGAACTTCATCTTGTCGTTGACAGGTAGGTAGTTATGGGGCAGGGTACGTTAGAGCGACCAGGCTTGAGGTAGCGAGTTCGCCTTCTTTCGCCCCAGAGTTCCATTGCGCATATATATAGATGAGTATATAACCCACGTAAGGTTGATGCGACTATATGCCGAACGAAATAAAGTAGGGGCAGGCGATGCCGATACTAGCGAACACCCTTCAACTCTATCTCCGCAACGCACCGGGTCGTCTAAGCCTCCAATCGAGGCCAACAAGCCGCCATCCAGAAATTCTCCGGTGCAGGTTAGATCAAGGTCTAACTCTGTCCAGATATTGGATGAGATTGTGGTACTCCCGGTGGGCCTGGGGTAATATAGCCGGTAGAGCCAGAGTTCATATCGAGGACACAACTGATTGGCTGCGAGTCGATCATCGTCGAATTAGGAAAGTTCCGCACGACGAATCCTGGTGAAAATAGGAACGGGTTGGGGAATGGGTACGGGGAAAATCTATTGCATCTGCATGGGGAATCCGGGGCGCATGAAGAGCGGACGGGATGACAGCCCTACGTTCCGGACGCCAAGCGAGTCTGTCAAGCGCGTACGACTGAGACTAAGATGATATATTACGACGTCTTGCATCCCAGGAAAACGGTATTGGCGCGGTAATAGGGGTTAGGAGTGCCAGGTAGGCTGGGCTGCCATGCCTTAGGTGAGCGGTGCATATGATAAATATTCGTAAGACCGAATCTATTCTAGTCGCAGAACTCTTGCCCCTATATAAACATGATGCAGAAAGGGCCGATTCGATTTGGAATTACAGGTTTTTCAAGCGTCCCTGAATCTTTTCTTTGTGCTAGTACTACGATTATATTGTCGTTCGAGATGGATCTTTCCAGACGCGATCAAGCCATTACTAGTCTATTCTGTTTCCATGTTGGTATTTGTCGTCTTGGTATGTCCCTATGGGTATTAGTAAAGCCAAAGGCAAGGCAACGAATGGAGAATCTACTTAGGAGTGGGGATCAACCATTGGGCTTGAAGAGGCGCCAGCGGATTGTGTGGTGATTATGGTAGATACGCGTATTATCTCGCCTCCTCTATATTTGGCCCTTTTATTTGGACTACGAGGCGTAAAAGTTTCTACCTTGCGGGGCTTTTATGGCTCTAAAGCTTATCACTACCTCCTAGGGAAGTCTACCGAGAAGTTCTAACTATGTAGTAGCCCCCGGAAACCAAATATATCCCGTCTAAGAGGTAGGCAAGTAATCGATGCCTACTACTAAGGAATCTAGAATGCTAGATCTAGATATATACACCCAGAGGCATTATGTCGGTGTTATCAGGGAATGACGCTGTTCGGCATCTCATCTTCTGGTAGGTATCATTCCACACTCCCACCGGGCAATAAGTTTTGGGACAACCATAGATATAATTGATGGTCGATGCTTAAACTCTATCATATCTGGGTGCAGGTGGCCGAGGATAATAGATTATATAGGCCCCGAAGCTGTTTCTTGTCTAGTAGTATAAACAGATATATAATAAACAGTCACCATAGGAGGAAGTCAGTGAGGAGAGAAGATGTAGATACTAGGTTAGGTGCTTCTTAAATATTATATTCGGCAAAATGTTGCCGGTATCTCCGACATAGGGTAGTTATTGCTTTGTTAAACCCGTTTTCAACCTAACGTTGCCGATATCCGAAAAAGGAGTCGGCCTCTGCATTGGGCTAGTGATCGTATAGGAGCTGGCTACTCTTTATCAATTCCTATTTTCTGGCAGTCCACGTGTGAAGTAAGCTATGAATCAGGAGTCCGGGTGTATACCAGTTTGACGAATAATTAAGGCCAAGTACCTGCTTGGTACCCAAGTGCTAAACAATAATGCTATTATTTAAGTAGCTTGTTTATGAAGCAACCCCTTATTTTATTCATGCGGGTGGTTATATATAAAGAAAGCAACGCTCCCATCGTGGTCTTAAATCCAGAAAGGAGCAATATATGCACAAGTATCGAGCCTCAAAGGGGTTACCATTTTTGCAGTAGTTATTTTGGATTTGGGGCATTAGCTATGAGTACGAAACATTCCTTACTTCAACAGCAGAGACATGATCACACTAATAAAAGTCGTTCAAATATCTTACTAAATATTCGAAAGTCGTTTTGATACGACGAAGATGGGACTTCACGTCACACCGAGGTGGCCTCGGATCTCAAATAATTAAATTGTGAGGGCGTAGTATTAATATCTAGGCGTTCTTTGTCGTTCATCTCTTTACTCAAAAGGGGGGTGGCACAGCTACTCATCGCATAGATAATATCCATGACGAAGTCCGATACATGAGGACCGTATGTACTAAAGCGCATATCAATCGTCACGACAGCTCAAGTTCAAACCACCCGCTATTCTACGTGGCGTTCGTTCATCAAACTATTTTTTTTTTTTTAAATATACTGGAAAAGCTATTAAACAGCGCCTTTTGACACGTCGACACGTCAACACTATGGAACTGGGTAAGCGCTAATTCTTGGCCCCTGTTTAGGTCCCTAGGTAAGAGATAGTAGAAATTTCATGCACCTCTCAAAAGTGACTTTATAGATGTTGGCTAGTATAGCTGTGGATTGGTTATACACTAATCTATCAATCTTATGCAGACACCCACGATTTTCCCACCAAAACTCACCAACTTCATCATACGATTAAAAAGGCGAGGAAATTAGGAAAAATATAAACTTAACGTTTTTATACAGATAATTGATTATATTTCATTCTTATATCTTATTTTATTTAACTACGGTATATTTGCACCTTTTATTATGAAGTAAAGTTAAGAAAAGTAATTGTCCCACCAAAAAGCTAAACTTTTTGGTGGGCAAAATATTTTATTAACTTTACATAGATTCAATTCTATCATTATACCTAATAACGCGTAATGACTTATATAAATAGGTAGCTTATTTAATTAAAGCTTTAATTTAATTTAAAGACTTTATATTTTTATCTATTTTCTTCGCTTTATAATTGTATTGTAAAGTTGGTGAGTTTTGGTGGGAAAACAGTGGGTGTCTGCATAAGACTGATAGATCATTGTATGTATGATTATACTGGACCATCCTCAACTAGAGTCTAGACACTAGACCATCCTTAGTTGCGCATTCAAGTTCGAAACACTCGTATTCGGATTCCTCATCCAAGCACGAGATGGCCGGTCTAATGAGATGTACATTACTTCGCAATCTCATATTTTGCCTTGAATTTTCGAGGGCTGTTGTTGTTTCTCTTGATATCTTCCACCCTACCGGGTTTCTATTCTCGGGTGTCTTTCGTGGTTATGATCTCCGTGTCAAGAACATCTCCATGTGTTAACAAACAGTCTAAGGAGAGAGGAAGTCTTCGACTAGAAATGCTTCTAGAAGGAAGACAACCCTTGGAGTTACATTACGCTAAGCGCGTCGCCTAAGCCTTATGGATGTAGAAATAAGCTTAAAGGTGGCTGGGCTGAGACAGGTTCGGATGTGCCTAAATGAGGATATAAGGCGAAAAATGACCAAATTAAGGTGACTCCACGGGGCGTTATAATGTATTGTACGAATTTGGAAAATCTCAAATGATAGCTTCCAATATGAATTCGAACCGTTAAATCCTGCCTGACTTCTGATTTCGGTTTTTTATTTTCTATTTTTCCAAGTGTCCAAATATTCCAAATACTTGAAATTGCTCGCGACCTCCTTTCACCGTCTCCGTTCGCGTCCGGAGTTAGCTACCGTTGGCTTGGTACGATATTTTTAGGGTACCTTGAATCAAGGCTAACCCGGCTGCTTCCTTGACCCGGTGGCTCGTGCAATGCTGGAATTTGTAATTATGGACCTTTAATAGGATCATCATCCAAGGACACTAAGTTCTAACAACAGGTATATTTCGCCAGTATTCTGCACTTGCCGTTTATAGTAGATCCTACGGCGACGATCGGTAACGCTGGCCTGTATGATTACTACCTCGCTTCCATAATCATGATTCCAGATGCCCACCATCCTGGGTAAGCAATGCCTACTTCGGTATTCAATAAGCACTAGGTTAGTGTTGACGAATGCATTTCGGGCGCAGCATCGAAGCATACCCTACCAGGTAGCCAGGGTATTCGGAAGTAAAGCAGTTCCGTGAGTTAGTCAAGGGACAATACTACTCCAAGTTTGATTACATACATTGGGTTGGGTTGTTGGCGATTTGAACCATGTGATAAATGGATCTTGTTGTTTGGCGTTCTGCTGTGTATACGTAGCACGGATTATGCAAGGGATTTATCTCTCTCTCTGTCTCTTTTCTTTAGTAACTTTAGGGCTACGATTTTAATGAGAGCCAATAGCAAACGGTGACATGGTAATATACCCTGTAACTATTAGACGTCAGTTTTGAAGTCGTATTCGTTCCCAGGCTAAGAGTTTGAATGCGATGAAGATAATTGGTTCATACCCCATCAACGGTACCACTTATACACCAACCCTCTCCCTGTCTCCCTTGTAATTTAGTGGCACGGGCAAGCTCAGTCCCGGGTTGTAATGAAACCCTTTCCGCGCATCTGGTGTACTTCTACATGATAGGTAGACGGGTGCATGGTCCCATCATCCAATTATATTTATTTCCCTTGTCCTGCCAGCCTGCGCAGATCACGAAGAGTTGCAGGTTCAGAATAAAAAGGACCCATCTGCTACCTCTTAAAGAGTCCTCCTCTCAAAGTTGGCGGCTTTAGTAGTCGACCTCTTGAAGCACAATTTACACGGACGAGAGTTCACCAAGAAAAACGATGGATGTGGCTGCAAGTTTCCTCGAGGAGCGGGGACCTGTCCTTGCGTCCGTTGCTGTTATCGTTACCTCAGTATTCCTCGCTACGGTGCTCCTTGGAAGTGGTAACAGTGCATTACCGTTAGTCGGACTAGAGTATGGAAGTGCATCAAAGCGAAGACAGGCGTTCGTGACGCGGGGCCGGGAATTCTACAAAATGGGATACGACTTATTCAAATCTACTACGGCATTTAGGGTGACTACTCTCGATGGTACGAAGAGGACTCGTTTCTTAAGAAAAAAAAAGATGGGAAAATGCTGATCATGTTGGATAGGTGACCGTATTGTCCTACCCCGAAGACTTATGGAGGAAGTGAGGCATCTGCCGGATGATGTTATAAGCATGGACAAAGCTTTCGATGTTGTACGATATATCAGCAATTTTGAGCTACAATCCTGGGTTCCTGGGTACTAACTTATTGCAGACGAACGAACACCACCGACTCGGTATTGGTAGACCAGATGTGTCAGCTCTAGTCATGAATGTCGTCCGAGGTGACCTTACTCGTAGCCTAGGTAAGTTTATACATTGAAACTGGTTTACTGGTTTGGGATGGGCCAATCTAACCCATCATTGAAGTGCGTATCAACCCCCGGCTTTCGGCAGAGACGGAACGTACTATTCGCGAGGAGCTGCCGCCATGCGATGACTGGACATCTGTGTCAGTTTACCAGACAGTTTTGCGCATGGTTGCTACCATCTCTGGTGCTCTATTCATTGGGCCTGAGCTATGTCGCTCGGATGAGTATTTGCAGGCTAGTATCGGATACACGCTGGACTACGTCAACGGCATCCAGGGGCTCAAGAAGTGGAACCGATGGTTGCGATGGATTGGCCGATACTTCACGCCTGAGGTTAGCAAGCTGTTTGAAGATCGCAAGAAGGCGCATGCCTTCCTACAGCCCGTTCTCGAAAAGCGCCGGGCGGCTATGAAGGCAGGCGAGGAGGTTTCCGACGATGCTCTACAGTGGATGATGAAGAAGGCCGATGAGATGGGTTTTACCGACGAAGTAATCGCCGAAGCGCAGCTGAACCTAAGCATGGCCGCTATTCACACCACTTCCCTCACGGTTACGATGATGTAAGATTGATCTCCCTAACCTTTAGTATCTTCCCGGAGAGAGCATTGCATTAACCTTTCCCTGCAGCCTTTACGACCTGGTAGTAAGACCCGATATAATCGAGGAGCTACGAGAGGAGATCAAGACTGTCCTTGCTCGTCACGACGGTGTCACAACTAGCCACGCCCTTTTCGAGATGAAGCTGCTTGACAGTGTTATGAAGGAGTCGCAGCGGATGAACCCTGCTAACCTGGTCCGATTTACGCGATATGTCCAAAAGCCCGTTACTCTTAGCGATGGTACTCACCTGCCTGCCGGCTATTTGATCGAGGCACCGCACGCGCTGGCTGTGATGGATCCCGAGTTATACCATAATCCCGAGGTAAGACTTAGCCTAAAGATACTGCAGTTCCCATCTATATGAACATCAGGTGGGCAAAGAGCTAACATCGTCTTAGGAGTTCGACGCTCATCGATTCTTGAACCTACGAAACGGCACGACGGAGGATACTCTAGGGTACAAGAACAAGGAGCAATACCAGTTCGTGACGGTGACGAAGGACTTCATGCATTTCGGATACGGCCGTCATTCGTGCCCCGGCCGTTTCTTCGCTGCCAACGAGATTAAGCTGATCCTCGCGCGCATCCTTCTCGACTACGACCTCAAGATGCCCGAGGGCCTTACCGAGCGCTATGCCAACATCAATATGGGCACTGATTCATTTCCCGACCCGACGAAGGAGATACTATTTAAGAGGGTTAAGACAGCCGCGTAGGGAAATTGCCAGAATTCATTATCATGTTTAGCTGCGATGCCTTGTTAGTTTTTATGCCCAAAATAGATAATAATAAGAAATAGCAACCAAGGTACTTTCAGCTGTCCCGGGTATCTAATATACGACTTACCTGTGTTCGAAAACCTACAGCACACTGAATACAGAAGGGCTTACATGTAAATGAGACATTATACAGCCTCATGTATTAGGTGAACTAGGTACCTACCGATCTATGTATATCAGCGGCCAGATGTGTATTTACCAAGGACGTGACTATCCATAGAACAGCATGAAATACTGGGCTGGGGCTGACTCTCAAATTAAAGCTCCGCAATGAACCCGCAACCAAGAATGTGTATCGAATCATGAATAAAAGGTTTAAGGTTTCCATCTCCAGCCGGGATGCTTCCACTCGAGACTCTCAATCTGCGCCTGTGATAAACCCTCCAACTCCTTACTGACGTCCAGCTTCTCGCGTTTCTTGTTATCCGCTTTCATCCAGAATAGGGTCACGGTAGTTATAACGAATAGCATGCTAGAAGCAGCAAGGTTCAACCCGTTGCCAATAGGGTAATCGGGCCCATCCCAGGATAGATATGACCAGGTAGCAATGAGGCCACCAAGGGCGCCGAACATCATGTTGGTCCCCAGGCTCACACTACGCGCCGTGTCGCTGACAACCTGTGCTGCTACCTGCGCATTACTCAATGCGCCGACGGCAAAACAACTGATGGCCGTGAAGAAAGTCGCCGCGTATCTCACCTTGGGGTCGGTGCTTGCTAGGAACATGATGTAACCCATCATTGTTAAGGGCGCGGTGAGGATTAAGAAGACTTGTCGCTTGTCCATACGCCAGCTCAGAAGCGGAATACCAACTTCGAATAAGGCCCCGACAACGTACGGTGGAACCGTGTATAACTGCTTCTGGACCGTCGTGTACTGAGGATAGATGGTGGCTACGATAGTAGGCGCGAAGAAAGCTAGACCCTGGACAGTGATGCTGGGGTTTTCAAGTCAGTGATCGCGGGAATATTGAGCGAAACAGAATAATACATACTTATTAAGTAGGAAGATGAAACTGGTCGATAGGACAACAGGGTTCCAGAAACCTAGCCAGAGTTTCTTGCGGTCCGTCTTGTCGATGACAGCAGTTTGGGCCAAGCGTTCCGACTTAACACGGGCGATTGCTAGAGTCTTTTCCTCCGCCGTGAGCCAGCGTGCCGTTTCGGGACGGTCGGTAAGCGTGACGAACGAGATCAACGACAACCCTATCGTGATAATACCTTCGACCAAGAAGATCATGCGCCAAGCGGTAACACTACCGATGTTGGATAGGCTTAGAAGACTGTTATACCCGGATTAGCGGCGATTATTAACCGTCATAACAACTTAGCCAACTGTCCAAACAATCTTAACAGTATAAGACTTTTTTTTAAAAAAAAGCGAGCGATTAACCGGTATACGTACCCAGAAGCGATCAGCCCCCCAAATGCGCCGGCAAGCGGTGCCATAACAACAAAAAGGGAGATCCGGAAGACTAATTCGGAGCGGCGGTACCACCGGGAAAGATAGTAGGACATTCCGGGCATCATGCCGGCCTCAAAGACGCCAAGGAGGAACCGGACGCCACAAGCCGCCGGCAAATCACGAACGAAGGCCATGCCAAGAGAGGAAATGCCGAAGCCGAGACATAGAATGGGGATCACCCAGCCGGGACCAAGCCACTTGCACGCCAGATTGGACGGGATCTCGAAGAGGCAGTAGCTGATGTAGAAGATGGATAGAAGCATGTTATAGTCGTTGCCCTTCATGCCCAGGTCCTCTTCGAGCCCGGCGAGTCTCGCATTGCCTGCGAGGTGTTAGTATAACTAAAAAAAAAAAAAAATAAAAATAAAAGAAGTTAAGTCGCAAGGATTTTATGTGAAAGCGTACGTACCTATATTTGATCGGTCGATGAAGCAAAATAGATACAAGACAGACACCGTCGGGACTATCATCCAATCTATCTTGTTACGGAGCTTCCTTTCGGCTTCCCGGTCAAACTCGGCGACAGACACGCCGCGACTACAATCAAAATTTGGTAAGCATGATACTCTCTTAACTTTGGGCACCTAGGTAGGTAGGTAGTAATGCTCATAGCACCTCACCTGTCGGTTGCCGCGACGCCCTCTTCGGCAGCGACATGTAGATCCTTCTCGACACGCTCTTCCTGGGAGAGGTTTCCCTCTTCCTTGCCGGAAACGTTGCCGTCGGACGTAGCCATATTCGGCCGCGGTTTGTTTCTCTGCGTTGGGTTTTTAGTCCCGTTATGTTGAATAAGGAAGGGAGAGACAAATAATCTATGTTAGGTAGGTGGGAAGGGCGGGAACGGAATAGATATAAATAAAGACGTCAAGATTAAGCCTATGGGCGGCTGCAGGATTATTTATCGTAGCAATTTATTTTATCTCAGCGCAGAAAGCAGTTTTCGTATGGAGGTGTGTAAGGTAGGTAAGGTAGGTTGCTATGCAGGGTATGGGTATCCTGGTAGGGGAGGGTGTCAAAGAGTTGATCCTTCTGGTAGGGAACCTCGGTGACACGGCATTAATAAGAATTTACGCATCTTGGTCAATGATAATACGGGATATGCGAGGTTTAATAGGGCACGAATCACGTTTGTGTGTTGGTTTCCCCGGGACTATACTGATACTATGCTATAACATTGACAAACGTACGTACCAGGTATGTAGGTGTCTTCTAGCATACGTACTTACGTACTTACGTACCTTAGCTCAAATCATCGAGAGGCAGTAGCAAGGTGACATAACAGGATTACCAAGGTAACCGTTACATTCGGCATTGGGACACTATGGAGTCAAGAAGGGGGTGTGTATGTGTGTGAGTGCCTTGCTAAAGTATTCCGGGATGCAAAGACGTACCTATGTAGGTATGTTATGATACTTAGCCCTAACCAATCATAATAGAGACAAAAGACTTACATATATATTTACTAAAAGACTCTTGTTGATTAAACTAATCGGATTCTTTGTTGACGTTATGGAGTTCAGTCTGAGGTCGGTCTCGCCCCGCGGAAGCTCTATACATACCTGTACCTACCTACCTACATACATACATACATGCATACATATAGGTACGTACGTATATACGACCTATACGCGTCGGATATTACGCGTATCGGACTTAACACGACTTAGACACAGATTAGAACTAATATTATACTGAATCCTATACTGCAACAGTAAGAGGTACCTAAGGTACGTTAGGTAGTCATCATAAATGATAAATATTCTTTGCAGCAGCAGAGAAACGTAACACAGCATCAAGCCCTACGGGATTCTGATCATGTACGTACAACAGTTCGTTTTTTTTAAATTTCCATACATACAGTACCTAGTGTACCTAATATATTAGCCTGCAGCGGCCCGCGCATGCCAAGCTTCGGGATTCAGGGGTCTTGATTGATTGATCTGATCTACCTAACCTAACACGATACCTAACGGCGAAGCTAAATACCCCACATTCCGGTGCCGCTTGGCGATGGCTTCTTCTTAGGCTTCTAGAATTAACGGCTTGGTATATTATATTAATGTGCCCTTAAAAGTGGGAGATAACGTCGAGTTTCTACTGGAAAGGTGGGATGCTGTTTAGTTGTTACAGTTCGATATTCATAGTCAACTACCGCTTGCGCATTGCGGTGTTCAGGTAGTACCCAGGGTCCTAGTTTGATCACGGTTCCGAAGCGGAATGCCGGCATTGACCTGGATGCTTCGGAAGCTTTCCGTATGTAACTCGACGAGTACACGTAGATAACCCTTGAGTACTTGCTTAGTTGAGCATTACGCGATGGATTCAGTACTTTACACTTATACTTGAGCCAAAGGTATACGTGCGGACTCATATCAAGACAAGGTAGTGAGTGTGTCGTCGATTGACATCAACGTTCTTCTGACTGTTTTACCTAATTCTTAATCCTGAAATTCCAACAACCGTGATACCATACCTTAGGTAGTTCCCAGATAAGGTGACCATCCGCGAGCGTCTGATAAGGTAATCATAATAAGATGCAAAGACTACCTAAGCTCTTAGATAGATTATTTCGTACCATATTCGTAAAGGACGATTAATGCTCAAAGCTAAACAACCGGCTACAATCATGTAGTTCCGGAGGCATCGTAACAAAGCTCGTTCAGATCAACGACCGGCTCGAACGAACTCACGGAAAACGCCATGGTAGAATCCGTTCTTTGGTTCCTTTTCGGCTTGAGCTCCTTAGCTTCCCATTCCAGAATTTCGATCTGGGGATACCTCCTCATCCAATGCACAATCCACTGCTTTCCAAGCTTCTTATCCGACCCCTGTTTCCTCAGCACCCGTTCCGCGAGATCGAACAATTCGTTCTTGGTCGGTGGGCATCCTAGCGCCGACTGAGCGGTCGCCCAGTCGGCGAGAAGACCTTCTTGCCTGAGGGTCAGCCGGGATAGTTCGCTGCGGAGGTTCTTAGGTGCTCTACCCCGTGTCCGTGCGTTTAAGTGGCTAGGCGGGACGCCGAACCGTCTTGCTGCCTCGCAGATCTTGTCTCCGTCCTGGACTGCCTGGATAGCACTTGCCATGTCGGTCTCTGCCCATTGATACCTGGTCCGTTGTTTGTTCTCCTCGTCCGACTTACGAGGAGGCGGTCTGGGCCGTTTATCACCTAACCGCTCCGCCAACGTAGTCTTAGGGACGTTGAACCTGACAGAGGCTTGACGGAGTGATAGACCTTCTTCTGCAATAGCCTGTTCTGCTCTTGCCATGTCGTCTTCTGAGTAGGCACGATATTTAGCACCGCTCCTGGGGCGGCCTAATGAGTTTGGCGGTGCTATATAAAGTGGTATTTGCATGGCAGCTGTGTGGGATAGATCCATAAATTATAATAAATGTTTATGCATTAAAGATTATAATAACTCCAATTATTAGCGAAGCTGTTGGACAAAAAAAAAACATCAATTGATTAAAATGTGTTCCAATATGTTGTGGTCTTCTAAATCAAACAGTCAATCGTGACCGAAGGTGCCCCAATTCCAGGATTTTGGTGATACGATGATCATTTACTAAGGGGGAAAGTCTCGACACGTGAAAGTCGGCTTGCAATGGGGTACATTTTCGGTGTACGCCTTGAGACTTTTCATGAGTTGTGTATAGGCTAGAGCCCATTCCGACTATTTGGTCCATATAAGTTAGTCTTGTACTTCCGCTGCTGAATCTTAAGGGACTTGAAGTTTCTCAAGATTCCTCAAGACTTTTCATAGCAATTGTGTATGTTTTGTCATATTATTTGTTTAACACTGTAAACATGGGTAGATGGCGGGCATATTACTCCCATTAAACATCAACTTATTTCGCCTATTGTCCCCCATCTCCCATTCCCCATCCGCATCCCCAGGACTGCCGCTATTGGCTACCAGCAACCGAATACGTTGCCTGCTGGTAGAACTTGATAATCTATCATGGTCCAACGCGGACTAAAGCTTCTCTCCGCCACCCTCGACCCTCGATAGACGTCTAGTGTTGTGTTTTGGTGTCTTTAATAACCTGAATGCCGTTTCACGACACGCCTGCCGCCTTGCCCAAGGTACCGGATCCTCGGCTGCTGAAGATGCTCATAATACCAAAGCCAACGTAGAATAACATCAACGGGTATGCTACCAAGGCCCTCATTTGCATCATCCGTCCAACTGCGCAAAACATGCCACTCGCACTTGTTGTGCACCAAACAATTGCCGCACTGGTTAGGATGTAGCCGAGCGGTCCGTCCATCGGTATGACAATGCCTATTAGACTGGTTATGACTAGCGGTAGCAAACAGTACCCAAGCACGCTCGCGCTCCTTGCAAATGTTAGGTTACTACTGATGTGCCCCTTAGAATCGTCTCTACCGCCTACGTTTGGATCGCCGGGGTAAGCAGGAGCGGAAGAATATGCAGGCTGAGTAGGTGTCGTGGGACTGGTACCGTCGGGAGACATAAGTGATAGGATCGTGTGTAGCGCAACCGATCCCATGAGTGCCAATCCGTAGATATACCCGAAGTGTACCTTGCCACTAAATAATAGGAATGTGCCGAATAAGAAGAAGAAGAGGATAGGGCCGCCGAGGTCGGAATCGTCCATGATGTGTTGATCTATACGTCCGAAGGGGTTGAGAACTGCTAAAGTCTAAAGTAAAAGGGGTTAAGCATTGCTGCCGAATCAATGGAATGCAAGCTGATCGGGAGCTCACCTTCATCCAAATGTGGTCGAAGTTGATCCCTAGCTCTTCTAGCAACGGCGGTTCCCCATCATATCCTTCCGTAGAAAAAGCGGCGAGCCAGCCCGTCCGCAGGCCACCTTGTTCACCCATCCTCCCACTTACGCCAGGCGCAGCACCGAAGCCGTATCCACCAGGGTTAGGCGTTGGCGCGCCATAGCCGTATGGTTGCGCCGGGGCTCCCTGGGCTGGTATACCGGGTGAATACGACGAAGGGTAGAACTGAAGGTTTTGCGCGGCCGCCGCACCGCCGAACTGATTTGGAGGGGGTGCGCCGTAGTATTGCGACATGTTTTGCGGTCCGATGCTCGAAGTAGTTCTCGGATGGGAGTAATCGGTTCGAAGCCGTGTGGGTTTGGAGACAAAAGTAACTCCGTTGAAAAAGAAAATTTGAAAAAAGAAAATAAGAAAGCTACTGTAGTGTAGGTTAAGAGGTACAAAGGATGAAAGAGTTGATAGAGAGGGAAAACAGTTGGAGTGGATGTGACATAAGAAGCTGTGAGACGTGTTCGAATCGTTTCTTCACGACGATGATGGAATTCAAAGTTAATGGATCGCCAAAAATGAATCTGTCTTCACCGACGTGGCTGCGAAAGCTTAGATTAAGTCCCATCTACCTACGTAACTCCCGCCCAGGGCTTCTAGCTTCCCCTGTAATCTGTACTGTGGCTAGTGAAATAATGTGGCGTTATGCCAAATCCCTGTGACACTGCAGGGGGGCATGGACCTGAGTATTTTTTATGAGATATGTACGGATTATGGATTAGGTTACATAGTTCCGGAGCCCCGGAGTCACAACTCCGATGTGGGCAAGGTTCCTAATCGTTCCGCTATCGCGACAATTTTCGAGCCTCGGGCGACTTCTTTTCTTCAACACCATCAATAGGAAGCACCTTATCGCCTCGATCGCAAATTTCGATCTACGGCCTTGCGAATCCCTTTAAGTATACGGGATCCTGCTGCTGTGGTTTACCTTCTATAAGTCCGAAGTTGCAAACATGGTACGTACGAAGTAAATAACTAGAGGAAATTCTTTTTTTCTAAAGCCGAAATAATCTGATAATCCACCTTTGCGCCACCGACAATTGCCGCTAACAATTAATAACAATTATAACTAGGCGCACCGCATCATAACGCAGATCGTCGTAGTAGGCAGCCGAGTACTCGGTCGCGCCTTTGCCGAAGCTTATAAGCAGGCACAAGCATCCTCCAACTATGCTAGAGCGCAGGCTAAGTTGAATCCGAATGGAGTATCGGCTCGGGCGAGTCTCTCCAATGGCATGACCCTCGATGAGGCGTGCAAGATCCTAAACGTCAAGCCGCCGCAGGGTGGACAGACGAACATGGAAGAGGTCATGTCGCGATTCAAGAAGCTCTTTGACGCAAACGATCCGCAGAAGGGAGGAAGCTTCTACCTACAGAGCAAAGTCTTAAGAGCGAGGGAACGTATAGAAGCCGAGGTTAGACCGGCGATGGAGAAAGCTGCGCAAGAGGCCGAGATAAAAGAGGGATGGAAGCCCAAGATGTATAAGGACCGGTAGTGACTTCGGAGTGGAAAGAGAATACGAGTTTGACCCGGGGGGCGGGTTTAGTGTCGCTGGGAATCGGACACATACTATACGCAACAACCGTTTACGAAAGCATCTTCACTCGACTGTGGCATGGCCTGGCGTTATCATTTGGGACTTTTGACGCATTCATGGACCGGCTCGTTCCTGGTCGGAGTTAGACGAGAGACGACGCTGCGTATACTACTGTAATTATTGTACATTATATGTCAAAAAGGGGCGACATGATATAGCGGTTCTACGTGTGTTAGATAGACGCCGGACGGGCTTCTTATGGACGAATACAACAGGACTTCGCTTGGATATTTACATATGTATAAGATCCATATACTAACGTAGTACGCCTCCGTAGTATGTCTTTTGGCATCGAAAACGTAAATGCTTTCGTATCAAGGTTGACTCAGTAAGGATTAATCGTGTAATTAGCTGTACACTGATGAACCCAATGAGTGGTCAAGGGGGAAAGGTATAACATACCTGACTAATAGACGTACCTAACCGCATGTCTTATGCAAGCTGCCTACAACACGCGATACATACCTCTTACCAAAGTAAATTTTTACTCAAACCGTCGGCGGGAACTTGCTGTTGCAGCAACTAGCCTGCACACTTCCTTGGGTATATGATTCTCAGTCAGAGACTAGACTATCACAGGTGAATAGCAAACGCTTGGTAGTGCAATGGTGCACACTCCATCTAATTCCCCGCGGCATACTCTGCAGTCAAAGCAATACTATGGCAGCGACTAGTAATTCCTAGCCTACATTCTCCATACCGCCGGAACACGTATTGTAACCTGAACGTATTAACGTAGTGTTATCATGGAATCTTACTCTAATATAACTCAGATTTTTCTCTTCACCAAGCCCCTAAAAAAGTCAAAACTGTTTTCATCGCTCTGCAATGCCCACACCTTCCCCGTCGGTCTATCATCGCTTCCTAGCTCTTCCGCTCTTAGCATGCCCCAATCGCTGGTAATACCTACGATCCGAGCTTTCACTCCACCCTGCGCCTCCAGGTTGACAATCTGCCGTCCGTGCAGCCAGTGCGCATAGTATGCACTCTCCATATCTCTCGTGAAACCTCTTCGCACGAACGTCTTGTACAGAGCTTCTAGCCGGGCAATGATTCCTGCCGTGAGTTTTTCGATCCGGAACGGAGCGAGGTGGGAAGGCAGCAGGGCGTCAAGGGAGGTGGTGGGACGTCCGTTAGTCGCGTTGATTCCGATGCCAAGGACAATTTGGTAAGCCCCCGCCGAATAGTTGCAGTTAGACAAGATGCCGCCAATTTTGACGTAAGAAGGGGGGGACGAGGAAGGCTGCCTCGGATCCCGCGCATAGATATCGTTGGGCCATTTTAATTTTACGGGGACCTCTTCGTATCCTCGATCGTAGTTCTTTACAGCTTCGACTATAGCAATGGCGGCTAGATACTGGATGAAGACGATGGGCCGACTTGGCGCAATATGAGCCGGGTGGTTGATGACAGTGGACATTATCAATGATCCAGCGGGCGACACCCAGACGTTGTTCCCGCGTCCCCGCCCAGCGACCTGAGTTGTTGCCGTAAGTGTAAACCCCGACGGTAGTTTGGACAGCAATTTGAAGTTTTTCTCAAGCAGTGTATTAGTGCTCGTGACAACTTCTCCGTACATTAAGAAGTTGCCCCATTCTTCCGCTTCAGGTTCTGTCTGCCGATAATCTCGTAAGCTAGAATAAAATGCGTTGTGGTTGAAGTATGGAGTTGCTTTGGCTTCCGGCCAGGCTGTTTCGTGAGTTACAATACGCTTAACAATTGTGCTGTAGTCGATTATGCCTTGACTACTTAAGTCAGGAGACTTTTGATCTTGGCTACCATCAGGAGTCAGTGCCTCTTTCAAGCCAGCGACGGACCACATGGTTTCGGGCTTCTGCAAATGAAATGTATCGTTTTCTGCTCTTATATACTCTTCGCCGTCTTCTTTGCTGATGATATCTTCCCAGGTGTGTAATAAGTCGTCCACATCGTTACTAGAGATGGACGACAAATGAAGTCGAGAGAGGGATGGCACACCTGTTTTTTCTTGACTGACTTCTAGCCCAAGCTTAGTTAAGCACGCCTTTAGGAAGCCCGTTCGTGCATCATCGTCAGCTTTAAGGGCGGCAATGAGATTTTCATATCCCTCGACGTCGTTCTGCGGACTTAGATTTACCGCAGCAAATTCAGGGTGAGGTCCTGTAAGGATAGCAGCACCTTGGCCGACTTTGCAGTACACCAGGGCTGCCTTTTCGCGACCACCGTCGACATCAAGCTCGTCCGCATAGCTTGCTAGTATCTCAACATCACTGTTTCCATTTGTTGGGATGACGAAGACGCCGCCGCCATTGTAGTAGGACGTGAAGACCTCTGGAACTAAGCCTGCCCCCCTGAATGCATCCTTCACAACATTCACTCGGACTGCTCGGGCCCCTTTCTCGCTGTGATACTGGAAGCCTTTGAATGCACCGCCCCTACACGTGCTAGGAAAGAAAGCTAGCTCTCTAGATCCGACTACTTCCATGGCCTTGTTGCCAACCTCGAACTCGCACCTTTTGGATCCATAGTAGCCGCCGGCGCAGAAACCTAAGTATGCACCACCTCGACGCACATACTGAGATATAATTGAATTACCTTCCCCATTGAGCACGCGACAGTAACCAAGATCAGCACCGCCCGGAAAAACAAGCAGCGCGCAAGAAGGTGCCCATGGCTCTTTTAGTAGAACGGTCTCGGTGATAGGGATGACTGCGTAGTTTGGGGAGAGAAGTCGACGCAGGGAGTAGATTGCATGCTTAACTGATTCGACTGTAGACCCGGTGCCCGTGTAGACGAGCACATTTAGTTTTTGCGACGTCATGGTGGGGGAAATCCTCTTCAGTCCGAAGTTGTAGGGCGGGATTAAAGAGTAGTACGGGGTTTTGTTAATGAATCCCCGGGAGCGCAAAGAGGCGATTCTAAGACCGGTTCGGATCCCTCCGAATTTTTGCCTTTATACCGCCCTCTAGCGCAATTCACTTGTTTAATTCGCAACGCTGAACGCTGAACGCTGAACTATGCGAATCAACACTTGGTATCTCATATAAAAGATACTTTGACGACAGCCTTAAATAATGTCTAAAGACGAAAGCACAAGTCAGCAGACGATTGCTGCTCAAGATGATGACGAGCCGGATGAGTGGTAAGAGTTGTTAAAATCAGCTGTTTATAACTGTCAGTCTTCGTAGACTAATTGCTAATTTTCTTGTCTGATGATCTAGGGATAAGAGGATATTTAGTACGGGATGTGCAGGTAAATACCTAGGCTTAGAAATAAGTCGGTTAGGTACTTATATGTCCAAATACTGACCAAGTTAGATGAGAATACCAAATTGACCGATTGCTACTATGAAAAGAAGGACTGGCGAGCTTGCAAGAAGGAGGTACGTAAATGATTGAGAGGATGTAGTTCCTAAAGAGCAGAGCTTGCTTTCATGGTAATTTGCTGACCGACTTCACTAATGACAGATGGAGATTTTTAAAGCTTGCTGGAAAAAACATAATAACGATCAGAGGACGTCGATGAAGGATGCATAACTGCTCAAGAAGCAATCACTAGTTACTTGTAAAATTATAGGGGGGAGAATAGAGAGGTTGAGGTATTAATATTACACTAATCCCGCTCCTAGAGTCATACATACATCTGGTCGATGTTGTAGAAGAATTATAACACTGGCTGCGCTGTTTTGCTAGGCCGTAGGTCATAGGTCATAGGTCATAAGCTAAAGGCGCTATCAAGATCAATTACCTAGGTGCCTATTTGAAAGGCCAATTGACTATCGATAAGCTACTTGTTACAAGGCACGGAATACAATACCCGATCTAAATCTAATTCTTGGCTTTACGTTGAAGAAACCCACTCTGCCCCAAAAATTTACAACGCCTTATCGTCCCTCTTCGACTTTTCGAACCTTCCATAGAAGGGTCCCCTCTTACACAATTTACAACCACAAACCACAAACCACAAGCCACAACCCCCTTCAGACAAGATAACAATGGCCTCAAGAACGTTAACACATATACGCGCCGCGGCTCGACGCGTAGGCACAATATCAATTCCCCAGTCCCAAATACAGCCGTCCGTCCGGACTATCGTTAGCACCTCGAAACCAAAGGCGACGTCCACCACCTACACCTACACCAGGGCCGCTACCACCTCTGCAGCGGCGCCTGCCTCTCCCTCAGACGCCTCCAAATCCGCCGGAACATCATCCGGAATACGAACGCCCGTCCCCGCCGTCTCGGGCGAGCCCCTCCCCGACGCAACGGGCGGCGAGACAAACTCCGGCGAACCGATCGATTGGACGCAATCGTACCACGGTCTCGGTACGTCGGCGTTCTCGCCTGAGACCGCGGCGGTCCTGCAGGCACGCCTTAATCCCGAAGACATCGAGGTCAAGCCTGACGGCATCATCTACCTTCCCGAGATCAAGTACAGGCGTATCCTAAACACTGCGTTTGGGCCCGGCGGCTGGGGTCTGGCGCCCCGGGGACAGCTTATGGTCCACGAGAAACTAGTTACGCGGGACTATGCGCTTGTTGTGCACGGGCGGTGAGTTTTTTCTTCTTCCTTCTTCTTCTTCCGCTTGACTCTTCTATCTTTCCCTGTTCAGAAATCTTAGAAGATAGTTGTGTATTTACGAAACTTGGAAGAAGAACAACATCTAATAGTCGAATAGATTCGTAGCTCAAGCCCGAGGCGAGATGTCGTACTTCACCGAAGAAGGCGTCTCGACGGCTGCCGAGGGGTGCAAGTCCAACGCGCTGATGCGGTGCTGCAAGGACCTAGGCATTGCGTCGGAGCTGTGGGACCCGCGCTTCATCCGCAAGTTCATGAAGGAGCATGCCATGCAAATTTGGGTCGAGCACGCCACCACCAAGAAGAGGAAGCAGATCTGGCTGCGCAAGGATGACGAGGTCCGTTATCCGTTCAAGAGGACGTAGTTAGTAATTTTTTGTAAGGTATTCTCATGTAAGACGATGAGCAACGTCGGGGATCAGGTTCTGTTTGATGGGGACGCTGTACGATATCACGAGGTTGGAAATATACCCCAAAGAATTCTACACTCCAGACATGGGCAGGGAGGCCTACTACGCAGCTCTTGCCCTGAGCTACCACATGCATACATGGCTCTACAATGTCACGTATATTAAGAGTCTCGGTGATAGATGGTTGGCAACGAACATAATGATAAAAAGCCGTACGTACAAGACCGTGCAGCTCTTAGCTCTAGAGCCTATGCTCCGGGTGGGAGTGAAAACCTACGCTCTAATTCCATGGTCAACCGCGTCTAGCCGTCCTTCCTGATGTGCGATCCAGTCCAGTCCAAAACCCAACCAGTAACTCCGCGCGATCAAATATGATATCGTAGATGTAGCTTTACCTACTTCTGGACTCCAGAGCTGTGCCCGGTGTCTGGTTGGTTGGTCTGCTCTCCAGTTCCAACGGTGCCCCAGCCCAGGAAGCCCCAACCGCTTCTTCCAGCAGCCGGGTTTTCTTCGCCCATGGGGGCTCTTCTACGTAGGTTGTTGTCGTCCTCGGCGCCGCTTTCGGCATCGATCTTCTCGAAGTCGACTTCACTCCGGCTTTTACTCAGCCCACTCCACACACTGTGGCCACTAGGTGGTCGTGAAATCCCTTCCTGGCCGTCTAGACTCATGCTACCTACTCTCCCCGCTTGCTCAGCCCTCTTGCGCTCCTCCTCGGACATCTGTAGTTGCTTGGCTTCCTTGTCCAGCGCGCCCATCATGAGTGCTAGCCTCTCCCTCTGCGCGGTGATGAAGGTTATTTTATCCTCCGCGCCGGCAAAGTCCCCGGGGATTAGGTTCGCAGCAGACAGCGTTTCGGCCCTAGCCGGTACTGTTGATCCTCCGGGAGTTCTAGGACCGGCAGCAGTGCCGACCGCATTGGCCAGTAGGTTGAAGAATTCCTGCCCCGTGGCGCCAGTGTTATTGGCAGCCCACCGCGCGGCTGGCACGCTGAACCTAGCAAGCAACGCCTGCGTGTATCCCTGTGGTGCCGCAGAGGCCCTTGTCTCTTCCGGTTCCACCTCTTGTGGTGGCATGCCTAGGATTTGAGTGCGGAGCAAGTCGATAGCGCGCTTCAAATAAGCTATACCCGCGGCTTTTAGCCTATCGTGAGAGCTGGCAATGAACTCTTCGATAGCCGCCTCATTATCTTCGAGGTATGGGTGGAGATACGTCTCGTAGAGCACCCGAGCGCCCTGAGTCTGGGGGAGAACGAGGTAGAGCAGGAAGAAGAGGCGCATATACGAGTAGAAAGGGACCCAGTAGAGGATAAACTCGAACCAGGACTCAACGAGGAGGGCGCAGGAGAGGACGGACCAGTACATCAACCATGGTGTCAGCTGTGTGGGGTCGGAAGTCTTGAGCGCTTTGTAAGAGGCGAAGAGGGGAAAGAGGAAGGATGCTATAGAGCTATTGTTTGGTTAGGCGTCAAGAGTTAGCAACGATATTCAAACCATAGACAAGGGACTCGGGAAGCGCCGGACGTACGAGAGGAGCTTCGGAATCAGGTCAAACATGATGATAGAATCTTCACAGGAATGAGTAAGATATGATAAGTCACCGATTTCTTGTATTCGCCCGGTTTTTTTTTTAGCCTTTTAAGCCAAGATTACGAGGGATTTGTGCGAGGTGAGACTAAGAGGAGGTAAGTTGTAATCGGGATCGTATTAGACAGGGACGATCAATCTGATCTGACTAGAAGATACGTAGATCCAGGTAGTATTGCAAAGAAAGGGGAAGGGAAGTTGCGAGAACAAAGAAAGGACCGGAATATCTCCAAAGACGTCTTTCTTGGAGAGAGATGCCCGGGGAGGTAGGGGTAGGGGAGGTTATGTAGGTTATGTAGGTATTCGCGAATGTTGGCGATGTGCGTTTACCTACCTAATCGAATCGAACCTGGAACTGAGAACCTGGAATGGAACTCAGATACAACCTAAAGCATGTAACCTTAGGTTAGGTATGTGTGTGAATGCGGATGTAAAAATGCAGATGTAAATGTAAAATGCGAGTAAGTTTAAGCTTAGAGTAGCTAAGGCCGATAAATGACGGTATGACGGTTGAGAGAGATCACGGCACGGCAAATGACCCCGCCAGACGTCACAAGCAGCACAGAGTAATCACCTGCACTACGCTCAGATAAGCGTTGGTGCCTTATTTAGTCGCGCGGGGCTTGCGGGGGAGCTAAACTGTGTCGGGTTTCGGGGTGCTGAATTAGCGGACCTGTCAGTTTGTCAACTGGAAGTCTACCACTATTATTAGCCTCGCGAATCACTAGACTAACCGCTAGGCCGTTTGCAACCGCATAATTCATAACTTTATGCAATCTCGAGCCACATTGGGGTGGATATAGAGGTTATGTAGTATTCACGTACCTAGTGCAGTTGACTTACATCAATGCGGAATGACTTGATACATAAGGCATCCCTCGGAAATTCCTTGGGCGAAGCTTAGGACAAAATCTAGTGTCTAATACGATGTATGATGAAATCATATGAGGCCATGCTGGGCTATTTAATAAACCCCAAGTCTTGCATGGACACGTTGCAAATTCGGACTCATACTTTTCCTTTGCGCTGGTGCCTTTTGCTCACCTTAACCCCTTTCATGACGCGTGTTTCTAAGACTTTTTGTCTGCCTAACCTATCTTACGTCGGATCAATTGTTAACACGTTTCCATGCTATGATAATTTTTTTTAATTAATCAGGAGATCTGTTAAGATACGTGGATGGTTATGAGATCTAGGGGTTTCTGGTGTTTAAGCTTGATGATGAAATTGTTAGCGTTCGGGAGGGGGGTGAAAGAAATAGGGTATCCAAGCATGAGGATGACGACTAGTCCAGATTGCATAATAAATACTTTAATAGGTTAACCGGGCACAGATATCAAAGCTTATTCTTCTATAAAACTTCACCCAGTTATTCGGTGCTCGTAATCTGCATGAAATTACATGCCTAGTATTTCTATACCTAAGACCGGTGATGTTAGACACTCTATCTATTTAAAACGCTCTTATATGATATTGAACGGAAATAAGATTGGTGCCTAGCTTAGTATAAGCGCTTGACCAATATCTTTATATTTACAATCTATATAGGTTGTTGAATTCCATCCTTTCGTACTATCTAGATTAGAAATCCTCAGTTAAATCTAGAAATGTCCCAAGGCTTGCTAGAAGTTTCTAGTTATGGGGTCATTTTAAATAACTAGAACTCAATAATATCAACCAGTTGATGATCGACTTCCAAGTAGTATTGACACGGATAGAGGAACGGGAAAATCATGTCTAGAAGAATATTTCGAAAAATGGGTACCGAGACGAACAGTCTGTTTTTTTCTCCTTTAAATAGGTACTTACCTTACTAAGCCTTATATCTGTAAATATGGCTCACTCTATATCATTATATACAACTAAAGGAACATGAAGGCCCATTCTTATGGGCTAAGCCCCTCGATGGGAATATTAGAACTGGTTCGGGGGTGGGATATTAAGCCACTTAGGTACCGATTCTATTACATACTACAGCCCCTATATTATGATATGTTACTTGATTCTTGTTCAATAATTTTGCTATTGGTGGTTTACTTGTGGCTTTGTAATACTAGGTGCCCATAGGCAATAATCACTAGATACATCGCCATGAGTCACTATCAAGCGACACTTTCCTTATAATATATTATAAACAATTCCCATTCTATATGAAGTACTGATCGCCTTGAGGATTAGAATCACCAGTAATTTCCAGATAGGTTTTATTGTGGTTAGTCTATATTGAGCGAATGAAGTGGTTTTTAACGTTCGTCTAGAACAGATTTTAAGAAAATAATGTCCGGTCGTCCTGCCCGCTATCCCCTATCCTGTCCTAAGTCCCATGTCCTTAACCATAACCAAATAATTTGAGTCGTTATTTCCTAACCATCATTTGCCGTTTCCGGGGTCGTTAAAGGAGAAGAAGTCTGGCGGTGACACATATGCCCCTGAGCCACTCCCCTGACCAGATGAGCCACCCTGGTTTTCGGATTTGTCCTTGTTCGGGTCCTGATTTTCGTTAGTCCCTGGATAGTGCTTGGATTAGACGGATACACACCTTTGACTTCTTCTTGTCACTCTTGGGGGGCTTCTTGGAGTGGCCATTGTTGTCTTCATCGTGGTTAGTATTTCGTTCTCCGGCCCGTTCGCATTTATTCTCTTTGAGGCTTACTTGATGCTCCACCTGAAGACTCTCCGAAGGCCATGTTTTCAAGATCTGTTGAACAGGGCTTTAATGTTTGTCGATGAGAAGCTGTTGTTGATGAGCACATCGATTCTTCTATTGAGCTCACCTTTGACCTCATCCTCTGCTTATATAGAATGGCACACCTCGCCTCTCCTATCCTCAACGCGTATTCTCACCTTTGTACGTGCCTCTATTTTCCATCTACGGAGTAATCGACCCCCTCAGCTCGGCATCTATTTCTCTCTCTCTCATTATGATCGTACATGTGCCTATCAGCTCGTCAAATGGATCTGGCGTGTAGTTTGGGGTGAGGTCATAGTGGGAATCCCATATTAATAAAGTTGACTCAATCTGCGCCATCGTCATTTCCGCTTATTGCACATGAGTATCGTGAAATGATGTCCCTATATGGAAAGTTACTTGCTAAACTCCCTCTAATGCTTAGATTTGAACGTTTTCGGGACGGCAATAACGAATCCTTAATATCGGTTGCCGTAATATATGCCATCCGGCATTCGATACCCAGCCGGCACTGAGCCGCATGCATAATAACGATTGAAGATCTGGGAAGCGATGCTTAAACTAAATTGAGCCGGGCGGTCCGAAAAAGGCTTGATATGCAATGCTACTGCATCTTCCTTAAGGCTGTCGTTACCTACCTGCCAGCCCTACCGACGACTGAGCCGCTTCCCTACGGGAATACGTCGTAATGTGGGATGGCTACTTGAATACAATCGGATGAACAGGGGATAAGTAAAGTTGCGGCACATGCCACACCTGACCTATTACCTCCTTTGGATCCTGCTTGAGAAATATGAATTTTACATAGCCTTTTTTATTTATTAGGCTGTCGTCTACTTTGGAACACCGCATTTTACGTACAAGACTGTAAACGATACCGACATATAAAACCTGGAAAGTACCTCATCTAGGTACCTAATATTATAGCTTCCATTCTTGTTTTCTATTTGGTTTAGCTACATAGTAAGGCATGGCTTACTAAACCCTTATAGTTGTCATGTATGTACTTGGTTGTAAGCCACCTTGTCGGCATACCGGGGTTGGACCTTCGTATATTGTCCGAACGGGGGAGTAAAAACTCGGACAGTAGATCGGGCCGTTAAAAGCTCTAACCGGGAAAAATGACATATTAAAATCCATAAGAGCGCTATGAATTTGGTTACCTTATATTGCTCTTTTTTTTATGCCCCACGGGAACATCCGGGGTCATCAAACTCCATTTGCGAACAACCGGGGAAGCCTGAAATGCACTGTATGTAACTGATATTGACTCAAATACTTCAGGAAAGTGTCAAAAAAGAAATCATGTGGGCTTATGCGCTTGTGTGGCTAAGACATAAATATGTTCCTCGCGCCCTGCAGCTTGTCTGTATCTCGACCTCATTTGTGGCTTCTTACAGGCCGACGGTCCCGCCCAATGCAACCATAAATTCGGGTAGCGCAGACTAATATATATTCCTATTATATATTCCTAATTTCCTATAAACTTTGTGCTACCCACCTATTCCAGCAATGCTTACATTACGTCTCTTGAATTAATTCCAGAGCCTACGAAATTTCATGTGATGCCGAAGCCGTGGAGTGTTGCACCGTCGGCCTCCGGATATCGAACTAGCCGGGAGGAAATATCGGATTCCAGTCGGTCGGATTTATATCGCCTACTAAATAGGAGAGAACCCGACCCCCAACCCCTGACTCGGTAATAGCAAGTCACCTGACCTCTTTGACTGTCTACTTAACAACTGTGCCGTTTGAGGCTGTGCGCCATATTTTAACTAGGCCATCCCTCGACGGATTGCGCTTAGATACTGCATATTCAGTAAATTAAAAAAAAAACAAATAAGTGCAAAGAGAGTCATCTGGGGGCTCTTGGGATGCCGGAATGGTACGACTAATCTCATGGCTAATATAAAGGAGAAATAGGTGAAACTGAACTTAACACGTCAACTTGTGGTGATAGAAAATATAGAATTTGATTTCCAAGCACCTAAGTATAGATTGAACTTTTGAAACACTGAGTGTCGTTTTATTCTTAACGTTAACATTGATTCAGAAAGGTGAGAAATGGCCGGAAGAGATTCTAGAATTGATATTAGAATGAGGTCATAGTTGAAATTCATAGGACGGCAAAAATAACAGGTCTCAGCTTCTATTATTTCCTTAGAAGATATCTACTATGCCATCTAGGGCTTAAGTTGTTGAAATTGCTGGTCAACTGAGTTCGGATGATGATTTGAAGACTTTCCCTCGAGCATGCACCTGCTGTTCTGAAAGTGGTATGCTGTCGGCGTAAGTACTGCCATTTCATTCTATAAATAACAGAGAAACCCTGTGCTAAAATGATACAGCTTTTCACAAATTTGCCCTAATACCGATCCGTCTCTCCTCGGTATAGATGAAGTCTATCAGAGTCTCGTTGCCTCGGACGAGAATTGGCCGATGTGTGCTACATAAATGGATGCTTTCCCTTGTGACAGCACGCTTGGATATACGCCCCCTAGCGGAGACGACTCCGCGGTTTTCTATGAGCCCGGGGAGTTTCCGCCTAACGGAACAGCCACTTCCTCTAATGTCGCCGGAAGTATCACGAGCCCAGTCAGTGGAGCGACGTACACATGGACGTATGATGGACTTACGCGTACCGTAACAGTAGCGAGTGCGGATTTACAACCTACGGATGCGGCAAATACCAGCGACGAGGACAAGGGAGATAATGAGAGCGATATTACGGAAACCGAAAACAAGAAAAAATGTGGCCCCTTCACAGATGTCTGGGTTACTGCCTATCTGCGGACTAATTCTATTACTGGTCACAATCCTTTGAATACCTAGAGGCGGCTATGAGCAGTAGCTATTTGGGATATGATTTTCTGCCTCACTTTGAATAAATTCGGATGTCGGATTTAAGGCTGTAATCATTATCTGATTCATAATAATGAAGTATTATCATAGAGGCTGAGAAGAGGTCAAGAAAATCTCGACAGCAATATGACTGACGACGTAGCCAATCGGATTATAAGATGAAGAAAGGCGTATAATTCTTAGATGTGTGAAGATAGGTACCTACCTAGGTAATTAACATCCCATTGTCGTCTAACTGCCTAACATATAATAAAGCTATGATTCAAATCTTGCGTAAGGTTGTGGCTATGGGCTGATGTTAGTGAACTACATCCTCGTGTCCATTATTAATTTATTATTTCCCTATGAAATTCCACCTCCTGGTGTTTGGTAAAAGGGAACATGAGACATCTTTTTCTTACATCTAAGCCGTAACTTATTCGGAAGAGCCACCTCCTAACTATTAGTTGAATAACTTGAGTAATCAACTAGTTAGCGTATTTTCATTCAAGGACAGAAAGACTTGTGTGCCACCAAAAAACGTTTCGCCTTGTTGATCCTTCTTTTAAGCGCGTGGTATATCCAGCCACGGCCGGTTTTGTGGCCTGTAGTCAATTAAGGGTCGGCCGCAAGCCACCGAACCGCGGACTAAATAATTCAAAAGGTAAAAATAGCAAGCTTTAATAGAGGGGTAATTACTATAGGTAGGCGGGGTTTATCAAGATTATCAAAATAAGGCGTAAGGTCTATGCGTGCATTTGAGATGAAGCAAAGTTCGTTTGACGATAAACCGGAGAGGTTAGGGGTTGAGGATCTACAACTAAATTATATTATCATAGAGCTATCTATTTTTACCAAACATCGCTTTTTTACAGCCCTCGTTCCCTCAATACTTTCCGCAGCGTCTTGGCAAAATTAACCACATACTCAGGATTCAACATGGTATAATGCGCGCCCTCTACGTGGTGGAAGCGCACATCGCTCCGCACGAAGCTCTTCCACGCCGCCAATCTATTCTGGATCCAATCTTCCCTGTTCTTCGCCACATGGCTCAGCGGGTCCGCAACGAAGACGTCCATTCTCGCAACGCTACCCTCGGGCTCGTAGTCGACGGCAAGGCCTTGCATATTTGACGCGAGACCAACCCAAAGCAGGTAATACTCCTCGTCGAGGCCTAGCTCGTCCCAGCGGGCCGGGTCGCTGTACATCTTCAAGTAGCGGATGGCGTCGAGGCGGCGGCCCTCGCGCTCGAAGGCGCACAGCGCGGGCTTGTGCGTGTACGCCGTGGCCTCGTCCATCAGGCCGACGAAGTAGAACAGGTGGATGACGCACTCGTCCCACAGCAGCTCGCGCATGCGGAACTTGATGTGCGGCGGCAGATTCCAGCTGCCGCACAGCCGGACCTCGTCGCCGCCCGCCTCGAGCAGCTTGGTCACCTCGAACGCGACCATTCCGCCGAACGAGTACCCGGCGATGGCGTAGGGCCCGTGCGGCTGCCGCTTCTTGATCGCCGCGCGGTACGTCTCGAAGACCTCGTTTAGCGAGTTAAACGGCGTCTCGCCCTCCGCTGCGTTGAAGCCGCGGGCGCGGAAGGCGTGGATGGGCCGGTCGGTGACGTGGTGCGCCAAGTTGACGAAGACGAGTACCTCGCCGACGCCGGGGTGCACGAGCCATAGCGGAGTCTTGGTCCCGTGGGGCTGGAGCGTCACGACGGGGTCGTACTCGTGCTTCTTCTTTCCCGTGGAAACGGCGACGCGGGATGCGATGCCCCTGGCTGTGGGGTTTTTTAGGATGTCGGTTAGACGGATGAGCTTTTCGTGGCCGGAGGCTCTTAGGAACCCGTTCAGGCGCTGCATGATAGCTACGAGGTCCATAGATGTTGCGCCCGTTGAGAAGATGGAGTCGTTGACTGAGAAGTCGTCTTCGAATCCCATTTCGAGCTGTTGTCCGATGATATACAGAATTGCGGCCTCCTCGATAGTCTCAGGCTGGCCGCGAATTTTCTGACGATATCTTGCAATAGCTTCGTCATTGGTGGCCTTCTGCTCTGCGAAGTTACCTTCTTCTAGGGATGCCTTTAGTTTAGTCCGCGACAGTTTACCTAGTGTGGACTTGGGCATGTCTTGAACATTTAGCGGTATAACCGTGGGGCGGGAGTGGGTGTGCATGCTACAGGTGCGAATAATGCTGCTCTGAGCCTCGTACCGAGCCTCATCGTCATTTTCGTCGTACGAAGGCAGGTAGAGTACCACCACGACTTCGGTGTCTGCCTTCGAGGTGTCGCGCACGGCGAAACAGCAAAAATAGCTTGGTGTCGTCCCGGGGATTTCCGCCTGTTCCAGGGCCGAGTCGAGTTCGTGGGGTAGATATTTAACGCCGTTGATATTGATCATCTCTTTAGTGCGACCGTCTAAGTGTAGCTGGCCTTGGTTATCAATGTAGGCATTGTCTCCGGTTCTGAACCATCCATCGCTGGTGAACGCCTCGGCTGTAGCTGCAGGGTTGTTGTAGTACCCCTTAAAGATCGCTTCGCCGGTGATTTCAAGACTGCCGCTTTCGCCTCTAGCGACTTCGGTTCCTGGACTGTCTAGGCGAGCGATGCGCATTCGCAAACCCGGCATGGGTTTGCCTAATGAGGTGAAACCCAGACGCTGGGAGCTGTCATAGCTAGGACACTTATCATTGACAATGCACCCTGCGCAAGTTTCTGTCATACCAAAGGACGGCTTGAAGACATCAGCAGGGGCACCGTACCGACTTAGCACGGATTGCAACCCGACGCAGACTTCGGTGACGTTCGCCTCGCCTCCCGTATCTATATATAGTGCCTCCAAGTTCAGATCCGGATCTAATGTGGATGCTCCTGACTTGATCAGTCTGAGTATCTTGGCCAGCAAGAAGTTCGGAGCGAACATGCGTGATACGCGATGGCGGCTAACTAGGTTTAAGAGTTGTACTGGGTCGATAAGGATATCGGCGGCGGCAACCTGGATCTGTGAGACACAAGACACTATGGCGAAGATGTGGCAATGGACGAGATTAGCGACGTGGTCCATGTGAGTCCACGACAGGAAAGGGCTTTCTCGATATTGTAAGTTGGCTGAATCTCTCTTTCCCCTGAACGCGGCAAGGAGTTGTTGGTGTGTCAGGGGGACGGCTTTCGCATTACCGCTGCTTCCCGATGTGAGCATGACGGCGGCAATGCTTGACGGTGATGTCTCAGGAGAAGGTGTCAGGGGTCTCGAATCTGTGAGGACTACACTATCCAATTCTTCAATGGTGCTGATGTTGATACGCTGTTCGCCTGTTTGCTCCAAAAAGGGGCCCACCAGGGACCGTCGAGTAAGACATAACGGTCCGTTGAAGGTGCTATGGAGATGACTGAGATGCTTCTGACGGTCCGAGGCACTCTGGCTGAACATGCCCGGCCCCGTGACGGAAGGGATAGCCCCGGCCAATAGAACGGACCAGTACCAGACGATACTATCAAGAGCATTGTCGAAGTGGACGAGCACAACAGAACCGGATTTGCACAGGTCTTTCTGCTTGAGTTTGCTAGCATTAGTTTCTGCTAGGTCCAGAAGCTCCCTATAAGACAGTTTGAGCGCCGCTTGCGGGGCACTGATGTTGTTCGCTGGGTATGCCAAGATGCCCTCTGCTGTATGATTCGCAGCATATTTGAGGGCATCGACAACGTTGTCGAATTGGTAGTCATTTCGTGACATGGTGGTCGTCGTAGCAATCACTGCTGTTTTCATGCTTAGATAGGGGGCTTTTCATAGTGTAGCAGATCAAATAAGAAAGAAACCCGGTCATATACTTGTGTACTCTACCCGCTATCACATACTGCCCCCCTAAAAACAGTTGGGGCGGTTGAAGTCAGGGAAGGCTATACCGGAATCTGACGAGAGAAAATTACGAGGCATTGGAAGGATTGGGATCCAGATGACGAGCACCGAAACTAGACGTAGTTCATTTGAGGCGTCCAAAACATTTCTTCATCTGTGACCGCTGGTCAGAAATACGCTCAACCAAACTGCCACCGGGCCGTCCTAAGGAAGCTACCGTCGACTCTCCGTCATCATCTCGGTGAGCATCGTATGATATGAACACTCAATCTCTCCATAAACAGTATCTAATCGGGCTATCATACAAATCTGGATCTTATATCCCTGGATACGAACTCACACAGGTACTTTGTTGTGATTACGCAATATAATTTTACCATTGTTCTATAACCTGTCCTCGGGCTGCGATGGGGAGTCCGTACACATCATTCCGACTGTGTTGGTTACTGCAGTTGGTAAGATCGTGGAACATCAATGCGGCTTAATCCCGCCAACCGCATATAAGCCGTCTTTGGCATCCTTACGGTCGTACGAATCCTTACTGTGTAATAACGGTAATAACGGTTCTTTCTTTTTATTGCGTTCGCGCCGCCTATGTTACATCTGGATAGAGGTGGTTGCCCCAAACGGGAAGATATGCATCCAGCTCTCCTCCTTTCAAATGACTTTTAATGGGACAAGCGGAGATGCGATTAATGCATCGGGTTTGTCAAATGCCTAGTGGTTTATTTTATGTGATTTAAGTTGTCTACCTTAATAGCGAATATCTAACTAGGAAACACCTATTTCGATCTAAAGACATATGGATTGTTCTGGTCAAGATCGAGCCTAACTTCATCAGATGGAAATCAATATTACCTAGGTAGGTAGCTTCATGTTTGAATTTTTCGTGTTGATGAAATCCCTTAGGGCAAGGTAAATCACGCAACAGTGACTTCCAGCTTATGCAAATGACCGCCAACGTGAAAATCGGAGATAATTACCGCCATCGTCGTGGCTTGATCACCTCATCTTGAAAGTATATGATACTCGTAAGGATTTTCATGACGTTGTTAGCCTTATTTATATTTGAGGCGCGGACAGACAAGTTCCAGTAAAAACTCGTATAGTACTCTGCATATGTAGGAAATGTGATGCGTCATAATGGCGCTGAATTACCTAGTATTACTCTCACCGGTAGTTCCATAGATGATGTTACTAGGAGAACACTTTCGCAGTTGGGCTAGACAATCCATTCTTGTCTATACGCCCCGGTACGAATTTCCGCACCCAGTCCCCCCAAGCGTCGTCTACTAGTTGAGCCATCCGCCGACAAGCTTCGTAGGCCTGTTCCTCTGTAATAAGACTAAAACTGGCCCTTAGTTGATAAGTCTTGCGATTATCGGGCATGAAGGCAACGCCTGGGATCGCAAGCAAACCATATTCCATTCCCTTCTTACTCAGTAACTCGAATGTGTCTTCCCCAGGCGGGAGTCGTAGCGTTAGCCAGAAGAATAATCCCGCAGTTGGCACATCCCATGTTGCGCGATGTTCAAGATGCATCTCCGCGGCGGCTGAGAACACATCTCGCTTCCGCCGATAGAAACCGCTAGCTTTAGCACAGTGCTCTAGGAAACCTGTGTGACCCCAGTGTCGAAAGAGGGATAGAGCTAGCATCTGAGTGGTAGATGAGGGTTGAAGGCTGGGACGTGCGTTAATATGCTGTAGAACCATGAAGAAATTCGCTTAAAACCTGTTCTGATAACGTACTTTATATTTTCGGTGAGCTTGATGACATTTTTGACGATGGGTAGAGGCCCGGTGAGGACACCGAGCCGCATACCGGCGCTCACGATTTTACTCATTGAATCAAATCGTATTACCCGGCCGGTTTCTCCATTGACCTCCCGCTCGAGGGCAAGGTAGCTACGTGATTTTCCGTTTGAACAGTCCTCAAAGTTAAGAAAGTAATATGCGTCATCCTCTAGAATCATGAAGTTGAATTTCTTAGCTAGACGTAAGCTTTCATTCTGTTAGCTATCTGATCCATTTTACATCGTGCTTGGTGAAATACTGCTCACATTTCAATTTTGCGCCACTCTGGACACGATCGGCCAGTTGGATTAGATCCAGTGGGAATAGTATATAATACTTTAGGGCGGGGCCGATTTTCAGGCCACTGGGATAGTGATCTCTCTAATTCAAAGGGATCTAAGCCGTGTCTGTCTGTTTTGGCTTGGATCAGCCCGTAATCTTCTGCTTGGAGAAAACCTACAACGCCCCTATTCTTGCAATCAGCCAAGACGTAATAATAATGGAAAAAGGAAAGCCTTACGGATATGCTGGCCTAATTACTTTGGCATTAGTACATCATCTCGAAATCGGCAGTTGAGCTTCAAATTAAAGAACTTACGTCTCAATGAGGACTGAGTCGCCTGGATCCGTCAGAACTTGAAATGTCCTATGTAGGAGTTCCTGGCTGCCGTTTCCGATACAACAAGTCCACCCCTGGCTTCTATCTATGCCATGTAATTCACATTGAAATTCTTCAAACCACTAAATATTTATATAATTAGATACATTAGAATAATATTCATTTTAGGTCGGGTATATTACCAACCTTGACTAAGTCTGGATTACCCCCTGGCAAACCATATTGTAGGCCATCTGTAAGACCATTTTCTCGTGTCAAGACGATCTCTTTATTTGACCCTTTAAGAGACAGGGTAATCTTTTCAAAAGGGAATACCTCTGGATTTGGTTTCCCTGGACTCTCATGTTAGGCAGTGATTTCGTTGGAGGGCGGAGAGGATGCATACCAGCAACGAGCGAGATCATCCCCGGGAGGTTTTCGAGAGGGAGGAGTCTTCTGACTGTGGATATTTTAGCACACTGACAATCGTCTTTGATTATATCGATATATGTGTGAGGATCATCACTTACTGGCCCCTGGTGCATATCGCTGCACGCGGGTTGATAAAAGGGGTGTTGGGTCGAATACAGTTACTTCTCTTGAGTGAGCCACAGACGCCATCTTGGAAAATTTGACAATGAAAGTCAAAAGTCATAATGATGAAAGCTCACCTAGATTGTTCTGATCATCTATCAGATATAGGTAGGTAGAATTATGACAACGACCCGCTTTATTTAATAACCTCGATATTTCGATAGGGGTGTGTTCTATTTTAAAACCATGTGGCGCCCCCTTATTCCTTGCGGCTCAGCAACATGCCCAATTCTATTCCCGAGAGACTTGTCGACTTACACCGGCCTTGCTGGCTTCCGGATCGACCAACCGTTTTTTTGGCTGACAGGTCTGTGTAACCCATGGTCTCCGTTGGTTGGTAAACAAGAGTTAGGAGTCGTGTAGGACTTACGTATGCTAAATGGCAGCACCGACGCCTTCGGGTCCGAATTTCATATTCTTCCCTCCGAGGAGCGAATATTCCCGGCCTCAATAGCCTATACTTACCTACTTTTTCCTCCGACTTCTTAGATCTATTCCTTTAATTCCCACTCATCCTCATGTCATCAGCTTGGAAACAGCTACACACGGGCCGAGGGCTCTACAAATCATTCTTACATCTTGGACGAGTCCAACAACGACAATCCTTCAGTAACTCTGCATCATTAACCATGAACGTTGCTCTACTTACCGCCTGGGGCAAGCCACCCAAGTATATCACTGGGGCACCATCCCTCCCAGCCCCGTCACCGTCTCAGCTCCAGCTCAAAGTACTAGCTGTAGGCGTCCCTCGCGCCGTGAAAGGTCGCGCACTTGGGAAACATTCCAGCGTCAAGGGTGGGCTGCCTTATGACCCCAGCGTTGATGGCGTCGGGTTAGATGAATCTACGGGGAAAAAGTACTATATTGCGCCCGTGGCGGCCCCCCTTTTCGCCGAGCGCGCTAATGTTGAACGACACTTAACGGCCGAGCTGCCTTCGGAAGCTGACCCTGTCACTGTGGCCGCACTAGCGAATCCCGTCAGTAGCAGTTGGAGTGAGTATTGCCTAGATTTATCCTGTCTTCATTTCACTACACACTGTTCCGGGAAATAGTATATTGATGTCTATCACTGCAGTGGCCCTGAATGTTCGCGTCACTGGCGGCTGCAAGGGGCGTAACTTATTTATCGTCGGTGCTACTTCCGAAAGTGGCCGCCACGCCGCCCGTGTTGCTCGCCAGCTCGGCGCTGCCAAGATTGTGGGCGCCTCACGCACTCAAGAGACTCTCGACAAGGTCGAGGGCCTTGACGAACGTGTTCTTCTTACCGACCCCTTCGAGGTACCGAAAACAGTTGGACCTATAGACATCGTATTAGACTACGTCGGCGGCCCTACCAATGTGGCCGTTATGAAGAGTGTCGAGATACAAGAAGGCAAGGGCTTACAGTATATCAGTGTTGGTGGCGTCGCAGGACATGAGAACTTGGTTATACCGGCCAGTTTACTAAATGCCCGAGATATCCGCATACTTGGATCTGGAATGGGTGGTATCACAATGGATGATATCCTGAAGCAAATGCCAGGGTTGGTTGCTTTTCTTAGCAAGATAAAGAGGCCTGCAAATATCGTCACCGCTCCTTTGGCTGACATAGAGGCTGCTTGGGACTCTACTGGGGAGAAGGAGAGACTTGTGTTGATCCCTTAGAGGGCTGTGAAATATGTCCCATCTTGACCACTAGTTCTTTAAAGACCAAAATAGGTAGATTGAGTAAACAAAGCACTACATTTCGCTCCTTTATTTTAAGCTCTTTAGCCTATTTTACAGATTCCTTTAATTCATTCGTAATAGACCTTAATAGAGCACAACTCTAGCTAATTCGGTAGCTTGACCTACTAGGAAAAATGCGTCGTGAGACTCCTAGAGTTTAATTAGAAATCACTATTCGGGTACTACTCGGATTTAGGAGATGATGGATTGATGACGCCTAAGCTTCCTCTCCGAATAGGCTATATGTTGCGCTACTCGAAATTCAGCGCCGTATTATGCATTGTGCGGATGATATACCTATATAGGATTCATATTTCGAATGGTATTCAAGTGTAGGTTCAGGTTTCCGTAGTGGTGTGTAAATTCACGCAATTATAACCGGATCTATATTGTATCGTCCGTTTAGTATTACCTTAAAATACTGTAGAGTCATCCGAGCGTATCCGGACAAGCTTATGGGTGATCTTCGTTTAGCTGAGCCTTCCTATGGGGCCAATATAACATTTTATGCTAGTGAGAATCTGACATGGCATATATACAAAGGACCTAACTAATGCAACAGAAAATAATAAGAACTAACAGCTAATAGCTTTAATACCGCATTAAAGACGTAAAGGCCTTCGAATACGTACATGCCTAACTGTTTTTAGCTACATTGTTTCTCTCCTATTCACTAAGTGGCTAGGAAAAGACGGCTATCCGGCAGTTATATGAAGGGTACCTGCTAGAGGTCTGGTCTACTCGAGGGCTGATAACTACCTAGGGGTCAAGAAGGATCGGGGTTCGGAACACGGGAGACTGTGAGAGGTCCTGGTGAGACTGTTGGGGAGACCTGTTGGTGACTACCCCTGGAACAGAGTATGTATGCCGTGTCCCATTAACGAGACTCCTTGAAAGCTCCTCGCACAATAACGTTGCTGTTTCCCTACTCGTTAGCTCCGTCTCGTGACAGGCATATTATAAGTCCCTTCATTGTAACGAAGACCCTTCCTTTTTTGATTTTCAACCGTCACTAGGTGGTAAATACTTCGATCTTCCAACCTCATCTTATTTGTGGATTGGTGTAAAATTACTCCCCCACAGATACCGAAGTAGCTACCTTTTCTAACTTGCTCCTGAAGCCTTAGACAAGAAGCTGATAATGGCAACAACGCCAGATGAAGAGTTTTGGTCAAAACATGCCCGCTCCACTCTAGGACCGCTATTGAGTTTAGCTGGGACATATACAGCTTCGGATCAAGCTTCCCATCTCCGATTCTTCGATGAGCACGTTGCATCTTGTCTTGGATCACAGCATGTAGAGCCCAAGGTAGAGTACTGGGCAAGCCCGGACTTGGCCGGAACGCGTTTTGAAGTCAGTCTTAATCTGACGACCCGGGGTAAGGCGAAAGTACGTTTAAGCTTTGACCTCATACGAGATGGAACCGGACCGGATACGTTCGGTGAGAATAATGCACGCGAAGTGTTACACCGTCTATGTTCGGCTACAGATGGTGATCCTAGGTTGATGGACCACCTCATGGAAGCATTTTTCCTGTCACCATCCGAAACGGAAGCCTTGCGCAACAAAGTCCGCCCGCACATGCAAATCCCGCCAGCTTGCATCGCGTTCGAGCTTGAAGGAGACCGGCAAATCCTGAAGGCTTACATCCCGGTTTTGAGGAAAGCCGCCTTGGGAAAGTCGGCAGTGGATGTCACTTTGAATGCGCTCCGCGACCTAGAACCCCTAGGATACGACTTATCGTACAACTTAGATCTGCTTGACGAGTATGTACTGTTCTATTATCTCAACTAAAGGGCATACACAGGAAGTAAAGATGGCTGACAAAGGACATGGGATGAAAATAGATACCTAGCAAACCGCCAAGGCGAGGTAAATCCTGTAATGATAGGAATTGACTGTCTAGACCCAAAGGCAAATCAAGGCAGCCGCGTTAAAGTATACGTCCACTGCAAGACCTGTACGTTTGCCACAGCCCGAGATGTCATAACTCTTGGTGGGCATCTAAGTGGCGAGCCTACGCTGAAGAAGGTGAACCTTTTGCGATCCATCTGGCACTTGCTACTGAACGAACCCGACGGTATCCCAGACGACAAAATCGACACTTGGTTAAAGCATGAGCGTGCCCCCGGCGCGGCCTTTTCGGGCGTTCTGTTCAGTGTAGACCTGGCGGCTGGCAAGAAGATGCCTGATATTAAGATATACGTGCCCGTGTTCCAGTATGCCGAGCGCACCGAGACGGCGTATATAAACACCAATGCTGTCTTGAAGAAGGTTGGCCACGAGTGGGGCCAGACTGGACGATTCAATGAAGTAGCTACGGCTGTTTTGTGAGTGCTCCTTCATCTCCCCTATACGTTTTGGATGCGGTAACAGTACGTTCATCATGTAAGAAAACTAACAAGTGAACAATGAAGTGGAGGACAGAAAGCCCACGGGCAAAGCCACCTGTCCTACTCGTATACTGAATCTAAAGGGGTATACCTGACGGCGTACTTCAGCATACCTGTTTTTCATGGGGAGCAGATAACTAACGCTTACAATATCTTGGACTAGAAGGCTCAATGGTAGTGGTGTTTATTAATCTATAAGAACATATTATAGATTGCGAGTACATTGTGTATATATCTCACTGGTGGGTTTCCTGTTTAGAGCAACCGTCTTTTCAGGAAGACAACATCTAAGCTATAGGTATTAAACCTAGTCTTTCGAGCTTGGAACTCAGCTACTTCAGGTGCTTCGTATTTACAGGACCCGGTTGTTATCATACCTACTGGTCCTTGTGCTCCCCTCTTTACCCTTGAAGTCAAAGGAGAGACACTAAAGTCGGTGAGCAAGAGATTATCATGGTATAGCAATATATTTTCTGATTTCATATCTTTTTCAGTAACTAATATTCCATGTAATATAACAGTTATAAAGTGATTGAAGTATTGTTAGTACGTCCTATTAGCTGTAAGCCAGGGGTTGATGTTGGCTTAACTGTACTGGACCATTCGACATCACCTCTTGGTAGCGGATTGAGCTATGTTAAGTGCTGCTACCTTTAATAAGTAATCATTACCTAGCTCTAGACTAACGCTCAACCTGGATAGCGATCTGCTATTTATATCCTTCCTTCGGGATTCAAAATACGCCTATCTAAGGAGTCGGGTTTAAATATCGCTGTCATGAGACTGCGCGATTCTGCCGCCAGTTGCATACCCCGCACGATTCCTTGTTCGCGGTTGTGACCTACCTTCGGCAGGTATTTGATTCGATTGAGGGCTACTATTGGTTTATTTAAGTTTCAAACGTCTCCTGTCGTGATGTTGCAACTTCAACTCTGTCTTTGGATTGAGGGTCTTAGGACTGCAGATGTGATATCAACGACCTAATTACGAACATCAATACTAACAGCGACAGCATGCCTGGGCTTATCCAAGAGTCACCCTTCAAAACCATCACGGTCAAGGAGTTACATCCTGCGTTCGGTGCTGAAGTCAGTGGCGTTAACTTTCAAGACCTGTCTGGCGAGCAGTTTAGAGAAATAGTTGCTGCCATGGCTAAGGTAAATAGGATACTCATCTAACACGGTTGGACACAGCCTTAATAACAGACTTATAACTAAAATCTGCGGTCAGTACGGTGTGTGCGTCTTTAGGAACACGGGTCTGGATGACATAGCCCACGTTAGATTCTCCGAACGATTCGGGGAGCTTGACAACATCCGCCGATATCTTATGGGAGGACGGAAACCCCGATACGAGCTTTACGAGCTGTTCGACGCGGGGAATATAGATGCCGAGACTGGTGGGATCCTCGATCCGGAGAGTGCACGGGCGCACTCTAATAGGGGTAATGGGCTCTTCCACGCGGACTCGACATTTAACCCGCGGCGAGCATCGTTCTCTCTTCTACGCGCCTGTGAGCTTCCTCCTCCGGGACATGGAGGCAACACAGATTTTGCCGATTCGCGAACTGCCTTTGAAGAGCTACCTAAAGATCTGCGAGATGAACTCCTTTCACATGACTACGTGGGTGCGCACTCAATGGCTCATTCGCGAAAACTCGGTTCGCCCTCCTTCTTCGAGGACGTTGACCCGACTAAATCACCGATGCAACGCCATCGAATTATACAACTCCATGAGCCTAGCGGACGAATGAATCTATTTATCGGTGCCCATTTACACCATATTGAGGAGAATGGCAAGGAGATCCCGAATTCCTGGGACCTGGTCCAACGACTCAATCAGCATGCCACACAGAAGAAGTACACCACCAGTGTGCAGTGGGACAACCCCAGTGACTTGGTTATCTGGGACAACCGATGCGTGCTACACCGAGCAGGTAGTGGCACCTTTGAGGGCAAATTCAAGCGTGACTTGAGGCGAACGACAGTCCACGATGATAGTCCGACGGCTTGGGGGTTGAATTCAAAGGATATCGCTTGGGAAGGTTTTAACTCACAGGCAAAGCCCAAACACGCCGGAGCAGTTGGGGTGTAAGAATTGATATTAATCTCCGATATTAGTACTCTAATGGCTTGATGTTTCATAGGTCATTTCTTGTAAGAATTACCCATAAGTACTACCGTAGAAGATTACCTTCTGTAAAGTTTAGATTTTAATATAATTGATGCTAGGATTCCTGTATGGCCACCGGTCATTGGTTAAATTCATGGCTGCACCTTGGATGTAGTCTCTGTTAAGTATTAAGTGGGGGAGGGGCGCCAAGTTATGATTCATATATCGCTGTCCTGGGCTTGGAATTTAGTCTGTGACTAATTCAAACTTAACCCAAGACCGTTGTCAAGAACCATATTGCCTGGTGTTTATTATAAAATTAAGCAAATAGTTATACCGTTTGAATCCGGAATCATCGCAATGGTCCTCGAAACAGCACCTCACAATTGGTATAGAGATGAGTTTCTAGTCTCAACCGAACCGCTGCTCGTTCAAGTTGATGCAGTCAATGAAGCGCTGAACTCGGATCTGATGTGGTGGGCACAGGGGCTGCCACGGGACATAATCAAAAAGGCGCTTCATAATTCTCTGTGTTTTGGACTATACGTGCTTCCTAAATCCACTTCGGAGATGGCTGGTAAGTTTCTTTTTGGATTCCTATTCTTAGAGCTTCAGCTTATGTGCCTTATAGGCCAAAGCAGCCCCAAGCAGGTCGGGCTTGTGAGAGTGGTGACTGATGATGTCACATTCGCATATCTTACTGATGTATACATCTTGCCTGAGTATCAGGGGAAAGGCCTCGGCCGTTGGATGATGGAGTGTCTCAACGAAGTTATCCAAGGCTGGACACATCTACGGCGGTTTATGTTCTTGACTAGCGATAGGATGGATCTATATCGCAAATACCTCGGCGCTAAGGATTGGCACGAGTGTGATACGAAGGGCATTTCTATCGGGTTGATTGAGGGACCTGCAGCTCAGCATCCAAAACATGCCTAGCACAGTCCGAGAAATTCTGTATTCAGTCCTTGCTTGTCTTTCCGTAGGCGCCCCCGAATGCCTTTCTCATCTCTAGAGCACGTTTGTAAGGCGGTGCGGTTGGCGGTTGAACTGGGTCTAAGGAGACATGGTCTGGTGGGAGGCGATATGAAGCATCGGAATCAAATGCGGATAAGTCGCCACAAGCAATGAAAGGTGCAATCCATCTAACATCTCCTTCATATTTCGGACGGTGATCTTCTAGTTGAATTTCGGCAATACCGTCCTTGTCCGTTGTCGAAATGAACGCCGGTGTATTATTCCATGCCCCGGTTTCCGAGTTTTGTAGAATTGTCTTTGCGGTAACGGGTAATACCGCGGAGTTCTGCTCCGTCATTTTCGATAGGCGGAAACCAACGCCCAGTGGCTCCTCGAGACTCGCCGAGAATCCTTTAGGAGGTTGGAAATTTAAGCATACGATGAATGCTTCCACACTGCTAGCTCGCGAAGATCTCGGCTTTGCGACATGAACTTTTTCGAAAAATATTTTGAGCTGTGCGTATAGTACGTCAACATTCTTCCCCCTGAAGATCTTCGCTACGAACTTCCCGCCGGGTTTCAAGACGCATAACGCTAGGTTTAACGCCGCGAAGAGAAGCTGTGACTGCACATAAATATCTAGATCGTGCAACCCAGTTACGTCAGGGGCACCATCACTAAGCACTAGGTCGACTGGGTGAGCAGCCTGCTGACTCTTAGTTTTAGAGTCGTATTCGGGGTCCAATGCTTTTAGAAGTAATGGAACAGTAGCCGGGTGAGTAATATCAGCTCGTAGCGTGACAATCCCTGGTAATGGACTAATAGGTTGCAAATCGATTGAGACAATCTTGACATCTTCACGAGGGCTTGACACTATAGGCGATTGCTGTGACCTTAAGGGTTCCGAGTTGTCTGCCGCGGGTAGGGGCCCGAAGAGTCCCAGCATCTGTTGGCGGAATCTAGCATCACGATCTTGCCAAGCTGCTCGACCGAATTTCTCTCCCTTAATTAAAACCCTAGATAGGACTTGCGACCAACTACCAGGTGCAGCGCATAAGTCCACAACCCGAGTGACATTGGCGAAGAGATCAAATTCTATTCCTCGATTAGTATCTTCGTCAAGAATTTCCTCTTGGGTAAGGGGGAGGAGGTTGAACCTTCGTCAAGTTGTAAGAGCTTGAAAGCACTCCTCGCTCGCCACCCTTGTTCTTTAGCGAGCCTGTAATACGCATCACGTTTATCCTTAGAAGATTTCCCCATTATGATTCATCGGGTTGGATGAGCCTCCTGTAGGATCCACGTGAATTATTACACAACTATAGTTCCACTTACAATTTTTTGTACTTGGCAAGAATTCAAGAATTGGGGCTGTTAGAGTTGTTGGTAGGGCTGAATTAAGGTGTGGCCAATGCGCTAATCTCTTATCGGCTCTGCGGCTTTACAAAAATAATCGATAAGATAACATTTGATAAGTACCTGGACAGGGGTCCCAAAAAATTCCGGCATTTCTCTAACAGCAACGAGCGATTGGCGATTGATTGATTCTAACCATCTACGCCACTTAATTCCCTCGACATCATGAATGGGTTAAAGAAGCGGAAGGCGACTAGCCAAACACCCAGCGCACCCGCGAAAAAGAAAGTCAAAGCCCGCGAACCAAACAAAAAATCTACCACCCAAACAAAAGTAAAGAAGCGTATCACTGCCGACTCTCTACGATGGCGCAAAGCCAAGCTGCCCGATATGTTCAACGATGCCGAGGGCTTCTACGGCTTGGAGGAAGTTGACGACGTAGAAGTTTTCCGAAATAGCAACAATACTGTGGAATTTGTATATGAACCCCTGACAATTTAGCAGTTTGGGCACTAATAGGAAACAGAGAGCTGTCGTCCACTCAAGCGACGAAGAGAACGAAGAAGACGGAGAGGACAAGGGTGATGAGATACAGAGCGATGATGAATTTGAAGGGTTTGACGATGAGCCATTAGCGCAAGCTACTTCAAGAAGCGCGTCGCCTAGCCTAACAAAAGCCGACGAGAATATGGACTCGGAGACAAAATCTACTGTGAAAGAAGGCACAAAGGCGCAAAAGAAACAGAAAAAAAAAGATTTAAAACAGACCGAGGATCCGGAGCTCGAGACCAACATCTTCGCTGGAATGGACGCTGCGGACGAAACACAGGATGACGTTGATCTTTCCGCGTGGGTCTCATTAGACCTATCCCCTCGTATTCTTGAGTCTTTGGCCAAGCTGAAATTCCTGAAACCTACCCGTATACAAGAAGCTACAATACCGCAGATATTGGCTGGTCACGATGTCATAGGTAAAGCCTCGACAGGTTCAGGTAAAACACTAGCATTTGGTATTCCAATTGTTGAGAAGTGGTTGGAATTATCTGATAGCGACGACGTTTCCCAAGGTGACTCTAAGGTTCCGCTTGCATTAGTCCTTTCACCGACAAGAGAACTCGCACATCAACTCACAGAACACATTAAGAACCTTTGTGCCGGCTTACCGAATTCACCCTACGTATGCTCGGTGACCGGTGGTTTGTCAGTTTACAAGCAGCAACGTCAGCTAGCTAAGGCAGATATCGTCATTGGAACTCCCGGTCGACTGTGGGAGGTCCTGAGCTCTAGCTCGGAATTGATGAGTAATTTTAGAAATATCCAGTATCTCGTGGTGGACGAAGCAGACAGACTTTTGACAGAAGGACATTTTCAAGAAGCTGCCGAGATTTTCAATGCTCTAGACCGGGTTGAAGAGGATGAAAACGAAGAGCAAGAAGCGACATTTTCGCCGAGACAAACTCTTGTATTTTCAGCAACATTCCACAAAGGTCTACAGCAAAAATTGGCTGGTAAAGGAAGATCTAATTTAATGAGCGAGAAGGACTCTATGGAGTATTTACTGAAAAAATTGAACTTCCGAGAAGAGAAACCCAAGTTTATCGATGTTAATCCGGTATCTCAAATGGCTGAAGGGCTTAAGGAAGGGTTGGTGGAATGTGGCGCGATGGAGAAGGTGAGTTTCGTGAGACTAGAAAATGAAATCTCTACTAACTATTCAAAGGATCTCTACCTATACGCACTCCTGATATTATATCCAAACGTGCGAACGCTTGTCTTTACCAATTCCATTAGTTCAGTCCGAAGATTAGCCCCTATGCTTCAAAATCTAAATCTTCAGACCAACCCGCTCCACTCTCAAATGCCTCAAAAGGCGCGTCTACGTTCAGTTGAGCGATTCACCGGCACGAATCAGGGGCAGTCATCTATCCTCGTTGCAACAGATGTCGCTGCCCGTGGTTTAGATATTCCTAACGTCGACTTGGTAGTCCATTACCACGTTCCTCGAGCTGCGGACGTCTATGTACACAGGTCTGGACGTACTGCGCGTGCAGAAAAAACAGGATTAAGTATACTTCTCTGCTCGCCTGAAGAAGTTGTCCCGACCCGACGGCTTATTGCGAAAGTGCATTCGAGCACTGATAAGGGGGGGTCTAGGAAGAACTTCTTCGTGCAGACGTTAGACATGGACCGAAAGCTAGTCAACCGGTTAAAACCACGCGTCACGCTGGCGAAAAAGATTGCTGACGCAGGGCTTGCGAAGGAGAAAGGAAGCAAGGAGGATGACTGGATGCGGAACGCGGCAGATGAGCTAGGTGTGGAGTACGATAGCGAAGAAATACAGCAGGTCGGCAAGTGGGGAGGACGAGGGGGAGGTCGGAAGGAAAAGCAAAACCAAGCGAGGGCTATGACCAAGGCTGAGCTAGGGGCTCTGCGCGCCGAACTAAGAGAGCTCCTTTCCAAGCGAGTCAATGCTGGCGTGAGCGAGAAGTATATCGCGACCGGTATGGTAGATATGGATGAGCTATTACGCGGTGCTAAGGGGGAGTTCTTGGGTAAGGTCAACGGCCTCGATATTGAAACATTATAGTGAGAATACTATTTAAGTATAGCTCTAAATATGTACGGATTGCCGACAAGGGCTACGTTATCGAACTTCCTAATCTCCTATTAGCGGCACAAGCTAGAGTCATTCCTCCTCAGCGGTCACTCTAATCCCGACAACAGCTTAACTAAGGGATAGGTTGAATAGCGGACAGCCTCTAAGCGGAATGGTCTAGCTTCAACCCATGTTGCTACATAGCAATATTCGGCGCTCTATTACGTCGTTCTTAGAATATGATGTTTTGCCCCAGAAAGGACGCACATGGGCCTCGAGTATTGTGCCGTGAGTAACTGCCGCAGATAGAAGAGGTTTCCAACCACTTAAGACAAGTTCCGTTGTTGATTGTCCTTAAACGTCGTGAATAATACTTGCCGAATCAACGGCTACTCCGGAGCTGTTCCATTAGAGTTTAGAAATTTAGAATCATAATAGCGTAGATCGTCTTGGCCTCGCCGATTGAGGTTAGGTAATATGCACAGGTACCTTGCTTACATTGGTAACATATCCAATATAAGCTATATATCAGGTAGATGTCATGTAACAAGCCATATAATGGACATCTGGGTACTACCCAGCCTCTCATCCTTCTTTTAAGAATTCAGCACTGCTATAGCGGAATACGTAACTGGACGGCAATAGTAAACCGTACATAGATATCCGAGGTACGTAACAAACTTATACGTTATACGTTGTGTGTTCAAAATCCTCCTTACCAGGTTTATCTTGGAAATATCCGATGTAGACGCGCCGGTTTAGACGCGAGCTCTTCTAGAACTGCGCAAAACCCGTGGTAGATGTAATAGATTCCAGTTAGCAAAACTGTACACCTTAGAGAACAGGTGGAGGTTGGAAATTCGATCATCAATGTCACAACCAAGCTTGGACCCTTGATGCTCTACTGTCGGAATGTCGGAATAAACTTTATATTCTTACCGTAATTTTATCGAACGACTTTGTAATGTTACATCGGAAGATAGAGTTTCTACTCCGCTCGAGTCTGACTCGGTTGAGACCCGATGTGGAAGTATCGTCAACCTAGTTGATTGCCAACGTTTTGTAGATCCATCGTGAACTAGGCTGTCGGGCCACTTATAGAGAATGTTTCCTTTTAATGAGAATTTTCTACACTGATAATTTGACAGAAAAAGGTCAGTGGCAGCATATAAATTCGACGGGCAGTTATCTTTTTTCTCGTAAACTACGACAAGTACTCAAACTAAATCCAGGCTTTTCAATGTTACCGAATAGAGTTCATGGCGACTGAGAATTACTACAACTTTTCAAAGGCCCTAGCATACCCCTGAGCATCGTGACTGCATCAGATGTTCTAGAGCCCAGAAATGGGGCGTCATATAGTTTATAAGATTTGATCCCGTGAGCGCTAAGTGCCGCTACCCTCTTGATGATGTTTGAGGCTCTCACATTAGACCTCTCGTATTGCTTAAACTATAGCAAGCTTGGTGCGGACAATGTACCCGAAGTGCCTCACTTCCGGTTCGAAACTTGTCCGGTCTATACGGTAAGCCCTCATATACCACCAACCACCTGCTATGCACACATCATAAGCTAAGCTAACTCAAGACACAAGTGAACTTAATACCCCTCGATTTAAACAATAGGTGTACTCTCGAATACCTCTTCCACTCAGGCTACTAGCGGTTGGAAGGGGTCGGGAGGTTAATATCCGGCCTTTATAAAATCGCACCGGACAGCCCCAACTTCGGTTCTCGTACTCCGCAAGATTTTCTCTTCTTTAAAGAAGTTATTATTTCGAAAAGAAGAAAAAAAAAAAAAAAGGAGGGGGGCTACGATAGTATGAATTAGGAAAGGAAATAAACTGTTATGAAATGCTGCCACCAGACAGTCCAAACTCACTCATAAACCAACTCACTACTCGCTCCAACACGCAACGGCATTTTCAACAATGTCGCCCGCACCACCTCCCAGTTCCTCACCAACCCCTCTCCAAGACCTCGCAGCCCGACTTCAGGATATGATATCGGAACAGGCTCACCCGCAGCAGCAGGACCACGCTAACCCGGACTCAGACCCAGACAGCATTCCAAGACGACGAACTCGCCGTGTTCATAATGACGAGCACATCGCGCGCGACCACAACCGCATCATGCGTACGCTCCGCTGGCGCCGCGCCAGAAACCAAGCCAGACGTAACTCCCAAAGCGAGTTCTCCCGCGTGCTAATGAAGCCCTCGGACTGCGGCGACAAGCTGCCCATCCGCTGGCCCAAGAAGGACAAGTGGTACATCCTCTGCGTCATCTTCCTCGTCCAGGTCTCCATGAACCTGAACACGACCCTCTACTCCAACGGCATCCAGGGCATCGCCAACGAGTACGGCCTGACCTACTTCCAGGTCCGCTGGGGCGGCGCCGCCTCCTTCCTCATCGCGTACGCCTTCGGCTGCGAGCTGTGGGCCCCGTGGTCCGAGGAGTACGGGCGTCGACGCGTGCTGCAGGCTTCGCTGTTCTTCGTTAATCTGTGGGCTCTCCTGGTAGGCTTTTCCCCAAACTGGTGCGGACATGTCGTCGGGCGTACCCTCGGCGGTCTTTCCAGTGCCGGGGGCAGTGTAACCCTTGCCCTCATCACCGATATGTTCGACCCGCACAGCGCAGAGCACCAGCACGCCACCGCGTTCATCGTTTTCTCGTCCGTCGGCGGCTCCATCCTCGGACCTATCTTCGGCGGCGTCGTCGAGGAGTACCTGGCCTGGCGCTGGGTCATCTGGATTCAGGTAATCTTCGGCGTGATGGTGCAGCTCCTTCACTATTTTGTCGTCCCCGAGACGCGGACGACTATCGTTATGGATAGGACCGCTAAGCAACTGCGTAAGTCCGGGATAAATCCCATGCTGTACGGTCCGAACGAGATTTCTGGAGAGCGACGCATCAACTGGTCTGAGGTTTGGAAGATTTGGTTGCGGCCTTTCAAGATGTTCTTCACGGAGCCCATCGTCTTAGTCTTCTCGCTGCTGTCGGGATTCTCGGACGCTATTATATTTAGTAAGTTCATAAATATTTTCTTAGTGATCGAATTGATTTCCGTATTTAGTCTTCGCGCGAATGAGTGCTTGTGTTCCGGATAGATTGTCATATGTACACCTATACCTACTTGTGTTGGATTGGCTCCTATGCGTATTTATTTAAATAATGATAAGACTAACTCTCCCTTCCTCCTAGTGATGGTTCAATCTTTCGGCTTCGTATATTGGCAATGGGGATTCGGTCCCATATTGCTCGGTTGCACATTCTTGCCCATTGGGATTGGATATGTGATTGGATATGCTCTGGCCTACTACTTCATCGGACGACAGATCGCCCTGCGCGAGAGAAAACCGCTCTGCGAGCGAGCGCAGTACGAGGCTCGACTCTTTTGGCTTCTTTTTACGGCGCCCCTGCTGCCCATCGGCCTTCTCATGTTTGCTTTTACGGCCGCTTATACTCATCAACCTCTTCACTGGATATATAGTATGATCGCCTCCTGCATGATAGGTATCGCTAACTTCGCTATTTACATGGGCACTATCGACTATGTACTTAGAGCCTATGGCCCTTACGCCGCATCTGCCACAGGTGGTAACGGATGGGCAAGAGATTTCCTCGCCGGCATACTTACACCTTATGCTGTTCCTATGGTCAGTATTCTACTAGCTATCCCCATATAGTGATTCTAAATGCTAATATCCTTTAGTATGTTCCTCTGACCTCAATTCCTCATCTATTCCCAACCCCCTATTTCCCTAAATGAAACCACCAGCTGAACAGATCCTCGACAAATAAAATAGGTACGAGAAATTGACCATATTCACCGGAACTATCGTACTCGCCGCGATAGGAACTGGTTTGTTCATATTCCTGATCGTTGTCTACATTTACGGACACTGGCTGCGTCGGTGGTCGAAGTTTGCGCAGACATTAGCCGAGGCAGAAGCCGAAGCCGAAGCCGAAGTTGAACTAGAAATCAACGTGGACGCCCCCAATTCAGGCCCCGGAAGTCTCAATAGCATCACTCCCGTTATCAACGGCGAAAACCCAAACCCGGGCCTCCTCAACGTTGATCGCATAGTCCACTTCCTACCCCCTGAGAGCCTGCCCGGTAGCCGAGCCGGCTCGCGCTATGCATCTGCTGCTAATACCCCGACCACAACACGGCCCTCTAGTCTAGACGTGGAGCGTTTGGCGATAAACCAACTACATGGCCATCACCTAACCCAACACGGCCAGGCGAGGCCGTTAAGCGCACCAGGCCGAAGCCAGAATGTATCCCCAGTTCCCGAGGCCGGAAGCAGCGACGATGTCTCCATGACATGCAGTAACTGTAGCGGACAGACCCTCGCAGGAACTTGCACTCATTGCACACATAAATCAACCCGTTCCCCAAATAGTGAGAATGCCTCCCCATCCATGTCTCTAAGAGAGGTTGAGAATACGGAATTGAACACCGCCCCCGAGGTATCTCCCCTTGTTGCTCCTCCTGCCGAGAACCGCGGAGAAACCTTGGCGGCTGACCTGCCGAAAGAAAAGAAGCGCCGATTCTCCGGAACTTGCCGTGTGATGTGATTGTCGGATTTTATTTATTATTACCGTGAGGTTTCTTTTCGGCCTTCACATATACTTACATAGCTCAACGGCGTTTAGGAGTTCCGGAGTTATCCGTGTATCACCGTCCCCTGTTTTATCTACATTCCTTATTATGGCGGCGGCGTTTACTTACGAGGGATTGCTCTTGAACGTGATCTTAGCTACATCGAACCACTGCTCAAAATCAAGCTAAGGAGTTGGGAACGGGTTGTTTATGCTTTAAATATGGGTTTATATGTTCAAATTTAAGTTAAAACGCTTAACTATATACAATAAGAGTATCTGTAACTATATACAGTGAAATAAAATATCGGTCCTAGGCTATGAGCTCGACGAAAGGTGTAGGCAGCCACATTCGTCCGTAAACGATCGTAAGTATATACAATTCTGGAAATCGATTTCGGAAATGAAGCGAATGACTATTTGGCGTTAACTCTGAACAGTAGAGGATGATAACAGTCTTCTAAGACGGGGCGCCAGCCCCCGAACCAAATGACCGCCGCAAAGGTCAGAGCAAGGAGAGTCTGAACCAGGTATGAACCTAGTCTAGGTTATTCTTAATGTTGTCGTACTGGCTGTTAGGGTAGCTGATGAGGTTCTCTGTCGTGTCAAGAGAGCTCGATCCTCCCTGAGCGTTGTACGCGGCAGCGATCAGACTGCCGCTATCTGTTCGGTCGCCCGAGGCTTCCCAAAACATCGAGCCACCTAGGCTCTTGTTCTGGGCGTACGCGATCTTCTTCGTGATCATGTCGACATTATCGTAGCTAATCAACTCTTTTGCCGAGCTGTCGTAGCTATACGTGGCGCCAGCTACGTCATCGTACACTTCTTGCGCGCCAGCTAGAGGTAGTACTTTGTAATCGTAGACTCCAGCTTCCCATGAGCCTTGACCGACGCCCGTGTAGGGTTGTCCGATACCATCTGTAGCGTCGAACTATTTGAGAGCTAATCAGTAATTGGGTTTGAACAAGTGGTTTAATACATTTGGATGAGTCCAGGTTTTGATAACATGAGATATGGTAACAACGAGAAGAAGGAATTTTTAAAATCACATACCGCGCGACCATACAGAGGTAGACCAAGGACCAACTTGTTACTCGGGACACCGCCGTTGATATAAGCAGAAATAGCGGCATCCGTCGAAAAGGGTGTGGATAGAGGGTTCTGAGGGTTGGGGTACAAGTTTGCCTGGTGGCCAGAAGTAGTGTCCCAAGAGCCAGCGTAGTCATAAGCCATTAGGTTGAATTGGTCAAGCAACGGCGCCATATCTGAGAGGTGAAGCTTTTCGTAGTTTGCGGGGCCCGCGGGAACCGCCGCAGTGAGGAGAAAGTGATATCCATTGGCGTACTGAGACGAGTATGAGTCAAGCTCAGATCGGACTGCCTGTAGAAGTGCAACAAAATTGCTGGCCTGAGTATCGTCGGCGGGGTATTCCCAGTCGATGTCAATGCCATCGAACCCCCAGTCCTTCACCAGAGTCACTGCCGTCTGGGCGAAGGTCTGTCTAGTTGCGTCCGTGCTAGCCGCACTTGCGAAGTTGGTGGAATAAGTCCAGCCACCGATACTGAGAAGTACCTTGAGGTGTCGGTTGGCCTTCTTCAGAAGGTAGAGTTGCTTGACGCAGCCGTAGGCGTTATTTCCCACGTCGTTCCATGCTAGACAGTAATGTTAACATGTTTTTATAATGGCGAACTACATGTCTCATTAACTTACAGTCACCGTCGTAGTGCTTCTGCAAGTCAGCGTAAGAGTCTGACGAATACACAGTTCCATCGGACATTAGATTGGCGAATGAGTAGAGGACATGGTTGATCTGCGAAGCTGGAAGTTGCGCTGGCTGATAGTTTCGGCCATAGATACCCCTGAAGTAGTTATGTTAGCTGACTCTATACATAGGGGGGTTGGTAGGCTAACCAGTTAGTGAAGTAAACTTTGTTCAGAAAACCAGAAGCCCGCTTCTCAACAACAGGAATTGGATTACCAAATCCAAGAGATGTCTGAAGAAGGAGAGTCGTAAGGAGACCTTTGATGGAGAACATGATGAGAGATAGCTTTAGAGTAAGGACCGAAATAGGTATTAAGGAATGAAGTGACTAGAATAGTCGAGAGAGTGAAGAAGCTTTGCTCTTGATCGAGGTCTGGCTTGGTTCCTAAAAACGTGGACAAGAAACGGACATGTCAATGTATTTATATTATCGACGAACCCAGGGAAGAGACAACTTCAGCCAGACAAGAGACAGCTATGGCACACTACCATCATGGCCGCGTGTCTCTCATGTGGTACAAAGATGTGACTATGGGCAAAGAACCCGTACCTACCATACCCAGGCAATGGCTTCTCGAGCTCGGAGTAAAGGCGCCACTACCAAACCAAGGAGCTCGACATGTGGTTCATGGCGACCTGCGAAGCAGGGCGGCAACGTTGCCACTGTTCACCGAACCAGACGCGCCTGTAAACCGGTGCATCCCGTCATATCTCCGGTTGTAGCCTCCTTTCAAGGTTGGTTCCCGGTCATGAGCGTGCTGGTAAAGCTGATGAGAGCTTCATGGAACTGGGGAGGCATGTTGGAACCCGGCCGCCCTCGTGGTCGCCCTCCCTATACCATACACGGAAGGTGAACGTTGGAATGTGTCTTGTATAGTAGGACTTTGACAGTCGCGGTAATGAAGGTAGCTTTTGCTCAGGGGAAACTGTTGGGTGTAGCCAATCGGAGGCTGGGAAAGTCAAGATCAGAGTGCCATCGAGAGCTCTTCGGACGAGATTAGCACAAGGGTTGATAGCTTATCACAGGGTTGTATGCGCCCGTCAAGTTGTAGCTCATACCCCACTATCACTTGACCAAATTAGATCTTGGGACAACAATCATATCGGAGGTGTGCAAGCTGTTGGGAAGCTGGTTTAGAGTAGAGGATCAAATGATTTTGAAGGAAATACGTACTAACGGACGTAAGGGCAATGTGGCAGGATTTGTTAGACATATAGAGACATACAGAGAAGGCATGTCTTAAACAAGACGGAGGAGATAATACATCCGCCTGAACCCCATCGAATGTCGAGTTTTGGTTATTTGGGTTAATAGTTTCCGAAGCCACACCCACTCTCTAGTGTGCTCTCTTGTGTGGGGAGATAAGGTATTTCCGGTATTTCCAAATCTGGCTTGTTCTTCCACTACGGCGCTTCTAAGAGCCTGTTATCCTTGCCTCGAGAAGGTCAGGTTCACGATGAGACCTTAGGCTGACCAGCTTGGTTCGGCACACCCCGCACCCGCCATATCCTTGGTTGCATTGATTAGGTAGAATTGATTACTTTTTTGCAACGTTACTGGGTCTAAGAGGATGATATTAGTTTCTTGCGATGCGTCCGATCTCCAATAAGTCGTCATGTTAAGAGATATGAAGTGTTAACGCTAGGTGATAGCATGAGGGAACCTTATGCAATATGGTTGTGTGGTTTGGAACTGAGGGACAGGTATCCCGCGATTGCGCCTCGGTGGTCGCATTTGGAGCGCGAGATAGTAACCATAGTGGCCGTAGTCACCGAGCGCCAGAAGTGCCGCGCATCTAGATAATCTTTTGAAGGGAAATATCGAATGTAGAATTTGTGATAACCGACCAAAGGCCCGCATAGAATCCATGAGTCGCGCGACACTTTTGTCCTTGACTCCACATAGTATATCCTGGGGGATGTCATGGTCATCGGACCGAACCACCGACCCATCTGGAGCAAGACATCCAGAAACAGTCGACGTCCAAAAACAGTCGCCGTCCAGAAATAGTCGCCAGCTAATTCGTCGACCGAGACACCCTATTAAACTCCCGACGGTCTATCTGGCATGCCTCGCAGGTGAAAATCAGCCATGCCACGTTGTCAGATCCAACAGTACTACCTAATGTCTTGACGGCATCGTACTTCATACAATAACCCCTTGAATTTGCGGGAAGCGTACGGAGCCTAATAGTCTGTAAGTCTGGCCCGCTACCTTTACCGAGCTCAATTTCGAGTTTACTAGTACGTTCGCGGCGGCGTTAATTTCATACTGCTTTTGGCTGAGTAGCCGAGGAAGCTTTAACTGGACCGTCATTCTTTTAGGTGGCCTGGACTACACATTGTAGGGACTTAAACAGATGGGGTCTAATTGACAAGGCCTGGCCCATTCTATTCAGGCCGAGATCAGCGATGGAAACCAGATCGCTGGGTCGTCGAAATATAATAGACATCTGGGATCTGCAATGTAGCGGTGAAGAGCCGGAGAACCTTGAGAATATGAGGCTCTTCGTCGAAACAAGATGCATGCGTTTATGGTGCCTGGCATAATACGAGTTGTGATCAGCATCGTGCGGTAGTACTCCAAGGGAATAAATCTGGTGAAAGTACCTAAATCAAGTCAAATTAACGGATAGATTCTAGCGCTAGATCCTTTTCCAGATCGGCAAATTGAATCCCGCCTAGGCAGGTGGATACCCCTTTTCTCTACCCGCCAGGTGCAAGCACGGGCAGCCACGAGGTATCTATAAAATCCGCTAATTTCAGGTATTCCCCACCTAAACCTTATTTCCCCTGACCAAGCTTTTAAGACAGGGCTCTTTCGTCTTCAACTACGCAGCTAGGCCACATAGGTACCACCTGCTCAAACTCTAAACAATCCTCCGCAACGTGTGCAATAATGCGCAATAATGTGCAATGCTTAAGGAAATTTGATCATATCATTTATTTCGCCTTTGAATAGCCTCATAGAGCAGTTGCCCAAGTATAGCTTAACATTACATCCGGAGTCGCCTTCCCCCGATATCTATCTCACCTACTCGTATTGCCAGTATGAAACTGCACGGTGGCTAGCTGCGTTCTTCTTCCGTCTGCGTATCCACCATAAATTAAATGGGTTGATCACCTCTTTCGCTAAAATATTTTCGTTTGTCTTTCTACACCCGTTCAGCTCCTGGGCATGTGTTCAAAAAACAGATCCGTGATAGAAGATCATTTGCCACAACATGCGAATGGATTCTTGATCGGCCCTGCTGTACTACGATGTCTCTTACGTCTTGAGAAGATATCTAAGATTATTTACATGAATTCCCACGGGCGGGATCTTGTGGCGCGTGTTATTTATTAATTATTTTTAACAAACACTTAATTCGCCAACCACATAGTGTTACATTATTAGTATATGTCGGCCTTCTGCAACTTTCCTTGAGCCTAACAGCATGATGTGTTTCGCGTAGGAAAAGGGAACCTGGAATCTGGACAGCAGCCCCAGCAATACCAGTAGACCAAAAGACCTAATATCAATACTCCGCCTCCGATAGCTAAGGGTACACTTCCCCTATGTTCAGATTCCAGCCAACGTAGAAAATAGTTGTACGAAGTACCGGGGCTCAGCCATAGCTCTTGGAGAGCGACCAAGAGAACAGAAGTCCGGTGACGTATGTAAAGACGAAGGTTTATAAGGTGAGCGAAGCCTCTACCATTAACGACGGCCGACGGGACGAGCGTGATAAATGTGAAGGCTGATACTATTAGAGCAATCGTCTATTTTCCCCTCGTAGGTTAGCTTCAAGGTTTCTCTATGTTATTGAAGCTGAACCAGGTCACCTATTCTGGAACTTGGTGGTTGCCTAACGTACTAATCCTAGACAATTTATATAGATTTGTTATGAAGTAACGTACCCGGTCGGGGTTTCCGCGTCCTAGTCAATCTTCTATAGCCAGAGATTTTTCGACGCCGTTGTTTCGACCGATAGAAGCGCCAAGGTCCGTCATGTTAATACATAAGGCCAAACCGTTGGAAGACAAGTCGTATTCGTTGCGTTTTCGGTCCTGTAAATCTCCCTTGTGTTCAAGGAGATCGGGCGACTGTGTAGCGATAGGAGGTTTATTAGCTGGCCTAATCGGGTTGGTATTCTCTAGTAGCTTTGAATCTCTTATTGTCCTGAATATTAGAAACGTGGACGAGCATATCGCATATCTAGGAGTTTAGATTCGTATTATCTAAGTCGTTTGGGTCTTCCGACCTCTGGATTGCTGCGATGGTCCATTCAAAGGGGTGGATTAAAGTAAAAGAGTTATAGCGTCGAATAGAGACACAGAAAAAAAGTCTCCTGGAAGAAGCTTTCTATTATTGTCAAAGGACCACGTCAGTGTGTTTACCTGACCCCTCGGATTTTGACATATCGGCTTTTGAAGTTCCCATAAAACCGGGATCCAGGAGCTACTCTGTGTACTAAACAATCCGTAAACGGCAACGACTTTGTAGGTCATCCAGTCAATATATTCGTATTGTCCGAAAAGTTCTGTCAGAACTATGTTTGGGATTAAAGGTGTGTTATGTTTCGCCATAGGCAAGCCGAATATTTAGATCTAATAGAATAAAACGTATTATTACTTAGTCTCGTTCTTGTTTTCATCTAACTGTGAAAAGAAGATTGTGCCATTAAACGTTATTGTAATTGTTTACCCTCTATTGAGGAAACTATCTGGAGGTTATTATTCGAGTTTATTCTAGAACTATAAGTATATCTATAGCGACATTGGGGCTGGCTAGATTTGAATATTGCGGTTGAAGTTTTAATCCTATATAAATTTGGCATCTAAGATGTTGATAGTTAGGTACCCATAGAAGTATGCACACATTGACAAGTAAATTCACTAATCGTCTTCTATATAGGAATTCATCACATAGGATGCTTGGTGAATTCGTTGAAAGAGAGTTCGGCGACAAAATCTTCCCACGTCTTCCAGGATACGTCTTCAGAAGAGCCACTATTCTCTCCAAGGGCGTCATTGCTCCCCGAGCTCTGACCGTGAGGCATCTGTGGCACGGACCATGGCGACATCGATGAAGGCGCCATACTAGAATTTTCAAAAGGCGGGAACAAATTTGCCTCATTGAAATCGAAATCCATAGCGAGTTGAGGATCCAGTTGGTCCATAGAAAAGTCCATCGAGTTGGGGTCTATATCGGTCGTAGTAGGATTTGATGATCCTAAATGCGGGTTGTAATCCGCTTGGTCTAGGCTGAACGGCTGTGGCGACCCCTGGAGAGAATTCTGGTTGCGTAAAAGGACGCCGATCCTCTTCCTAGCCTGCATCATGAGCCTTTCTAACGGCTTTTCAAACATCCCTCGACGGTAAGTTTCCATGTCTGTCTTATGGTGCTCAAAGGCTCTCTCAATTATTGGCCAAGCGGTTTGAAGAGTCGCGACATCTGCGCCGACATAACATTGAGCGATAGCGCTCGCTAGCGCGTGCCACTGAACAACCACGTACCATCTGAACCCCTCTCCTCTAGGACTAGTTCTGATTAGGTGTACCTCATCTAAAGTCTTCAAGGCGTCGTTGAGGATCTCTGCGAACTTTCCACGGGGAGCGGGCTGGTTGATGACGCGGTGTAACGGCCTCAGAGCTGCAAGACGCATGGATGCTACCTGTGATTGTGCCTCGTGGAAAGTGAACCATGCATATGCGCTTGATTCTGGATCGCAGGATTTCAAAAGATTCGAAATGTTTTTCTGGAAAAGTGAAGCATGTCTTTCTCGTTCTTCCCAATTAAGTTTGTCCGCCTCCTTACCACGAAAATTCAGGAGTCGTCCGCTTGACTGTGCATGGTATGTGACAAGAGCAAAAGTCATGTCAGTCAGGTCATCTCTGCTCTGAAGTTCTCCTGGGGTGTCAAAGTCAAACTCAGAATCATTGATGTTGACGGGAAAATCCGATGATATTGCATCAACTTCAATGAGTGGTTCTGTAGCTTCTTCAAGTGCCCCTTGAAGATCCAAGAGACACACCGTGAACCATAGCCGACGTCTCATCTGCTGGTTAAAAAAAGACTCTGCCCTTCTTAGGTGGATAGATAGAGCTTTTGCTATACGAACAGCTAACGCGATCATAGTCCAGACGGCACGACTTGAGTCCTCAGTCCGCCTAGCAGTGAGATATAATACGAAGGCTTGTAGGACAGTGATATCACTCGTTGTCAATAGCTCTGAGCTTTCGAGGGCGGCTTCACAAGCTACTTTAAATTGTCCCATCAGCGTAAGCTTTTTTGTACCGAACAAGTTTTGACATTGTTCTTCTGTCATACTCGCCACTGCAGAAAAGCAGACGGCCGAGCTTAGACACGTCGTAGATACGTGGTTAGTATCGTACCCCAAATAGCGCTGGCCGTTTTGCATGAAATTTCTTAGCGAGGGCCGATGCAGAACCTTGATGATGGGGTCTACTTGGCGGAGGTAGATTTCGCATAGTTGAGCTGTCATGGCAGGGTTTTTTAGATGATCATTAACCGCTTGGGGACCACCATGACTAGAGGATCCGATGCCAATTACCCTCAAATTAGTACCAAAACTAGAATTTGGTGTTGACCAACCGCTCTCCTCGTCATCCGAGGCCCGCTCGACGATATCACGAAGGCCTTCTACCTATATATAGTTAGCAGATATCAAAGTATTATAAAGGGATGTATATTACCTCGTCCGCAATCTGAGCCCAGAACTGCCACCCAACATCATTCTCCGTATCTATACCTACTTCAGCGCTAGCTGTAGTTGCCGGTCCGGGCTCCGACGACGAGCCTTTTAATTCACTGATATTTGAAGCTAGAGCCTCTAGGTTTCGTATTCGGGACATTAATTCCTCGCCGGTATTGAGTGTTGCGAGTGACCGGGGGTGGGTATGGCGACCACGGGGTAAGCGCTTGCGATGAATAGGGACGCATACCGCGTCCGCCTTTACGCAATTGGAACATGGGTTGGATTTGTCGCATTTAACTTTTCGCTTCCTAATTACAGAATAAGTTAGTATCGACTTAGCTACGGACAATATCTGTAAGTCATACTTGCATAGTTCGCAACTAAGCTGTGGAATATCAGCCCCCGGTTTGCCGGAGCGACGACCACTCCGGTCAGCATTATCCGCAGCCTGCGAGATTGATGTCGACATTATTCAATACATCATTTCATGTTTAGTTTGCAGTCGATACCAACTAGATATGAGGTGGTTTATAAACTCATGACGCACGGGTCGCATTTGACAATAATAATAGGCAGCAATCGGTATAGCTCCAAGGCAGATGTCCCTATTATGGATCTTTACTAACCCGAACAAGAATTCGCTACCTATAATGAACTTCACGTTGCATCATGATAACAACCGCGAAGGCAGAATTCCAGGCAGGTGTAGGGAGTAAAGGGTTCATTATCAACTGGTGATTAAATAATGCTGGTAAGATGTATTGGTTCGAGGCATCCTATCCCAGTAGCGGTGGGGAGGGGTTGGTTAAGATTAGTAAATACGAATAATCTATCAAAACTCATAGAATACAACATCAAACTGGCCTCATTCAAAGCCATCCTGCCTAGGTGAAGAATGTCCACATGGTCATTATCAAATAGGCAACTACTCGTTAAACCCAGTTGAAATACTACATTCTTGCTCTTCGGCTACTATTCTCGTTCAGATACCTATTGAAGGAGACTTTGTTTCTTATTAGTAAGAAGAGGGAATACGCTTGTATGTATAGCTGTGACTCAGCAAGAAGTAAAACTGATGGTTACTTCGATTATTCTACATAACTACATTGTCTTCGTTTCTTTGATGCGGTTATACTGGTTTAGAATAGATCGTTTTACCATAAACATATAAGGCTTTATGAGATAGGTACCTAGGTACTTAGCCAATATTGTAAAGACTCCTAGGATGGAAATAAAACTAAAGTTCAAGCATACATATTAAACCCTCTGAACTATCCACGAATAACTAAGTGTGAACTTTAAGTATTCCTTCACAGTTTATCTCTAAGTATGACGCTTAGATGAATAAAACCCGTCTGTGAAGCTAGTGTCATAGGTTAACCTGTAGACGCCCCCTTATTCTCATACGTATTTAAGTAGTAACTATAGCTACGAAAGACGTATCGAGTGAAAATATTACCGATAACTTGGAATGACACTTATGTAAAAGCCTATTTATACTTCTCTTCTTAGTTTCACAACCATAGACTACTGAAGCCCCAAGGCTAGACCTCCTAGATAGGTGGGTAGTTAAGAGGCTCAAAGCTGTGTTAATTACCTACGTAAGTATGGACGGTAGGAGCGACAGCATGTATATATAAGACTGCAACACTATAAAATGAAAATATCGTTGAAGAGGTACCTAGATAGATAACTAGAAAATTCATATCCAGATACTCAGCCTGGTTTTATAGCTCGTAACTAAAAACTTGCATATGATATTGCCACTTCATAGCACCCTTAGGGATCAGCAGACAAATCATGAATCCGCACGATTACGATCGCAACATCTTTCCATTTGCATCCATTTCGCGTAGAATAACGGTGGTCTTACTTGACATAACATGTAACACGGAAGTAAGGCTGCACTGAATCAACTACCAGGAGTTCCAGTCATGGATTGTATCGTTGATTTCGGTTCAGCCGCACCGCTACTCAAGATAGTGGGTCCCCGTACCGATGTTGAAGTTCTATCCGTTTTGGGAAGTCAAAGGCGGTCCAAAAAAGCTAACCCCTATTATTTTCGGTATGTTTCTTGGTTATTTACAGGTTCCGTGATGATCATAGGTCATTATTTTCGAGTTTTTATAAAGCCTGTCACTTGACACTATGTTCCCTGCCGCCCATGTAACTTCATGACCCCGAAAGAGTAAGAATGGGCGGGTTGTTAGCTACGTCGACAATCCACCATGTGCGATATGAGTTCCCTTAATCGAACTAGAATTTGTATATAATAGTGCATTCTTTCCCTCGTTATGGGGCTCGAACCAGACACACTCACACCACCAACTTCACCACATTAATAGCAAGATACTACAACAATACTCCATCATCGTGAAGCTACGGAAGCCTTAAATCCCGATACTCTTCAAACAAGATTTAGAATATCACGATATATTTCCCCCATCCCATAATGATTGCATATGTCACCGTCCTATTCGCCACCTTGGGCGTATCTAGCGCGGCGCAGATTACGGTGAGTAGTAACTGAGATACTCAGGGCCATCGATAGATACCATATATTCAACTAGAGAACTAACTTAACCATTTCATCAGGGACCTTGCCCTTCGGGCCAGACGTTGATTTCCAACAACAAGTGCTGTCCTGGCTATGCCATAGTCAGCGGCGAAAACCACACAGATTGCTGCATCACTGAAAAGGGTAACGATGGCAATTGTCAAGGCGTTGGACTCTGCGGAAATGCCGTCGGTACTTGCAAAGTGAAGATCTCTGTAGATGATCCTGTACGAAAACATAAACCCAAACCATATACCCAATCCTCACGTTTTTTATGTAAGGGACTGTTTACTGACTTTTAATACACAGGACTACGACCAGAAGGTCCAGGATGCGCTCTCCGGTACGGCAGCTTCTCAATCTAGTTCATCGCTATCCCTGTCGGCTGAGACCAGCCCTACAGCCTCTTCCACTCCCAGTCCCACTGAATCTGACTCGGCTTCAGGATCCTCCACCTCTTCCAACTCCTCCTCTACATCTTCTTCAAACTCCGGGGCTTCCACCATGGAGGGTAATAGGGCAATGCTCGCTATGGTCGCCGCTCTAGCCGCCATTCCCGCTATCTTTTACCAGCTTTAAGGCTGCTGTATGGGTTGACACTGATGGTGATTCGAGTAGTGGCATATGTATACAATTTTATTCATTCGGCGTACCCTTTAAACTAGCCTTAATCACTTTTGTTTATTTTCAGGTTGGATAATTTTGAAGAAAACTCACCTAAATAATTATATTCGGGTATCCATTCACTTTTTCTAGCAATTAGATACCTCATACATATAAATATAGATTTCTTTATCAGCAAGCCCGGCGGTTGACCTATTTGAACGTTCAGTCTTGCCCCTATTGTGGGGCTGATAAAGCTTTTAGCTTAATCCTTATGAACGAAGATAGAAGAGTTGGAAATGGGAAATCCAGGTAGTTTTTAATAATTTTACAAAAGATGTTCGCCACGAACTCCTTATGTTTGTGCCTTTTCCACCTCGACGACGTCCCTTTGCGGAGAAGGGATAGTTGTAGCAAAACAGCTTCGACCGACCATAGCCTCCGCGGCGTTGAGTATGATATGTTCCATCGCTCGTCTATCAGTAGGATATCTCCCGGTCCCTTTGTATGACAGTATTTCCATTATGTTGTCAAGCAAGTACCCTTTCTCATTTCCCCCCGCCCCTTCATACGACATATATAGTTGGGGAATGAATGCGATCGAGGCCACCATCCCTAAGCCTTTAATGAATGGGATACATGTCCACATTTTCCTGCAGAGATTTCTGTGCTCTTCTTCTAGGGCTGGGTCTGGCTGCTTTAGTATAACTGTCAAGTGGTGTAGAATTCGATTAAAAATCATTCGTATCATGACATAGGATATAAAAAACGACATTCTATGTAAGTTACCAAAATAGAGCTTCATACCAATCGGAGATTTCGGATCTGTTTGTTCGAGTATATCACCCACGCTATAGATCCTTAGTATGATTGGCTCGCCGATACATGTGATATCCGCAGCGAGAACCGCGACTTTGTCATGAAGAGCTAATGCATGTATTTGTTGCGAGTTCACATCTGGGTTACCGGCAACGAGTCTAAATTCTTGGACGAGGCCGGGCCAGAATCCATAGTAATAACCTACGCTATAACAATCAGCCTGTTCACTTGAGACGGAGTGCTCTACAGCTAGGAACGATTGCTGGATTGCCTCCTTCCATGGTGAGCTCAAGTAGAAGTTTTCGCCTCCTGTGACAAGCCAATGTGATATCTAAACGGATCAAGTTAGTCAGGCTTCACCTTTTCTTGAAGGGAATTATATAAAAATAACAAAAAAATGGGAGACGATGCTTACCAGGGCTGCGTGATTCTCAAATGCTAAATGAACGTCTAAGTGATCTCGAGGATTCGGCGGACCTCGCTTGATCATCAGAGTTTGTATTCCTTCCCAGTGGCGTGATCGATGATGGGGACGTTGCGTATCGAATATAAGCTCTAGCCGCTCTAGAATGGTCGCAGCAGCCAGCGTTTCACTGCTGAGCTGTTGATGAGGGTCATTTATGGCACGCTGAAGAGTCCTCAGTGCTTTAACATAAAGGTTCGAATCAAGGAGTTGAGTCGACGCGAGACCTCGTCGCGAGTTGATCCAAGTAGAAGACATTAAAGCAACACAGTCTCTCAATGCGGCGCTCTCGCCCAATCTAGCCGGCAGGTGTTTAATATACCCACAAGAAGCTAGTATATCCCACGGGGCATTTTCGTGAGAGAGATATCCAACTAGACGAGCAGCCACACGCTCCGCCACAGTCGTGAGGTTTTTCCGTGGCCCATCGGGAGCAAAGCGGAAATGTCCAAACGAAGCTCCACCCGGTAATCCGCGTTGGCGGATGCTCTCCAGATTACCAATCGGTCTTGCACGAGTGGTGAGCTGGGTTGTGACATCACCCCCCCTCACTTCGTCCGTGGCCGAGGAGTTGGAGCTGGTATGGATAAACTTGGTCAAATTAGGAGGGCCAGAACAAACAATCCCGGCACGTAGACATGGTGTACATGTTGGCCAATTCTCATCGCACTAAACAAGGTGGATATATATAATTAGTTCAACTAATAGTTCTTTTTTCTGCATAGGCTTATTCTCACCTTGATTTTGATGCGCTTACAGCGCTGGCATCGTTTAGATCTAGGTACGCCGACCATCTTTGAAGCGTATCGATCGATGCTGAAACAGTTTACCAAAAGGGACACAAAATGCGGTCTATGGAGTTATGGCTAGCCTTTCGTATATAGAGGGACTGAGCTGGAATTACGTTCAATGGACAAGAGAAACATCGCACCAACATACTTCATTTGGTAAATGCGATGCCCGTTTCCGTTAGAAGATCCCCAATTTTTATTGTCGAAAGGCACCTCTAAAACACCCGTCCCATATGTAGTCCTCAGCTTTTCGGTCAGCATTCATATAAGCGCATGTCAGATATCAGTTTATCATTGGCGAATGGTCTTAATGAACGATGGGAAATGCCTGGCGTTCTGCAGGGTCAGATTATAGCATTCCTAAGTACCAAGTATTGGGTATCTATTTGGAGGTGCATAGCCTCATGAAGCCGATTTCCAATTATTTGAACTGATATCTAGATACCCCGCATGACTGCTGGTGCTTCTATATAAAAGTACAAGTGCATAGGTCGTATAAGAATGCTAATGATGAAAGACTCTTATGTATAGCTACTTCATTAGTTATCGTGAAGTTTTCGTAGACTCAGTTGTATTCCTGACCCAAAATCGTATAGATCTTGCGATTGGTACTAGCTACGAGATATATTCAAGACTTATCATTTTTGGGTTCTCTGGGCTCCATTGTGGCTGTGCCAATAGAAGCTGGCTCAGCGCAGTATTTATTGGAATGCTTTACCGTTTCTGTGGTTTACCAGGGGTAGGCAGAAGATTACATCTTGACAAATCAAAAATAGAGGTAAAAAGCTTGTTTTATTAAATATCGGATTTCGGCAAGATACTATAAAACATAAAGATGACGTGTTGTATAATGATGACTTGGATTTTTCTATACGTTAGGTACCTGGTAAGAAATAGGGGTCGTGCAACCGTTACTATCTCGGATGTCTTGTGCTGGTACACGTATGTATGTGACCGTAGTACAATGATTTAAATATAAGTGACAGTGTATGAAATAAACATTGGGTACATGGAAGCTCAGCTGCCTAATAGTCATTTTCACTTATCTGATTACGGCGTATTAAATATTACCTGGAGGTTTACTGTTTAGTATATACCTGATATACCTGATATTCATTTAGATAATACCACAAGGCAGCCAATTGAGGTCCGCAACTTGTCCTAAGTAATCGAAGGCACCTATCCTTTCATGTTTTATTATACTCAAAAAGTATTGGCTCCGCATACGTCACCTATTTACCAACCTGTTGGATAAATGATAGGTACACTGATAAATACTCCATTGATTAGATCTTATCAGTCCTTACGCGGGATTCGGCACGGGCCTCGATGAATTAATTACGTAAATGCCGCTTCAGCTAAGTCTAAAAAGGTAGCAGTTGCCTTGTCCTCCAAGGAACTGCAAAGCCTCCTCTCCACTACGTAATGCGGCGCAGCCATTTTTCATTACAGCGTTTATTCTACTATGTAGTGCTCATGTCTTTAGTCCTGCCTGCCTGTCCAACTCCAACTCCAACTCCACCTTCAACTCCTTTAATTCCAGGTAACAAAACTCTACGCCTGCATGTAGCGCCCAACCGCACAGCATATTCATGCCATTTTTTAGTACTTCGTTTGCTTCTTGTCAACCGCGTAATTCCAATTAACTGCATAAAGAGTGCAGATATTTGATATAATTGTCCTAGCTATCTTACGCGTACCTGCAGAATTTGCCAAATAGAGCTTAGCCCCCCGATCGCGTTCGTCCCGCTTCGACCTTAAATCGTTCGTCCAACTTCGTCACTCCTATACCTATATTCCGTCCTTCATATCTAGCCCGTGGCATTCCAAGCTAGTCGGGTCATATACGAGAAAGAGAGGACCTTGTCGATTCTGTTGGTAGGGTCAGCAACCACGGACCGCTTCATGGGTACGGAGTAATATGCTTTTTGGTACCCGATAGTACTTCCCCGCAAGATCGATACATAGATGATCTTCGGTTCGTTGCCTTCCTGGAATTTGTTATACTTCGGCATATCTGGCGGGTGTCACGACTCACCAGCCAAGCTGGCATAAAGACAATAGCCCTAGTTGTGCTACGCGCACTCGGCCTGACTTAAAGTCGGCCTATATATTGTCGTCTGTCCGCGTTGATGCGCCATTCCATCAATGCCTGGCTCTATATCAGAGAAACGAATCGGCCTCCTAGACGACGATGAGGCTCAAGCCTCGTCTTCTGCCTCTTCCTCCCTTCTCGGAAATGATGTGCGGAAAGATTTAGAGGTTTTATTAGAGGAGCCAGTTGGGTCTGATCAGAAATGGGATAAACGACTCTTCTCGTGGTGTCTGGCTCGGCCGAGAGGTCTTCGACGGAAGTTACGGAGAGGTCCTGCGGGCTTAGCACTCGCATTTCTCAAATACGTCGTCATAATTATATGTATACTTTTAATAGGGACGCCTATCTTCGCTCCATCCTACACGCGACTTCCTCAACACTACCGAGACCTGGAATCTCGATGCCAAGGACCCATTCGAGAAGCGGGATGTGCTAATATCAATAATGAGAAGATATTTATCGCCGTGTCTTTATATGATAAGGAGGGTCATCTGGCTAATGGTTTCTGGGGAGAGAGTCTGTTGGAGTTAATACATCTACTCGGTGACAATAATGTCTTTCTGAGTATTTACGAGAATGATAGCGGTCCGGAAGGTGCGGCGGCACTTGAGAGCCTAAGGCGACAGCTAAGATGCAAGAATTACATTGTCAATGATCCCCACGTGCCCCTATCGGACTTCCCAACCGTCACACTACCTGATGAAACTAAGCGAGTGAAGCGCCTAGCCTATTTATCCGAAATGCGGAATCGGGCCTTAAGACCACTCGACCGATTCGATCCGAGTGTTGGAACAGTTCAATATGACAAGATTCTTTTCCTGAACGATGTTGTATTTCACGCGATGGAAGCGGCGCATCTCCTTTTCAGTACTAATGTCGAGTCTGATGGAAGAGCACATTATTTATCAGCATGTGCCGTTGATTTCTGGACCCCATTAAAATTTTACGACCTCTATGTCACTCGTGACTACGAAGGGTATTCCGCCGGATTACCCTTCTTCCCAGTATTCCTCAACGCTGGTGAAGGTGTATCGAGGACTGCCATACTAAATCAAGAGGATGCCGTTCCTGTCCAGGCTTGTTGGAGCGGAATGGTGGCAATGCAGGCGAAATATGTACAGAATATGAACGAGACGTTGCCGAATTCCCACTTTCAGGATATCAGCAGCTATGTTATCGATCCTTCGAAGCCACATAACGTTACAGCACCAGTCAGGTTCCGTTACGAGCCTGAGCTTTTCTTCGACGCCTGTGAGTGCTGCTTATTCCATGCCGACGTGGCCCAGGTAGCAAGGAAAGCCGGGGAGAAAGAGTTGGGGATATATATGAATCCTTACGTTCGAGTTGCATATACAACGAACACTCTCTCCTGGCTGCCTTTGGTTCGAAGATTCGAACGATTATTTAGCATTCCACATGCCTTATCATCACGGATCTTGTCCTTACCAACACGCAACCCGCACCGTACAGTCCAAGAAGGTGATATTTTCACTGAAGAGATATGGGTTGGGGAGGGCAACACTGGTCATTGGCAGTTAGTACAGCGGGAAGGTCGCAATGGGATGTTTTGCGGAGTGAGAGAAATGCAAGCCATAAAGCTTGGTAAGTTTGCATGGGAACTCTACTATTTTCTATACTAATGTTAAGTTTAGATGAGCGTGATGAAGACAAGAACTGGGAGAATATCAAAATCCCTGCTGGCCAGGTAATGCACTTCCCCACATAGCACGGAGAGGTGCAACGGTCAGGTGAGAAGTGGGACCCAATGGTGAGTTGGAGAATAAGAGAAGAGGCCGAGAAAGCTCGCAAGAAGCAGCAACTCGAATCCTCTTGAATCTCCTAGCACACCGGTAAATCATTGGAAGTTACCCTTGGTGAGAGCAAGGCACTTTCTTTGGAGTCCTACCAGCTACTGTTGCACCGCAGAGTGTATTAAAAGTATCTCGGATCAAGCACACCCCTAAGGTTACAGCTATTGGTTACAATGCTTGGAGTTGCGATACCGAATTATATCGGCTCCTGGATTACATATATAAGGCAGAATTACCGAGAAAAACGCAAGCTATCCCGGTCGGTGTTGGCCGTGGTAGTTGATAGATAGCTTGGATTGTTCGGCATGGACATTGATACCGGCTCCACTTAACTCTCTTAGAAGGATACAGTATTAAAAGTCCTGGTGGAGATAATATTATCTAGCTGTTAGAGGGAAGCATCAACAAAGGGTGCGGAATTAGATTGTCTCTCTAATCAAGAGAGCTAGAGAGACGCTGTATACTGTATTCAGGGTAAACCATTGGTTTTAGTGTCACATAGAATACAGAGATAGGAAGTAACTAATTATTACTATTGTTCATATGAGATGTGGCCTCTTAGTCATGTAAAAGTATTGACTTCCGTGATAAAAAAAGCCTCTGACTATTTCTGCACAAGCTAATAAGTATTCGGACCGTGATTTAAAGGGGCGTAGGAAATGAAATCAACACGCATAAGGTGTAATACTCAAAGAGCAGACCAGAATTTAAGGATGGAAGTTTGAACGGTAAATAATTAGATACTGAGAATAGATTGCACCGAAACACCGTCAACTCAGAGCGCCCGGCTTAGGTATCTAGGCACGGAGTCTAGCGATGTACGATTACTAAGGTTCATCTTACCCCTTTTCTCACGGCTGAATCATCATTTGGTGGGTATGTTTCCCCCCTTTTTTTATACTTAGGGAGATGCCAAGAGGTGATATGGTGGCGGTTCACTGGAAAGAAAAATAGGGGCACTAGATATAAGGTTTAATCTCGGAAGACATCAATGGGTTCGAAAGTTGTAATCCGATTTACGGTTTCAAGTTCCTTCACAGACGTAGAAGAGACAATAAATGACTACAGTATTTCTAGATTGGGTACCTGTTAAGTACCTACGTTATAGGCCTTATTCATGGATCAGGTAATTGACTCTTATTTTTTTCACGTCCCTTTGTTTACTGCTGTTGTCTTTCTTGTCCGAATGCATCGAGGGTAGTGAACATTTCCCGTAAAGGATTTGGATAGGTATTGCCCGTTACCTAATAGCTCGATGACTACAATGAGAATATAAAGACGAAATGTGACGTATAAGGGTTATGCAATATAAAAAATATTGAAACGGTCCTGAATAGACCGGATCGAATTGATTAGGTTTTAGGAACCTGATAAGATTCCACTAGGAGTACTTAACAATATATGCTCGCATTACGCCCGTCCTAATTCTGCGCATCACATACCGAAACACCTGTCCTAGAGCCAAGACGCCTAATAGCCCGTCAATGTCGAAAGTCCATTGTCCAGTTCACTGTATGAGTTTGTAAATATACTGCATGTTAAGCCGACATTTAGTTACCCCACTAGTCCTCGGCCGTGGAAATCAGGAAAGTCGGCATTGTGAATTCTCCGTGTCGTGGCCACATAAGAGGTGGTTCAAAGAGGTAAGCCATCAAGGGAATAGGAAGAGAAAATATTTGGGTCAGAGTTACAGGCCGTGTCGCCGAGACATCCAACAATCCGGAAGAATTGAGGCAACACAACTGTTGGGCCTAGGTTGATGTCGTAAGAGGCACGGTTATATATAGGCTTAGTCTCCTATAGAAGAAGCCCAGTACATCAAACTGGAAACTAATAGATGATGTAATCCGGTGTGGTCGTCTCACCACTGTCGCGTCTATGGTTTGAGCCATACGGACTGAAACTGATACCGACGGTGGACAACGACGGATCTATTTAGCAGCTGTCTTGGGCTTTGCTGCGGTCTGCGAAGCGGGTTAATAAGATATCCGAACGTGAACTAGGGTATTGGCTCAGGGAATAGTCACCTTCTTGACCTTCTCGACCTTCTCGGCCTTCTCTTCCACTTTATCAACTTTTTCCTCTGCTTTCTTAACGGCGGCTTTAACCTGTAGTCAATGTTAGAAAACAGATCAACATCGAGCGTTTATAGCGACGTGTGATTTATCCGAACCCCGGACGAGAGAATGTAGGATCCATGGAGGGACGATCTAGCCCACTAAGAACTTCGCAAGGATGGGTGATATGATCTTGTACATAACATGGAAATTTGTGTTGAAGAGTAGAAAACTTACCTTAGTCGCGACACCGTCCTTCTTGGGTGCCGTAGACTTTTTCTTGGTCACACCAGTCGGCTTCGCAGCCTTCACCTTAGGTACAGGCTTGGTGCTGGCGGTGGGCGATCTTTTCACCCTGGGCTTAGTAGTGCGCTTAATAGCGGGCGCGGTGTCAACAGTCTGGAAGACGCGCGGCTTTGAGTTGCCGGTAGCAGATCGCGTTCCTTCACGGGGCATCTTGGCTATTTGCTTAAGAGAAAAGTTTGATAAATTCTACATCAAATGTTAGCAAATAACGTAGCGTGACGGATGAAGCTGTGAGATGCAGGGAGCGACACAGGGTGCGAATGCGAAATGCGATGCGACCGGGAACAGAGATGGGCGTGGAGAGGAAAGATTTGGGTTGGGCAGCTTACAAGAACTTTTAAGCGGTGAGTAGACGCGAGTGCGAAAATTTGTGGAATAAATTAACTATTCGAAATTGGCGAATCGTTTATGTGGCTTTGAAAAGGTATAGATTAAAACGAAGAGTAGAAGAATAAAAGTTGTGAAAGGGGAGAAAAAAACAGAATCGATGGGGAGGGTGAGGGAAGATTAAGAACGAAGAGAGCCAGAAGGGCAAAAGGGCAATAAGGTGATTAGGGCAGGTACCTACATGAAGTGTGTTGTTGTTCTTGCCGCGCTCAGGCACTGATTCGATAGATTCGATAGCTCCTCCTTCGCAACACCACCCAACCTAGCCGAAATAATACCTCGAATAATACCTTGGAACAAGGTAATAATAGTAATTAAAACCAGAGTGACAGCATGTCGCATAAACAGACCCGGCTAATCAGGTCTAGAATTGGTCCGATGTGATCGAAGGGGGGTAAGGGGAAAAAAAGAACGAAAAAAAAAAAAAAGATGGGAAGATAGGATCGAAAGGGTTGGGGCGCATGAGTTTGATAACACAATGTCCGTGATTGCTTGAAAAATCTTGGATCTTTCACTGTTTTTGCTGTTCTCCTCTTTCCGTACCTATTATGCTCTTTCCGACCTGAATTACTGGTACCTAAGAGGTACCTTAGGTAAGTTAATTGACATTTTCATGTATTCTTCTTTCTCTTAATCGGAGGTCTATTTCTTGATTTTCCACTCCTCTTCAACTTTTCTCATCATTTTATTATTAGCGCACCTGATTGATTTTTATCCCACCTTTCGCACATCTCTCATCATTAACAACACCTGATTTTTATTGAATTAAGCTAAGGGCATATATATACCATATATAGGTGCCTTACATACCTATTCCACTTCTACCTGGGTCCTCCAACTCAACCACGACCACGTTCGATCATTTCACTGGTGCATGACCGCTGCCGCGCGCCTGATATTCTACCTAGTACGATGTAAAGCCATGCGACAAATAAAACATGGAACGAATGAACGGGTTTGACTTTCTCCCTGATTGAATTTGTCTGGTTTATTAATCTACCGTTTAATCCTTTGCCGTCATCTTGGGATCAGCACCTGGCACCTGCTGGGGATAAACGGAATGGCTAGCAAGATCGTACTACTTCTCGGATCTCCTCACATGTCATCCCTCCATCCTCCCCCCCTGCTCTTTCGCGTGTTCCAGCACGGTCTATTTCAACTGATAGGCCATCCCCAGCAAACCATTTCAAGACGATCAATTACTGAACCGACATTTATCACTTCGGACTATTCTATTATTTATTTATTTTTTTACTACATCTCTACCTCTGGTCGGCAGGATGAAGACCCCTCGTCGCAATTGGTGCAGTCACATCATGCCCTAGCTGTTTTACGACATCTCTACCCAGGTACTTGGCATGATTCTACACATGAGCTTTCTATTGCCATGTTTGCGAAATGAGTAATACTGAAAAAGGACAGACCTTGGGACAAAATCAGATTACCCATGGCATTACAGGTCTTTTATCATCTCTAAAGGTGATTGCTAACGATATGTGGCTGATTTCATTGCTGGGCGCCATGTGACTAACCCCAGGGTTTCCTATCTTCGAATATGCTCGGCCCAGAGTCATCTAGAGCAATTCAGGTTACGTACACCCTCATAAAATCCCGGTTTTTTATCTCTAGTCTCAATTTCAATGTTTTACAAGAGCCTCTACACACACTTGAGGCTAAGGCTTTGGACCTAAACTATGTGTCACTCTAATAAATCTTCTAGTTTGATGCTGTAGATAAAATCCTTGAATATTGATTAAGGCATTTCCTGCTTTCAAGCGCTCGATACTCTTTGATATCTCCGGATGAACAGGAAGTAACCGCTCACCCTTTATTGAATTATCTCAGATTTCTGTCGGTAGTGGTTCACACTCCTGTTACTTATTAATCAACCCCTATTCACCTAGAGTGAATTACTCGATATCAGCATCCGGACACTCCGCTTTGAACAAGGCTATGGTTTCATCCCATAACCTCTTCTGAGTGGCATTGCCCTTAGCCGACAACACGATACTGGGAACACTAAGGGGTTTTATCAGTTGAAGAAATACAACTAATGTCGCAAAATGGGTTGACTCACGGCCTTATCCTTTGCTCACTTAAATATTCACCGTGGCTATCCGGGTGTCGCACAACAGCATCCGTTAAGTGGTAACCACCCTCAGCGCTAGTCCAGGCCAGAAAACTCGAAGCCCATTCTGCGGTCACATCTACGCGGTGGAACGCACTTTTGCAATACCCAGGGTTGAGAGTATTGAGGATGATATCGGTAGGGTCGAGGCGCGCAGCGAGGGCGCGTGTCCAGAATACATCTAGCAGCTTCGAAAGGCAATAGCGACTATCATCTGGATTAAATGAAGCCGGATCGTCGAGCCAGGGAATGATGCCCTTTCCACCTTTGGGCTTCAGGATGTCCTGCACAGGGGCCGCGAAGGCGACGCTAGACGCTGTGATAGTCATTCGACTAGGTTTTACAGTCTGTTGCGCTGTTAGTCGCAGTGGTTCTACGAGTAGCAGTGACAGTAGTGCCGTGCCGAGGTGGTTGATTTGAATGTGTGCCTCGTGGCCTGTCGGCGACCGAGTAAACTCAAGCCGCTTCAGCCCCGCATTTAACAGCACGATGTCGAGACGGTCAAGTTCGGTGCTCACGCGCCTAGCGAACGCCACCATACTTGCCCATGACTCTTGATCTAGTTGCCATACCAAGATCTCGCATTCAGGCGTTTCTCAAGAAATTTCGGCCTTTGCTGCCTCTCCTTTGGATAGATCGCGCACAGCTAAAATCAACCTTGACAACCCGTGAGATGCTAGCTCTTTAGCGGCTTCAAAGCCCAGACCAACATTCGCGCCCATCACGATAGCCGTTAATCCATCAAGCCGAATATCATCGGAGAGTGGCTGAGGCTTGAAAGTTAGCTGGTACCAGACCATGGCAAGGAAGCTCCAGGGCTTTAACATGGTGCCTAAATTCCTGTTAGGGATAACTGTAAGGCAATTCCGGACCCTATGAATAAGTGTTTTAATGCCTTTGTAGCTATTCTTCTAGTAAAGTAGTGTTTCGAGGCTCAGGCTATAAAGTTCAATGATATTTGGCAGCTATCTATTTCGGTAAACGGTATAGTGAGACGCCTTGTATCCAATTAGTTGATAAGACGTGTTATACGCACTATGCAGGTACGGAAACAATCGCGTGCTAACATAGGTCTTAGCTCGAAGAGAGAAGTAATATATTACCGTCGAGAGCCTATAGGAACGAGAAACCAATCTTACCAATCCGGTCTATTTATATACATTGCCGTTACCATTGAGCTCCCATCCATATCTTCGTTTAAATATCATGTACCTAGACTTACTATGCAGGCGTTTCAGGAGTGTCGATGGATTGTACTAGTACGATAAATGGAGATTGCTGGAGATAAAATAATCCAAGTGGAATTGGGATTATATTAGCCAATAAGAATCATTCATATAATGTTTACTTCTCCATGCGCGGGGAAATTATCCGTCCGTGTCCTGATCGTGTGAGCTTTAAAGGGGAATACCCGCTACCCGAGTTCCGATAACTCCGGCAGCCGTAGTTTATTTAAACGAAACCCGTCACTGGATTATCGTCAGAAAGGATAGTGATGGTAGTTGAACTACGAGCCAAGACATTAAGTAGATAGGTACAATAGTATGCTTTAGGTTAGCTAAACATACAGCTTCACGATATAGTTATGAGTAAATATAAGACAGATCTTTAAGGTTAGGGGGGTTTTAATTTAATTTTCAACTTTTTTTTAGCTATTTTCTCAGTAACTATCTGGTTAGGAACCTAGGTAGCTACCTAATTATATCTGCATACAAGGCAAACAAGACAACTCCATAAGAAATAAGAAGTCACTATTAACAAAAGTAGACTTCCTACAGTAGCGACGGCACAATCAGCCTATTGTCACTGGTAGGTTCCCGCCCGCTCACCGATTACGTGGTTTAGGCGGTAGCGGTACGTTTAGAAATCCATCGCCGGCTTAATGATCGGTATCCCGTACCGGGCCAGCAATCGTCTAGAATGCAACTTACTTTGAGGGACTCGGAGGCTCGAACGGGTTTCCAAACTGTGGGGGCTGATTAGGGAGGGGCCATAGACATGGAAATCTGGGGTCGCGGGTACCCGCAGCCCAGGTCGGAATGCTATTAGTCCTCGGAGGGGGATTTGGGCGAACGGGTGGCTCTGGTTGCATATTAGGATATATGGGCCCGATCACGCCACCCATGTTGAATATTGACAGCTCATCCTCATCTTTCGGAGGCGTGGGCAATGGATCTTCAACCTTAACAGCGGGTGTCGATGGCCCTGCTGGTCCTGCCGGCCCCGGCTTCGTGTACCCTGGCCTCCTAATAAGTCTAATCGGATGGTCCTCCCAACCACGTTTTATCCACTCATCACCAGTCTTAAAAGGAACTTTGACCCATTCCTTATTTAACTCAGGTGAAGGGAGATCGGTATACTCATACGTATACCTGCTTGGCGTAGGATCATTTCGCTCCACATCGTCAGGGGCATCATCTTGCACATCGTCGGGAACATCATGTTGCACATCGTCGGAGGAACGACCTCCGTAATTGAAGTTTATGTTGTTTATCTTGTGGATATTAAGCGAGAACTGCTTGGCCGATACAGATCCATTTGTGAAGCTTTCGTACGATAAACAGGGGGCATCCATGTCGAATTCTTCAGCAGGTCTCGAAGGTTGGGTTGTAAAGCGTAAAGGAGGGTTCATATGACATGAACATGAAGTGGGTTTCGTAGGACACGAAGGGGGACATGGAAATGAAGGGGGACATGAACATGAAGTGGGTTTCGTAGGACACGAAGGGGGACATGGATATGAAGGGGGACATGAACATGAAGGGAGTTTCGTAGGACATGAAGGGGGACATGGATATGAAGGGGGACATGAACATGAAGAAGGTTGCTTAGGACATGAACATGAAGAGGGTTGACATGAAGGGGGACATGGCTTCCAACAGCCATTCCCTGATCCATCGTGACAGCTAGGCATTTTAGTTGGGCTGATAAGCTTTCGGACAATAGAGTCGAGTTAATTCAATAGCAGTGCTGAAAAAATTGAAGGAATTTTGTTGTTCTTACTTGATCTTTCTGAGTGTAAACAAGCTGATGAGGAAAGTATATTCGAGTTGCTTGGGAGATGGGAGAGCATTCTTATAGGCCATGGTCTGATGCCTACAATAAAAAACAGTTCATTTCAGCACTTCTGTTCCAAAACAACCAGCTTGAAGCCGATTAGGAAATGCGCTACCGCTGTTAGTTTGTTGTTGCTGAAAAACAACACAATAGTTTGGAAACAGAGCCCCAGGCATCTACGACTGGGATATTATGGCTTCATAGTTTTTTATAATCTTAATCTTTGTTACTTTAAGTTATGGTGAGATAATAGGAACCTAGTCAATATAGGCTTCTAAAATAAGCTAAAAATTAACAAAGCGTTCAAATGACATGCCTACTAGGCAAATTAAACTGTATGAATGAATTTGTTACTTCTTATCCTATGATACGGGCTTCTAGTGGCTTGTAGTTAACCTAAAACTAACTAGATTAATCTAAATCTATAAGACGAAGTTAATATTCGGTCGTCTCCCTTTTATTCCCATACAAATGGCTTTTACTACCGGTGTATCATTGTCTATGCCGTTCAATAACCGTGGAAGCCAGTAAATACTAGTCTAACCTTTTCGCATAACCCAAACCACTAATATTAAGGCACCCGCTGCTATTCCAAAAGCTAAGATGCTCATAGGATCTCTTGGAACCATTTTGCAAATGAAGCCGATAGGATGAAGTTCATAGTTAGGTCAAGTTATATCAGGTATTTATTTATCTTTATAATGTCACATGATAATCACCCTTTGAGGAGGGCTTTCTATAATTTAAACCGATACCACCGCCCTGGACCCGAATTATGTATTGTACATACCTGGCAGAATGTTAATGCCACTCTGCATCATGAATAACAAAGGCTACGCCGGCGCCGATCATAATCATGCAATATTGATTAATAAGATGAGCTTTTCATAGAGTATTCATAAACTACTCTGTATTTAGAAATTTTGTGATTGTACTTGAAGTTCGATTTAATAACACTTTAAACACGATTCTGAATATTATTATTTCAGTTAACTTCTTACATCGTAATTGAGGTTCCAGTTTAACCAATTTTATTGCAGCTGATACGTCCCAAATTGCATTCGGAATGTCCCATCGGGCCTTGAAATTGATAGATAGGAGGATTCGCGGTTGTATATATAGGCTAAAGTGGTCTTATGACTATAAACCCGTCGACCTGCGCTCTTACTTTTAGATTTTCTATACGAATTACTCTGGATATTTGAAGGCGTAACTATGTGTTTACCGATGCTTGGAACTTTCTTTTTCTTTTTCTTTTTCTTTGCGTTGGGGTTTGCTACTAAAACCCCCAAGCTCATTGATGGGGCATTCATCATTGAGTTGGTGAATGATGTTGTCAGGGGCGGGATTTACCCGAGGGATTTCGACCAGCATACTGAATTCCATAAACACGCATCGAGGCTTCCTTTTGAATACGCCGTCGCACATGAATATCGTTACCCAGGTATCTATGTTGGCTTGTCAATTCGTATCCCCAGGAATGATGATCTTGAATCTCCCGAGTTCCATCTTAGCGACGTCCCCGGAGTTGTATCGGTGAGTCCTGTCTACGAGGTGCCTCTGTCGGATCCGGATTTTCCTCGCCTTCGTTCAATTGATAACCCCCTCCGATCATATTCGGACCCGCCAGCAATGCCGGCAATATTGCCGAAATCTGATGGGGGTCTATCTTCGACACTTGAAATGGCTGGCGTTGATAAGCTTCACCAGCTCGGTGTTAAGGGTAAAGGTGTAAAGATAGGCATCGTTGATACTGGCGTCGATTATCGTCATCCAGCACTAGGGGGTGGCTTCGGCCCTGGCTTTAAGGTGGCTGGGGGTTGGTCTTGGTTAGCCGATAATGGAACTGCGTTTGAGCACGACGATCCGCTTATTACGTGCTACGGCGGAGGACACGGTACTCATGTTACGGGTAAGGGGATGATTCAAGACTACGTTCCCCCCTTGATCAGCTCGACTAATGCACTTAATAGGAATTATTGGTATGGAACCTCTCCTGGATGGAGAGAGAACATTGAATATATCTGGTGTTGCTCCGGAGGCGACAATCTATATGTATAGAGTATTTGATTGTTTGACTAACGGTGGGTCGACCGATCGTATTATGGCAGCGATGCTGCGGGCGCAGGCAGATGGCGTTGATATCATAAGCATGTCTCTAGGTATCCAAGAGTCGTGGCAAGACGGGACTGATCCATTAACAAAAGTCGCCTCGCGCCTTGTGGATGCGGGCGTAGCAGTTATCGTTTCTCAGGGGAATGCTGGATCCGGCAGCAAATATGACCCCCAACTTTACCGCACGTCGACGCCCGCTGAGCTGCCAAGCATTATATCTGTTGGTTCAATTGCAAATGAAAAATTCCCACTCGTATATACCTTTACAGATTCCCAAGGTGCTACACTATCATATGCGTCTCTATGGCCCATCGAATTCCCTGATGGCCTAGAGGTCTACATGCTTGAAGATGGCTGTTCTGGCACCAGCAAGTGGGACGATGCCATAACGCTTCTGGAGAATAATGGAAAGATCAACAATACGATAATTGCATTTCCTATCACTGGCAACTGCCGCGATACTGGTGCTAGGAGTTGCTGCTCGAAGCGCAGTATTCCTTATATAATGGGACTCTATACGAATATGTCAGACCCGTACGATGTAGCCTACGAGATACCTTCTTCAGGCTCCATAGGTGATGGTTTGGTTCAGTACGTATCAGTGGGTTTCAAGGACAGCGCCACACTTTTGGCGAATATGAACGCCACTGGGCCCGAGAAATATAGGCTATATTTCAATGACACCTCCTATTCGAGCCCCGCACAGGTTGCGGGTGCTAAAATGGACTACTACTCAGCCTTCGGACCTATCTACTTGAATTACGATCTTAAACCCCAAATATCAGCACCTGGAGGCGAAATACTTTCTACCTGGCCTCTTGGAGAGCAAGGTTACTACTCCCTTCTATCAGGCACGTCAATGGCAGCCCCATTCATCAGCGGTTGTTACGCACTTGTCAAGTCTCAGTTCCCTGACCTGTCTGTCGCGGAAATCCTTTCCCTCCTACAGTCAACTTCGAGGCCTATGAAATGGGTATATAACGATACCATGACCGCCGGGACCTTTCAACAGGGAGCTGGCTTGGTCAATGCATATAACGCTATCACATATCAGAGCCGCGTGTCTCCGGGCCAACTTCTCGTAACTGATAACACACACACTACTTTTGGAGCAGTCAATATAACAATTAAGAACCGTTCAAGTTCAACGAAGAAATATGAGTTATCCCACGAAGGTGCTAGTTATTCGGAACCTAACCCTCCTAATAACCCCATCTTCTCTCAGGAGAACCAGCTCCCGATATATGGGTCCGCTGAGTTTGAGTCATCAACCGTTGAAATACCAGCAGGAGACTCTACAGTCGTATCGTTTAGGATCTTACCTCCTACATCAGGTCTAAAGCCTGAACGACTACCAGTATTTGGTGGCTTCATAAAGGTGACCAGCGACGACGAAGAGTTTAGTGTGCCATATTCTGGCCCCCCTTACTCCTTATACAACGCTCGGTATATCCACATTATAAATACGAGCACGACCGTGCAGCCGCAAGTATCGTATAAGTTCCAAGACGACTGGATTATTAACAAAGGCATACTGGAAGTTAATTCTTCGATGCCTTATCGCTCACTCATCGGCCGCGACCAGTTCACTCGTGGGTATCGGATTGATCTCGTACCTGCCAATATTAGCATAAAACCCGACTTCTACGGCTATGATCCGGCCGAAAAGTACGAGTACCGTTCCTCAGAGACGATACCGCCGATATCAGTGTTTGGACTGCCATCGTACGGCACTCTGGTGAATTCTACCGAATTGCTGTCTCCGTCTACCTTCAACTGGCCTCAAGGAACCGGGCTCAAGGCTACTCTGCCTAACGGAACAGAATATTCACCCGGCCTGGGAGATTACCGTTGGCTTGCTAGCGTGCTACGTTGGGGTGGGGATCCTGATAAGTTGGAGGATAACGAGACGTGGCTTTCAGGGGTTATAAGGTTTGTAGGAGACGGGCCTATAACAGAGCCTGTCTAGGGATATCTGGCGTACTTACAAATAGGATACTACCTACCCGAGGGATGCGAGACTGGCTTCGAGGAGAAGTACTGTTGTAGAGCAATGAAGCTTGCTGAGAGAAACGGACACATCGCATGCCGGGATCTGATCGCCGAAAAGGCCGGGTTGAGTATCAATTATATTTAACTCACTCTGGTTTCTATTTCTGCTATGGTTTAAGTATATTATAGGAGGGATTCCTTATCATTCTTGTCGTGTTGGAGTCGGTTTGACGATAATCTCTCTAAAACCCAATTCTAGTATCAACCATGCCCATTAAGTGTCGTATAAGTACTTTCATAGGAGGTACCTATCAGGCTTGAAGTTTCTTGGGACGCAGCATTGACGCAGACGACTGATTGTCTATAATGGCAGGCACGTCTTGCTCTACATAACCGTGTGCTTCGTAGAGTGGCTTTCCGGCAGGACTGGCATCCAAGTAGCACTCGACTCCTAACTGATCAGCTAAATCAGTTCCCCACTTGACTAGCGCGGTACCATAACCCCTTTTCTGAAATGTCGCCATCGTACCAAGGACTTCCAAGACTACAATTTACATCATATTTAGCTTAATCGCCTCAATTTGGATCATCTAGAGTGTAGGTTGAGTTCGGAAGAGATGTAAAAAGTACCTAGGTACTTACAGACATGACCACGGTTGCCCAGAACGTAAGCATGCGCCTTTTCCATACGGCTAAAAAATTCGTCCACGGCGGCATCGCTGAAATCCGGTAAGTCATCAACAGCGGGCCACCTCGCGCGCCACGTCTGCTTCGCCGTGTCGTATCCCTCCGGTACGATGCGGTAGATAGCTATCGCAACAGGGATACCTTGAACAGGAACGCTTTAGTAAAGAACACCGAAGCAAAGAACCGCGCCAAGTACGTACCAGTATCCGGACTGCGCACGATAAGACACTCGGTCTTCAGCTCATCGGGTCCCTTTACGGGCGCAAAGAACTGCTTGAAAGCGCGCTCGAGCCAGATCCTGCCATCGGGCGTCTGCGGGAAGATGCGCTGCATGTGTTCGGAGCCGAACGCGTCCCACCAGACGGTGATCAGCTCCGGAATGTCGGATACCGAGGCCCGCTCCACAACGGCGGTAGTGGGGCGATCTGTCGAAGCCATGTTTTCTTTCCGAAAATTGAGAATTATATATTAGGTACCTAACTTATCAAGCTTGAACTTTAAGAGGGATAATTTGGCGTTATTACGAATCATATAGCAAGTTGAAGAGAAAGGGAGGTCAGATGAGAAATAACATCGGTAAGTTCGAGCGGGGATATTGGCCTGGGGGCCGAGGCGGGTTGCGTAAGCACTTATTTAAAGGCATAACCCCATTTTATTGGCATTCAATAATCCGATCTAGGGTATACTCGGTTTCGTTACTTTAGCGTGGGTACGGTACGGTGCCCGATAAGGTGGAGCAGTTCAACCAAACGCACACGGGGAACCAATCAGCGCCAACACAAGTTGCCCAATTAGGTATATGCCTAACTTTACCCAAGGAAGCGCTTGGAATTTTGCTTTTTGTTCTAATATGAAAACGGACGCTATACTATGGGTAATGAACCCAATTTTTAGTTACAAGCAAGAATTATTTCTAGAGACCGACCTACAGTAAGATTTATGAGACTTCAATCCGTAGTGTGCCAACACACAGACAGCGTGATAAGGACCTAATTTAAGCCACGAAGTAATATTACATGCTCGTTTTAGGACCTTCAAGTTCCAGTTGATCTTAGCCCCAATACACGATAGGCTTTAGGCCATTCTATAATGATTGATTATCTTCACAGGAATAGTTGTTCAGGTGCCATTGAATGAGTGAGTAATAGTGCGATATCATTACTAGTATCCCTTTCTAGCAAGTGAAAGTGTAGTGTATCTTTGTTTTGTGGCGTTGACACCTCGAAGTTTAGAAAGTCTATATCTTTTCTTTATTATCGATCATGGACAATTTTAGGATGTAGTTTACGGAGATTAAGTCTTTTACTCCGATTAAGAAGTCATTGAATCTTTGTTTAGGTAAGCAGCTCATATTTGTGCTTATGCTAGAGGCGAGATCAGATACCAAAGTCTTGATCAATGCTACTTACCTAGGTTTAGGCACTGGATGTAAGGGGTATTTATGTTTTGGATTCGTGTTATATTTCAGTAGGTACCTGTTAGAGTGAAACTGCCCTTAGGTACTTACCTCTCTCTATACGATTATAAATGTGTATGAGGTTCTCATGACATAAGCCTCTCAGCTTAGAATAGAACAGCACGTTTTATTGCCGCGATTTACAATGTTACCCACTATCGGAATTTTAGATGTTGGCCAAACAAAGTAAGGGAAGTAAATACCTTATTTTGACCTATTATCTCATATTTAATTCTTGTAAATTTCAACTTGAAGTTACAATTCGCAAAGCTTAAAGTACCTAGGTAAAGTAATTCTTTTGGGAAGACTTTTTTTTTGAAGATTAGGTACCTCTTATGATACTTTTAAATAAGTTCTATATTGCTTAAATGACGTTATCATTTACCATAGTTATGGTATTTTAATGTAAGTTATAATTAAGGATTCTATATACAATACATGCAACATAAACCACCCCTTTTAATATCCGTAATACAATAAGTCCATGTTCGTAGCTTAGTACATAAAATACAATGATAAGAATCAACTAATTCCTTAAAGCCTAGCTATCTGCTTCAAAGACTATTCTCCTCCAGAGCTGAGATATATAGTCATTGTCTTCCTCTGGGCGATCAGGATAAGCCGCCGCCAGCTTACTGGCTACAGCAAATCCCACTTGATTACCTATGTCCCATAGGCTAGGACGCTCCTCGGGCTCAGTAGCCAGGCACCAGCAGACGAGCCTCCCTAATTCTGAGTCGAGTAGAGGGTACGGCGCTCCGGGCTCATCGAGCGGGAGAATTTGTTCGGCATCTGTTGTCAATATCATTCCGCGCTCGGGTAGTGCAACTGCGCCATGGCCCACGTTTACGATATGAGGGCGTTCGTCCAAAGTAATCAAACTAACCATGAGCTGCCATACTAGTTAGCCTGTGATCTTCGACCCGGATTAATATCCTAAACGGAGTACACACCTTGCCTATGTCCCAGAGATTGCTATGTGTAGTCGTGCCAGTGAAATCGATGAAGGCCCACTCACCAGCATTACCGAAGTCAATAACCTTTAAAATTGGCGTAATAGTATGCTCGAAATCCTCAAGGGGCTCCCCAAGAACAACTTATTTAGGTTAGCTTAATATTTCTTATATCAAATACTCGTAAATGGTTAGGCTATTCGCATACCATTCCCATTATGAAGGTCACTATGCGATACGCCTACTTCTGGAAGTTCGCCCGCTACTCTCTCTCTTTCTACCCTACCATCACTACGGTTTGGAGGGTTCTATGACCAATATAGGATTAGCACCAACTGTGAACATGAATGCAACACGAATTAAAATATTACCCACCGCCATGGCTATACAAGCTCTTACGACTATATACATGTTTATTAGCTTAAAAATACTTTTTAAATTCTTGTGTGGTGCGTAGGAAATTGAGCACCATGGTAATAGGACACCCAGAAAAGCAAACATAAACATCGCCTTAATAACTTACGGCATAAAAAGAACCTCCAGAGCAAACGATTCGGTAACCGATCCGTTTTCCTCTTCGCTTTAACGATAAAATCTCCCAATGAGCCACAAGATAGCCATTCCATTGTAATCCACTCTCCCTGGATATCGGGATTATTTAGAGGGTTATTTTCCACCTCTAAGATCTGTACAATATGTAAAGCACCGCGGAATCTCTGTGCATTCAATAAAGGTTAGCTTATTTGTAGTTCCGCCTATGCGTTCATACTTTTTTTCTGTTTCTCATACCCTAAGGTATTCCCTTTCTTTCCTCATAGCCTCCTCCGCAGTCTCTGACTGAAATGCCCTCTTCACTACAAAGTCTTTCCATACTTCTGTAGTCGGATTCCGGTACCGGACGCGACTCGCAGAGCCATAACTTCCGTGGGCGATGAAACCTTGGAAATCGAATCTTTCGTCTCTGGAAAAGTACTCTACAAGGTCGTCGACGTCTTGCCTAGCCGAATCCCAAGCAAACATTCTTTGTATTTCTAAATAGTAAGTAAGAAACTAGTATTGTTGTCAATTCAGGGGTGTCCATTACCATAACCTTTCAAGGATGGTTGCTTAATATTCTGTTGCGTTTACAAAATTATTATTTGCATTATCCTCGCCATTGTCAATTGGACAACGCTAACCCAATTGCGGTCACATCCATCAAAGACCTTTCCTTACGTGAGTAGTTGCTTTCATTTAACTCAATGCATTCTTCGGCGTATTACTAGGTAGTTTCAAAGCTTTGGTCCAATTTTCTGAAAGTTGATAATAGTTCGATAATAGCGACTTTTACTACGAGATCTCTCTCTGGATTTAAGACAATGGATTTAAATTTTGAACTTTGATTAGAAAACTATTGCATATTTAATTAACATTGGCGTCGTAGTTTGACGACCAAGCCCGCCCCAGCCGTCATCAAAAGGTGTCTATTATAGTTGACGCCCCGAATGCTTCACTACCAGAGTATTTTTAGGTACTTAGGGTACACCCTGTTAAAGTGACTTAAGGCTAATACGCTACTTTTTTACTTTCATATTCATTCCTCGACGTTTATAGATATTATTTAGGTGTCTGTGATCGACACTTGAGGGTGCGGTATTCAAATCATTTAAAGATAAATGACTAGCATTTGTATCGCGCTGATATACGATATAAGCACCAAAAGATGCAGGTCGATTCAACCCCCGTTGTATTGTCGTACATGATGCAGAATTGGTACCTCCTGTCGTATAATTGAAACCGCTCATCCACTCATCCACTCATCTAAGTAATTGGCGGTGTACTTACGTGTCTGTATGTTTACCAATGATATACTCGCCCCAATCTTGCTAGATCTATGCTCAATCTCGTTCCTTATATTTCCCCATGGGTTGGAAGCAGTGCTATGGAAAATCCTTCTCAAGTCTGACAATTATCCCACTTGAAGTGCCCAAAGCCGTCCTTCCAATAATCAACCTTCGCCGCATGCTATAAAACTCGTCAGAATAGCATTTGAATCAAACATGACCACGGCCGCAAAGACAATCTGTGGACTTTTAGACTCCGCTTTTCCAGGTCGGGTGACAGTTCCATCCGATACTCAATACCAGTCTCAGAAATGCCTACCATGGTAAAGTAATACGACTTACTTACCAATATCTAAACTAATTCAATCAATGTAGGTGTCAGAATTGTTGGCTTCCTGCAGCCTGCTTTGTCCGACCCCAGAATAGCAAAGACGTTGCAGAAATCATCAAAACTGTAAAACGAGCCGATATTAAGTTTGCAATCCGTTCCGGTGGCCATAATTTCAACCCAGGTTTCAGCAGCGTAGATAGTGGAGTCTTGATCGATTTGCGTGATCTTAACACGCTAGAGATAGACAGTGATGGGATCTTGCAGGCTGGTGCTGGAAACACGTGGGGTGATGTATACACCTTTCTGGAGAAGAAAGGACTTTCTGCAATAGGCGGACGCCAGAGTGATGTTGGTATATCAGGGTATCTCCTTGGAGGCGGGATGCCAGCTTTCCCTAATCTCCATGGGCTGGGGGTTGATAGTGTGAAAAACTTCGAGGTTAGTACCTACCTAAGCCATATGCATGACCCTGTTACGTTGTATTCTAACTAGTTTATTTGTGTCTAGGTCGTGCTAGCTGACTCAACTATTATCAATGCTAACGCTCGTGAGAATACGGATCTGTATCGAGCTTTAAAGGGTGGTGGTTCCAACTTTGGTATCTAAATCTCAATCCTTTACACTCTATCTGACTGCCTTAAGTAAACGCTGACATGAGATAATAGGTGTCGTGACGAGGTTCGATATACAGACATACCCTGCTATATATCTTCAATATAACGTCCTCATGTACCATCCCTCCGGATTTGAAGAGGCCCTCCACGCTACCGTTGAGGCCCAAGAATCAATGGAAACGGATCCGAAACTAGGCATGTTTGCCGGCGTCAACCCAACATTTATCGCAATCGGAATTTATTATGCCGACTCAGAGGCGGAACAGCCAAAGGCTATTGAGAATTTCATTAACTTGAAAAGCCTCATGCAAGCTCTGGTGCCAACCACCAAAGGTACTATAAAGTCCTTGGTCGAAGCTATCGGAATTTTAGGTCCCTCTACTAGGTGTGTATACCATTTTGTCAATACTAGAAGTTGCCCAATTCTAAGTACCAATAGGCGGCTTACAGCGACGACTACTACAAAAGTATCCTATAACTTCTACATACAAGTCCATAATCTATGGCTAGATTCAGTGAGGAGGCATACAAAGATTAGCAATCTGTGGTATAATATCCAGCCTACATCTACAACCGCTGTGCAGCTCGGAGAAGACCAAGGTGGCAATTCCTTGGGACTCCAGAAGGTTCCTCAAACATGTCAGTCTCACTTCATCGTTAGATTCCTATTATACTTACTAGCTAACAAACTACGTAGGGTGGTCGCTGGTCGCTGAATGGTCTGAGGAGTCTGACGATACAACAGTAGCCCATGAGCTAGAAGAACTTACTGAAAACGTCTCAAGGCTCGCCAAGGAGCAAGGCTTATATCTGGACTTCAAGTTCATGAATGATGCGGAGTTTTCGCAAAACGTACTTAGTAGCTATGGCATGGAAAACATGAAACGATTACAGGAAGCTTCCGCTAAGTACGATCCTGATCAGTTATTTCAGAAATTACAGAACAGCGGATTCCTTCTAAGAAATCCTCAAGCCCCCTCTAGATACACTGACTAGTGATATTCAGAAGTATTTCAATATATATATCATGAGCTGCCAATGATTTATATCAGGTAGTTAGACTGATGACTTAATAGTGCTAGAATCGATTTGCTCTCTTTGTTTGCGAAATAGCTTTATCTCTCAACGAATCAGCTGCCAGGAAGTCTTGCGCATGAAGCGGTAGCTTTCTGGACTAAGCCTTTCCTTTCATAATCGGTAGCATAACTAACGCTAGAACCCAAATAAACCACAACCTCCATGCCCGGGTATCACCTTGCCTGTGACGACACAAGAGAAGATTAGCGATCAACATCCCTCCAGTTGAAAATACTACAAACTGTTCTGGCCATCTAACTGACCAAAACAAACAAGCTATCTTAGTCCAACCCGGGATACCAAATACCAATATTATCCTAGCTGGTACATCTCCAATGACCAGCGGGATTGTTCGACGACCCGCAGCTTTGTCTCCTTCGGTGTCTCGGAAATCTTGTGTGTGACTAGTTGTGGCGAACGTAGCTATGTAGGTTACATACAGGAGGCTACCCCCCGTCGTCTAAGGTTGCTGAAGAAGATTGGGTTAGTTTTGACGAAGCGGCTAATGCGCCAAATGCCCCGAAGCTATTCGGTGGTGATACTGAATACCTCGGCTGCTGCTGTGGTGCTGGGTTTTAATGGTGTTAATGCATATTACACGCCAATGCCACTCGGGAACGGGAGTCGTAATATGGCACGTATTGGCTATGCAAGATCTTTATTGCCACGTGGTTCATGATCTGTGAGATCTATATCTGGCATCCGAGGTGGGCTTTTCCCCATGCGTGTTTCCAAGCGGCTATGGGGTTAGTGATAAGAAAATTTGTAAAGTTGGAGAGCATGATAACGACGGAACATATAATTGTAATTTTAGTATATTATTTATCAAAATATTTGATCGCGCCGTGAGCGAGTCTTCGACTCGGGTTTGATCTCTTCCGTAGTCAGTGATATATCTACGGTTTTTTGAATCGTATTAGATGATAACGGCATGGATGACGTTCCCAATGGTATTTCGTCAACACTGGATGAGTAACCCTCAATTGACCGTTCCATCTCGTCCGTAGATCTTTGATTTTTCGAATGACCGAAACTCTTGTGTAAGCTATGTAGGCTGGAACCAACGTTTGCTCCGGAGTTATTAGTACCAGTGACACGACTCGTTATTTTCACCTTGGCCGCCCTGAAGAGAGGTCCAAGAGTTGGGAGCGAGGAGCAAATTATAAGGATATACCCTTCCGACATTCCCAAGATATCAAGGTAAGGTACAGCATCTAAATGCGTCTGGTCAGTCTTTGGCGTCTGAGATTATAAACTGATGAACCAACTACTCACAGGTGGGATCCGTTGTGGATAAAGCAAAGGCTCGTCCAAGGGCAGATATTTTGATAACCGACACAACGAATGCTAGGGAGCTTAAGCTTAGAGCTCCGGCGACAGCTATGCGGCTTCGAAGTGGCATTTTCAGGCGCATGATGAAAGGGATCGGATAGAATGCGAAGAAGATATCCAGGAAAGAGGAATAAGCCGACGTGAAATATGAGAGGCTTGATATGACTCTGATATCTGCGCAGGTTCCCCCTTCAATAGTTTTATCCCACCCAAATTCGACAGGATCGCATTGCCTGAACCACCAGACTGACACGGCTAAGATGCATGCTTGAGAGGTTATTCCAAGTGCCCAAAATAAAACTGCCGTCTTCGGGCCGTAATCGAGGATTCGTTTTAGAATAGCGATAAGAGCGAACTTCGGTAGCGAAAACTGCCATATTAAAACCGCATTGATTATAGCATTATATTTAAGCGCGTTCGTTTTTTCGTAATCGCTCAACTCGTACACATGCCTTCCGAGACCGAAATCTGTTGCTATTGTGACAAGAATACACACGACGAGACTGAGGACGAGACAGAGTACGGTGATGTAGTCGTCCAAACCCAGCCCCGCCCGTTGATATGTTCCGTAATGCAAACGGCATACGACCCTCAATGCGACAACGACTATATATGGAAAAGCAGTAAGAATCGAGCGTTGGTAGAGTGGAAGATGTTTAACGTACTAGTCGTGACGGCAAAGAGAGACCATAGAACTTGGTTGGCGAAGATATCGTAGTCATCTCGTCCAAGCTCAATCATCTTGATGGGCGCGTAAATAGATGTTCTGATTGCCGTAACTTAGGTATCAATGGCGACTTGGTAGTCAGGAATGACTCTATCGCAAGTTAAAACGACGGAGCAATGCGTCGCCATACACTCAGTAAACCAGCGGTTGCCCACAGCGTACCACTATACAAATAAACTCAATAGAAGTGAATCTAGGTACCAATGAACGAACGTGGTATTGTAAAGGATTATGACGATTTTTGATAATATCTGTAATAGTAGTTGATCAGCCCACAATATCGGCATTAGCAGGTTCATGCGATCCCAAGTGAATGGAACTTGACTGATTCGCAGCAGGGGACCCCTTTTCTAACGTTAATTTCACAGACTCCCTTATATCTCACAATCCACATTTAGCTTGCCGTCTAGAACTCCGAGTTTCTTTACACTATTTTCCAGGTTTGCAGTAGTCATGTCAGTCTCCTGCCAGCGTTCAAGTAATCAGCTGACGGCCACCCTAAATGATATCCATTGGGCTGAGCAGTGGGTAGTAATTAAAGTACCCGGCAAACCCCTTACCGAATAGAGTCTAGAACCGGCGGATATAAGTCTATTCCATGCTTAGACTCCGGTAGGTAGTGTATTTCGGTCGACTAAAGCCAAAAAGGCTTGATCCCGATTGGGCTACCATGAACACAAGTCAATCGAATTCCTATCTACCTAGGTAATGAATGTACACGGTAGAAACCGTAGTAGAATCCAATTCTGGCCAGACCATGTTTCATTATAAATAAACGTTCCTAACTAGAGGTAAAACCACCGTCTTAAAAATGCTCCTGTTGATAGCCCGACCCAAGGTAGCGCGGTGAGCGGATACATCCATTGCATCGGCAACACCAGACGGCACGTGTTCCAGAGATTGATATGTATAACAGGTTTCTTTTCGCTACGCGAATCCGCACGATATTAGCGTGTGATAACTACTGCAGACATCCTACATTAGACCCTGAGATTCTATATAAGCGGCACGTGGCCAAGACAAGCTCTCGCGTGTGTGCTTCGTGATGAGATTACGGGCATCTCTATCGATTTGCCTATCCTTGAAGGGATATCTCCCAGTTTTACGTAAAGCTATAACTCATATAACTCACAGGATCTTGACCCTGGGAGCTTAGTGGCTGATGCTTATGGACTTTGGCCCTTGTCGCAGATTTGCACGAGTAGAACAAGACTCAGTCTTCGTGTTCATATACCGCTTAGTTAACTTTTAAAGCTTGAACAATTACATTATGTACGTGATACTTGTTACTTTGCTTCGTGCGCTTGTTAATGCTTTCAGTATATAGCAGCCGACATGTTCAACCATTAATCCATACTCGGTACCTCCAAGAGGTAGCCTGTAGGTAGTAAGCGGTGAAAGAAAAAACTCACAATTCCATTTCATGGTAGATAGGTCAATACTGAAACCTCATCAGTTTAATCTACTACTTTTTAGGTATAACAAAATACGAACGATACGACTCTGTCATGGGGCCTTATCTTGGCATCGTAACAATCTTGGCAGCGTAACAAGCTCTGACCGCCGAGGAGCTGCAGGGAAGGCCCCTTATGTACTTGCTTATGTACAATTCCTTAACCGCAATATCACAGGGCATTTCAGTCTCTTCTGCGGCGAATTCTTCGAAATCGCATCTATCAATTAAATTCCAAACACAAAACGTGATTTACATACTATGCGGTACCTGCATTGGAAAAAGGTGCCAGGTACCAAATCGGCAATTAATAATCACATGCATTGTACTTGGCAGTGAACCATACCTCTCATGGAGACCCAGCCAGGGGGCTCAGCCCTGTTTGCACATCACGCTCAGATGGGGAAACATGTATGCCGGTATGGAGATGGACATCAATACCCACTGGTTCCACGTTTTAGGGCAAGGAAACCAGGAACTGAGCCAAGTGTGCAAGTTTTTGATCAAAAGGAAGTGTCGTATGAAATATTCGTGACCCGTATAGCTACCTACCTATATCAAAGGTAAATAAAATAAACGTGGGGATATATTAACGATATAATGAAATGATAAGAAGTGGTCTAACTCCGGCCTCGAGGAGAGATTACCAAATTCAACTTATCGCTGGAATGAAACTACCAGGCTCTCCATATGTACGGAATATTCCGAATACATTAACTTCGACAGGACACATAAAATCGCTAGTATCCTCGACACCAAGTCACGCGATCCAATACGAGTACTTATACATGCCTTGAATAAGATAACTCCGGAGTTGAGTTTCCTAGACACCTAACACACGCCAGATTCTTGCTATAAAGATCCTTACTTCTCGACGAACTGCTTTCCGTAGCCTGTGCCGGACCCCCGGGAAATATTTACTTCCGTGGCATGGCCACTAGGTACAAGGACGAATATTAGCAATTGCTTCCCGAAATTTTGGAATTTTGAGCATGTTCTGAAGTTCAACATTTCTCAGTGGCACTTACTATTCGCAACCTCCCCAGAAACGCCCCTCGAGAACAGGCGCGGGGCTTCCGACAGCGGCTTTCTGTAATCTTTCTACACTTGCAAGGAAACGGTCCACGACTGCATCATAATTGTCGTAAGTCAATTTTCCGTCTCGTTTCTGAAACTTGCCATCCACTATTACGTGGTCGATATCTCCAACGTTCGCATGCAAAATCACCGCCGCGACGGGATCAAGCCATCCTAGCATTCCAGGCGACCGGCCATTGAAGACCACTAAGTCCGCCTTTGCACCGACGCGGATCACGCCTAAGTCGGGGCGTCTGAGCGCGAGTCCACCCTGCCGAGTGGCCATCAGAAAGGCTTGGTTGACGGACATTGGATTATTTTTAGGGATCTTCCAATCCGCGAGGACTTGGTCGTAGACCCTAGAGCGAGTTCGCTGAAGCCAAATTCGCGCTTGGGTCATTAGATCTGTTGAGAAGGTGAAGAATGTGTCTACACCAAGCGAGCTTTGCTCCTGTATCAGATGCGCATTTGGGTGAGAATGGCCATAGTGCATCTCCGACTCGGGCGTTATCGAGATGAACTGGTTAGTCGATCGAAGAAGGCTGGCCCCTGCCGGCGTAATGGCCATAGAATGGGAGAAGACGACCGCCGTCTCCGTGTCCAAAATTCCGAGACGGTGAAGAAGTTCTGGTGAGTTATCAACTGAATTCCATAATTATTAGCCAGTCCCCGTGGAAATTTGTCCAAGCTGCGTATTTTTTCTGCGATTAAGAAACTTACTCGACCACGGACCCCCCAGATGGTGGGTTGTCAACACCGGAATCTTCAACTCCCTATGCTTCATTAGTGCTGTAATAATGTCTTTACTAATTATATTCTTGCATACTTAATGACGGAAATCACAGCTTCAACGTCCTTTGGCGGAGATATTGTCCAAAGATCATATGCGGCACCTACGGTGGTTAGGCTAGATGCCGAATTAGACTTAGCTAACTCTTTGAAATTGGCGATTTGATCCGTAAGCGAGTAAGCGTCGTGATGAGAGAACGCAGGGCACCAGTACACCCTAGCTCCGCTGTCGACAGATGCCTGAAGACCAGCATTCGTTCGCTCTTTACACCAAGTGTTGTGAGCGTGATCAAGCGTAGTTGTTACACCGGCGTTGAGAGCCTCGAGCAACCCTGCAAGTTGTCCGATGTACACATCTTCGGCTGAGTAGATGAGCGCAGGTGCATGCCCGGCATAGCGACCTAAATAATCTGGTAGAGTAGTGTTGGGGGCTAAGGTCTTCATAGCCGTTTGCCAGCCATGTCGGTGCGTGTCGATGAAGCCAGGAGAAATGATCTTATCCGTACAATCAACGATTTCTGTATTCGAAGGTATATTATCCGGACGAGCAGTGTCGTAAATCCCCGCAATGCGGTCGCCGCTAATTAGTAAGGAACCATTCCGAACTACCTCGATAGCCTCAGTCTCTTCGTTGAATGCTATAATCGTTCCACGGGAGAGGAGAACTGAGCCCGAGGGAGTTGTAGACATGATGTCAATAATAGACCTCGATGCAGGACAGTATCCTTCTTTTGACACTAGAATTAAGTACCTATATTTATTAAGACAAGAACCAATGGCGATTCTAGGAAACGGTTTGGGTATGGAAAGGAGGTTTATATTGAAGATGACCCGGGGTCGCAATACTTAGATTGAGTATAGGATTATAGTGTCGCGCTTCATCGCGAGCCGATGACTAAGTTGACTCAGTCAGGATTATCTTCCATCCAATCTAGTGCGTGACTCAATTCTCTCTTGCAAAGCTGATTGGAAGCACATGTCGATGACGGCCTCTCGCGTCTCTCGCTCTTCAAACGGGCTTCCCCACATGGAATAGATCTAGAACGCTTCGGCTACAACCGTTTGACCGAGACACGAATAGGATTATTTACCCGGCATTGTACAACCACACGCAATGATAAAGGATAAAGGGAGATATTGTGCAATAAGTCCTTGTAGTAATTAAGACGGCGTGAGTATATGTGAAGAGGGCTAAAGATAGTCTATATTATAGTTATTATTACAAACCGAATAAAGGCATCTCATGACCCCACTATTTTCAAGATAGGTGTAAGAGGTACAACTGTGTATAATTACAGCTTCATTATAACAGCGAATCGAAACTTGAAAAATGCTTGATGAAAAGACAGATTGGAATACTATGATTCTCTTTACCTCGATAATAAAACTACCTAGTCGTCCAAAAAGAAAAAGTGATTAAAGCAATACCTAACACAAGCTCTCTTCATTGGATTACATATAGATCATGATAAAAGCGATTAAAATATGACTTTAACTTATATTAGCAAGCTCTTTGCTCCCGTCGTATTACTTGAGTATTCACTCATAAGATTACGCTGCTTATTTTTCTAGTATACTTGAGGATATTGTATGAGAGCCCGAAACTTACCAAACAGTCGTCTACACGCATCCCTTGGGGAGATAAACATGGTTATATTGTGCATGAAGATGTATCTAGCCGATGACTTTGAAGAATGCTGAGGAATCCGTAAGAGGATTCCCATAAAAAAAGGGTAGGCCATATCGTAGTGCCGGTGTGCCCTAGATAGATTATTGAGCATATGTGCTTGTATTAATTCTTAGATTCTTAGCTATCGTACTCGTGAATGATAGTATTTATAAACTTTACATGTTAGCTAATATAGGTATCTAACATAGAATTATAGTTTCAAATAGTTACTTAAATTATTATCAACTTTCTATTAAGTTGTCTTGATTACCTGTTAATATGCTGAAGCATACGGTATATGAGCTCTATGTTGACCCAGCCTACTAACTGTATGAATGGGGAGGGAGGCCTATATATCATGTACTATACCTAAAAGTAGTCTCTTAACCACAATTTGAACATAATACTAGGCCTTTTTTTATCTCCTAACTAGATTGTATTTACATCGCTTATAGTATAACCATTCAATTGTTTCATTGTAAATCATTTGTATTGTATATCTAGATAGATATTTATGAATATATAGTATTAAACCTAGTCTATCCCGACTTATGCGTCGTCCACCTTATTACCTCCAACACCCGTAAGCCAAGGATGCCTATGATTAAGAGAGCTTCGAGCGCCAAGAGCCCTATCCAGAGCTCGTCTAGAGTTGTCACCTTGTAGTTTCCCAACCAGCTTTGAGCGTTCCACTTGAGTAGGTGGCGGTATGTTATCTGTAGCATTAGGAGAAGGTGTTATGTATTGGGCTCGTTGAATATGAGGCAGTGCCGATTTGATCTGGTTGGTTAATATCACAGGTACACATAGGACCTTGCCATATGAAATTCATGTTTACTAGAAGTGCAAGAGGTGCGCATAGAGATACTTACATATAGCTTTACGTCTAATCAAGGAAGTGAGTTTTCTATCGCGAAAACTAGTACCCAAGCGGAGGAACTAGATATTCTGTACGACAGAGTGCAAGTTGGAAAACCCGGTTACGTTCGGAAGGGAGTAGGAGTATGGAGAAGCAGATAGGGTAATCTTCTGCGCATAACACACGGAGAGAACCAATGATTCAGAGACGATGCTTAAATATGCATGAGCTCCGGCGGGCTGTTACCATATTTCAGAACTGAACACGTTGAAGGATCTTGGTAGGATCTGAATATGCCACGGGAATCGATGGATGCGCGTAAGCGAATCTGCGGGGAATCGACAAGCCAAGGGATTGGAATGTCATTTATAGTAATAGCTACTTGTTATTAATAAATTCTTGCAATTCTAGCATGTGTCTAGAATCGGAGGCAAAGATCACACTCTATTATAATACCCAAAGAATTAATATGCCGCGACAATTTACCCGGTTTATTAGTACCTCTCTACCGGCGACATAAAGGCGTTGCCGGGGGAAGACGCACAACACGGTATTTACGTCTACCACGTCATTCTCAACTCGTAGGCTTCGTGCTGTATCAATTAAAGATAGACATATAGGATGTTTGTTGGAGTTTGTCTATCATGTAGACATGTCGTCTATTACTCCTACTCTTTTTCTGAAGAGGGGATGGTAGGTAGAGCCTGCGAACTAGGTATGATACAGAGAAAAACAAGAACTTCGTGAATTCGAGGCGTCATGATGCGTCGCCATGTGCCGTAAGAATCGTTGAGCCTTCCCTTATAGTACATCCCGAAAGGTAACCCAAAACTCCGTGCCTAATCGACATGAATTATAGTCGTAGTCGTCACATATATACCTGCTTTACCCTTTCATCTTCCTCATTTTTTCTTCCTCGCGGGCATCACCTCCTATAGCCTTCCACCACACGTCGCATCCCCATCTTAATGCCCTCTCAGCCGCTCCACTTGGTGTCATGGCAGGTCGAACATCAAGGAAGAATACTGGCTCCCCCGTAGGCTCGGGTGGTCCAGAGTAGTAGTCGATAATGTAACGAACTTCTTTCCGTTGGCCGTTCGTATCTCGGGATACATACCAGTCGTGTCGATCGAAGGGTGGCTCAGTACTATGAAGTGGGTTAGTTTGAAGCTGTATCAACAGGAATATTAAAATCTTACTTAAATGCTGCAGGGTATATCCAACCCATTACTTGGAACATGGTAGCCTTCGGTGTCATGTCCTTCGGTCGCCCTTGGAACCTAACAAGGCTCGGGCTCAAATTTTCTATTTCTTTCTCGTATCCGTATTTTTTCGCCATATTCTCAAAGTTCTGTTCACCATGGCTGCACAAGCGCCATCCCTTATATAGACCTCCCGCGAATCGCTTTTCCCAATCCATGATTTCGGCCCATGCTCCCTCGTTCAAGAAATTGTGCACACTCACCATGCTCTCCACCGCAGTAACATCTGTGTCTGTGTAACCCTTACGGAGGAGAGCGTTATACATCTGCTGAGGAGACGGGTATTCCCAATTACCGTCGCCATCGCCTCTGGGAATAGTTGAAGGTTCTCGATCGGTGGGGAGAACTTGTATTTGGCCCGGAGCCGGTGCTTGCGAAAGGTCGCGAAACATGTAATTTAGAGGGTTTAGTTTCGAAAATGTCGATTGTGAATCGCGCTCTTCTTTCCAGTCGCCCCTAGACTCGTGAGGGACAGGGCATGCCGAGGGAGATTCAGTCGCATCGCGAGTATGCTTCACTGGACAGACAGCTGGGGGAGAAGTCAAGGCATCGGCTGACTTCTGGTGTTTATGCATGGGACAACCTGGCTATATACGTCGAGGATAATTAGAATGCATATACGCCATTTAGGGGCTTAAATATGGCTTACAGGGGGTGTACGCCCTCCATCTTGGGATCCAAAGGATCGATGCGATAAAGGTCGCGATTGGGCATTGACCTGAGGACCGTCTGCCCAAAACCAACCCATGACGATGATTAAAGTTGAGGGATAAAATAATATAATTAAAGGTTAAAGGAAAATCCTATGATGTTTTGAGGCGTGCGAAATAGTATGGGATATGAATTGAAAGTAGAATTTCAATTCAAATGTCTGTCGCTGAGGGGCTTGGCTTATCGCCTTCAACTTCAATAACTTTTTTTTTATTTGCCGCGTCGGTTCCTATAAGGCTGAGTCAGTCGCGGGAAACACCGATCCATGTGATGACCGGGACAATGGGAGAAAATCTAAAGCCATTACGTAATAACCATCTGCTTGGTATGTACATTCCTTAGGTAATGCATGCAAAAGCCTTAATTCGATGCCGGAGTTTTTCCAGGACCTAGCTCGAATTCAAATAGGTACCTAGATCTACTACGTCACACCCGTTGAACCCGATTGCAGTGGCTTTCCCGAACCACGCAATTCTCTACGGCGCTACCTATTTCACATGCGTCAATGATACGAAGTCCTTTTCATTTAGCAAGCAATAGCACCAAACCGGTCAATACTCTAGGTTATGGCATTGCCCATCATGCCAATCAATTCCTTTCCCCCTTTATAAACATATGCTTCCCTAGATATGCGACCGGTCATTTTACTTAGCCGGTTTTGCGCTCGCCGAGCCCCCCAAGCTCCGAAGACTCCTGTGAACATTGCACGATGGCATTCGACATTCCGAGCTAGAATACAACGTCCTCCTCCCTGGAGGAACGTACAGTTTAGCGGCAAAGTACTTAGGGCGACGGCAAATGCTGCTCTTGGGACTGCCGTTTTCGTCAAGTTATCCGAAGACGATAATGAAGAAACGGAAAAGACAACCGAGAGTCGCATGCTTGAAGCCTCGCGAGAGGAGTTAAGAAAAGCAGTCCGCGATGATGAGAGAGGAATCTACCGCTTAGGCCATAAGTTAGTCATATTTCTGGATTCCTATTTCTGGGAACCCCTCTGTACTGGTCTAAGATTCATCGAATTGGTCTTTATATTCATCCCGGTTATATTAGCGGTACCGACAATATGGATTGGGGGTCGCCATGCGCACCGCGATAATGAGCGGTCTGGTACATTATGGTGGTATAACTTCCTAGTCAAGGCCATGGAGGCGGCTGGGCCGGCATTTATCAAGGTTTGTCAATGCTTTGATGATGATGACATCGTAATATCCGAGCTAACGTAGGGGGCAATATAGCTTGGTCAATGGGCAGCTTCGAGAACTGACATCTTCCCGACAGAAATGTGTAATATCATGGCTAAACTACATTCTAATGCTCCCGCGCACTCCCTAGAAGCGACGATGCGGATAGTGGAAAAGGCATTCGATGGGAGGAGGTTTGAGGATATTTTTGAAGAATTTGAGCAATCCCCTCTTGGTGTTGGAGCCATTGCGCAGGTGTATAGAGCAAAATTGAAGCCAGATCTTGCCGCGCCAGGGGACGTCGATGTCTTGGAGACTCGCGGCAATCTCCGACGACAAGTTCGACATAAAGTCGATACGGTTTTGAAGAGTGTGCCAAAACGCGTCCCATCTTCTTACGTTGCCGTTAAGGTATTGCATCCGCGAGTCGAGCGAACCGTTCGGCGTGACCTTCGTATTATGGGCTTTTTCGCTTCCGTCCTTAATATTATACCAACGATCGAGTGGTTATCTCTGCCCGACGAAGTTGCGCAATTCGGAGAGATGATGAAGCTACAGCTTGACTTGCGTATAGAAGCTGCTAATCTTGTCAAGTTTCGAAAGAATTTCAAAGACCGTTCAACGGCCTGGTTCCCATTCCCATACCTGGAGTTCACCACGCGAGAGGTCCTAATTGAAGAATTCGCACAGGGAATTCCCCTGGCAGATTTCCTGGAGAACGGCGGGGGAGTCTTTCAACGGGATATTGCGCAGGAGGGTCTCGACGCTTTCCTGCGCATGCTGTTAATCGATAACTTCGTCCATGCTGACTTACACCCCGGCAATATTATGGTTCGCTTCTATCAAGCGGATACACCTGGGCTTAGTTTGCGCCAGTCGGGTGATGGTCAAAAGCCTCATCCTCAAGAACAAGCTGATGTGACAGAGAAAGTGCTGGCGCGGCTTCGCCCATACCGCAAACGAAGAGACCGTGCAGCATGGGAAGCGGAGCTAAAGAAGATCGACGAGGAAGGTTTTCGACCACAGCTTATATTCATCGATACCGGGCTCGTAACCGAGCTTAATGAGACGAATCGTCGCAACTTCTTAGACCTCTTTCGCGCCGTTGCCGAGTTTGACGGATATAAAGCTGGCAAGTTAATGTGTGAACGTTGTCGTCAGCCCGATGCTGTTATTGACAAGGAGGTCTTCGCCCTGAAGATGCAACACCTCGTTCTAAACGTCAAGAGCTCGACTCTAGCTTTGGGCAGCGTCAAAATTGGTGACATCCTGCAACAGGTCCTAAACATGGTTAGGGAGCACCATGTAAGGCTAGAGGGTGATTTCGTAAACATTGTAATCAGTATCCTACTTCTCGAAGGTATCGGCCGTAGTCTCGATCCCAACGTGGATCTACTAAGCAGTTCGTTACCGATTCTTAGACAGCTGGGTGCCCAAAGTGGAGCCAATATGATAAAGGGCGGCGATTTCTCCATGTTCTTCGTCTGGGCGGGACTGGAGGCCAGAAGATTTATGCAAGCTAGCATCGAAGACGTGAGTCCAATAATTTCTCCCTTCACTATGAACATGATACTAAATATTCTTGCGCAGGTCGAGAGATGTGTCAAATACGATTTGTTATCACCGAATATTTAATCCATATACAAGGTTACGGGTAGACATAGAGCTGCATATATAGGCGTCAGTAGACGGAAGTGGGCACGAGCACATGGAAAATACAAATCTCCCTGAAATATTTCATTATAAACGTTTCCTAACTAGATCAGCAAGGGTTGACGTCTTGCGAATAATGCGTATGTCATGTACAAATATCCGTACTGTTCATTAATGCTCCAAGGCATCTAGCTCAGCTGCGTCGCGAGTTGCGTGACCTGGTTTAGCAGGCTTGAAGCCTCCTTGGGTGCGTTTTTCAGGACCTTGTCGCGGAGGTGGTCGACCTGGAGCCCAGCGGCAGTCGGTGGGTTCCCTTGAGCGGTCTGGATTCGCGACACCTGCATCTCGAGGAAGAATTTTGGAACTTTGATAGCTAAAGAACCACCGACGCTACGGATACCGGCTTCAGTAGCTTGGTATACGTTAAGCATATCCTGGAATTTCTGCAGATCCGTGCTGGCAAGAGGTTCAGCCGTTGCGAACTGCGACAGCGCGAACTGGAGTCCGGTCTGCTTAGACTTGCTAAAGTCGATGGACGAGAAGGTGGTCGATCCGGATGTAACGTCTGGCACACCAGAGATAGTCTTGACGGAGTTGCTGCATGTGACGGTTGAGGCTAAGCTGGCGGCGACGTCGGCGACCTCCTGGGGTAGCGTTGTGCTACCGACAACGAAGCAGGCTTGGCTAGCGCTTTGTCGTCGGCTAACCTCCGTAGCCGCGCTCAATGAGCCGGCGGCATCATCTTGCAGAGGTATCACCGCAGTCGTAGTGACGAAAGGAATAGTGGGGGCCGCAACTGCGGTGCCAACAAGGACAGCGGCGATAGAGAATGAGGTGCGCATGATGATGGTTTGAGGAATATGAATTAGGTAGTATTAATGGGGTGGGTATATGTACGAGGGAGAATGCTCAGAACCGGCTAAGAACGAACGAATAAAATAAGATTATAGATGAAGCAAGGTTCCTTCACAGAAGGATGATAGAATCGAAAAGTGATAGATGAGCAGAAGAATGTCGATCATTATTGAAAGTGAGATCTTTCACGCTTTTTATCAACAACTTTTACCCGCCGATCAACACGGGGGTAATACGGAACGTCGAACCATTAAGCCAAATACCAAGGCCGAGTTAGCCGTCTTTCGTCTCATGTCCGAAATGCTTCGGTTACTTTGGTTACTTTGGTTTGAAAGTCGACGGGGTGTTACGGTTAATGAATACGAGAGTCTTGTTTTCTCATTGGTCAATCGTAGGGTATTTGACGTTGCGCAAGGCCAAAGAGCCTCAACGGAGATCTCCTTATTAGGGGAGATAAGGTTTCACTAGGACTGTTGGCCAATTAAAAGATGGGATGCTGTGTCAGTTACCCTATCCCCTGTCTTACCGTAACCCCACTATAATACCCCCTATATTACTCTTTTCAGACTTTGATAACATTTCGCGAACTCATCCTCATCATTAATATTACAGTATCACTAATATCGACTAAGACAACCATTTTATTACTCATATCTCATTAAGTAAGCACTTGATCTCGGTAACTATAGGACTAACTACCGAAAAATTCTTGTCTGTGTCTACCTGTTATGCCAATTGATCATTGAGAGAATATAAGTTCGACGAAAAAGACCACAATCTCCCAAGACGCCAAACATGTATATCGACGCCAGCGACAGCAACTATCCGAAAACGGATGCTCCACTTCTCTATCTCAGTTAAGCGAATGTTTCTTCGTTAAAGGCCATGCATAAGCCATTTAGGGGAGGAGACCCAGGAGACCAAGGCCGACAGCCTTAAGAAGGTCATCAACGATAAACTTGACTGCAATCAGCAGGCCGTCAACCACCTTGTCGAGAGCCTTAACGAGGTTAACGAGAGCGAGGATGAGAGGAACGAGGTGGATCAAAACGGGACCTAATATTATCTGTTAGTTTCACACGTGAAAAACATAGTAGCAAGATTATCTTACCGAGACCAAGCTTGATGAGGATAAACTTCACGGTACCGAGGAGCTCAAACAGTATGAGAGAAACAGTCTTGAAAATGTCCTCCTTAACGAATCGGGCCTCAAGGATGGCGCGCTTGGCGATGGTAGCAGACTTGTCAAGAAGATCCGCGATAGCGTCAAGCTGAGGAGCGATGGACTCAGCAGCAGCCGAAGCATCAGCCTCAGGAGCGCCATCAGGTACGGGGGTCAAGGTCTCGTCTAGCTATTCGTTAGATCATTACAGTCATCGGCGCCTCCCACGATCACTCACTGATCTTAGCAGTCTGCTCCTGGATCTGAGTGTAAAGGGTTTCTAGACTCGTCTCGATAGCATCAATGTCCTGACGCTTTTCAAGGCTAGTTTCGACATTGATAGGGTTGGCGATGCTGGTAGCAATGAAGCCGCCAACAGCGAAGAGGGTGAAAAGTGTGGCCTTCATATTGAAGATGAGTTGAAGCTAAGATGCTAAGGTTGAGAAGGGAGTTGAAGAAATGTTGATTGTATCGATTGCGTTGTTGCCGCTGGTGAAGAACGGAGAGAGTATCTTCCATGGGATCGATGTCCCTTATTTATACTTTTCGTGGCATATCCTCTCCCACGTTCGACCTGGCTATCGCTTGACATTGCGTGCTTCGTCGAAATTACAACTGCCATACGCTCTCGCATCATCGCTTTCCTCGAAATGGTCTTTAGAATACTTGTCCTACCGCACGAAGACTGCCAACCCTGCGAGATGACGTCCATGTTCTCGAGTAACCCAGTTTACCCATCGTGAATCGTTGGCTCATTTAATGAAGCAGCTCAATATAGATCAAGGAATTCAAACTGCCGGAATAAAACCTCTCGTGAGCAACATGCGGTTATGCCTTCTCATTGGGTTGCTAAGTAAGCTCCGCTTCTCATTGACGGACATTGTGTCCGGAAACCGAACGATACTCCTATAGTATCGGAATAGGCTCTATTGTATGTAGGGAAATATGCTGGGAGACCTTCTGTGCCTGTCGCGGTGAAGGGGGTGTGACTCGTGTCCTTATTGGTTCTCATCTGCCTACCCCTGGCTTTGCGTGCTGGTACGCAATTTTGACAACGTCTTTGTCGGGTATCGATCTCACTAGAAACTGGCCTGGAAAAGAACCCATGTTGACAAAAATAGGAAGCCTACGTGACATCCAATGCATCTATTAACCGCTCGATGATGTCAAGTTTCATCATGATAAATAAGAGGCTATCCTCATCTTCTTGCCGACGTCGGCTCGACGCAATGGAACTGGGACCTGACGATCACAGCTGTCAATTTTTAAGCTTGTTTACTCCCCACTGGCGATCCCATCATTTGCCGGCCGATAAATTTGCGTACTTGTTTACGTGAGCTAAAGATCATAGGTATCTTTGAACGATAGAAACATGCCGTCGCCATCATTTAGAACATACTTCAGACATTTAACGTCCTTACAGATGAGCACCATTCTTCCATATTGTTGGTGCTACGGCGGTGGAAACGCAATTGCTTAATATCGCCACTTATAGCGGCCATCTCCGGACCGTCAACAATGAACTCGAATATGCAGCCAACCCCTTTGCCCCTATTTAATAGATTAGCGGAACGAATAATTATAACCACACGCAGCTAATTGCCGCGTCATATTATACTGTGAATCTAGTACGTAATGAGATCAAGATAGATAAACGATGCCCGGGAGCCGCATATTAGATATATGCACGTTATTTAATTTATCCAGCCCTTGACAGGTGGAATTTATGCGGGGTGCGTCACACTCAAAGGTAAAAGCAACGTCAAAACCAGATACACGACCGGTTTTTTCTGTACTATATAGACTAAGTTGAGCAGATTCTTTGCCGTACCATAATTCGTCGAGTTCTGGTTCTGAGCACGCCTTGCTTCTACAACATTACATCAATTCAACTACAGCCTCTCATACGAAGCACGTCAGCTGAAGAAAAACGCCACAACGGGTATTGTGCGATTGTAAGAACTTGACCGATCAAGCATTTCATAGGATCAGCAATTTTCCGGATACATTCTAAGTCTTAGGTAATTTAAAGGTTTTGGACAATTCTCATAAAAATTGTCGGTGAGGTTTAGCAGCATAGAATACTATGTATAATGGCGGGAAGCAGACTACGGCTAATATCCAGCGAAGCGGCTACATAACAGGCCCGCCCCAAAAGTTATCAACTGATCGGCAAGATTTAAATCGGCAACCGTATGTATGGTCCATGTCACCACTTATACCACGCGTACTAGGATTATTCATGTGGGCCCCTATACCTTGCAGGACGAGGGATAAGTTACTATTTCCGGCTTCATGAATTCACCCAACAAATGCTTCCAGGCTAGATTATATTAGGCAAAGGGGTTTATGCAACTATTACGCATCATAAAGCGGCATCCCATAATCTATCAAGGGCCAGCGCTTAACGCTTGCTGTCCACTTTGGCTCACCTTCGAAGGACTTGCATTAGTTGGGATTAATGACATAAACAGGATTTCTACGCCTGTTCTCCGTCCGGATAAACATCAAAATAGCAACAAAGTCTTGCCACTGCAATATTACCTAGTGTAAAGTGCTTAATACAGTCAAATATCATGTTGAAACATCACGTCGGACGATCTTCTTCCATTCGAAAACGAAATAATAGGAGCATGATGGCATTGCTGCTTTATGTCGAATAGCCTTTACAATTGAGGTGTATAGCGCTGTCCCCACCAAATTACATCTTCCTTCTATATATCATCTCGTTAAATGCATATGATGTAGGTAGTATTATTGAAGGTAGGCCTCTATGTTAATATAGGGTATCAGAGGCAGCCCTTAGTATAAGACCACTACGGAGTGACAGGTGACCAGCTGGTGGATAGCTCATATATCATATATTTCAGAGCACTATTAACGCCTACACTTTCCTAAGTCTAAGAGGGAACCAAGGTTCCCTTATATACAACATAATGAATGACTAACTGGTAGATAGCTTCAAGATAGATCTTAAACCCCTTATCACGTCATACACCTATCGTAATCCTTGCCATCTGACATGGGGTGTCGTAAAGGGAAAGACTCTTAATAGTCATGTCGACACCGGACAATCGGTCCATGAAATTATCTCCTATCAAAAGTCAACATACTAACCTATATCCTAAGGAAAGAGATGAGTTACACTCATCTCACATACATATACTGGATCGTTGGCATGAAAGCCTACAAGGCTAGAAGTCATGAGTTTCTAAAAGTTTAGCGCCCTGTTAGGTAAACCCTTGTGACCTTAGATGATATTATTGATTTCAATCATCGTCGCCGTCTTTAGAACGCATGACGCCCCCCAAATAAGACCCCAGATAACGTAGCATGGGGAAGTGCAGACTTAGAGCGAATAATGTTCCTTTTGTGTACCCTCATAAAGGCAATATCAATTAACTATCTATATAGTTGGCTGTCTTTAGCACTTGAACGCAGGCATCTTTAACTATTTGGAAAATGTGATGGGGTTGCTTAGGATGATCTTCCACAATTGTTAAATTTAAGTGGTTGAACAAGTTTTGTCTAGTCCATCAAATAGGCTACTATCTGATTTATTAGCTTGTCTCATGAACCCAATACTACCACCTCCAAAATGATAACTAGTTGTTAGTCACAGAATAATCCCATTTACACGACTACTTTGGGAGTACGACTACTAAACTGGGTAACACCTAGCGATCATAGGCATTAGGTTTGCATAGGCTTTTTAATAAATCAGATCCCACCACAGCGATCAGAATACCGCCTCATAGGAGGAGTATCGTAGTATCACCTGGTCCGCCTTTATGCCTAACTCGTGGCGTTTATGATGTATCATTCTGACCTAAATGATATGGCTACCTACACTTTGGGATTTTAGTATATTGTAATAGGAATTGAGGGCTTACACAAATTCTCTAGGCAAAAATGCGGCGAGGTGCGTAAACTAAAATCTGACAGGCTCGAGGTTGACATGATGACTTAGGTACCTACCTGGGATCACGTTATCATAGCTGTGGTCTAGATCCATGATAAATTGTCTATAACTATTAGTAATAGGTAGGTAGGGTTGCCCTCTAATACGGCCAGATTAGCTTCCAAAGTACGAATATTTCTAATGGGTGATCCAGTAGTTTCATGGGAGAATAGAACTAAAATACTTGAAGCACGGTGTTATATGATTAACATTACATGTAATCCAAGTTCTTTTTGATGAATGGCCTAATGCATAACTTCGGGTGTCTTAGAATTGTATGCGGATGATCTGAAATAAGTTAGGTTACTGGTTAGGTACCACGAAACGGAGGCATTTGTTTTCTTGTAAAGAAGATCATCGATATTGTACCTAGTAAAATATGGCCGGACTTGTTCAACGCCGATAGTGGAAACTGACTTATGGTATTATATATCGATCAAGCTAACCATGGTTCCCTAAAAGATAGAAACTCTAGGAAAACCGGCACGTCAAGCGTCTATAATCTAAAGGGGCTAGAGCTGCCGCGTGATAGTGATATTCTAAGCGTCATAGAAGTCCATATGGATTCAACTCATATCGAAATACGATTAGTCATATAAGGTGCATGAGATCCAAGTGTACAATAATGTTAATTAAGAAAGAGATGATATATACAGGATATCTTCTGAAGCACGAGGTAAACACATAGACACAACACAAATATACAACTCCATAGATCTAATGGCCTCAAAAACACTATTCTGAAGTGAAAAGTGATAAAATGGAAAAAGTTCGGAGTTATCAGAGATTGTGATAACTCGGTATTTCAGCAAAAAGGGGGGATGGTTATTGAGCTGCTGAGTCTTTCCTTGTACTGATTTATTGATCTACCCACCTTAGGTAAGTTTGTGTACTTGCGCCTCTGCCGCACTTATAAGATAGACTAGAGAGAGGCCATTGGCTACCTTACTGTCCTAGAAACACTATATAGCCTAGTTGATAGCCTATTCAGAGTCTCTAATACAGGCACGTTTACAGAGCAAAGTCCATTTCACCACATCTTGCTCGCATAATGGTGCCCGACGTTCGATGCCACTCTTTATTATGTTGCTTATTCGTTCGGCGAGTAAGCAAACTGATGATTTGGCAACCTCTAATACGGGTTCGGGGTAATTGATATGCTCTCCAAGTAAGCTAAGAAACAGCCACAATGTAACGGTTGCGTAATTGCTTCTGCATCTCATCTATACCAGGTTTGGATTACTGCACACTTGGGTACCTAAGAATGGACACTGTTTGTCCGCTTCCTGTACGGGAGGAACTTTGGCAACATGATATTGACGAGGGCACAACAAATATAAAAACCTGCTTTACCTTCTTCCTGACGACCTATCTTCTCTCTACACAGATACCAACACTACTTCAAGCATAGAACAAACTGTAGATCACAAAGATAACAATGAGCCGTGTAGGTAACACTTCCAGTATTAAGAGGATCTATACTAACGTTTAACAGAGAATAAAATACTATCAAGAAGAGGATATGCAGCCTTGGAAGGCTCTTGACTGGGATACCGTCAAATCCTTCCTCTGGAGCGGATACGATATTCGCTGGGCTGGAGGCCAAAAGCAAGCCGAAGAATGCATTGACAATGGAGTTCATGGCGGGGATGTTCTCGCCATCTTCGAGTCTTTCTCGCACTTCATATGGATTTTGATGCGAGACAAAAAGATCACTGTGGCCGATAGCAGCCCGTTGCCATCCCCACCGGATAAGTTCCAAGTCCACAACAATCTTTACTTCTGTCTTCAAGACTATGCCGAGCATTTCAATGACACCTATTCGAAAAGAATGGAGTCATGGGATCAAGTTCGTAAATGTCTTGAGGAGAACGGATTCGACAAGATGGATAATCGGAACACCATCTGCAAGGCTGTTTATACCGCTCTATCGGAGTTCATCAGTAGAGCAGGGAATACTTCCAATGCTTTGGTCATCGCAAAGGCGCATAGTGACATGCGCTATACTGCCGATGATGGCGGTTTTGGCAAGAGAGGCAGATCAAACATTCCAGCTTCAGAGTTCTCGCCACAGATGTGGTTAGTAAACTTCGACCCAAGCGACACTGAGGCGACCAGAACAGAGAAAACGCAACGCGGTGTTAGTGCCATCTTCAAGCTGGCCGCGGCGGGAGCTTCCTCTTACAACCCGCCACAACGGCCCCAGTTCAATACACCGTACTACTTATCTAAGGGGACGACCGTAGAGCTCACGAAGGCGGTTAATCCTGGCAGTATGGTCTCTTTTCAGTCATCTCTTTGGGACTGGCGCACATCACGTACGGGCGAAAATACGAGCCTCGACCTCTTCAATGATGCAGGAGATTATCTCCTCCGCATCTCGCTAAGACAGGAGGAACACCAGATCGTTCTCAATAGCCGACATGCTAACGGGCCATGGGGCTCTGAGGAGCGAATTCACTTGCGAGACACTTATATTGCATCGAACTTTAGTATCTCTGTCCGTAACCACGGGGATGGATATGAACTCCAGTTCAGCCACCAGCCAGCAGCATACTATAAAAAAAGGATTCCTGGGGGTATCTCTAGTGTCTCTTACATCGCCGAAGGCAGTTACTCTCCATTGTCAGAGATACTGATCGTCTCGGTGTTCGACGCCACAGAACAGTTAGCCCAGACAAGCCACCGTGCTGACTGTGAGGCTATAGTGAGGGAATATGGGAAGTCAAACACGCCTCCTGTCATAACCCAGCCAACATTTAGACGGGGTGCCAACTTTGTTGCTGTGCCTGGACAGGAGAAAAAGGACAATCTCGGTGAGTAACTTTCTATGACCCAAGGCACATGAAGATGAATACTAAGATATATATGAGGCTTTGAGTATGCCGAGCACGGCTACTTGGGAGACGCCATTATCCTGACTCTTTCCAATGGTAAGGCGGTTCGTGGAAGAGACTACAAATTCACTCTTGAGAATGGGCTAAATGTTACTTACGGTGAAATCAATGGTCTTGCAGGTGACTTCTACGGCACCCATGACCCAATTAGTGACGGTGCCAACGAAACAGAACGAGTCACCCGTTTCGTAGCCGCATATAACACTCTGGCCGGCCGCTATGCGCGTCAACCTCAAGAAGCAGAAGCAATCCTCAAAGTTCTCCAAACGGAAGTTGACGCCGTCAATGCTGCACTTGCTCGCCACGAAGATCCATCGATAGCATATAGCAAACTCCCTGGTCAGACCTGGAAGTTCCAGAAACTTACCATGTTCCGCCCCCTAAAAATACCCAGCTATCTCGTACTTGCCAAGAAAAACTTCGATCACTTCGGCGAAGATGCTCGTATCGCGTATAACGCAGGCCATTCGAAAGCTCTTGATGTAGCTATTTCCGGCGATCTTGACAAGGCATATGCTATGAACGCCTTCGCCGACCACTTTTTAGAAGATTCCTTCTCAGCAGGCCACCTTCGAACTCCGCGTCGGTATCTACATTCAGATAATGTGCTTGACCCGGACCCTGATTATTGTGCCAAGGTGAGACCGAAACCAGATATGATGATATAAAATATTCACGCATAAATGAATTACATATTAACAATGGTATAGTTGATGCATGATGAAGATAATGCCATTGGCCTCTTGGTTTCAAATCCATCAGGCGAAACGTGGACGGCTTACGGCGACAAACGCGCCCTAGACAAGGAAAATCAAGAAAATAAGGATCGTTGCATTGCTGCTATACAGATATCTGCTATCGAGATATACAAAGCATGGGCAACCAAGGTAAAGCCCAAAGATTATGGAGCGTGGAATCATGCACCGACTCTTATGTCTGCTCGAGGAAAGCAGCAACTGGCACCTCTCTTCATTGGCGAGCAGCGACGTACTGTGATAAAGGATCGCAGAACATGGAATTTCACCAGTGACTGGTACTTTGATACTACGGTTGCGCTTTGTCTCGCCAGCGGCTGGTGGAACTACCCAATTACAATCAATGGGCCATCCAAAGCGCTAAGCGGTAGTGACATTACCGCCGTCGCGACAGGCTCGTCAGAATGTAATGTCTACCACCAGGATTCCCAAGGGGTAATACGTGAGTATACTTACAACGGTAAATGGAATGCGACCAAGTCGCCGACTTTCAGCGCAAAGTTGTCCAGCCCTCTGGCTGTCATCAGCTTCGATGCTGGCAAGCAGGTACGTAATATACACGATACAATTCTCTTAGCTATACATACCTAGGTATCTAATATTGGATGAACGAGCTAGGTTCGCGTTTATTGCGTCTCAGAAGACGGATATCTTGAAGAGTGGTGCCACTCGCCCGGCCAGGACGAATGGCTCTCCGGCTATCTCACTAACTCGAAGTTCCGTGTGGCCCATAATACGAGACTTGCCGCCGTGCACTGGCACGATGATGGGTCGAATATTATCCGGGTCTATGCTCAAGGTACACCATTGCCACTTTTACTTCCGTGATATATCTGACAGATTAGTAGAACCACACTCGGATCATATTCAGGAATATTGCAGCGGGAATATTTGGACAAAAGGGGCTAAACTCCCAGTCGCTCACACCGGGTCCGGTCTGGCTGCTGTGTGCTGGAAGAATAACGGCATTCATCTCCGGGTGTACTACCAGGCGACCGACATGACCGTAAAAGAACAGTGTTGGGATGGAAGCTGGTATGAGGGTAAGTAAATGTATATCCTGTAGATATTTATACCGTCTGACTCGAAGATACTACAGGTGAACTCAGCACCGACAAGATGCCACGTCACACTTCAATCACTGCCGTCGGGTGGTATAAATCGAACCCGCATATACGCGTTTACTGCCAAGATGGTAAGAATAACATTGTGACGTACAAGTCGGATAATGGATGGCGCTCCAATAGTAAAGTTATTGGACCTCTGGGGCCTGGAAGACATACGTCAGCCCTCGAATGGGGCAATGGGAGCGATGTGAAGTTGTATCACCAGGCGGACGACGATAAGATCTATGAACACGTCCAATCTAACGGCAAGGATTGGCATCAGGGAGATTTCGTTAGCTCCTAAGCCTAGGGGTGGCATCGAATCTGGTCGGAGGGGTGACCTTGGGAAATCCCACTCCTTTACGTGAATTTGTTTATTATTGAGACTAAAGCTCTTGTTTGGAATAGCTGCAACGCTTTCGACTAGATTCATCGGGCTAGTTACACTACTATATTTATACACTCGTTTGATCGATAATTAAAACATATTCTCCTAGTTATACAATTATTACCATTACCATACCCATACAATACCCTAACTGTTACAGTGACCCTTGACATGGCACAAGCGCCGTGGTCATCTTACCAACAAACCTTGAAGCGGCCTACCACAAGTCGTTATTACGGCTATTCGATACCCTATACGAACGGTAACAGGATTTCGCTATATCCTAGTATAAAAAGTGGCCGGGAATAAGAATTACTCGGGTAAATATGCGGGGTCTCTACGTGAATCGACGACAGGGCTTATTATAGCGAGTGCACTATTCTGGCCTAAAACTACCTACGTAGTCATTTTTATACCATCCAGTAAAATAGGGGCTAACGCTGCTGAAATACCAAGTTATCACAATCTCTGATAACTCCGAACTTTTTCCATTTTATCAAACGCATCAGGGGTGTCATGAAAAAAAAAAACATTCTATACTGAAACGGTAAATAAATTGAATAATTATATTAAACAAACCGGTGGCGACCTACCTTTTTTTTAACGACCAGTATTAAACTAGAAACAAACTCCCCAAGTACTAACTCCATCGAGGTGTTTATATACCCTGCATTAAATAGGGGAGGCCCTTCGTTATAACCATTACTCGTCAACCCTATAGCTCTTTTGTAATATTGCCACCTAAATTATACCCTTGTTTAAAATATACCTATACTCTACATGAGTTCCCCATTCACGTATTACCATAGCTTAACTCGCTTTCGTATCGCCCATCTTAGTTTAAGTACTATAATCACTCGAGTAATCGGAGTCACTTAAGTAACTATCGCTTTGTTCTTCCTCTTCCATTTCCTTTTCCATTTCCTGCTGCATAACCCACATACGTAACCACCATATAGGTATAAAGCCCCGCGAATACTTCTTGACATCCAAGCCTCTTGCCCAAACCATCATAGAAAACAACTCTTTCTTTTTCTGAATGATCTTGGCTTGGATTTTCAACACACTGGCTTCTGCCATGGCTATCCGAGGATCTCCTTGAGCCAAGTTACAAACAAAGTCGCGGTAGGCCATAAACAGCGTCTCGGCATCTTGCTCTAGTTGGTAATACTTCTCGCACATGTGGAATACTGTGGTCGCATACTCGGGAAGCATCTCCCTGCTTTGCCGGAAGTAAGGAAACGAGAACTTTTCAAGTTCCTTTACGCCCTCGTGCCAAGTTGCAGGGCAATCCATAGAGTAAGACTCGGGGTGGCCGAAGTATTCTAGACGTTTGTGCCGATGCTCTAGTATGAAATACGGACACTCCTCGGGCTCAGACTCGAAGTCATCGAAGTCATCTTCCGAAGAGGAAGTTTCCAATAACTCATTGATGAACTCGGAGCAGTAATGGATCTTATTGGAAACTTGACAGCAACTATGGTATTCGCATGTTGGAAAAGGGCTATTGAGGAGCCACTGCCCCGGCAGTGGGGTATCTATCTCACACCGATGAAAGACTGTATGTAGAGGGTTAGCATAAACAGTATGATCTTGATGCTCGAGATTGGTTATCATGAGTTGCCGCACATCATGATGCATGTGATGGGTAAAGATCCTCCGGCACATCTTGTTCAAGTACTTCCCAGATGAGATACCTTAGGTAATAGTTGAGTTGATTTCCTGAAATCACTGTCATCAAAGTATATCTACCACTCTCAGAGTACCCGTTATACCAAGACCGGCTTGATACTGGTGCTAAAAAATGTGCTGTTTAAGTACGTAGGTACTCGTAGACTGCTCAACTTGAATATTTCTCACCTAAGTTATCCAAAGATATGAGTATGAGTACCTCTATGCAGTGAGAAATATACAAGAGACCGGACTCAGGCGTTGTTAGAATGAAAATGCGAGAACTACCTACCTCATACACCAACGTTGAATTCACGCGACTTTAACCTGAGCTTATGCACAACGAAATTCAAACTCATAGTCTAGGAACAATAGCGCCCCTTTTAGGGATTGTTCTTAAAATAGCACATGTCTTATTGTTTTATAATTCGGATATTCCAAGGCCAAAGACAAGAGAATTGTTTGACAAGGTCCATTGTTAATTTTATTGTAAAATTCAAAAAGGTGGTTCCACAATAGGGTGCATTTTATCCTCCAATACCATCAAGCCGACCTGATTATCCACCATAGTATCACCTGTGTCTATGTTCCTTGATATGAAAAGGAAGATCCTAGGCCAAGATATGATGGTCCAGCTTTCCAGGTCAGAAGAAACTCGTGAGAATAGTACCACTTAAGGCACAGCTTGAAGTAAGCTAAGCACCCATCTAGAGCTTTACAACAAGTCAGATGGATTGCATTGTTCAAATAGCCAACATATACTTGGCAAGATACAACAAAAGCAAAATAGAGGATAATGATACAGATAATAAATACCTAAGTATAATACAATTGTTCACTGAACACAAAGAAATAGATACAAGAATCCAAGCTTAATGTCACGTAACCACTGCCAAGCTCAAGTCGACTTAACAAGGGCTAATACTAGCAGCGCTCCCAGCATCCTTCGGGATAGCGCCAGCAGCAACAGCAGACTGGTAACACCACCGCCACTCGTCCATGCCACCAATCCAGTTGCACTTCCACGTCCAGAACACCCAGCCGCCGGACTTCTCGAAAGTCTGCGCCTGCGCGGCCCAGAACTGCTTGTACCACTCCGCTTGATCGGGCCTGTTGTCGATCTGGAACTCGTCGTTGAACTGGACCGAGTCGGCGACGGAAATGGACCACTCGCCTACGACGACGTCGCTTCCGCCGCGATTGTCGTTGCACGCGGCGGATATGTAACCATCTTTCGTCGTCTCCACCGAGCCGTCCCACTTGTAATACCTGTGGTCGTCGAAAAGCGTAAAGGTGGTGTCGGGGATATTGCTGGTAGGGTCACCTGAACCCCATGATTTATCCTGCGGCAGATGTTAGCATGCGCGAGCGACGTTGGTGGGGGTCAGTTGGAACTAGGTGTACCATCATCTGAATGTGTAGGCGGTCGTTTGCCCCTACTCCTAACTGATCCTCACGACTACGGATACGATCCCATGCGTTAGGGTAGTAATTCGCAATCATGTCTGCAGCCTCGGAGCCGTAGTCTCCAGCGTGAACCGGCTCGTTCATGACCTCCAAGGTACCGACGGTGCGGTAACTGTCGTTGGTGTGGATTCTTTCCGTTATCCATTCAAGAAACTTGAATGCGCGCTCGTAATTATCTTGGTTATAAAATCCGGGGTAGTCTACACTGTGGCCAGTGTACTGCTGATTGGGGAATTGGGCTCCGGGTCCTCCATGTAGATCCATGATCACGTAGATCCCAGCATCAGCGCACCAGCCAACGAGCCGATCGAGATATTCGAGACCACCACGTGGGTAATGTTCCCCTTCGTTAACAAGATCTTCGCGGATCCAAAAACCAATCGGGACGCGCACGGTGTTCAGACCCAGGCTCTTGATCTGCGTGATGTCGTCCTGGGTGGTCCATGTATCCCAGTGCTTCTTGAAAGCGGCATCAGCAGCGTCTTGTCCTAGTGCTTCTACACATTGCCATTCGTCGTTGGCATTTCCACAACCCACTAGAGGAATATATATTAGTTATGGACATTTAGGGCATATAAGATAAGAGGACTATTGAGTGCACTATCGCAATAAACGGACCCAACCAGTGTCGATCAACGTCACTTACTGCTAGACCACTCATCATGGGCCATCCAGGGCTCGATAATGAACTGCGATCCGAGGTTAACCCCTCGGACTTTGTCGGAGCCTGAAATCCATCGCTTGTTGAGTTGCGTAGATTTGCTAGACGACTCAAGTGCTATAGGCATGTTAGTAGGGTTGCCGTGTGTTGACCAGATTGTCACTTACGTATACCGTTAACAATTCCAACGTCAGCTAACGCTAGGATGGTTGATGAGACTGATTTGAACAACATATTTGATAAGTTAATGTTTAAACCACCAAAGATAGGCCTGCCTTGAAATGGTGTACAAAGAGAAGGTTAGGCAAGTGTCGTTGAAGACATCGCTGAAGTCTGTGGGTCGGCTTCGATGCCGATCATTTAAAGAGTTTAGAAGCAGAAGATAGCCATGTATACATTAAGTACAACATGATTCTTCCAATTTACTTCATGCGGCGATCATGACATTCCAAGATCTGTGCTGACATCAGCCATCTCAGCCAAGCCCCTGGATCTCAAATGAAAGGGCCGTCATCACACAAAGTACATAACTTCGTTTAAACAGACAAGATTCCGATGTTAGGGGCGCACTTAATCATAACTATTTCTCAGCTGTGGTCAAACTAAGAATACAGGATCGGACAGTAGGCATAAAAAGCAATAAACGCTATACAGGAAACGGAATGGCTGATGCAGAACCGATGACCAAGATTCTATTTTTGTCGTTGTTGTTGTGGAACGGTTTCGTTACTCCGAGCTTACCTGCTTAATTGAGAAACATCGTAGACTTAATAGTAAGCTCGAATTAAACTGATCTTTACTCGCCGGTTGAGAAGTTTCAGCTAGTATCTACCTTAAATATCGCGAAGATAGATGTTCTTTGTTACATAGACGGATCGCCATAAACTTCAGGGGACCCCTGGATCCCATTGTCAATCCGATTGGCTATCTGATAGATCTGGTAATAACTTTAAAGCTAAGTCTATTTCTGAATTGTCGCATTGGGCCGTCATTGTGCCGAATACAAGTACTTCATCCCTCCCCATTAAGGAAAAGAGATTAGTTAATACTATATTATTGGGTCGAGATATGCGCCAGGTTTTGTTAAGATTATAAAGGTAAAGCCTTCTACCTAGATTCACAACCAGCTTCTTGAGTCCCCCGACCTATCTAGTTCTAAGATATCGAAATGTTGCCTAATAGTGCCTCGTAAAATAATTTGCTGTTACGGTTAAAGGATTGTGGCTTTGATAGAGCTCGCTAGTATTATGTGAGCACCGGTGGCCTATTTCTCACGATGGTTTTATCTTTATCAATCATCAATACATCATGTATTCTACCACATATTTGGTATCCTATCTATGGATAGCTACACTTGTAGCTATACATTGTACCGGGGGTCTTAATGATCGCATGTCCCTAGATTGCATCCTCGAATACCTCAAATACAGTCTCATCACTAGCAAGTGAGAACCGGCGGGCCAGGAATCTTGTACTGCTGACCGCCCATGTATGGGTTTCCAGAGTTATCGTATATGTTTACCTGGATACCGGGATCATTCGATTTGTATGCCCCAGGGAAGCTTACAAAGTTCGAACCGGCATTGGTTCCGGAGCCAGTAACACGGATCCTATTCCTTATTAGAAATCTTACCGTAACGTAAGATATAGGGGAAAGGCATGTCTTACTGAGCGCATTCCATATAAAACTGGGCTTGTCCTGGCATCTGCGCACCGTGGAGTGCGATAAGCTCAACTCGCATGAGGTAGTCACCCGGTGCAACACATGTAGGCAACGTGAAGTAGTGCCATCCGTTATTAGCAATCATCTTGTCGACTGCCCACTGTCCGTTGCTCAAACCATCTTCAGCAACCTTAAACCACTTAAGACCCGTCGGTTGGGCAGTAGCAGCGTTGTCTACCTTAGCGAGGTAGACGATGATTGGTCCTAGTAATATAAGCGTTGATTAATAGATGAACCCGAAAAGGGACGTATTAATACCTGGACATACCTTTGTGACTCTTCGCGATAGGGTTATCGGCATCGTTGGCTGATTGCGCTCCTCCGATGACATGTCCCCACCAAGCTCCGACTTTTGCTCCACTCGGAACGGTGATGACGGTGCTATCAAGATGTTTAAGGTCCTTGTTGCAAGCAAAAGAGCCATCGTTGACATTTTGGATGGGATAATCGCTATCCGGTGCGCGAACACCCTTCAGCTGACCCTGATCAGCTCCGTTGACAGACACCTTCTGAAAGATGGTATGGCCAGAGGCCAGAGCCGTAAGACCGAGAATAATCGATTGCACCTTCATAGTTGCGTTGGCTCACGTTTGAAGCAACTAAGACGAACTCATCGAGATAATAGTCCTTGTATAATCTAGGAGTCTTTCACTCACTTATAGGCGCAACGCTACAATACCAATCAGGGGGGACGGCGCTTACAGATCCGTGACAATATAGGTAAATTAAGCGGCCAGTAGAATAACAGCTTCACTCTATTAAACGGAATTAGACAATGCCGTCCTTAATTCTCTATGGGGTCGGTAATCGATGATCTATGTCCGCCGTGTGATTTCAGTCCCGAAGAATATAACATATAGATAGACTCTTCTTGAAGATCATATATGCTGCTTGCACGGTTAATGGTAACGGCATTTGGCTTCTTACCAAGCTTCTCCTACATCTCAACGTTAGAGTTTTCTGAGTTATGGATCAAAACGAGGTGATGAGGATATATTATCATATTGCCAATATGATAAAGTTTCAATTATGTTATCCTTGTTTTTAAAATTTGTAGCTGCATTGTGACTCGAATATATGTTCATCTCTTAAAGAAGTCGGAAAGATTTGGACAAGTTTTGGACAAGTTTTTTTGATGACAAAGGTGTCTTGGGTGAACCTGGAGAAGGTACCTGCGGTGGACACCGTGCTGAAAGTTAACCGAAGTTGTCCCGATGAGTCTAGCCCTAACTAATTTAAGCCTAGCGTAGAACCGGTCCAAAAGCGGTGTGCACAATTATGTAATAATCACCGGGTGCCACGAGTGAATCGAATTTATCGCATCGGATTCCAAAGCGCGAAACATCCCAACTTATTTCTTCAATCCTAACCATCCTTCCTTCCAACGCATGGTTGGAATTGTAGAACATCAATTTCGCCCAATATGTATAGAAACTCCTATAACCAGTCGTCGTCGTCTAACCCTCCCCCGGGTTACGACAACTACGGTCGACCACCGCAGTCTCCATACCCGCGCACCGATGAGCCGCCTCGATCATGGAACGGCTATCCGCAAGAGCGTCGCGATAGTTATCAGTCTCAAGGTCCCTACTCCGATCTACGTCGCAATCGCCCCGATGATCACCGCCGAGCTGATGGGGAATATCGCGACCACTATCGCGACAATGATACTTACCGCCCTCCTCAAGGTGACTTCACCTTTCGCGTAGAACGCCCTTCCGGTATCGACTCATATGTACCATCGGATCGAGAGCAACGAGCTCCTAGAGAGTATGGCTTATACCGCCCCCAGCAGCGGGCTTACAGTACTCATCATGAACATAGTTACGGCGACGGACGAAACGCACCCCATCAACCGCGTCGTGACGAAAACGCGAGATCAACCGGCCGCGATGGCCGCCCACGCCGCAATGACGATCGCAGGCGCCAGCAACCTTATCGAGACACACGAAATCGCACCCAGGCCAGACAACATGGTTCCTACAAGCCACCAATACCGGCGGCACGGTTACTGTTGCTTAAGAAGCATGATGATAATCCAGAATTAATGTTGGGCGACAAAGCCGGTCGAGCTACTTATAGAGATGTCGATGAACTGTCAGACAGTGACGAGGCAGAGATGGATATTTCGGATAACTCCGATTCAGATGTAGCCGAACCCGCAGCCAAACGAATGCGAACATCCGAGACAAACGTTACGAAGCCAGAACAGGATGCGCCGAAATGGTCTAACCCCGACCCGTATACCGCGCTGCCTCCCCCTGACGAGAGTACGCGCAAAAAGAAAGATATGGTACAGTTGATCCGCAAAGCACGCGTAGAAGCGGAAGCAAAGCAGCCGGCAGCACCCGTGGAGGGGTTGGATTTTATTTCTTGCGATTTCAGTGACAACGAAGGCGAAGGTAAGGCAACTGCGGACAACAGGGATAGTACAACTTGACAATTGCAATCGTTAACCGGCAAATAGGTCCCAACCGTCGCGAGGCAACATCAACACTCCCGGCAACTTATTCATACAACCCTCCTACTGAGGAGATTCGAATTGAACGCACAGAGACCCAAACCATCAAACCTAATACCAAAGGCACTAGCAATAATCCTATTGACCTAACAGCTTCCACATCGCTCGGTTCTCGCAAACGCACTTTTGACGATACAATCAAGTTGCCCCACACGACTTTGAAGATTTCGATGAAGTATAACGGCGGCGGAAACGTTTTGCCAGCATGGCAACCCAAAGACGACAACCCATGCCCTTGGGCTACGGTAGATCATTCGACAACGCCGTCTATGGCTACGCGGTAAGTGTTCTCTTCCCCCTTTCTAGGACCCATACTTACTTGTTCTAGGCTACACAAGGAGATTGTTGATTTCTACCTGTATGTTCGTCCTCGCGACTTTGAAGAGCGTATTCGCAACGAGATGCTCAACAATCTCCGGGCGGTGGTTAAGAAGAAGTGGACCGATGCTGAGGTCTATCCGTTTGGCTCCTTCATGTCTGGTCTTTATCTACCTACTGCAGATATGGATGTCGCCGTTTGTTCCAAAACTTTCATTAATCGTGGCATTCCGCGATACGACAAGAAGAAGGATCTGTGGAATTTCAAGTCACACCTCATACATCACGGAGTTCCCTACAAGAACGACGTTGAAGTGATCGCAAAGGCCAAAGTCCCGCTAGTGAAATTTACCGACCGCGAAACCGGCTTAAAGGTTGACATCTCGTTTGAGAAGATGGATGGCCATCGAGCTATCAAGACATTTTTGGACTGGAAAGAGAAGTATCCAGTGATGCCAATCCTTGTTGCCGTCATCAAGCATTTTCTGCTCATGAGAGGACTCAACGAGCCTGTTAACGGTGGCATCGGAGGCTTCTCCGTCATCTGCATGGTTGTCAACTTACTCAATCAGATGCCACAGGTTCAAAGTCGTTCTATGAAACCCGAGCATCATCTTGGAGAGCTATTGATGGAATTCCTGGATTACTATGGTAACCACTTCCAGTACACCACGGTCGCGATTCGCATGAACCCTCCCGGTCTCGTTTCCAAGGTGAGTTCTATAAAGTCTTCCGCGTGATTCGTACTAATTATTTATACTTAGAGCAAAGTAAGCAACGTCGTTTATCGCAACTTGGATCGATTATCCATTCTCGATCCCAACAACCCCGAAAACGACATTGCGGGAGGATCTAAGAATACTCCAACTATCCTAGCCCAGTTCTCGAAAGCTCATTCGATCATCCGAGCGCGTATGGCAGAGCTTGCAAAGGGAACCAAGACCGTAGGCGTCAGTAACACAATCCTTGAACCATTGTTTGCGGGCAACTATTCTATCTTCCAGGTCCAAAGAGACTATTTAGAACGCCTAGCAGCACAAGGTATCCCCAACTACCAAACTCGGGAACACGACACTGGTAACATTGTTTGGTAATCCAGTGGTATAATGCCAGCCTCGCCAGCGCCCAGGAGCTCCATTTCAGGAATTACAAGATGCTACTCGCGGCGGCAAGCATTCCGGACAATCCTTGATGACAATCAGATGACGATCATGTGGTTATGAGACTTATTATAAGTGTTTGGTTCGAGGCGGCTAGTCATGTTAGAGAGTGCACCGACACCGGAATATCCTTTAGGTATCATTAGGGTCCATGGACATACGGCGTTCCGGAAGACGGCCAAGTGCACAGATACCGTTTGTTTCTTTTGCTTTTTACACCACTCAGGTGCTCGACAGGAGTCATCCATTCCGCCGAGGATGGCACAATGTATTTTAGGAGCCGAATGCTTGGCCGACACGCTCCCATGTCGTTGCCGAGCCTCGCTCTGCAGTCTTGTCATACCCCCTTGCTCCATTACGCCGGCCAGCTTAGACGGCCTTTAGCCAAGTGGCAAGGGAAAATTCAGATTCACAGTTTTTACACTTTCTTTACCTGATACTGTCTCCAGTGGAGAGCTTAATGTGACTGACCCCAGATAACCTATCTTACTCGCTAACTGAGAATAGTATTAATACAATTCTATCCTGAGATAGATTTATTGCTTCAGCAGCTAAGGCTAGTTCGTGCTAACGGTTCACAGATTATATGCTTTATTGAAGATGCATACACTTCTCATTCAACCGGGTCGTGGTAAGCCAGGTCAGGTGGGTTGATATTGCTTCTGGCGCGTCAACTTCCCTTATTTTCTCACCTCGCACCGGGCTTTATGCCGGGTCGCGGAGAGGATGTCGCTTAAGACTCGATTTCAGACGCATTACCACTTCTCACCGCCGAAATCATAATCCAGCAAGCTATGAAGGAAGCGAAAGACAATGGTAATTTTAGGGTTAAAGATATATGGCAATACATAAATTCATTCTAGAACCTCTTTTTTAAGGCTCGCAGATGTTATTAGCATGTGACTCAAGCGTGACTCGCGCTATTCAATTTTATTCCGGGATTATTTCGAGGCTAGGATTTTACCGATATGGAAGCAATAATACAGTATTTGTCCCTAGATAACTATAGAATACCCATACATCCAGGCCGATGAGCCCTTGAGTATCACCTCGCAGAATATCAATCTTGCCCTATTACGTTACATGAATGGTCGTCATGCATCCAAGTACTACACCATCTAATACATTGTATCCTTTCCCCGTACTGGTCCAAATTTGAGCATCCACCAGGCAGACGGCCCAATACTTTACCGCCACATCCTAGCTCGGTCGTGCTGGAGAATCCATACCATCGATAAATGCCATCATTTGTAGTTGACGTATACACAGTGTTGGTCTCGTTGTTCACTGTGGGTTATATTGTTAGCGATATACCCAGGCACATTTGAGCAACTAAATTTATTCAGGAGAGTAAACTTTTTACTGACTCTTTATTTGCCAAAACTCTGGTCTGAACCCTATACTCGCATGCTTAATCCAGCCGGTGCAGTCGTCGGACTCGAACTCAATCGCTAGGAAGTCCTTCGATGCGTAGTACCCGGACGCTAACAAGGAAACGGCTATCATTAAAGATTTCATAATCTCCTGATTAACTGTGTTTAGGGTTAGCTCCGGTTGAGGGTATTATGAGTTAATGTTGGACTAATGGAAGACTATTGAGAATACATAGTAGTAACAAACTTACTAAGATCTTGAAGTAAACATCTAATTATCTATTCTACGCGATATAATATAATATAATATAATATACCTAAGTCATCAATTATCTTCACTAAGTAAGCTTTATTAACTATGGGTGCTAAATAACACATTCTAATAAAGGAGGTCTTAGGATTAATATAAAGCGGCTGGGTAAAAGGAAATACGTAGCTCCTTTGTTCGACCCTCTCAAACCAATATTATTAGTAAATGGTTATCAACCTAAGGTACGCCCCAGAAGCTATCCACGTGTTATCCTTTATTAAGCACCAATGCTAATCTGTTGTCTTAGTATCCGAGAGCACCCTTATTCTATGTCATACGTAGAGTGATTGTTAGAAGCAGCAGCTTCGCTGCTGTATAGTAGCCGTGTAGTAGTATGAATCTATTAACGCTTAACCTTCTATCCTCTTACGAGGGCGCGCAGCGCCCCTTATATATATCATGCGTCGATCTATACCTTAGGTACTTATTCATACTAGCTGCCCCTATACCCTGACATCTAGCCACAGGAAGCACATTTACGAAGTCGTGATGTCCTGCAAATAGCATCACTCGTAATAGAACGATTCTTCCTCATCGCCTTCGAATATCCTTGGCATCACTTCCCAGTCCCACGGAACTAACACCTTAAAATCCGGATGATTTAGCCGTTCAGGTACACGCAACCTAATATTCAGATTCGCGCCCGCCATTCTCACCGCATCGTTTAACTGAACAGGTACATTCCACTGGGCAACGGCCCAATGAATTCTTTCGAATGCAAGCAACTCCTCTTTCATGATTTCTGGCTTCTCATGGAGCGTTATGGCCATCGGCGGGGCCGTTCTATCCCGATCTTGATGTACGAGACCGAGTAAGAAGTCCATCCCGTAACGATCGATCGTCTGCTCCATCGTGCTAGTTAATTCCCGAGATCGCTGGGCCCGCAACACATCTTGCACTGTCCAAAATATGCCTTGAGCATGAAAATCCATGCGAAGCGATTTCAGCCGTGGGGGCAGCACCGTCCAAATCTGTTTAGCCCATGAACACTGTGCCGCGATGTCGATTGTTCCAAATATAAGTTCTGGGCTAAGTGTGAGACTAGAAATGTTTGTGAAGCTTGATAGGTTGATCCCGGGTCCGGTATCAGATGTATTTCCAAGAGGCGATAAAACGAAGTCGCGATGAAGAGTTAATTTCAGATTCCTGAGCCTAGCTGCTAAGGGAGTTATTAAGTCCACGTAGAATGAGAGGTCTAAGGGCTCCCCCATGCTATGGTCTAGCTCCGGAGTGCTACTTGTTGTCATCCGATCTCTTTTGGTAGCTCCATTCGGTATTTCTAATTCCAGGCTCTCCAAGTTCGGGGAAAGCGAAAGTATATATTCTAGCACTCCAACTCCGGATGTCCGATATTTTTCGAAACGCAACTTGCGGAGGTTGCTATGTGCCGGCCTTGGCTGAACTTTTGTCTTGAACCGTTCGATGGGTGCACGGACGGAAAAGGCCTCTAAATACGGTAACTCGTAGAATCTAAGTAGCGTTTCCGCTGGTAAATACCAGTCTGGCTCATTCCCCTCCAACATACAAAGTGTAATCGACAGGTCTCTCAAGTGGTGGAAGCTACCAGTAGTAAATTTGTACAGAGCAGGCCAAGTATCCCATTTATAGCTACCGAGCTCCGCGGATAGTCTCACGAGAGACGTCGATTTTGACAAGTGGCTTAGTATTTCGTTATGGGAATCCTTCCCGGGACCCTGGAGTTCAATCCCAGTGAGGCGAATCTTAGCGGAGCGAATGCAATTTGCCAGCCATGGATTTCTACATGAATGGGTTAAGAAAATAAACCGACGCAACTCAATATCGTCAACAACATCTTCCATTTCGAAATCGATCTCTGCATAGAGTAAACGAGTGGCTATTTCTGAGATACGCTGTGATGTGAGGGCGAGAGAATAGAGTGCTCCATCCCAACTCCAATGAAGATAAGAGAAGATTTCTCTCAGAATTTCGGTGGGTAATTTATCCAAAGACATTGCGTAAATAAATGATGTGAAATGTTGATTTACCCTTCGCTCGTCTCTAAGATAGGGGATAAACATTTATTTATGTCCAGTCGCGAATGGAAATTTGACCCTGTGGAGAAAGCTGAATCATGCCGACCAGATATTCAAAATTTACGGATATGTACCGTGCACTGGATAATCCTTGTTATTTAAACGAGTAGATTAGGTACTTACCTATGTAGATACTGAGCGGTGTGAGCGACTTGGTTGATTAAGTGAACTACACTCTTATTAAGATACTTCGTACCGCGGTCAATAGCGGTGTACTTAGTCACTCATTTCAGTATACCTTGCCTAAGGTATAACTAACCCCTGGTAGTAACTCATTAATACGTGGGTTTAAAGAAAGGGAATATTTTAGCCTGAGCCCACCTAATTTCAACTAAAACACAATGATTTCATATATGACTTTACACACAACGTCATAGTAGATAGCATTCAAGACTTATATAGATAGATAGAGCAAAAAGAGGCGATTTTTTTATTATTATTTCAAATTGATTGGTTACGTTATAATTGCGATATAAAGTTACCTCAAATCAACGATACTTTTAAAAGGGCTATTGGAATCTAAGCGATGAACGCACCAATAAGGACTGGGATTCATTGCCAAATAGGTGGGACGATATTATATTGGCTAGAGAATATAGGATTGCATATTAGAACGTTTAAAATGCATTGCTTCTACCTGTCATTGTCTTATAATCATGTAGTGTGTTCAACGATTATACTATGGTGTTGAGTCTGTAAGTGGGATGTGTGGCTGGTGGGTGTGGCTCACTTATTTTGGCCAGGGCCTGCCGCTATACCACTAAAAGGTTATCTGGTAATAGAGTTTATTCTATTACATTTTATATTTGTATCGGACAGATAGTAATATCTGACATAGTTTGATTTGTCCAAACAGTTTACTATTAATTCTGATTGGACGTATTTCAGATGGAATACTCTACCGTGTCAAGCTCGCACTTGAGGACATATTGTATAGCAACTTTGGAACTTGAGGCAATCTCAACTAACATATATTGAATTTTTATTATGTCTTACTCCCATTTTTTCAAACTCCCACGTCCGAGTAAATCATTATCATCTATTGTCGAACATATAAGCCCTGGTTGCGTGCTCGCAACTGGCGGCGTCGCCTTTTGCGACATCTATCGTTTATCGTTTAATTATAACATTAGCAGCTAAAGACTATATGATATAACTAAGTTAATACGTTCGTATACTTTTGAGAATATTATAACTAGGTATCTAGCAGGTAACTCATATAAACCACTCAATCCTATTCGAACGTAAGAAGTCATAGGATCTAGTTAAGTTTTCGGGGAATGTTAATAACCAAATACTTTCACTTTAAACGCTTTAAGCCCCAATTAACACTAACAAGCTTAACCCTCTCATAAGCAGAAAATCATCTTTACACTAGTTAAAGATTCGCGTCGAAAGTTCTATATAAACTTAACGCTAATCGAATAGTCATTCCAACTAATTCCCCACGTCATTACAACATCCGGGTATAATTCTCCCGATCGGACATTCAACATCATCTCATCTCCAAATTAAAAAGCTCATCGTATTGGAAGTGTCAAGTTGCTAGGTAATTTGAATACTAGGTATTCATATTTTCAATATACTTCTAGGTATATTTCTATTATAGTTACATATATCTATAAAATGATATTATCTGCTTCTAGATTTATCGCCCAGCTTCACGCTCTGGTCTTTGATCCCACGCCTCGGCCAGATCTACATCCCATACCAGGAAGCCAGCCTCTCACGTTCAGCGCAGCGGTAATGCCGCCGCTGACTTACTATCTCGCTCTTCTCCTCCTTGCCCCACCACCTCCTCCAGTTATCGATTCCGTGTATATCAAAGTACTTCGCAATATACTTGCTTTGATTTCCGGGGTCCTCTTCTTCCGTTTACCACTTGCATACCATGTCCCTCAGAGCATCGGACTCACTTATCAGCTTGGCCTCGTCGGCCTTTATGGCGGGTGTAGAGTGATAGACGCCTTTTTTATAAGCCCCTATTTCCTGAAACATATTCCCCGACGAGTCAAGTACGAATATAGGCCGAGAGCCGAAACATCTGCGCCCGTGGAGACTACCATAGCGAAAGCATGGTCCGACGGAGGAGTCAAAGAGCCATACTCGCACAAGGAGAGAGCCATAGCTAGCGACGAAATTCTGGTCAGCAAATCGACTCAAGTCGAGGTTGTCCCAAACCGCAGCTCTACGCAAGCCAGCGGAGGGAGGCGTTCAAGCTTTCCTAACGGTATCAGCCATGCAGCCCGTAGGATGTCGAATTCCATCCCTAACGCGGCCGGCGACTCCTATCACGCCGTGCAGCGTACGCTACAGGGACCGGATCCACAACCTGTTCTCGAAACTGCGAGAACTGAGAGTGGCTGGCCGCAGACTCTCCGCGACCGCGCCTCCTGGGCCCTCGAGCTCGAGCTAAGCATGCGTGGAGTCGGCTTCGCATGGACGACGGCCGATGTGCGGCACACGCGCAAGACCTGGCTGCCTACGGTCGGCAACCGTGTCCACAGCATCCTCGTGCACGCCACACCAGTCTTATTAGCGAGTTGGTTTATCATCAGGGCTATATATTTACGGTATCTTACTACGTCTATAGACGTGGCATCGTCAGATAGCGACGAAAGACAATCTCGCGAGCTTTTCGACGAAGCGCTACCGCTGCCAGTACAGTATCTACTCGTGGTTGCTTTAGGGGCGTTTCTCATGGCAGCATTCTCAATAGGCCATTCGCTTTTCGCAATAATGCTTAGCCCGCTTGCACCTAGCCCCCTCGCTTTCTTCCCACCGCTTTATAGTACCAGGATTTGGGATATTACGTCGGTACGCAAGTTCTGGTCTTACGGATGGCATCGGCTATTTGCGCGCTTGTTTCTTGTATATGGCGTCTGGCCTGGGGAGTGGCTTGAGAGAAAACTAATGGGGAAGCGTGATAAGGATCCTGCTGATGTAGGTAAGGTCTTAGGCGGGTTTCTTTCCAGCGCCTTTGTCCACTCCTTCTCTGTAAGAGGAGTTTTAGGTGGCGATTGGCATAGCGCGGCAGGTGAAGCCAAGTTTTTTGCATTGAACGGTGTCGCTGTTGTGGTTGAAGGTGCAGTATCGAGAGCTGTGAGAAACGCAAGGAGAAAAAGGGGCATAAAAGAGGTTATGTGGTACGATGGATGGATCGGGAGGATATGGTGGTTTGTAGTTATGTTAAGTTTAGGAAGAAACTTCGCAAGGGGTTGGGTTAAGTCAGGCTTGGTAAGAGAGATTGCAGGCCAATAGTTATCTCAGGTTATATCATCTTCCTTTAACATTCGCGCTCTCACGTCTGTAGGTGCCTTCCAGGTTCCTAACAGCCTTTACCGCTACAGGTATAGAGATAGTTAAGGTAATCTCGAAAGTATTCGTCGTATAATAAGCCATAGGCCGTCTCTACCTACACTCTTATAATATTAGACACATGCGTATACGACCTTATTAGTTAATGCTATTATTGTTGTTACCATGCGCCACCCACTTGTCGACCAGACCTACATTGGGCCACCTTGTTCCCACCAAAACTTACTTATTTTAACTAATTATCATAACCGCATTTTAAGCTTAAATTGGATTTTTTTTTTATATGTAAATGTTTAAAGGTGTATTATAATTATAAAGTTGAAATCATATTTTTTCGATTTTTATCTATTTAATAATAACGTAATAAATATGCGTTATATTTTAAATTTTAAAAATTTATAAATAAATATATATAATTACGTAATTTTAATAGTATTTATTATAAATGTAAATTCTTTATATTATTTAATAAAAAGGAATTATAATAATATATATTTTATATAATAAAATAATTATATAAGATTTTTAAATATTTTATAAAATAAAAATAAAATAAATAAAAATCATTATTTTAAAAATTTATAAATAAATATAAAATAAATTGTTAAAATTTCTTTTTTTAATTTATTAATAAAATAAGATTATAAATGATTTATTTTCGTTATAACGATAATAAATAATATATATTTAAATTAATAAATATAAATATAAATATATATAATTTTTAAATAATTTTAAATATATTTAAATATTTTA